AAAATTGCGGAATGTAAAAGAAAGAGCAGGCCGGGGGGGGCAATAATACAACGCACTCCACACAGACAGCACTGGTGAGAGCCGAGTCTTTTCTTGTTGCAGGGTCATCAGACAACATGACCTACATGTCCTCCCTCTCTCTGTGCTGTATTTTGTATACAATACATGGAGTACAATACCGAGAAGAGATTGGCTCGATCGGGTTGCCGACGATCTTTGCTATCAACCAGCTGCCGGGATTTTTTCTTCTTTTTCGGTTAGTTGGCAGAAGTTGCTTGGTCCGAGTCTCGTCTCCATTGCCTGCCGTCCGGACGGCGGGCGACACGACACGGGTGACGGGTGACGGACGGGTGACGGACAGTCAGGTCAGCAATTTGCGAAATCCATCGGCGCAGCGCCTCTACTCGGCAGGCGCCGCAGCGCCCCCCAAGCCTTCCTCGCCGCTCCCTGTTGGCTGGATTGGCTGGAGATTGACAGGGGCATGGCGTGGGGATGGTGTGTACGCCCAGCAAGTCAGCCGCAAGCCATTCCACGGGCGTCCGTCATGAAAAAGGGTTTACATTGGGTTTCCGCAACAGGCACTTCACTTGGTTGCCCTACTTGCTTGTCTCCTTTGGGTCCTCGCAGCGACGACTTCGGCCGTGAGCGGGCTAGCGAGCGAGCGAGCGAGCGCTCTCGTCTTCGGCCACGCAGCTGGGTCCAGTACTCCATACTCGGTACATGCTGGCTTGGGAGCCAGGGCAAGGTCGGCCCGCGCGGGAGACTCGATGTGAGCTGTCAGTTCGACCCCCCAAGTTTGTCGACTCCTTTGGCTTCCCAGAACAGGTCAGGCATTTTACGCCACGCCACGCCACGCCACGCCACTGCAGATGAACTGCACTTCACCCAATGCACTGCATCCCAAGTGGATAGCAGACGCGTCTTCGGGTTCGTTCTCTTGGTGCCCTCTGGCTTCCCTGGCTGGCCAGCTCTCTTGTCCCCCCTCCGCCCCGTCTTGCTGTCGTGCCGCGCCCATTGGCCCCGACAATTCGACGGACCTCCAGGCTGCCGTCGATCCCGGCGATCTTGACTGGGACCCTGGGCAATCTCACCATTTCCTGGGCCATCCTATCTCAGACATATACTACATACCATGACTACGTCCATACATATATTGCAGCAAAGCCCGACCGCCTGCTTCCGGGTCCGTGCAGCGAGCGGCCTATCGCTCGGGACAAGGCCACTGTTTAGGCTTGTAATTCGAGGGCCGTCGGACGAGGCAAGGAACGGCAGTTGGTAGCGTCCAGGGACTTCGGCGAGAATGCAACTCTACCTTCGCCGGATTCAAATAGTCAATGGCTGGAGGTCTGACCGCCCGCTTGTGCTACCTGACAGATCAACACTCGAGGTGCAAAGCTGCATTGCTAGACCGTCTTCAGCGCGAGAAAGCCTCGCGCCTCTGTCGAGCAGAAGACGATGCCTACCGTGTTAGGCCATCACATGAGCCTTTCGCGATGGAACTGCTCCTCTGGTCTCGTCTAACTGGGCCTTCCCAGCCTCATGCGTTGTCAACAGCTGGAGCCTCGGGATGTGACCTATCACTATTACAGACTCTTACTGCATTGCGTGGATGCTCGGTTCCATTATCTCACACTCTCAACAATAACTTACTGCTGTGCTGCCGTCACATTCGGTGCAAATCAATATGAGAGAGGCGGAGAGCAGGTTTCGCGGGCCGCGATGTTTTCAGTGGCATTTGTACCTTGTTGTACGAGTACTCGGGAAAATCTGGCCAATGTACAGGAGTACATGATCCTCGCATCATCATTGTCATAATCTTTTGCATGTCCATTTTGGGATTGTACAAGCGGCGATAGCGCTGCAAGCAACCAGAGAAAGAAGGAAGGGATGAGAGAGAGAACGTCTGTCTCTCTTCGCCGGCTTTGCTCTATTGACCCCACTACTGTTGTCCGGCGTGCCTTACCTTTGGGGGTTTCGGACTTTCGGTACCGGCTCCGTCTTCTCTTTGGGGCGTCGCAGATGTTGCCGTAGAGGCTCAGAGTTCGCGGGTTTTCTGCCTGGTTTTGGCCTCTCTATTCCCGAAACTCGTTGATCCTGCTTCCAACATGAAGCTTGACGCCACACCATGGCTGCGACAGCTCTCACGTTATTTTTCATTCGCCGCAATCGCCATCTTGCATCAAAAGGACTGCCTAGGTTCCCCATGACCTCTTTGGCTGTGGGGCACGTTCATCATCACCTGACAGTATTGCGCGGTTGATGGCACAATTAATCATGTTGAAGGCTCTTTCCTGTGGTTGGCCGAGGAGGATTGCGGCAAACGAAGCGCAAGTAGACATGAACCAAGCCAAGACCCAAGAGGAGAGAGCGTTGAGTAACTGGAGAAGACCTTCCACATCACACCAATCTGCTGTCTCCCTATCAATTCCGAACACAGCTGCCGCCTATGACCACATTCTAACTGTCATGTCGCCAGAAGTCAGCAAGCCAGCCAGCCAGTCAGCCAGAGTCGGTCGATCAACGTAGTCTCAAGTTTGCGTCAACTAGACAGACAGGTAGAGGCTGACTGACTGTATCACAGCAAAATGCCTTCATCTGCACTCTGGCGCCTGCCCATTCTGCTGGCCCCCCCCCCCCCCCTTCTCGATCCATACCGCTTGCATCAAGTGAAACAAGTATACATGCACCTGGGGGCACCTGAGAGGGACGACTGATTGAAAGGAAAACAAGGTGATAATTTGCATTCCCTTCCTTTTTGGTTGCCTATCTTTCTTGTTCCAATATACTTTTTCTATTTCACCAGCGCGCAGCCAAGATAGCTACGTATTAGCTTGCCGCCTCCGACTCCAGCCACAAGGCGGCCGGCTATAAGGATACAGCAGCAACCTTGGTCCAAATCTCAGAAGTTCGGCCCTACCCGATGTATTTCTACCTATCCAAGAGAAGCAACTGGCCGGAGCCGGTTCAACTTGACTACTCGATGAAAGCAAGCTTTGTATGCAATGCTGATTTGGTATTTTTGTTTTTTTTTCTCTCCTTCGGTTCGTCAAACTGTTGCCATTTTGTTCTTCTTATTCATGCAGCATCAGAACTTTGATATTTCTGCCTCGTGCATGTGTGCCAGTTTGTGTCTACACGGCGAAAACGGCGGCAAGGTTCCCGGCTCTTTTTGACCTTTTTTTTTCGGCGTTTCTCTGTTGTTGGTCTTTTTGTGTGCCATTGTGTCGTGTCCTGGGCGTCTTGTTTCTCTTGTTGCTACTGGGCGGTTGCCTTGATGCATTTGCTAAAAGCAAACGTGCTGTAAGCCACAAACAAGCCTTTCTGTATCTAGATGTACATGCATATACCTCGACAACGCCAGTCCGGAGGGCGTTGGACGTCGATCCTCCGCTCAACGCCTGCCCCCTCCCCGCATCTTTTGCACCTCTCCCCTTTCCCTCTCATCCCCCCTCCCCTTTCCCGTCCCCTTTCCCGTCCCCTTCCCGCTCTTGACGGAGATCGGATAGCGGGATGCCGGCGATGGATGAGCGGGAGGGGGGTGGTGGTGTTGAGAGGGGCGAGATGGGACATGAAACGATTTTAGACGAGGGAAAGTACGGCGGGTCTTGCCGCAGCAGAGGACGGAGAGGGTGTGAGAGCGGAAGACAGACGTGCTGGTGGGAAGGAGGAAGCTAAGGCAGACCGCGCGATGAAGGCCAGCCCGATGACGGAACAGGAATACCAACAGGAAGGGTGAGTCAACCGTGTGTGTGTATCCATCGACCGGCCAGTGCTCCGAGTGTCCATTCACATGGCAATTGGGCCGTTATCTAGAGAGTGCGCGCAGGGGCCACTTTTATCTGTTTGTGACACAGGTCTTCAGAGTCGGACCTTGGCCGCTGCCGCTGCCGCTGCCGCTGCGAGCTGACCTATCTCTCGGCTTCAGCTAGGCATTCGCTGCCTTCCATCTCCGAAGACCGGTCGTACATACATGTACGTTGTCCGCCATCTGAGCCCCTCTCGCTGAAAGTGCATCTCTTAGAAGTGCTAGACTACAACAAAATTTCTGCCTTGGCTTTCTCTCGCTCGGCCTTACTCTGCAGGACCCAGGCCAAAAAGGCCACACAGGCAGACATGCGCACACCATTGAAGCCGGTGAAACATGGCCAATTTTTCTCTGTGTGTCACTTTCTTCTCTTTCTACACTGTATCTCACGTCTCCTGCGCAACTTACACATACACATACACGCATACCTACATACGCCCTAGCCCTAACAGACAGATGGATCATAGCGAATGGAAAGACACGGAAAGAGAGCGACTGATGGGCGAGACACCGCCGGCACAATACACATGCAACACATAGACGAATGTGGGGATATGTTTTTAATCTAGCCTAAGAAAAAAAGGGGGTATTCCGGCCACTGCGTAGAGTTTGTCTCTTTTCAACTAATCAGTCCTTTTTTGTTCTCTCTATCTATTTGTCCTTCTGCCTCTCGTTATCTCTTTCTATCTCTCTCTCTCCCTCTGCGTGTCTGAGTCTCCTTTCTCTAGCTTTTAGACATGCATGGCCAATGCATTTTTGGGGGGGTGGGGGGGGGGGTTCCGGTTTCCGTCTACACTACCGTAATTAAGGGTCTGAAGCCGATGAAACCTTTTTGTCTCTTTTCTCTCTCTAGTGTCCTGTCTCGCTGTCTCTCTTTATTGTTACAACAACCCTGACAACAAAAGAATAAGCAGGCGGGCGTATCGGCAAAACCCGTCCCGTCCCTTTTTTCTTTTTCTTTTTGCGAGAGTGTGTGTTTGACTTACTTCCCCTCTCTTGGTGCAAACCCCTTCTCAGTCTGTATTTTGGTCCCATTGTTTTTTTCCTTTAATAAATTTCCTGTATATCTCCCTGCCTGCCTGTCTACCTGCCTGCCTGCCTGCCTGCCTGCCTGTCTGTCTCTGCTGCATGTTTCTCTGCATTTAGCCCTTCTTTTTCTTCTCTCACTGTCTCCTTATTAGGCGTCGGCATTGGCATGCTGTCTGTCTCACTTTTCCCCGCCCACATCAAATAAATCAGAAAATTCATGATCGGGTAAGGGAGAAAGGCATCGGGTGTTGCTGCTAAACCCCCTAGGCATACGTGGTCCACATCCCGTCCTTTTGTTTCGAGGGGGGGGGGGGCCTCTCAGTGTCTCATCGACGTCGGAGACCACCGACGAGCCTATCGCGTCTCCGCCTGCACGTCAGCGAGTGTCTACGGAATAAGCAGAAAGGCGAAAAAGGAGGAGGCTTTGGCGAGGCAAGGCGGACGGACGATGTGGGCGCCAGAGAGAGAGCAAAAAGGTGAGGCGGACGTGCCGCCTGCAAGACAATAAAAAGGAAAAGACAAAATAAGGCCCGAATAATGCCCATTATTGCGTGTGTGCGTGTGCGGTGTGGCGTGGCGTTCGTCGTGTGTTGAGATGGGAACCACCCTCCCCTCCCCAGACCAAACAAGCACGGAGAGAGAAGAGAGCCAAACATGCAGAACAGGCAAACAATCAAGCCACCCACTGATACCACGCCGGTCCTGTCAAATGACGGTTCTGACATGTGAGACATACATACATGTAAGCTTGCGCACTGGGCGCTGGGCGCTGGCGCTGCAAACGGACCCAAGCAAATCACACTTGCACTCTGGCGAACGAACGACGGGCACGAACGCCCCGTCGAGGAGACTGGCGAGCGGTAGAGCGGGGGGGAGCAAGCGAGCGAGCGAGCTGAGTGATGGGTGATGAGAGAGGGAGGAGACGACGGCGATTGCTTCTGTATCGAGTGGGCATTGGGCCTCTGTATCGAGTGGGCATTGGGACCGATTGATAATTATGATTGGGCGGCTGCTGCTGTGGCCGGAGGGCTGGCTGGCTAGTCCTTTCCTGGGGTGTCTATCTTTGTTTCAGACTGAAGTGGCGCCGGCTTCCACAGAGTGATTTGCTAATACTATTCCTATCCTCTCTCTCTCTCTCTCTCTCTTTCTGTGCTCACGTCTCCGCGGCAGCTCGACAGACCGACGGACGATGCCACTACGGCTTGGCATTGATCGGCGAGGAAGCTTTCCTAATCCCCTGATGCCATATTTCTCGGTTACTCCCCGTCTCTCTACTCGCTGGTCAGTATAGCGGCGCGTGATGGCTTGCCTTTTTTTTTTTGGTCTTCCATGTCTGCCGCGCCTCCCTCGCCAAAGCACAGTACCAGAGCCGTCTCCTGCCCGCTTCTGCTTTTCGTAGGCCTTACGCATACACACATCTGCTGACGGCAGCAGCGGATGTGCCGCCCTGTTCCGTAGATCGGCGACAAGTGGCTTCGGTCAGGCCCCGTCTAGCCCGGTCTGGTGGTGATCTCGGGGCTGTGGCTGAGACAATGGAGAAAGATTATACCTATCAATGATACAATGCATGGTAGGAGTAGAAAAAGACAAGGGACTATGTAGCTACCGAGTATGCAGAGGCAAGGAGGCAAATGGCAGAGGCTACCTCGGATAGCGATGACCCATTTACCGCCATTACTCGCTGCTGCTGTGCAGGTTCTCATCCACGTTGCTCGCTCTCCCCCCCGCTCTTTTCCGCTTCAGCCACAGCAACACGAGGAGAACAACCCAGCCCCTGAATATCGGGCGCATACCAACACTGCGGCTCCCATATAAAGAAATAAACAAGCAAAATGAGGCCCAGCCTTGGTTGCCAGGACATGGGCCCCTGTGTGAGCGAAGTGTGATGCGATATATATTTCGCGAGAGGGGGTTGTGCAGCCGGGTGCGTTGAGAAACCTGTCTAAGTAAACATGGACCGGCAATTAATCAAAAGACGCCAAGTAAACAAGGCTTACAAATAAGCTTGTGTTCCGTCATGTTAAGCAAAAGAGCGGGGAAATGGACATAGACAGCGCTTCCAATATTCCAAGTTCGACATAGGCCTGCTTGTCCGTACAATGAATAAAATGCAGCTTTCCGCAACCCCCCTGTCTCTGTCTCTGTCGGTGTATAAAACAGCGTATCAAAGACGAGCAAGAGCGAGAGAATAAAAAGTGAACAAATGGTTGGGCGGTGTGATGATGAGCGGGAAGCGGGAAGGGAAAAAGGCAACTAAAACACAAGGACAAAAGGGGCCGGCTCTTCTTCTCCCTTCACGTGAAGAGAAAGGGGGGGCGTGACCCGTCCGTCCACCACAGGGGAAAAAAAGCAAGCAAACAGTCAAAAGAGAGCACAGCAAAAGATGCGGCTCTTTTATTTCTTGCTTCCTATGTCGCTTGTAATTGGCCCGAGGTCGCCCGTCCCATGCATATGTCATGTAGACGCACGAAGTGAAGTATTGATATTTGTGGCATCTAGTTGCCTTTTTTTGTTCTTTCTCTCTCCTTCTCCGTCCCTGTCCCTGTCCCTGTCCCTCTTGTCCATCATGCCAGTAAGTTGTCTCCTTGTACGACAGCAAACCCTTGCCCTGTTTCACGGTCGACAAGACCATGTCATCTGACAGACCGTGGTGATACGCGCCAAAAAGCCCGCTCGCTGCTCCTGGGGCCACGCACCCTTCCCTGTCCGCCCACAGCGAGGCCAAGAACCCCTGTCCTCTGTCCGTTTTCCTTGGGCGTGAGGGCGTGTGTGTCTTGCATTCGAATGTCCGCCTCTCTCCGTTCTCGTCTGCCATACTGCTCGCTGTACGTCGGCACTGTATAGACCAGAACATGCATGTGACGCGACACACGCACCCAGGAATAGAGCCCCCCCTCTTTCCTCTAGGACAGAAGGCAAGACAGGGGACCAGACAAGACAGAGAGAAAGAACGTCCAAAGTATCTCCAAGTTACGAGCCCAAAAAAGGTATTTGCCTCTATACCTTCCCCACACAGATGGCCATCCGTCCATCCATCCAGCCGACCAACCAACCCATCCACCGCCTCGGAGCCATCCGGCCAGCCATACAAACACACACACATAGGCCGGAGCGAGCGAAAGCATGCCACAGCACACCCAACACGCACATACATCATCGTAGGCACGGCATGCGAGCGGGGCGCGCAGGATAGTCAGTCTAGGCTCAGCTTGCCTCGGGCCAGGCGAACTAGCGAAAGGCAGCCTGCTGCCCGGTCTGCCTTTCTGTCTCGTCGTCGTCAGAAGAAGACGAGGAGGACGAGCAGAACTGGGCGGCGTCATCAAGCCGCCAAGCCAAGCCAGGTGACACAAGACCAGACCACAGACTGCAGATCAGAGCAAAAGCAGAGCAGAGCTAGACTCTTGACCCCCCCCTTGTCCTCGGCACCATCATATTAGCATTATGATTTGGTTATTTTGTTGTTTTCCTATTCCCTCACCGACACCGAGTAGGGGGGTGGGGGGTGGATAACGCAGACCATGAACGAGAACGAGAATAGAACAGAGAGATGGACAGTCCTCCCAAGACTAAAGAAACGGAAACGGAAACGTCAACGCCGATCTGCCTGCCCATGGAGATACCTAGACAGATAGAGTGTACCTTGGTAGACTTCTAGGAGCGGAACCGTCCCAAGAAAACCAAGAAAAAGAATATCCCTACCCAATGCGCTGCGTCGCGGTTCGATACATACATACATGCATGTTATGTGGTGCGAAGCCAAGCACGCACGTACGTTAAGTAGGTAGCACATCTTGCCATAGAATGGCATGACCGACTCGACCGACGTCCACATCACCGGCAGCAGCAGGTAGCGCTAGTAGACCGACCGCCCAAAAGCTGTAACTAGATCCCGGCCTAATTACCGTGCCATTGCATGAGAGATCATGATATTGGTGTGTGCTGTTCCGTTTCCGCACAACGCAGATCACCTGAGAACCGGCTGATGTCGAGCTCATCGCCGCCGCCGTTGCTGTTGTTGTCGCCAACGCGGAACAGCACAAAGGAAGTAGCCGCCATCACACCGCAAATAGGTAAGCTATCGCGTGGTGTCGGGAGCAAAAATTGGGGAGAGGGGAGGGCAACAAAGACAAGAACACAACGGAGACAAGCGAACCCCTGTAATAGTAGTTCCTTCGATACGTGATCTTATTTATTCCGCCGCTCTACGGAAAATATATGTACACTGTACACCAAGTTCAAAACACGCGCAGAAGCATGTCGAGCACGCTCTCGCTCAATGATGGCCCAGGGGATTGGGATTCTGAGTGATCTCCTTAATCACCTCCCGAGTCCGCGCATTGTCCTCAAAGCTGAGGTTGATGAGGTAGACGACCTCCTCGACCGAGAAATAGAGGCTCAGCTCACTCTCGATCCAGAGGTACCTGACGTCCTTGAGGTTGCTCTGCAGCACCTCGGACAGGTACTTGAGGCGGAGCCACGACGCGGCGTATTGCGCCGTGGTGGGTATTTCGTCTTCGGCGTCGTTCTGCTGCTGTGAGGACGGCCTCTTGTTGTTGCGACTCGGCAGAAACAAGTCGTCCAGCTCGATGACGGTGGCGATCAGGTTGGCGATGTTGTACGCCTCGTCCTGCCCAATCGAGGGTAGGTCCATGACGTCGACAATGATCTTGTTGGCCACCGCGTCCACTAGCGAGCCGATGGCCTGCTGCCACGCTGACCGCGACAGGATGCTTTCCCACGCGATGGCTAGGGAGCGCACCCGCGTCACGGCCGCCGCAACGCAGCTCTCAGTGTCGTCATGCTGCGTGAGGTTCTGGGCGCCTGTTGGGAAGAAGCGTGTTTGTCAGCGGATACGAGAGAGCGGCACGGAAAGGGGCTCGCTTAGACTTGTTTACTTACCACCAAGAAGATCTCGGAGGACTGTCTTTTGCGTGTTCATCTCGCCGCTGTACGCACGGCTTGCAAAGCTCTGCAGCGATTTGATATCGCTGTCCAGTCGCAACATGCTTCTTGCCCGCACGCTGATATCGTCTCGCACCTTCCACTCGGCCGCAAAATCTGCCAGCCGTTCTGATAAATAGGTGGCATCGTTGTAGAGATACCTGGAACCGGTTAGATGACCCCAACTCAGGCTGGAAGACCGACTCACATGTTTCCGCCAATATCCGGTCCATAGTAGTAGGGGGACACGGCGCGGAACATTGCGAGCGCGAGTGTCGGGAGACTGAACAGTCCGGCTGCTGCCGCTGCAACAGGAGTCGCCGCATAGCTGTCCTGGGTCAGAGCTGCGCCATCCCCAACTATTGCAAATATCAGGTCTAGGACGGGCTGTGGCATCGACGAGATGGTGTATGTCTCCTTCAACGTCAGCTCCCTAGTCTCTTGTTGATGCGCCGAGGACGGCCTTTGGGCAGTCGCGTCGCCTTCTTGCTGCTCGTGCTCAACATCGTTAGTTTCATCACCCCACCCCCAAGCCTCGGCGGCATCGTCTTCGTCGTCGGGCTTGTTCTCCTTGGGCTCTTCTGGCTTCTCTGGCTCGGCCTCTTCGTTGTCCCACCCCCAAGCATCAGTGACGTCGTCGTCAATTTCTGCGGACTGCTTGTCTGTATCCCTATCTTTGCCGCTTTCGTCCGTAGTGTTGTCCTCTTCGTCAGACCAGGCAGCACCCCAACCATGGTCTTCTTCCATGGAGGTGGCACGGTTAGCGGCCAACTGGTTCCCTTCTGTTTTTGACACCATTTGCTTCTCGACTCGCTCCACCTGCTTCGACGCGCCAAGACCTGGCGGCGAGTTAGTCTAGTTGAACATGGAACGGAAAGAAGAAATGAACATGCCCTGAGACAGCTTTGTTCGGACGGAATCTAGCGCAGCTTCTCTGCACTTGGACAACCACACCCTGGGGGCGTTGTCGGCCCACTCCTGCAAATCTCCGAGGTTTGAGAGTCCTAGAGACTTGAGAGTACCGCAAAAGGCCGTGGCTGATGCGATGACGTCTTGAAACTTGTCCATGTCCTGCAGTGACGACGGAACGACGGAATCGAGCCAGACCCTGGTGATCATTTGAACAACGCCGGGCACCAAGGCGGACGATACAGTCTGAACTATGTCGGGAGGCAGTTTCTGAACGAGAAACGAAAAGACCTTCTCGAGGTCTGAGAACAGCGACTCGATAGTCTTGTCCGTTGAGCCGCGCACTTCCAGGAGGTTCTGGTGCCAAGCATTACTATACGGGACCCGCAGGAGAAGTCTCGGTCAACTCACATTTTCAACGTGGACCTCAGGTAGAGTGTCTTTGGTGATATCCATCCTCGGAAGTAGGATGGCTCTGTTAACGTCGCGCCAGAGCTGGTTGGTGCGCTGGTCAACCTCCTTGTATGCCTTGAGACCTATTACGGCATCCAAAAGACTCATCGGTTCGCCTTGCTGAGCGTCGCTTATCGACATGGTTTGCTTCTCGACGTCAACACGGACCAGCGAGCTCCACTCGTGGTCGAACACCTCATGCACACTAGATTTGAGCTCGAAGGCCCGGAGATCAAGGAGCTTGATGGCGCGGCAAGATTTGTCCACTGAGATGGTATCAAGCTCGTTCCACGATTCTATCGGGAGGGGGGTCAGTCACTGGCGGCGGCTGATGGAGTGGCGCAGACCTCACTTTCTAGCAAATGGAGAGCATCGAGAATGCACCTCTCATCGCGTGCCTGCTCGACCTGATCAAGAGTTCTATTCACAGCCCTGATTCCCTTCAGCGCTTCCTGAACCTGCGAGTTGTAGTTGAGCTCGCGGACGAGAAAGGCAGCCTTGGCCTCGGCGTCGGCTATGGCCTTTCCAGAGACGGCCGGGGCTTCGGCCGCCTTTAGGATGCCGTTGGCGAGAGACTTGGATCGGACGATGTCGTCTTGCGCGGACTGGGCGTTTGTCTGCCACGACCGCACGTCGTCGGCCGCCTCCTCGTTGATGGCGTGTATTTCGGCCTGCAGTCCCGTGAACGACGTTGTTAGCAGGGATGGCATGTATATATGTGTCTGGTATATGTGTGTACCTTCAGCTCCGACCTGGCTTTTGCGAGGGCGTCAATGGCTGCGGGTAAGACGTCGGCGTCGATGGTCAGGGCAGAGGCCGCCTCCTCGGGAAAGGCGCCATGAAGGGTGAAATCAACAAGCGCCTGGGCGATCTGGCCAGCAGTGGGGGAGTCCTGGGGAGGATTGGCCATGTTGGTTGAGGATGCGCGAATGCATCCGCACACCTAGCGACGCCGCAGGCTGGCTGGCTAGCTGTTGCCGCGATCAATGACGTCGAGTTGAATGCAGCTTCGTCAATTGCCCTCAAATGTTATTGCAGCGCAACGATATTAGGCCCAGCGTATCGCCGCTGTCGCCAAGAACCTAAGTCGAGAAGTTGGCAAGGACACTGTGTGGTTGGGCATCTGTTGCTCGTTGCTCGTCGTTCGTCGCTCCTCGTTTGCGACAGGTGGTGATGTCGTTCGTGAGTTTACACTAGACCAGCTTGTCACAAACGTGTAAAGCTGTAGCCAATTGAAAGCTCCCGAGGTGCCCTAGTTCAAAGCTCCCCATAGCTAGGTTGCTTTTACACGACTGTGGAGGATGAGTTCCTCTCTAGGCGGCCTACTTAGAGGCTAGCCCGGGCTTGAGGCGACGGGGCCATTTTGCCCACGCCGACGCCCGACGGGAATGGGGCGCCTAGCGCGTGTGGGATGGCGGAAATGGAGCCAATGAGGCTCTTCGTCTTGGATTCCGAGGGCTGTGCCCCGCATACGGAGTGGCCCAGGTGAGTCAGATGGAAGAAACCCACTGAAAGTTCAGAGTGCAGGCGTGTTAGGGCGCACATGTCCCGCCCTGTATTACCAACCAGCGGAACGGCCGTTTCCATCTTACAGCCCTCATGCTGTACGAACGTACTAGTCGGGCACAGCCTTTACCATATAGCGGCGTACGGTTGGTTTTGGGCAAAGTGCATCCATGTAAAGAAAAGATACCCTACCAAGCCTACCTAGGTAGGTGAGCACTCGGGTGCGTGGGCTTTTTCTGGGAGGCAGCTCTGGTTGTTGGCTCTGCAACTAGGCGCAGCACAGTACAGTACAGTCAGTATCCATCTTAGGTTACATAGGTCGGCTTTACCTACAGTGAGTTTCAGTGCATACCCTAAGATTTCAGGCAAGTTTGCCCCTCCGTGTCTTGGGGGGAGAAAAGGCCCCTCTCGTCCACCGAAGTCGAGCTCCAATTGCAAACCTGAAAGTTTCGGTATTTGGATTCGTTATCTTTGCAGTTTGCATACCCTGACCTACCTATTGCCTTGCCCAACCCGCTGCTGCGCTGCACCTCGAGCCGGCGTCCTGCAGAGAACTTGCACAATTAGTACGAAGTACCGAGAGTACATCCATTACCTATACCTGGTCTAACCGCCCAGCCCAGGCTTCCAATATTACTTTTTTTTTTCTTCGTAAATTTTCGCTTCTTCTTACATTTCAGAGGACCCAGATTTCTTCTTATCGTCTATCAAAAGAAACGATTTGTTTGCGATCACTGCGTGCGCCGCCGGTTCCTCACCTGCCTTGTCCAGCCCGCCCAGCTGGAAAAAAAAGAGAAAACACGTCTCATTGGTCTTTTGCAGCAGCCTGGGACCTGACAGCTAGGCGGACGTCTGCTTCTAGCGGCCTACTGCTGCTGCGTGCGCGAAGCCGGTATGTATGTCAGCAAGCAAGCATGCCGGCCATGCCACGCCATGCCTTGCCTTGCCTTGCCTTGCCTTGCCCTGCCTTGCCTGGAGTGCGGCAGCCCCAAAGGAAAAAAAAAAGGAAGCCCCAGGGAAGCCTCTCCGTCCTTCTCCCATTCTTCTCTTGCAGAATCCGAAAACACTCGGCTAGAACAAGACGCACGACCTGTCCGACCTGAGCTTAGGTTTCCCTGTTGCACAGTTGCAGGCGGCTAGGTGGTTGCTCCCCCGTCCCCGCCATCACCACGTGTCTCTTAGCTCTGTGTTGCGGGTTAGTCTAGCCTACCTACTTGACTAGCCTGGCCAGGAGTCGCAGTCGTTGAAGCTCTGTAGCCCTTCTTCCTCTGCAGCCTTTTTTTTAGCATTTTTTTGTTGTTGTCCTCGTCCGTTGCCCTTCCTTTTCCTATCTCGCCGAGGCCGCAGCGAAAGGAGGGACCAAATGGCGGGGTCATCGTCGAACTCAGCGTCACGCAGGCACAGGCACAGGCATAGGTTGCTGTACGCCGCCATTGTTGCCCTAGTCGCTGTCGTCGTCTTCAAAACCGACTTGTCCGGCCAGTATGCATCCATTTATACACGAGATCAGACATACCTATCCGATATCAAATATCCCATGCCATAGTTGCCCTAATTTACCTATATTCCACACCCCGCACCCCCGGCACTTATCCGTTGCCCCTCCCCCCTTTTTGGCCCCTTCCCCTTCTAGGGCAAGTATTGGCAGGCAGCAGCTACACTAAAATGCACCCAGGTATGTCCAATACCTACAATACACTACCTATTTTGTACCTGGCCTAAGTTGGCGGTCTGCTTCCGCTTCTTAGTTCTTCCCCCTGCTTCGGCCCTCACCGCCAGCAAGGAATGGCTGTCATAAGTTTGACTGTTGGATATAAAAAAGTTCTTCATTCGCTCTTCCACCAGTACCTACCTCAATATTCACCAAAAGAGCCGAATAGCCCACCGTTTACTCTCTACCTATTTACCCCCTGTGATGGATGCCATGTATTCCATGCCTGTGTGTTGATGTGTGTGTGTGTGTGTGTGTGTGTGCGCTTCGTGTTGCTCAATGCTCGCTCGCTCTGTCACTAATCCCGCTTCCAGATATCTTCAAGATCTTGTCCACTCCCTGCGCGGCTCCAACATGACTTCCTCGGCGCAAAAGCCGCGATTCCGCAAGATCCAGAGCTTTCGCACCGACTATGCCCCAACCGACATCACGCAGTATGAGTCGGAGAGGAGCGGCATGCGCGTTGTTGTCGCCGATCGCAAAGGCCCCAAGATCAATGGCTACTTCACCCTGGCCACCGAGATCTTCGATGACTCGGGCGCCCCCCACACGCTGGAGCACCTAGTCTTCATGGGCTCCAAGAACTACAAGTACAAGGGCCTGCTAGACAAGCTAGCCGGCCGAGCCTACTCCAACACCAACGCCTGGACCGCCGTCGACCACACCGCATACACCCTCGAGACGGCGGGTTGGGACGGTTTCGCCCAGATCTTGCCCATCTATCTCGAGCATGTCATTCTGCCCAACATCACCGACGACGCCTGTGTGACCGAAGTCCACCACGTCGATGGCGAGGGCAATGACGCTGGCGTCGTCTACTCGGAGATGCAGGCTCTTCAGTATAGCAGCACCGAGCTAATGGACCTGCGGGCCCGCCGCCTGCTGTATCCTGAAAACATCGGCTTCAGATACGAGACGGGGGGCATGATGGAGGCTCTCCGAGTCCTCACTCCAGAGCGGATCCATGCATTCCACAAGGCCATGTACCACCCCCGGAACTTGGCTATCGTCATCGTGGGCGAGGCCGATCACGAGAGCCTCTTGTCCATCCTGGATGGGTTTGAAGAGAGCATCAAGGACGACGTCCCCCTCTTTAATGCCGACTTCAAGCGCCCCTTTGTCGACTCTCCTCAGCCGCCTCCCCTGGAGAAGACGACCGTCGAGACCGTCGAGTTTCCAGAGGAGGACGAGTCCACGGGCGAGGTTGTTGTCGGTTTCTTTGGCCCGAGCTGCAACGACCAGGTACAGGCGACTGCCCTGAACATCATCATGACATATCTTTGCGGTTCATCCGTGTCGGTCATTGAAAACACGATAGTCGAAAAGGAGGAGCTGGCGAGCTCGGTTTCCTGGTGGTGGGATAGCAGGCCAAATTCCGTCATATGGTTCCAGCCGACCGGCGTGGCGACGGAAAAGCTCGAATTCGTGGAGCAGCGCCTGATCTCGCTGCTAAAGGAGGTTGCCTCCAAGCCGCTCGACATGCAGTACATGAAGGAATGCATCCAGCGTGAGCGGCGCCAAATCAAATTTCAGGCTGAAGGATCGGAGCAGTTTTACTCGAGCAACATCATCACGGATTACCTGTTTGGAAAGCGCGACGGCTCTACCCTGGCAGAGCTGCAAACGCTCGACGAGTACGACGTCCTCGAGAGCTGGAACGACGAGCAATGGCGTGATTATCTCAGAAATTGGATCTCGGATGCCCACCACGTATCGATCCTGGGTAAACCATCAATGAAGCTAGCCACGGGCCTCAAGGAAGCCGAAGAGGCCCGGCTTGCAAAGAGGAGAGAGGAGCTCGGAAAGGCGGGCCTCGAACTGCTCAAGGAGAAGGTCGAAAACGCCAAGAAGCACAACGAGAAGCCGATACCTCCCGAGGTGTTGGACCAGTGGCCCGTCCCCAAGACAACTTCTATCCACTTCATTGAGTCTGCAACGGCAAGGTCAGGCAAGGCGCGCAGCCTCGGAACGCCTCAGAACGCGGCGCAGAAAGTCATTGATGCTGCTGCCCCTGCAGATTTCCCCCTCTTCATCCAGTTCGAGAACGTTCCCACAAACTTCGTGCACCTTACGGTCCACATTGGCACATCAGAGACTCCCGTCAAGTATAAGCCTCTTCTCCCCCTCTTTGCAGACAACTTCTTCAACAGCCCCGTAATGGCCGACGGCGAGAGAATTGGGTTTGAAGACGTGGTGAAGCGGCTGGAGAAGGACACAATCAGCTACCAGATTAGCGGGGCCGGGCGTGTAGGCGATAACGAGGGTATGACGCTTCAGTTCCAGCTCGAGCCTGAGAAGTACACGACTATAATTCAGTGGCTGCGCACCCTGATGTTTGACTTGGTCTTTGATCCCGTCCGGTTGAAGGCGGCCGTGGTCAAGGCGCTAGCCGACATCCCAGAGGCAAAGCGGGATGGGCGGGCCATGGCCCTCGAGGTTGACATGGCAGTCCACATGCTGCGCGAGTCGTACCCGGTTGCTAAGCGCACGCTCGTCAAGGCTGTGTACCTTCGCCGCCTGAAGAAGCTTCTCGAGAAGGAGCCCGAGACGGTGGTTGGGTGGTTTGAGGAGCTTCGCAAGAGCCTCTTTACCTTCCAGAACATCCGCGTCCTCGTCACGGCTGACGTGGCCAAGCTTCCCGAGCCCGTTAGCGCCTGGAAGACATTGAACAAGGGGCCAGGGCTGGACACGTCAAAGGACATTCTGCCCATCACCCGGCCCGTTGCGATGCTCAACGACGAGGGAAAGACCCCTGGCTCCTTTGGCAGCGTCGTGATTCCCATGACGACTCTCGACAGCTCTTACAGCGTAAGCACGGCAGTTGGGCTCAAGTCGTATGCGGACCCGCGTCTGCCGGCCTTCCTCGTGGCGCTCGGCTACCTAGAGGCGGTCGAGGGCCCGCTGTGGAACGCGGTGCGCGGCAACGGCCTGGCGTACGGTGTCTTCTTCACGCGCGAGGTTGACGCCGGCTACCTCCAGTTCCGCGTCTACCGCTCGCCCGACGCCAGCAAGGCCATCGAGGCCAGCCGCAACACCGTCGCCAAGATCGCCGCCGGCCAGGAGCCTCTCGACCGCCACCTCGTCGAGGGTGCCGTCAGCGGCATCGTGCTCGCCGCCGCCGACGAGCAAGCCACCATGGCCGCCGCCGCCCAGCAAAACTTCATCGTTGGCGTCGTCCGCGGCCTCGAGCCCGAGTGGAACCGCAAGATGCTCGCCCGCGTCAGAGACGTGACGCCCGACGAGATCCGTGCCGTTATGCGCGACCTCATCTTGCCCGTCTTTGAGGCCGGCAAGAGCAACGTGGTTGTCACTTGCGCGCCTATCATGGAGGAGGTATGTTTTTTGTCCCTTGGCGAAGCCCCCTCTCACACTAGCATGCTGACCAAACTGAACCTTTATAGAATATCGCCAAGGCACTGTCGACGATGGGCTACAAGACCCAAGTCCAGCCGCTGTCGTATTTCTACGACGACTACGGGCTGCAGGCGGGCGAGGACGAGGGCGAAGATGAGGATGAGGACGAGGACGACGAGGATGACGGGAGTGGAGGATCAGACGAGGACGATTCTAACGAAGAGATGGATAGTTGAGAAGAATAAAATAAAAAGAGCTAATCTGGGTTTTAATCCTCTTGGTTTCTTATCTTTTGAGCTCTATTTTAGACTTGGCATGCTTCTTCTTGTCTTGGACCATTGCATGGTTGCATGAAGATGTATCTCGCGCGCGCGCCATGCCCAGGTATATATATATATATATACCTGGCCTATTTGTGAGTGGGAAGGAAGTATTAGAGCACGTGAAGAAAAAAAGGAAAGAGAAAGTCTACTCAAATTGGCACAGTACATACAACACTGGGGCCTGACACGGTTTGACGAATAAACCTGGTGAAAAGGAGATAAGGGTTATTCGGATGCTATATTGTGCGTTTTGAATTCTCTAAAATTGCTGGCGTCGCTTCGTTCGTCAGTCGCGTGACCCTTCGCTGCGCTACGGGACGCTTCCTTCCTCTCACTCGCTCCTGGCAATTTAGAGCGCGACAGTTGACTTATTTAGATGACGTAGAGAGCAAGCGAAGCGACAATATCCTATCCGGAGGCCAACAACTCCGATGCTCTAGAGATCTTTTCTTACAACGATGGCTAAACCTACACAACTAAATCTTACATCTATACAACAGAGCTATCAGTTATATACCCGCTCATATCGCTCGAGTCAACCTCCTCTTCCTATGGATCTAATAGCTGTAACTTCCTTACCTCGTAATCCGCTATCTTCAGTTACATGCTCTATACCGGCACTTCGCGGTATATCCTGCTCCGATCAAACGGCGACTCAAACATTAGGCCATCTAAGGTCTTGACCCTGGAACTACTACGTACGATAGGCCGCACGCGAACTCTGGCGCGGAGATATCATAAACCACCTTGTCGAGAGTGACGCCCTGTGACTTGTGTACTGTGATTGCGTAACAAATAAGCAGTGGAAACTGCTCCCGGTAGCCAGTACCAGCCCCAAGAACAAACTCCTGCCGAACCCTAAGGATATGAACCACCAGCCTAGCCCTATCACGAAGCTCTTCTCCGCTAGGTAATAGGAACGGCGGCCCAGTATAGTTATCAAACGTAACCATAATAACCTGCGGTGGGTCTTTAAGCACGTTAGCGCCTTCAGCCTACGAGATGTCGTATATAGTACCCTAGGTACCGTTCACAAGCCCAACGTCGGCCCAGAGGTTCCTCGTTAGCATGACCCGGTAACCAATACAAAGAGGTAATCGTTTGATCAGATTGCCAGCGTTAGAGGGCTCGACTCTCTCTGCGCCTACGCCTTCGTGTTTTGCGTCTACCTGTACAAAGGCCTTTCGTAGGCATAGGAGGTGCTAATGGTTGTATTCGTTGACCTACGCCTCGATAGGGAAGATGCGGAGGGCATTATCAAAATCCTGGACCTGAGCCGGAGGCAGTGTGATCGTATATCTCGACGTAAGAAGCTCCCATAACGAAATAGATACTTTGGCCTGCCGTAATTGTTACAATCTGGACAACAGGTCCACGGAGTTAGGCCCGGCCTAGGATTGTGGGGGTCTGGACGGCAGGTAGGAGATGACAGGAGACAAGGAGTATCGTGCACAGATTGCGAAAGACAGGCTTTCAACACACAACCAATGTATGCTTAACCAGATGCATTGATAGCTGCAGAACCGTTCTCCAGAGAGAGCGTGCTGCCAGCTCCTATATAGAACTATGAGCAACCAATCAGAGTTCCTGCCTTACATGCTCAGTCATGCTCAGTCCTAGACGCACTGATCCCCACTGAGCTCCCTGCTCAGTGCGCTCAGTGGGTCTCGGCACTGATCCTACTGAGCTCAGCCATGCTCAGTGCACCTTGGCAATGGCCCCACTGAGCACTCCCTAATTGGATGCACCTTCTCTTAGCGAGAGCCCCACCCTAAGTGCCGTTCCAGCCAATCCGCAGCGGGCGGGCAACGCCCTCTGCACCTTTGAACCAGGATCGTAACAGTAATTCTTTCAGGGCTTGCCGGAATAGAGCCTGGTCTTTACCCTATTGCCGTTGGACTGTGGTTAAGAATACCGACTTATCAAACGAAAGGTAAGATTCTGGCGAGGCGCAAGGGCGGGACTTTGTCCGCGGGTTACGGTGTGAGGACCCGTCCACCAAACTGGCCCTCAAGCAGCCAGAGCCGCCCAGAACCCCGGGCCTATCAGAAGCCGCCTCGAGGCCCCACCTACCCCACTGATAGATGAAAACTTATTCGCGAGCACGCGACGCGTTGTTGGACTTTTCCTTCTTTCCCTCCTCAGTTTAGAATCTTCGTCGATAGCACCCAATGGACTGAGTTCACCTCAATGCCTTGCCCTGGTCGTGACATACGGCAGCAGCTGCAGAAACTCTTGCGTTCGACGCGGCTCTCTGGGAATGAAGTTAGCAAGGAAACCAAGGAAGATAGGTCTAATAGACTTACCTGCTACCTGCCGCGATTACGGCAATCCGCGTAATTAAGGACGATCCGTCGAGGGCCTCGGAACGACCGGAATTAGTCGATGTCCTTCTCAACGCCGCAGGTGTGGCAAACTTTGCGGGCAGCCGCCTCCGCCGCGTCCGCTATAGATACCGAATAACCTGGCCATAACAGGCAAAACGGTACTATAGAGGAAGGGAGGTTAGCTACGAAGAGCGGGTAGATTGTAAGGTTCGTCGAAGGTACTACGGTACGAATAATTATTGGAAAAAGAAAAGCAATTGTGGGGTGGGCGAGGAAATTCGACGCGAGGTTGAAGGGCAATTCGCGTAGTCACGTACGCAAGCCCACCTTTACGCACGCCCCACCACGCCAGAGAGCATTTAAACGCTTATATCTCAGCCAATTTCCATTATAATACGAATCGGGCTTCAGATTTAAATTTTCCGTAGAGTTATACACATAATGATACCGGTTATATCAATTTTGGAAAGTGTGCTGACCGAATGGCAGATAGGCACGTGATAGGGGCTGCCCATATTGATGTGACTGAGAAATCGGGTCCACTTTTCCACATAGATTAGCCAATCCGGAAAGGCGATAAGGCGTCTTATCAATTTCACATAGTAATTTTTTCAGAGTTTCGCAGTAATATTGTCCTCCGGACAGGATTAATTAATTAGGCTAGGCCTTGACGCGGTTATCATGAAAATAGGTAAGTACATGATTTATTTACACGGATTGTTGTCTAAGCAGACCTCTTACCAGTCTGAACCGAATTTCTCAAGAAATATTTGGTGGCTTTCTGTTCTGGTATTCAGGCCACACCACGGGTGGCTTGCCTGTGAGGGAGTGTAGTAGTACTACAGGTGGAGTAAATGGTCAGTGTGCAGGTCAACAACTGTCCAAGTCCCCTGCACCTCACCTGTCCCACCCCACCTTTTTGCTTTGCGCAATTTAATTGGCTAGCGCGAGTAGCGCAAAATTTTGAGGCGTGCACGGCCCAGAGTTTGGGTCTGGCAATTCTGGGTAGGGCTCGGTCAAAAAGCTGGCCGACAAAGGCCGACGGAGAGAGTTGGGACTCGCGAGAAAGGCGGCCGCATAAATGCCTGCAGATGGACGGTGTTGCTGGCTAGCAAGATCGCTGCCAGCACAGCGTTCCCGAGTTTTCGAAGACGGTACACCGAGCAGGCTAAGGTAGTAAGTAGGTTATGCCGTTGTGGTTTCAAAGGGAATTAGGTCCGAGCTGAGGTATGTGATCAAGACATGTGATTTGATCTGGCTGCACGCCACCAACCTCAACCAAGCATCCGCTTTGCAATGGATTCAACCCTGGTTTGGCGCGGTAATCCGCACCGTTCAGCCATACCTAACCCTCCCAAGATGACCAAAACCCGAAAAGGAGTCGATGGAACCCAAGCAAGGTCCTGTTAATATTCGATTTCCCTGTGTTATTTTGTGATACGGAGTTCATGGACATGGCCAAAGCCAAGCTAACAAGCAGCCGGAACTGTGTGGCCTGGTTAATTCGCTCGTAGGTCTGTGTGTGGTTGCCGCCTTTCTGGTGTTAGCCCATTAACGGGGCGCCAGGGTGAAATTAGCTTACAATCCTCAACTGAGTGGCTGACAAATTGCCAAGCTTCGCCTAGTCACGTGTCATAGGCACGGTCTGTTTTTGTGCTTCCCCGCATTTCCTTCTCTCAGAAATCAGGCCGTCTTTCGGGCGGGGCGCGCTGCGCGCGGACGTGCGCCCATGACAGGGGCCCTGGCGGGCCCTTGTACCAAAATGGATTAGGATGGTGGATCACACTAAAAATTGGCTGTGGCGCCCCATGATTAAGCCACAATTGACAAAGAACGCCCAAGAAAGACGTCTGAGTGCAATATTTGATCCGAACCGTGACCCCCTTCTGGTAAACACTCAATTTTGATCTGAACTTCGTGAAAATCTTTATACACTTACTCTGCGCCGAGGGCATCCTCAGAACCTAACTTTCTTTCTCAAACAACGCACTTCCTAAACCCAGCTTTCCTACATCGTTTTCACCGCCCTGGTGGACCTCGACGAGCAAAAGAAGCGCATAAACAGCCATTTGTGGCATCACAGGCGCTCCAGAGGCTCGCGCTGGCCAGGTGCAGGCTGTGCAGCGTTTGGTTTACCAGCATGACGATACAGTCCTCGTTGCGGCAACAGGCTACGGCAAAAGCGCCGTTCTCTACACTGTTTCTGCCCTGACCGAGAAGATCACGATACAAATCGTTCCCTTGACGAAGCTAGGCGAGAATCAGCGTGACGATATCACCAGAAATGTCCCTAATTCGAAGCCGGTATGGATCGACGCCGACACGCATCTCAAGGTCTATTGCCCTGAGCCCCTGAGCCCCTGAATAACTTCTATTAACAATTAGCTAGAACCGGAACGTTTGGGACCAAGTTAAACAAGGTCAATATACTCATGTGCTTTAGAGCCCGGAACAAGCCCTTTCACCGAAGTTCAAAGCCGTCCTTCGTGATCCAGCATTTCACAAAAGAATCGGGCTTTTTGCGATAAATGAACTGCATGTTGTCGGCGAGTGGCGAGAATTCCGACCGGACTTCACATATATACACACTCTCAGAGCACTATTGCCACGGAGCGTGCCCTGGTTCGGTTGTACGGCGACCCTGGATAAAGACAACCAGTCGTATATTTTGGCCTTGAGAGGGCTGCTGCTCGGAATCTGACCCGGAAGACATATTCTACACATAAAATTAGTACCAATCGACAGCTTGAATTGAGGGGATTCCAAAAGTACTAACGGTGCAGTTTTTGACCGATTTGCGCGTAAAATATCATGCATTCCGTGAATGCCTTCAATTGATGTGGAGGGGGTCAGGATTCGGATCCAATATTGCACTCAGACCAGCTTGGTGGTGGTTCTTTTCTTTGTGTTCTTGTAGGTCCAATTCTTAAAAAGTGGGTGCCGCAGGCACCTGAGCCACACCAAGGTAGTCTAAGTTTCTAAGCATTTCCTGCGTTCCTGCGTCTTTCCACTTCTTGCTTCGTCAACGCACCCCGCTCTACGTCTTTAATTTCCCTTCCACTGCACGCCTTGGCAATGTCTGACCTAGAGCGTCAGCTACTACTGGCGCAGGCGCAGCTGTATCGAGAAAGAGGACAGAGGAGACTTGCAGAAGAACGAGCGGACCAAGAAAAAAAACGACCGGACCTAAGCAGAAGGACGAGCGGACCAAGCAGAAGGAAAGATGCGAGACGTAACCTTTCAGGACTACATACGCAATCTACAGACCATCATCGTCCCGGCCTTGATCGTCGAGGATGATACAACTAAACGGTCTAGCGGAAGCGCCACCGATGTCCACGGTAAGGTTTACCCCTGAACCGTACGCCGATGGGACGAGTTTCCTCTCCTCTGCGAAAAGCAGTTCGACGACATGGCCAAGACGTTTGGAGAGGAACTGCTATTCCCATCCTTGATCTCGGTGTAGGAGGCCAAGAAGAACCTCTCACCCAATTCGAGAAAAGACGAGAAGGACATCGTACCCTTCATCCGCGCCTACGCCGAACGACCTGCTATGGTGATAGTGAACAAATTTGCCGCGGCGCATGAGCTCCTCCAAGGCACCGAGCTTCAGTTCCGCAACAACGCATACGGCCTTCATCCCAAACTAGTTCAGGGCGACGGGAAGAGCCTGCCGCCACCCAATAAGAAGAGATCTCCGGACCGCTCAACTAGCCTAGCCCCCGGCCGATGGGCAGTCCGCATCGCCCAAAAAACCAACATCGAAACAACAGCTCTGGTGGGTGAGTACAAGGCTGCTCACAAGCTCCCAGGGGCGAGCTACCACCAGGTCCTCGGTAGCGGCCCTCTTCCCAAGACGTTCTTTGAAGATTGCGCTTGGCAGGTCGAAGCCGAACCGGAGGCCGGTCGGCTTAGTACCGAGAGCACCAAGGTGGCCAAGGTTCTATGCCGAGCCTACCATTACATGATTGTCACTGGTCTAGAGTATGGATACGCTGCGTCGGGGGAATGCATGGTCTTTCTCACTATCCCGTTTAACACCCCCGACGTCATGCTTATCCACCAAGTCCCCTACACCTCACCTGTCCCACCTCAATTTTTTGGGGTAAATGGTTTGGTTCTGTTCTGTTTGGGTCGTCTGTAAGGGAGCACGGGCTCCACAGAGTGCTGGGGTTTGGTAATTATGAAGATAGAACAAAGGGTAAGCTCCTATCGCACGGGTAATACAGTCAAATCGGAATGCGACTCAAAGTGTATGAGTGCAGTGAATGTGTATTGCTTGCTTGAAGAACCAAGCAACAACTATCTAAGACCGTGGTTACGGTCATCGTATATATCTAAGGCGGGCCAATCAGAGCGTTGCTCTGTTGCTCTCAGGACAGAGCAACAGAGCGTTCCGCTCTGTGCCCCGCAATACAGAGCAAAGGTGGGGCACTCCTGCTCTGTGTTGCCCAGGACAGAGCAACTGTGGGTCCAGCCCCGCAGTCCTCCTGCCTGCCAGTCATTGGCTATTCCGCCTCCCTAGCTGCAGCTCTCCCGGTACGAACCGGGGGTTCGTAACAGTGTTAAATAGACTGGCCTAGTTGGGCCGTGCACGCCTCAGAATTTTGCGCTACCCGCGCTAGCCAATTAAAATGCGCAAAGCCAAAAAGTGGGGTGGGACAGTTGAGGTGCAGGGGACTGGGACAGTTGACTTATGGTCTCGTAAATGGTTTGGTTCTGTTCTGTATGTTGTATATGTCTTTGCTAGAAAGGGAATGGTCTTGCGACTCTGGGTTTTGGGGTGGGCGCGAGGCCCGTGCGGCTCACGTGGCCCATCAAGCGGGCACGTAAGTAGGCACGTGGCTCACGTCACCTCCCTTCTTCTCCTGAAGTACTGGTCATGAATGCCGCTATTCCAACACTTTCTAATAGCCTTGTATTTGTTTCTACATCGCTGGCTCAAAGTCGAACCTGCCTGCATGCAAGTGGCATTTGATACCATACCCACATGTCCGAGAGAGTCTGGTTGCCCAGGTCTTTTTTGTAGTAATAGCTGACTGCCTGGCCGTATCCCGTATACCTTGCATTATTTTGCCTTGGGTGTTGTGATGAGTAAAACTTGAGATCACCCCCCTCCCCATCCTGCCCCTGTAATATCCGTTTGTTACCTCCTTTCCCCACACGCCTGTCGGTTGTTTGTTTATTTGTTTGTTGCCCCCCTGAAAACATTCGACCCCGTCTTCCCATCCCTTCCATTTGTGAGGCAGAGCCGCCCGGGTATATCTATCTCTCATATCGCGGCCAATACTAATACCTTTCCCCAATCCCGTCGTCCGGTGAGGGGTGCAGAAGACTTTATTTTGTTTTTGCTTGTTTTCCCCGTGCTTATTCTCCCTAGTCCTGATAGGCGGATGCTAAAAGTTTTGTGCTTGCGTGTGTGTTTGTTTTCGTGCATGGTGAGGTGGTGTGTACCGTGGAGTGTCCATTCTAGAACATCACGCTCAACGCCCAATGAAAAAGGGAAATGAAATAACAATGAAGAAAATGGGTAAAAGGTCCCCAAAGACAAATCAACAGTTGAGAAACCGTGGTGATGAAAGGGAACACTGTACTGGTATGCTCTCCTCCAGGTACTAGACAGCTCCAAGTGTTACGAGTGTAAAATAAATCCAAAACTGTAAAGAGAATCAGAGAATCCTTAATCGTACTGAAACAACACACTGATCGACTCGCCGTGGTGGACGCGGCGGATGGCCTCGGCAAAAAAGGGCGAAATATCAAGGACCTCAAGCTTGGGGCAGGCGAGGCGGCGGTCATGGTCCTGGGCGACCGTGTTGGTGACGACGAGGGTGTCGAGGTGGGAGGCGTTGATGCGGGCGATGGCGTCGCCGCTCAGGACGCCGTGGGTGAGGAGGGCAACGACGCGGACGGCGCCCTCGCGCTTGAGCAGCTTGGCGGCGCGCGTGATGGTGCTGGCCGTGTCGGCGAGATCGTCAACCAGGATGCACACGCGGTTCGCCACGTCACCGACTAGCATCATGGTAGCCTTGGGGCGGTCCGTCATCTTGGTAGGCCGGCGCTCCTTGTGTATCAGGGCAAAGGCCATGCCTAGGCTGTCGGCGATCGCCGTAGCGCGCTTGGCGCCGCCGGCGTCGGGGCTCACGATGACGGCGTCGCGGAAGCCGTGGTTATCCAGGTTCTGCTGGATGTAGCGCTTCAGCAGCGGCCGGGCGTAAAGGTTGTCGACGGGGATGTCGAAGAAGCCCTGGTAGGTTCCCTCGTGCAGGTCGCAGGTGAGGATCCGGTCGGCGCCGGCACAGGTCAAGAGGTCGGCGACGAGGGACCCTGCCTGTGCGACCCAATGCTTGTAACCGGAGCTGTTGGCCTGGACCGCCATGACGAGGGTGGGGTTTTCGTAGTCGTGGGTCGTGTAGTGGTGGTGTGACTGTTGCTGTTGTTGGGGGTGAGACTGAGACTGGGGAGGAGGGGTCTGAGCACCCTTGGGCAGGGCCTTAGTGGCGATTGCGTCGGTGAGGTCGACGTTGTTGGTCAGGCCGGCGGTCCGAGGGATGCTCGGGGCCGGGGTGGCGGGCACGCTCTCAAAGGTATCTCGGGGAGCGCCCGTCTTGGTGTAGGGCAGGTCGGGCTGGCGCGAGTAGGGGAACATGGGCAGGACGGCCGTGACGCGGCGGGCCGAGCCCGTCTTGCAGGCCGATATCATGATGCACAGCTCGATGAAGTAGTCGTTAACGTGTTCCTGACCGGCGCCGACGCCAAACGACTGGATGATGAAGACATCCTTGCCGCGCACCGAGTCCTGGATCTCGCACCGCGTCTCGCCCGACGAGAACTTGTTAAGCACGCGCTGCGAGGGCGCTACCCCGAGGAACTCGCACACGCTATCGACGAACTTGGGGTGCGAGTTGCCGCCGAGCACGACGATATTGCGCACCATGATTCGTCGATTCTCTCCTTCCCCTTCCTTCTCTTGCACTGGAGAGACAAGGACAGGACGCAGACAAGATGTGCGGGGGCGACAAAAGAAGGCAAAGGGGCAAAAATCAATTGAGCCACTCAACCAATATGGTCTAGACGACTTTCAAAATGGTTTTGGAAATTGGTGTTTAGAGTCTTTCTCTTTCTTTGCTGGCTATCTTTTGTACTGAGGGCTGTGACACCATCACCAGGTGTCGGGCAGCTATTAGCCGGCGGGGGGGCTGTCAAAAGTCCCGCTCGTCGTGGTATTGTTAAAGGGAAGGCAAATACAACTTGCAACGTTGGTCTATGGCCATTAATACGACGGACGATGCATGGTTCGAGCTGAGGTTGCACTTGCCAGAGTTGTTGCAGTTGTGCCGCATTGTTCCTGCCTGCCCCTCGGCTTACTCAGCTGAGATGGATGGCCCGCCCCCCGGCACGGCAGGAACAAGGCAGGGGCGCCCTTGGCCGTGGTGGTTCGATTGATCGCGGCGATCGCTGCCATCCCTCCTGTGGCTTGTCGGTTGAAGCTGTAGCGCTCCCTTAGCCACAGACTAGGGGGGGACGGCGGTATCCTCAGCATCTAACAAGCAACTCGCCTTCCATCTGTGACTTTTGATACTTGTACGTACTCAATTGACTCCTCTACCGTCAGTTAGGTCAAGGCAATGGCAAAGACGCCAGGCCCCTTCCCCAGCTCGGCTGCCAACTACCGTAGGTAGCCAGGCACGCATCCAGTTGGGCTTCAAGTTCTTCTCGCCAGCGCCAATATTGAAATTCTTGCATGTGTCTGGTCCATGGGCCTATCAAGGCTCTCGTGCAGCATCCTGTACGACTCGAACCCCGCCGGAGCTGCGAGAAAGAGCTTCTTCGACTGAGGCTGCTACTTGACCTGGCCGGGCGTAGACGACGTCACGACAGTGTGGTGGTCCAGAGTGTGTACATACATAAAAGAAAGAGCCTTATGCTGTCAGGTCAATCCTTTCCATTGCTTTTATCCCCGATTCCCGAAGCAGCACCGCCTGTCCGCCCATCTCTCTTCATCCGCCTGCTTCACACCACCGCCGCCATGTGCGCGAAACATGTGTCCGTTGCGATCCACAGCTGCGGCAAACGTGTAGAGAAGGACTACAAATTTGATGCTTGCGGAGACATGTCAGCGCCGAGTCATACGGTGACAGAGAATGAGCTTGCCTCGACCAAGGTGAAGGGCGCCTGTGGCCGCTATGACTGCCTGGCCTGGAACTCCAGCGGGGCCTCGACTACCACGCTCTGATGGTGAGGATACCTATTTTCTTCATTCGCCGAAGTCATCTTAGGCTATTTACAGCCCGCCTGCCTGCCCGACCGCCCTTGATCAGGGTCCGTTCTAATCAATTCTTGGTGATAGAGGTTGCCCCGAATAGTGCCGATTCTACATGCGAGGGAACTTGTGGTAGGGATTTGCATCTATTCAATGGGTACCTACGGATAACTTACGTAGCCTTCTTTGGCAGGCTTTCGAATGCGACTGGTGGTTGGACACACGTGATTCTGCTTTTCTTGGACGGGATGAGATTCTCTATTGGCCGGGGTAGTTTGGAGTCGAGTGGCAGTCGAGCGTCCTGCTGGACGTGTTCGGCATGGCGTCGATATTCTACGCTATCCTCACGGGCCGGTGGCCGTACAAGCCGACGCCGGGCCGCTTCCAGAAAGTTGACGACCGCCTGGAGTGAGAGGACAAGGTTGTCTACCCCAACTTCAAACTGGAAAAGTTCCCCGACGATGTCACGGATTTGCCGGCCGGAGACGTGACTCTGGCATGCTGGAAGAGGGAGTTTGCGACGGCCAAAGACGCGCTGGCGGCTCTGGACAGATCTCTCGAGGGTGTCGAGGTCCGGGGCGACAAGTGTGCCGAGCCAAGAGCCGTCACGGAGGAAGAGGGTGGACGAGATGAATCAATGGCAACCTAACGTAGTGGGTGGTATCGGTACCTAGGGAATCGAGCTAGAGCCGTTTTGTTGTCATGGTGCCCGGGTGACGGTCTCTGCCTTGATATCATGGAATGTCGGCGGCATGGGGGACTCGACGAGCTCGGGGCACCCACCCTATCACTAGTGCCACCCTTCAACCCTGGCCCAAGTCTACTTATACACACAATAGGGGACTGAGGGCATCTCCGGGCCTGTCTGTCAACAAAGCCAGGTAACTATGCCGTTTAGCAGACTCAACACTACAAATACCTAACATCACCACTCTGTTCAATTAGCTTCACCTGCATGCATGCACCTCACTGTCCAAGAGCCATCTCAACACGTTAACTTACACCAAATTCGGCCACTTTTTCCGGGCCGGGAGCAGTATGCCAAATTAACAAGTCAACAGGGTAACTAAATACTTAGTAAGTAATCAGCCCTGAATTCGAACATAATTCGAAGAAAGCCCGGGAAACGCGTTTTCTAGCCTCATTAGCATTCGATTGATTTCCGCCGGCTACCCGTCTACATAGGCAAGTTACCTATGGGAGGTAGCTGCATCGAGAAGGACCGATAGGTTTTACCGCTAAAATTGGCTCCCACCATGACAGCTGCAATGGTAGATTAGTAGGTGCATGTACGCAGTGTTTTTTATCAGGGTAGGTGCCCCAATGAATTTCCTTGATTATATATATATATACCTAGGTATCCATCGCTGGCATCGAGGGACGTCCCAGAAGTAAGGTAGAGCTAATTAGATTAAAGCCGCTAGCTGCTTACCTTCGTTAATGATTCAATCTTCTACATATAGAGGTCAAGAAGACAACTAAGAAGGCTGAGGCAAAAAGAAGAGAAAGGATTACCTTCCCTAGTGCCAGGTCCAGGATGCCACGTTCCAGAATTGGTTAAGCCTCACACACCAGCTGCCTGGCCAACAAGCAAATCTTTTACCGTATAAGGATATAAAGGTCTTGTCCGATACCTGGCAAGCCGTCTAAACCGTAGGAGTTCAAAACTTGGCTATTATGAAGGGTGACTCTTTTCTTTTTGCCCCAGCCTTCGTATCTTTATGACTATGATGGGGGTAAAGACGGCATCTAGTAAACGAACAAGCACCGTAAGAGTTAAAATCCTAGGTAAGGTACTGTGAGCCCGAGCCCCTGTGTTTACATACTTGCACGAAATACCTTGTAACAACTGAAGATACCAATTACCAGACCTCAACCCGTCCGTCTAAAGCGTGTTGTTTTTGAGAACTTCCCATCTACAAACGGTATAAAGTATACTTTAGTGCTTTATTTTGTGTTTATTTTGCATTCATTTATTTTCTGACTACACAAGCGTAAGGGGTATTGTATCATAGGCTGTTGACTGTGGGTCTAACTCTCTATCGCTTTTCCCCCTCCCTCCCTCCTTCATGCCCTTGCGCCCGTAAAATGAAGAAAGATAGAATGATAAGCCCACAAAGATGTCAACGAATAAGCGGCAGTCAAGATAGCCTCCGCAAAATTACAAGGCTGCACCGGCGCACCTCCTCCCCTCGACAAATCCTCTACTCCAAGTCTAGTTTGTCTTCATATATTGCCTCGTCGTCCCCATTATTTTTACGCACCCTCATTGCTCTGCCTCGTCCTCCAGAGCCTTTCTCCTGCCTGTTGGCAGCGCCTTTCTGGGCTTGGGGCGCTCGAGACCTTCCTTCTGCGCCTCGAGCGCGATCCACCACCACTCCATGCAGGCTAGGGCTGTGCTGCCGTGCAGCTGCGACTGGAGCAGCCCGAGCTTCTCGCCCCAGTCAAGGATCAGCTCCGCCTCGAAGAGCATCGTGGTGGGCTTGAGTGTCTTGACCAGCTCTTCGGCACGCATAGAGCCGCGCGCCGCCAGCGTCACAAGCGCCGCGCTCAGGTACTTGAGCCACCGGTTGGTGTCAACCTTGCCGAAAACGTCGCACCACGCCGGGATCGCGCCCCCGGGCCCAGCCGTCGGTGGTGCCGTGTTCCTAATGCGGTCGCGCATCTGGACGAACTCGGGGTCATTGTTGTAGAGGTACGTGTCCGTCGGCACAATGTCGATGCGGAAGTGCAGGTACTTCTTGGTGTACTTGCGTGTTTCGTAGTTTAGCGGTTCGTGGCCTAGCGGCACGTTGGGCTGGCCTGTCGTCTTGACGCGGATGCGTCCGCACGCCTGCATGTTTAGCAGCGCCATGATCATGCCGTCGTTGGTGACGTACGTGACGCGCTTCGTCTCGCCCGCTCGGAAGGCCTTGTCCAGCTCGTTCTTGAAGGCGACCGCTTTGCCCACCTTATCCACGTGCGAGATCTTCTCGAGCGTCTCCAACACGCGGTGGTTGAAGCGCCACCGACGTCCGTTGGACCACTTTGACGTCGACTTGGAAATGATGCCGTCATGCTGGAGCTGGTCGACCCCCTTGAGAATCAGATCGGTAATCTCCGTCTTGCTCAGCCCAGGGTACAGCGTGTTGCGCTTGTGGATGATGCCTTCGGTAGTATATGTGTCCACGGGCGTCACGCACAGGGCGCGTGTCCAGGACATGGCGACAGTCAAGTTGGTATCCAGCGCCGGCTTGGTATTGCCATCCACCGGGTATGCGAGCGCTTCCGAAGTCGCATCCTGGAACTTGTTAAAGACGGAACGCTGCATGTGGTAGTAGGCTTCACGCCACTCGCGGTTTGTGTACTTGCAGCTGGAAACGTCAAACTGCCTCTCGAGCGCTTTTCTCGACGCTGGCAGACTTGTGCGCTCCACCTCGTGAAGGTTGATTGTCCACCTTATCAGCCGCTTCCAGTCGTATGCCAGAGGGTTGTCGAAATCGAGCGGCGGAATCTCATTGTCCGAGTATGCCTTGAGAAATGCCTTGCGGAACTTGTCTGTCAGGTTGACAATTGTCGACTGGCGATCCTTCCGCAAAATACCCCAAAGATGACGAAGCTGGCTGAGCGTCAAGTCGGGGAACAACCTCATCATCAAGCCCCAGTCAACGACTCGGTCTACACCACCAAGCAACGTAGTGACGACAACAAATGCGGCAAGTCGCGTGTTCTCGCTCGTCCAGTCGATATCGTCCTTCTCCTTTTCTGGGTCGCGCAGGAAATCGTCAGCCGATTTCGGGTAAGCCGAGAGCTCGCGACCCGTTTTGATAGCCTGGAGCTTGAACTTTTGCGGCCTGCCCATCTTCCGTTGCCCGGGAATACGGTGTTTCTTTGCCGGACGCGGGTTGGCGTCGCCAATCACCTCAGCGCAGTATCCGATGCCACAAAGATCGTCATCTTCATCGAGGTCATCGTACGGAAGCGTGTCCAGGCCAAACTCCCTCTCGTCAGACCATTTGCCTATGATAGGCTTCATACTCGCCTTTGACTCAGATGAAGAAAAGTTGATGAACATGTAATCCGGAGCAATAGAGCCCCCAGAAAGTATTGCGGCGCCGGTTTCTGATTGCTCCCATGTTGCACAGCGGTGAACAAGAGCATAATAGGAGCCCCATTCATGGTCAACCCAGGAACTCGGGTTGAAGTGGCTTTGCTTGCTTCTCGAGGCCATATCTTCCGCGCTGGTAGGCAGGTTCTGGAGAAGCTGAAGGTGGCGGTCAGGCATCCAACCCTCCATGGTGAAGCTTGCTTCCTCAACACCACGAAAGTAGCCGGTTCCGAGCTTCGACCAGGACCCGCCTTGAGAGGCTTTTATAACAATAGGCGGGACAAATACAAACTTTGCATCTCCGTTCTCGGGTTCGCGCTGAGGCTCTTGCTCAGAGACAGGCGTAGAGGCAGGCAGAGGTGCCACTTCAAGATTGGGCGAAGTGATAGGTGTCTTTATTGCAGGCTCGTCGCCGTGCAGCCTAGAAATTTGGCTTGTATCAAACGCTGGTACATTTGAGTCGACATCAGGCTCTTGGGTTGTAGCGAATTCGGTAGAATCCACACTCGATGAACTGGAGCCCGGCCTGCTGCCGTACTCATCGCCCTCGCCAAAGAATCGTTCGTCTTCTACAGACATCTCGGCATCCTCGAGCTGCGTGTTGGGTTCTAGAAACTGGATTTGCGGCTGAGCTGCTGACACGGGTTCTTTGCTAATAGAAAAGCGGCCAAAAAAGGACGGCAAGCTGTCCAGCCCGGGGTTCCTGAGCCTGCCCAACCGAGCAGGCAATTTGCCAAACCTTCCTGTTGTCGGCTTTGGACCTCCACGCTTGCCTGGCCTCGATGGCAAAAGACCGTAAGTCTTGATGGCGTCGATCACCGATGGCGGCTCTTTGCCACTGAAAATGTCATCCCTGCCATATGTTTGTCTAGCATATTCCAGTTTGCGACGTGCATCAGGAGATGTATGCTTCCGGGATCTAGGTGAAAGGATTGATCTCTCTCTCTGCAATTCCTCGGAAATTTGGTTATATGCCTGCGTTTCCAACTCGGGATCAATAGGCAAGGCATCAAGTCCATCCGTCTTCTGCCTCTTTGACACAGGACTCTCTTCAAGTTCATCTAGGATCGACTGCTTTCGTTTGTCTGGTCCCTCTTTTTGCGGCTGCTCCGACTCTCGAATCCATAGAGGATCCATGGGTTGGATCGCATTATTGGTGTTGTTATTGTTGGACGCGTTCTGAGTGTAATAAGGGGCATTGAAAACCTCGATCTCGTCGATTTTGCGCCTGCTGCGGAACTTCTGGCCGTTGGCGTTCGGCTTGTCTTCCTTTTCTTCCTTTTGTACGCTTGCCGGCTTCTTGTCCAGGTCCTGCAATAGCGCGAGCTCTTCCTGGGTTGGGGAGAAGGCGGCCGGGATATAGACGTTCGGCCACATGTCCCGCATTTTCCTCTTCATCATGGTCGGGATCGAGCTAGTTGGGTCAACTCCTGTCCTCATGAGCAAGGAGCAAGTAAGAAGCCTACCCCTTTCCGTCCTCAGCATGTGGGTGTGCACCGTAGCCTCTTTACGGGCCTCTAAGGCTTTAACCGCGCTGAAGTAGCTCTTCCAGGTTGGGGGAACCTGGTTTCTAAACTCCTTCAGGAACACCTTTGTCACGGCGTAGAAAAGGGCCTTGTCCCCAGGAAACACGCCAGAGCTGTTGTCCAGTAGGTAATTGATGATGTCGTAGGCCTGGGCAATGCGGCGCTTGCTTTCGGTTGACATGCGCTCGTAATCTGTCGTGGGCTCGAATGGCTTGGTGGTCGCTTGCTCCTCTGCCACAGGTAGTACTGCTGCGGGATTCTCGTCCTTTTCATGCCGCTTGTCCTTCTTTTTGGACAGTTTCGAGGATTTAGCGTTGCCTCGCTTGCCAGTTTCGGGTTGGCCCGTTTGGAGGACCCTCTCCGGGTATGGCGATGCTTCGACTCCTAGTAGCGGCTGAATATCATCAACGACAGGTGGGAGAGGCGTCCTCTGAGCTTCAGGAGCATTGTTATTAGGGGGTTCCGAATTGTCATTGGCATGTGGAAGTGCCGTCTTGTCGGGCCCCGACGATGATAATTGCACAGCAGGCCGTCCGCTGGCAAATGTAGACTGCGCGACAGGGCTGCCTGTCTCTAGCGAGTGTTGAGCACGTGTTGCCAAAGGCTCACTGTAGGGCGCCTGGGACGTGTCAACTTCCATGGGCTTGGAAGATCCTGGCACAAGGCTGAGGCCGGAAGATCTGGCCTCACCACTGCCGAGCGAAGCTGGGGGGTCTTTGTTGACGCTAGATGCTGGCTGTGAGACGAGGCTATCTGAGGATTGTCTCGCGATATCTGGCTTTCGGAGGCTTAGGCTGTAAGACCCAGCACCAAGACTCTCCCAAAGCTTGTCGCCGATACCTCGAAATGCGCCGGAGTCTACATCTGGTTTTGGTCGCATTGCTTGTCGGACTTGGAGGTGCGAGCGGCGCGGCCGCTCTCCCCGTTTCGTCATCCTCGAGCGCCGCAGGCGGCTCAATGGCATCCCATCTTCATCGCCCAAGCCCGTAGTGGAAGTAGGCGGAAAAGGCGACAGTCTTCGGCGTTTCAAAGCTCGCTCGGCTACAGATTCGGGGGTGAAGTCCGGGTTGCACGGAGTCTGAGCCTTGGTCTGATGATACTTGAGCCCGATATCATTTTTCCAGGCGCCGCCGCAGGTGTCGCACTTGAAAGACTTGAAAGCCCTGACTGTGACTGAAGATAACCGACCGCCACGGCGTCCACCACGACCCCGGCGTCCACGACCATGACCCCGACCACGAGATGGCGACTCTAGCGGGGCCCCCTCTCGTGGATTTTCTTGGCCTTGAGGACTCGATGGTAATGGTTCAACGTCGGGCTTAACAGAGTGTACAACAGTAGGCTTAGCCGACGCCGCCTGGCTTGTTGCCGTATTAGGCCCTAGCTTGATGACTTCCCTTCGAATCCAAGCCGCCGTTCTCTGGATCTCTTCGCCGTCGGCAAAGACGAAAACGTAGTTCTCGGGTGAGATTCCATCCTCAGCTTCTTTCATGACAAAAGTCAAGGTCTTGCCATTGCTTTCTGTAGCATCTTGTATGGAGGGACTCTCGGATATCTTATCGATGTGGATGGGAATAGGCTGCTTGGCCGCCCTCCCACGGCGCCGAAAGAAGTTGACAACGCGGTCTGTATGACTGAGCTCTAGCCTCCCGACGAGTCCATTGTAGCTGGCCGGCAAGATGGTCTCTGCAGGGGGATCTTCTTCAATGTCCATACTATCAGCTACTGTGTTGGGCACTGTAGGTGTCTGGTCGTGGCTTGATGTTGGCTCGTCAGGTAATTTCTCCTGGTTTCGTTTTTTCAGCGCCTCTAATCTAATTTTCACGACCAGTGACCGTCTCGGCTTGCCACGCTTTCTAGGCAAGGGGTTCAATGAGCCAGGAACGCCAAAGTAGACTTCGGGAACCAATCTAAGGTCAGCATCTTCTGTATTTTCCGTATCTTGGCTCCTATCAGGCGGAGCATCGACGACAATGGTACCGGGCTGCTGTAGGCCAACAGGTTCAACCTCTGGACAGGCAGTCTTAGCGGGGTCATGACCTCCAGTAGGGCTTTCATGAGACGGGACATCGACGACAATGCTATCAAGCTGCTGGAGTTGAGCAGGTCCAGCCTCTTCAGCAGCCTGGTCTTCCTCGTCCATCTCGTCAAAAGACCGCTTTGGAGGTCGAACAGGGCCGGCCTCTGGGAGCTCGATGTCCTCTTTGGTGGTCTTTGCCGTATTTGAGCCCGGAAGGTCTTCGGGAATGGTATATTGTGCTGGAACCTCGGAAGCATCGACTTCGGGGGCCTTTTCTACCTGGCTGGAGAACGCCTTCTTCCGTCTCCCGAAGCGGTGAGGCTTCCTAGCCAAACGGCAAAGGTCTGCAAGAGAGGCGTTTTTTGAGCTGGGGAATACCTTGGGCCGAATATTGCCAAATCCATATGCATCTGCAACAGTCGCCTTTGGCGGTTCTTCATTTGAGACAGGGGCCTCGTCCAGCCTGTCCTTATCCCCTGCCCCTTCAGCCTGGGAGGCGGCATCATGGTCAGGCGCGGTTTCGGCTTGGGGAACCGAGAACATGTATGCAGAGGTCTTCCCCTTGCGGACTAGATTGCTAACAACCTGGAACTTCTTCAGATGCGGCGGCTGCTGGGTTTCGGCAACCTTTGTGAGGTGGCTCGCCATATACCGACGGAAGCCATATCCGATGGTGGCGACGCTAACTTGGGGATTGGACGCTCCGTCGAGCCCAGAGCTTTGAAGAACCTCGAAGACATTTTGGGCAAGTGGTTGCTCGGGCGTCCAGCCTGGGCAAATCCGTCTCTGCCTTTGCTTGCGCTGGCCCTTCTTCTCTTTGTCCTGCTCTGACTTGCCATACAGCACCAGGGCGTTGGGCTTCGGTTCGCGGTGGCGAGTCGCGTCAGAGTACTGTGACGTCTTCTTGCCCGTTGCTAGAAACCTGTCCCATTCCTCGTCGCGGAAGTCTCGCATGAATTTGAGACAGTCCTTGAAGACCTTTCGCGTGCCCGAGCCCGGGAAAGACGCAGCCGTGTACTTCAGCACGCCCATGTCGACGACGCGCTGCACGTTCTTCGCCAAGGTCTTCATCTGCCAGACTTTGCCTGGGACTCCCATCTTGGCCCGCAGGTCGCAGTATTTGATTATGCCCCAGGCCTTGACAATGGCCACAAAGGTCCTTCCCAGCGCCTCGATATCAATGTTGTTGCCGGTCCATTTCTCGTGCCAGGCGACAGGTTCCAAGTCCTTGGTCAGCGTCTCCGGCGACAGGTCGAGGCCGCCGCTGTCCTTTTCCAGAATGGGGGGCGCAAAGTCAATCAGCCAGAGCTTGCTTGTCTTCATTTTCTGGACGACGATGGTCCTCTTGACGATGTAGCCCTTTTTAGCCAGGGAGTCGGTTCGCTTAGGGAGGGAGCGCTTGTCTTGGTCGACTAGGCGCCGGAGGTCGCTCTGGAGGATGCCCTCGGCCCTGGCCGAGGCGATGCCCAGCAGGCATTTCCATTCGAGGACGGGCACGCGCTTATAGTCGACGCCGTGGCGAGTTAAGGTCTGCCAGACAAGATCCTCCGCGGGATGGATCCGTGGCCGCACAGAGAGGGTGGCCTTCTTGGGTTTTGGGGTTTTGCCTTTTTGCCGCGTGCCTCTAGCTGCAACAACGGCCGACGACGGCTGCGGAGTGTCGCCCGTCTCGGCTTTGGTTTGCGCGTTTGGCGCTTGTTTTTCGGCCGTCTCTGCTTCGGGGAGGGCCAGAACCTCGTCCAAGTCGAGCCGATTCCATTTCTTGTTGCCGTTGACCAGGATCTGCGGGCGGGATCGCAACCAGTCCCAGGCCCAGCGCGCAGACCTCATCTCAGCGTCGGACAGGATAATCTCCACGCTGGCCGCATTTTGGCCGGCTCCCTGCGGCCCTCCTAGGGCATCGCCTTCGAGGAGCGCATTTCCATTTCCTCCTCCCCCGATGCTTGCGTGATACTGCCGAACAATTTTCAGCAGCGACGAGACCGGCACGCCTTTATCAAGCTCAGTTAGCTTCGCGATCTTCAATGCAGGTCATTCTCATTTTCTCATTTCTCATTTCTCTGACGCCGAGAAGTCACGCGAAAAGAGGCCCCGACTTGGCTCACCATTTTCGCCCGAATAGGCGATTTCAGGAATGAGGTCCTCGATCAAGTCCTCGAGACCGACTCCGCTCATTGTGATGCCGCGATACGTCTCATCATTGGGTGAGAAAAAAATTGGCGATGGTTGTAGGTCGATACCAGAATTGAACGCAGGTGCTCGTGGTTTCTTAGATGTTCCTTGAAAATGTGAGATCACAAAGCGTCGCTGTGGCGCATGTTTCGGTGGCCGTTTTCGCTGTTTTTTTCTACGTGGAGGGGCAAGCTGAAGGTGGGGTAGGCGCCCTGTTTGAGTCTGCCACCGAAAAAGCTTTGCCCGTGCCGTGCCGTGCCTGCCTGAACAGCGAGGTTGTAATTTAATGAGTCCACTGTGATTAGAAGCCCGAACTCTCTCGTCGGATGGAGATTTCGGTTTCCTCGAAGCATCATACCTAACTTGCCTTGGGACCATATCTATTTTCGACTTTTTTTGACGCCGAGACTGCCATGGTCTCTAGGCGCAACACAAAACTGAGGTAATGTAGGTGTACCTACAATCTGAAATTCTAAATAGAAAATGAGATATATGATAAACACAAACATGGAGTAGTAGCAAACCAGGACATATTTCGAAAAGATCCATCGACATCGAGGCATGATATCTAATGTATATGCATAGTAGAGGGATCTCTAAACCTAAGTCTCATCTGTTTCTTCGTTGGAGCCCGGGACTGCCGGCCTCCTTTCGCTCATTGCCTTGCGATATGAAGCCACGACTTGATCGCGGATGGTCTGTAGCTCCTCGCGCTGCCGGAGACTGCCAGCAGACTTTGGAATGTTCTCGACGTCGACCTTGGCGCCGCGGACAAGCAGCTTTGCCTGCACTGGCCTCAAGTCGGGCGGAGGCGCAACATCGTGAATGCCGACTTTGGCTTCTCCCCTCTTCTTCACAATCTCCAGCCATGGGTCTTCTTCCTTGCTGGTCGATTCGCCAATCACCTTGCCCTTTTTACCCTTCTTCTTCTTCCCCTGGGCTTCCTGGTCCAGCCTCCAGGTGACGCCCAGATTGCCCTCCTCCAGCTCACGCTCCTCGGCCTCCTCGGCCTCCTCCTCCTTCTGCTCCTTGATCTTCCTGTCCTCTTCCCTCCACTCGTCGTACATCTTGTGCATCTTCCTCTCCTTCTTTGTGCGCTTGATCTTTAGGCCCAGCGGGTCTTTGCCAACCTTAATCGTCTTGACTAGTCCGCTGAGGGGGAGGGCTGCGTCCACGCGCTGGTTGAACTCAGAGAGGCGCTCTCCTGGTCTGATTGTCAAGTCTTCGGTTGTTGAGGATACCGTTGACGCGGGGGCTGCCGGAGCCTTTGCCCCCTTTCCTTTTACCTTTTTACCCTTCTGATCGCCATTGTCGAGGCCGGACCTAGTCTTCTGGCCGCCGGCAAATGCCATCAGACGCTTGAACGCGCGCGGCACATCGTCGGCAGCCGCATCGGCGCGTTTCCTCTTCAGATAGCTCTTGGGCGGGGCATCGCTGCTGCTTCCCTGTGCGTTCTTCTTGCCGTGCTGCCCATTTTTCTTGGGCAGCGACGCGTTCTTCTTGGATATGGAAGTGACTGGGAGCGGTCTGGCAACTTGCGACGGCGGAAGGTCAAAACTGCGGCATCGTCAGATCGAAGAAGAGACGTGTCGACGGAATAAAGAATCGTGTACTTACGTTGACTGGTCCTTTTCCCGGCGGGTATGTTTGTGAGGCATTGCAATGACCTTGTTCTCGGGTTCAAGACGAGACTATGGGAGCTATAAGGTACCGGTAGGAGGTACCTAGGGGATGAGGGTGGTATGTCTGCTGTGCCAGTTCCACGTTGCAGATGCAAAGCAAAGAAATAAAATCCACCACACTCCGGATAGAGCCCGATAAGATAAGATGCGGGGCGTCAATGTCAAGTAGTTTGGCGGCTTAGCCAGAGCTCAGATCGCCTTTTCTCCACAATAAATTACATTAAGGTTTCTAGTACGTACCGACGTAATACGGAAAACGCCGTACATGTACACTATGACGGGTCTTCAGCGCCAACCCCGAGATGAAACGACAATTCTCGCACTTATTAAACGCCGTGCCCAGTACTCATTGTCAGAAGGCACAGGGACCCATTTTCGGCTCCTTCAGTTGGTCATGTCCATCCCGAGGCGTTTGAGCTTATATACGTATAAACGGCCGGATGCGGAACCCAAAAATGCTTTTAAAGGTGACCATGCAGTTTCTTGCAAAGTATCCCGCCGTACGGATAAATCGCAGCCAATGGAACATCAGTCACCACCGCTTATAAGGGCTTCGGAGCCGGATGTTCAAGGTGTGGGTCACGAGATGGATTCCCACGTCCACGATGAGGTCACAGATGGAGCGACACTTATTGGAAGTCGGGGTCCTCGAGCTAGGGTTGGCAGTTGCCGAGTTTCTCCATCGACTCGCGCAACGACAATAACAGCAACTACCGGTACAATAACAACGAACGCCCGCAATACGCATCATCCCCAGGCCGGGCGAGGTGGATTTGTCGCTGCCATCCGCACTGCTATGGCTTCCTGGATCGATCCAGAAACGACGACCCGGACACAGCGCCAAGGCTACGTGCCTGTGCCCTCGAGCCCTTTAGACGAAGGAGTTGCACATGACACGTCAATTGAGTACGATGCCGACCTGACTGCAAACACCATCTCAAATGCGCGTGGTGATGTTGCTCGGACGAAGCCCCGGAGACATGGCGGGTGGCGCCCGTGTCTCGTCGCCTGCGGGCTAGCCCTGCCGTAGGATACAAAGGCCACACCCCAAAAAAAGATTGTTGGCCTCAAGTCAACAGAATAGTACCCGCCTGCTGACCGTGCTGGATCCGTTTCTAGGGCCCTCTTGCTGCTGCTGAATTTCGCCCCGCAGGTGGTCCTGCACCATGTTTGCCGTCTGCGTCGCGCCTGCGGCTCCCCGGACGACCCTCTCGGGAACTGGGGCCAGCCGGGCACGGGCACCGAAGGCCTCGCCTGGTATCCCACCGACTTTCTGCGGGACGTCACTCCGGTGCCCTGCCATTCCCACAACGACTACTGGCGCAGGGTCCCCGTCTTCTCGGCTCTCCATGCTGGCTGCACCAGCGTCGAGGCCGACGTCTGGTTGCGCGATGGCGACCAGCTTTGGGTAGGACACGACATCGCAGCCCTGCAGCCAAACCGGACCTTCACCTCCCTCTACGTCAACCCTCTGGTTGAGATTTTGACGAAGCAGAACCCGTCGACCGAGTTCTACAATGCCTCTCGCTGCGGCGTCTTTGACACGGACCCTGGCCAGACTTTGACCCTCCTCGTCGATCTGAAGACGGACGGCCCAGAGACGTGGCCGTGGGTCATGAAGCAGCTCGCCCCTCTACGCGAGCGAGGCTGGCTGACCTTTATTGAAGATGGCGAGATCCACCTCCGCCAGGTCACCGTGGTAGGGACCGGCAACACGCCGTTTGACCAGGTCGTGGCCAACGCTACCTACCGAGACGCCTTCTTCGATGCCCCCCTGGAGCGGCTTGAAAATTCGCCTTACAACTCTACAAACTCGTGGTATGCCAGCGTCTCGTTCTGGCGAAACATCGGAAATGTCTGGTGGACCAATGGGCCGACGGGCGCGCAGCTCGATAAGATCCGGAGACAGGTGCAGGAAGCCCACAAAAGGGGGCTTCTTGCGCGGTACTGGGACACCCCCCCATGGCCAATCCACATCAGGAACCGCATTTGGGAGGTTCTTATCGAGGAAGGCGTCGGCATTCTCAATGTCGATGATCTAGAGTCAGCAACGAAGCGAGACTGGACCAAGCAAAGGTCCTTCTTCAAGTGGCTGGGATTCTGAGCTTCAAACCATCTAGACATGAACTAGAGAATGAAACATAGAGTCAATTTCAGGATAAATGACATCCTGGTACGACGTTGGGTGCTTTGTCAGTGACTTACTTCACGGTTGCTTCAGAGGCCCTGAGACGTCAATGATAGTGCACCTGCGAGCTGCTTACTCGGCCTCCGTCTGCGTTGCTTCGAGGACCATTGAAAACCGGGAACGAAGCCTGAAAACCCACGCTTGGATACCGCGTTTTCCTCACAGGAATGGCATACAGTAATCCGCAGAAGAGTTGTTTACTAAACAGTAGCAGCACATACAGGTGGCCAAGGGATCTCCGTCTGGTTTTTTCTCTCTTGCTATTCAGTGACAATCAAGATAAGAGAAGCACTTGTTTGCTCGTTCATTTCCGCGGCTCTTATGTGTGAATGCTGCACTGGGCCACCCCGCGTCAAGCTTCCCGAGTCTCCGGTTTTTCTCCTTGAGCGGGGACTGCGTGCATTAACCAGGGCGGCATTCACCCGCCCCAGGACGCGGGGTTCTCACCTAGCTAGTGGTACATCCTCCGCCCCTCTCTTACCACGATCATGACGACCTGCTGATGATGGACTAAGTCAATGCATTGGGATATGTGCTAACTTGTTCTGTGTACACGTCTACTTATATAAAGTGGCCGGCCGTCAGGAGAACTCGTCTCTTGCCCGTCTTCTCTTCCATTGATCCAGCCAAACAGCACAAACACAAACACAAACACAAACACACAGATACAACACACTCTCACACACACATAATCTCTCTCACACACATAATCTCTCTCACACACACATAATCTCTCTCACACACACATAATCTCTCACACACACATAATCTCTCTCACACACTGACACACGTACACACACACCTACCCCCACATACAGATACACATACAAGCAGACAAGTAAACACCACCACCTACAATCTAGCAAGTATGTCTGGACAACAGAGACTCGCTACCCTCGACGTAAGCACCAACCCTCCCGTCAAATAAAAAAAAAAGGGGGGGGGGGGGGGGGGGGGGGGGGGGGGGCAAAGCAGCTTGCAGGCGAACTACTTAACAGTAACCTAACTAACAAATGCTGCAGAGCTCAATCGTGTCCCGGCTGCCGGCGTACTCCAAGTCGCTGTTCGACGCGAAGACGGAGAAGGGGCTCAGCTTCGAGGCGATCGCATCGCAGATCGGGCGCAACGAGGTGGCCGTGGCCGCGCTATTCTACGGGCAGGCGCAGGCGTCGGCCGAGGATGTCGACAAGCTGTCGGCGCTGCTGGGCGTGCCGCGCGAGGCGATCGCCAACGAGATGCTCAGCTTCCCCGACCGCGGCCACTCGGGCCCCATGCCACCCGTCGAGCCGCTCATCTACCGCCTGTTCGAGGTCGTGCAGAATTATGGGTATGCGTACAAGGCCGTGCTGAACGAGAAGCTTGGTGATGGGATTATGAGTGCCATTTCGTTTTCGACAAAGGTCGATAAGGAGGTCGATGAGAATGGCGCGACTTGGGCCGTTATTACCCTGAGGGGGAAATGGTTGGTTTTTCTTCTTCTTTCTCCCACCTCAAACCCTTTCTTCTCTATGCCGTTTCTCTCCCATGTTTTTACCTCCTCAATTCGACCCGTACCACGGATATCAGTGCCTAGGCCAGGCGTATCTCTTGCTGACAGAGTCTAGGCTTCCTTACTACCGCTTCTGAATCGAATCGTGCCGTTTGGGGCTGGCGGCGGCGAGGCGGTAGGCTGGTTGGCTGGCTAGCTACCTGCCCTGTCGCCTCAAAGCGATATCTTTGCCGTCCCTAAAGCGTTGCCACCAAAAACAAAGTGGCTTTTCGTCGTTTTCTTTGGAGAAGCGACGGTGTTTGTTATGTTTTTCCTTTTTCAAGCGGGATACTGCGGAGGGGCTGGGATGGCCGAGACTGTGTTTGAGATATTGCTTGTTCGCATTGCTTTCCATTTGGGGATCTAGTTCCTGGGCCTAGCTGGGTGAGGCGGGAAGTTGTGAGGAAAGGGGGTGGGAGAAAAAGGGATGGAGGGCGGGAGGGAACAATACTAAGGGGGGAACAATACTAAGGGGGGAACAATACTAAGGGGGGAACAATACTAAGCCCCGGCTCGAACCACCACCACTCTGTTACATCATTGCCCAATAGCATCATGATGTCTTTGCCAGATGCTTACGAGTGTATCGAAAAAAAAAGTCGACTTCTTTCTTGCGCCAGCCCACAAAGCCAATAACCGCTAGAAAAACTGGGCATCCCGTAACTTGCCCCCGACTTGGCTAGCTGGAGACTCATGGTCACCGACGCCCCTGGCCTCGTGGTCAAAGCGCGTTCATTGTTGTCCCCAAGAACAATATTAAGGGGGCACAATACTAAGACGCCCCACATGACGGGCAATAGGAGACCATGCCCTTCGTGGTTTCATTGACGTTTGGTCTGGTGGCGGGAGCAAGTCAAAGGGATGGTATTATTCTTTTCTTTCGCGACCGAGCGTTGCCTCTTCTAGGAGTCGTCGGATTCGACGGTGGCGAGAGAATAGGAGAGGCCATCTCTCTCTCTCTCTCTCTCTATGAGCAGAGGTACTGGTGGGAGGCTTGATTTTTCGTCTATAAAAAGATCTATTCCCTCCCTCCATCAGTGCCAATCTCCTCTTCTGGATCATCACACCCAAACAAACAATCTTTTATTACAAAAAAACCAACAACCACAAAACCATCAACATGCCTTCCACCACCACTTCTGTCCCGGTCCCCAAGACCCAGACCAACTTCTCCGGCTACTGCGTTGTCATGTAAATGACGCCCAGTGGGTTTGGAGTGGGTGACCTGGGAGGGGGAAGGGGGCGAGGGGAGTAGACACTTATGTGTGTCTTTTTTCCGGAACCAAGACAACAACTGAGCGCCAATACCACACATACGATGACCAGTCAACAAGACACCTCCATTCTCCAAGAGAGAAGCCGAAAACCATCCATCTCTCCCTCAATCCTACTGCTCGAGAAAACACACGAGAGGAAGCGCTGGCGTTAGAAACCACTTCCTCTCTCGTTACTAGCAGTAAGGAAGGAAGCAAAGAACCACCCCAACTCTCTTGGCGAACGCATGACTGGACCCATCGGAGGCACACACACAAACAAATAAGTTCTCGACCTCTCCAAACCCAATTTCAACTCTTCGACAAACCTACTGCCAGTTTCACGGGAGAAGAGACAAGGGAGAGAAACAAAACACGGCACAGCTACGTCTTTTTTGACAACACATTCATTCTTTCGCTTCTTCGGTACCACCCTTTTGACCCACACGTTCGGAACAAGTGACTAGGGAAGGAGGATTTCGAGATGAGGAAGGGGAGGAGAGCGGAAAAGGGGGGGGGGGGAGCACTTCTCTTTTAGAATGCTTTCTCTTTTTCTTTCTTGGACCATTCTCCTTATTTCTTCTTCTTTCTTTGGATTCTTTTCTCCTCTTTTCCTTGTTCTGAATTTTTATATATACGTAACATACATATTTCTCTTCTTTTCTTGGCCTCGTGTCTTTTTTTCGGGGGCTGGGGAAGGGGGGGGGTACTCTTTTGGGACTCTTCTCTCTCTCTCTCTCTTGCCTGCGAAAAGGGACGCGAGACAGGGATAGGATAGCAAATCTCAAGACTGGTTGCTGCCTACTTTTGCTTTGCCTTTTGTGAAGAGTCTCGACAAGAGACTGCTGTGTCGTATGTGACTGTGTGCCTTGAAAGTGGTTTTGTCTTGTCTTAGCTTACGCTACTTGATCTGAATAATGACGAAGTGCCCTTCTTGCCAAGATGGAAATGAGAATTAGAAAGGGGAAAAAGGAGACAATGTTTATACATCGCCTGAATAAGTAAATACCTTGACACATGCAACTTAGGTACTTGGGTTTTTGAGAGGTGTCTTGCAAGCAGTAGTATTAGGCGACCTGTTTTTGATGACGTTTTCAGGGGCTGTAAATTCAGTCAACAGAGCATGGGTGCCATTTGGGACGCCCTTCGACTTCTTTCAACTCATGGCAGTTCCGTGACTACAGATCCATTGCACTGCACCTGCCACACCTTTCATGAGTTCTGGGCTAGTAAGGGTTAGGGTTATCATACGTTGTGTACTCGCCCCACTGCATATTCTTATCTTATCGCTCAATCGCAGGGGACGACGGCAGGAAAAAAGTTCTCGGGCAAAGAAATCAACCCGGCTCTTTCGCTCCCCCAAAAGTTAAAAAAGACAACCACCAGGCCAATCAAACAGCCACAGCAAAAATGGGAAAAAAAAAGACAATATCCAGGGTAGAGGGCGCCTCCAAGGAGAAGAAGAACGTCAAAGCCAAGCCTGTCAAGCAAAAAGCCGACAAGAAGAAAACGACACCGCCCGCCCCCGTAGCCGACGAAATGGAGGTCGACAAGGTCGCCGACGACGAGTGGGAGGATGAGGACGACGGTGCCGATGCCGATGCCGATGCCAGCACTGTCCCGCCCAGGTCCGCGAACAAAAAGGACAAGAAGCAAAAGAAGACCAAGACCAGCAAACAACAAACCCCCGTACCACCAGCAGCAGAAGCCGACGAACAAGACGACGACGACTCCGGTTCCGACGACGACGAGGACAACGAGATGATTGGGTACGACAACCACGGAATTGACCTAGCGGGGATAGACGACTCAGACTCGGATTCCGAGCTCGAGAAGGAGGACAAGGACGGCCAAGACAACGGCAACGACTCGGAGGACGAAATTGACGTCGACGACCTGTCCATCTCGGGGTCCGAGGACGGGGAGAACATGCGGGCGCTGACGCGGATCCGCGAGACCATCAACAACAAGGACGCGCTGCTGGCGTCGCTGAAGCGCATCGCGCTCGATGTGACGCCCGGCGTCGTGCCCTTCGCCGTGCACCAGAGCGTCGTGGCCCCCACCACCACCCAGTCGACCATGGGCGACGCCGCCGTCGACGACGACTTGGCCCGCGAGCTGGCCTTCATGAACCAGGCCATGGGCGCCGCGCGCACCGCGCGCGCGCTGCTGCGCAAGGAGGGTGTCCCCTTCACCCGCCCCGTCGACTACTTCGCCGAGACGCTGCGCAGTGACGCCACCATGGAGCTCGTCAAGGCCAAAATGGTCGAGGAGGCCACGGCCAAGAAGGCGTCGGCCGAGGCCCGCAAGCTGCGCGATCTCAAGAAGTTTGGCAAGCAGGTCCAGGTGGCCAAGCAGCAGGAGCGCGCCAAGGAGAAGCGCGAGGTCCTGAGCAAGATTGACCAGCTCAAGAAGAGAATGTCCTCCACTCCCGTCCGTGTCATACGACGACTTTGCTAACACATGTTCCTCTTAATTAGAGCGCAAGGAAGGAGCCTCGGCTGCCCTCGGCGCTAACGAAACCGAGGACATGTTCGACGTGGCCGTCGACAACGAGCTCGGCGATAGCAGCAAGGGCAACAAGCGCTCTGCCGGCGGCGACAGCGGCGGCCGCCCCAACAAGCGCGTGAAGAAGGACACCAAATTCGGCTACGGCGGCAAGAAGCGCCACGCCAAGTCGGGCGACGCCACGAGCTCCGGCGACCTGAGCACCTTTAGCGCTAAGCGCATGAAGAGTACCAGCGGCGGTAGGCCAGGCGGAGCGGGAGGCAAACCCGGCGGCGGTGGTGGTCACAAGGCACCGCGGCTAGGCAAGTCACGGAGGAAGGCGGCCGGGAGGAAATGAAGCTGTTTTTTGTCAGATTAATCCTTGGAGGCGCCGGGGGGAGGCTTCCGGCTGTGTGGGAGTTGTAAAGCGTCATGCCTTTTTGTGAGGACACGCAAACACGCAAACACCACACACACTATAACTAAAATAAAGCAAAGTAAATACATAGACCACATGGCCACAGCTCGGGGACCAGCTTTTAGCATACCAGGTGATGATGCAAAACAAGAAACCACACATCGAACATTAATAAATCTACCCAATCACACTCCCCATGTGAGCCATCTTTCATATACGACGGGTCCATAAAGCCATCTTTTACGGATACTGTCTCGACGGTTTCATTACACAACCTTATGCTTAACGTGCCTACCTTACCTGGTGGATAGATAGCTGCCTTACCTACCTTAGCTCCCGCCAGGCCAAAACTCACCGGCCGGCCAAGGTTGATCCAACGACCTACCGCATCTGCAATTCTACACCGAACCCAAGCCATGAATAAAAGAATCAAAAGGGGTAAACATAATTGCAAAAGGCCGCGAGTCAGGTTTTCCATTCCCCTAGTGGGTGGTTGGCGTGCGTACGTTATATAAAGGGGATATACAGATGCCGTCAGATCGACCAATCCGCCCTGTCTCGCGCTGCTTATTGCTTGTTTGTTTGTCTGCCTGGCTGTTCCAGCCGTCATGTTTCAGCCCCATCCGTTTCTTTACTTTCCTCCCAGTAGACTACCCATACACACCCGACAGACATCAGCTCAGCCTCCAAAGCCTTCCATGTGCCGCACGGGGCTCCAGGAAGCGCGATATACGGAGTGACCAAGACAGCCCCAGATCTCGAGCTTGATCTTTATTTCCAGTCTTGCATCCATGCCGCGCCACGCCAGTTCCGGATGGCTATCGCAGCGAAATCGTCTCGTGTAGTCTCGTCTCAAGCGTATTTCATGAGGCCACAAGGAAAAAAGGGGCGAAACAGAAGGCTCGATATAGCCATCTCTAGTTTGCCCGTTTTGAGGCAGAGAGAAAGGAGAAAATAGGAAAACCGCTACATCCATGCCGACAAAGAAAAAGGGTGAAAAGATACGTTAGAATGACAAGAAAGAAATGGAAGAAACGCCCATTCCGTAATAACAAAACCTAAACACATGCCAAAAGCGATCCGTGAGGCCGGTCGACGCAATTTCAAGACCTAGGAGATCAAGGGCATCCACACCGCCAGCCTTCTTCTGCCGCAAAGCCAAGTGGCATATATAAGGCAGCAGCTTGAAAATTGCGTCAAGCGCCCCATTCTCAGAAGAGAGCCAAGGCGTCGAGATAGAACCAGTGGAGGCGGAGAAAAACGTGTCCAGGAAGTCATGACCATGGATTTAACGGACGAAAAAATAAACCGTAGCCGAGCGCATTATGACGGGCTTGGAATCGTGAAAGAGAAAATAGACATATAAATCGAACGACCCTGTGGTATCGTGCAACGCCGTGTATGCAGGGAATATGCTCTGCTCCGCAATGCCGCTCAGCCGCTTGGGCCAATAAATTTTGACCAGTAGACATTATAGATAACGCCATGCATGGAGCAAGTGTCCCGGGAGGGGAGCCGGGGGGTATCAATAACGACAATTGTTCCATCGCGTTGCAAGGGCTATTGCGTGGCAGCGATACACCAGTGGCGGTGGAAAGCCCACGCGCTCTTTTGGCACTCCTTGCTGCAGTATTTAGTTCGCCGGCAACGGCGGCACTTTGCAAACTGGCGTGTGTACTCTTCCCACTTCCCACACTGATAATAGGCGCATTGGCGAATGCCGCCCCTTGTGTCGTCCTTTCGGCACAGGTTCCTCATAACGACCCCGGCCCAGTATTGCATATCTGTGCTGTGGTACCGGACTGTGAACTTCTCGACGAGCGGGAAGATGTTCAAGTCATTGGGCAGGAGATACTCCGCCTCGCACGCGTCTTCGTCATCCTCGTCCGTCTCGGCCTCGAGCACTGCATCGGGATTGTCCAAGAGCTGTAGCTCCTTTCCAATCTTGAGCTTGGGGACCAGGTGGCTTTTTTGGAAGTATTTGCGGAGGTTGCAGTACTTGGAGACATAAGCTAGAAGCTGTAGCGACATCAGGACGTCCTCCTCTCTGGGCATCGCGGCAATTATTTGCGGGTTTGGTGTTACTTGTCGGTCGAGCAGGTATCGGGGGACGGTGGCGTTGGGCAAAGTAGGCTGCGGTGGGCTCACCATAGTTGGCCTATTGGGAGAGAGGCCAATGTTGGGAACCGGAGTGGGCGCATTGTTTACGATGCTGCCATCGACCGGTCCTTGATGCGTGATGTTGAAGGTTCCGGCCTCTTGAGTCTCAGACACCGTAGGTGTCGTCAACTCGATGGCCGCACCAGTGATGATGGTGTCGCTATCCTCCATCGCAATGTCCTGCATGCCAACTCCTGGCTGAAGTCCTCTGGTACCCGACATCTCGGCGTCGGGTGACTCGTCAATTGGCATGCTGTCAGCGTTCATGTCATCTGCCTCGACGGCGGTGGAATGTTGATGGCGGATTGACGGCCGCCGCCGAGACCGAGCAGTGGGGGCGAGCATCGAAGCAGGCCGGACTGTTGGCGATCTAATCTGAGGAGGCGGTAACGGAGTCGTGGGCGAGGCTGGCTGAGAGCCGAGAGCGACGACTTGTGTGTATGTCATCGAGACCAGACGATCAATTTCTCGGACGGGCCTAAATCCGTCGGCAGTATCCATGGACGGCACAGCCGGCGCTAGGGGCTGAAGACCCTGGCGACTTGACGAGGATATGCCATAGCGCGGCTCTCCGCGGACGCTGTGGTGGGATCGATGGATCAAGGGAGCCCGGTCAGGAGGGGGCGTTACCTGGAATTGCGGAGCAGTCGGGGTGGCGTCAGCGTGGGACTGGATTATGGTCGTTGCCGAAGGGCCGGCGAGGGTCGCCGAAACGTCGATTGACGGAGGCGGCGCCTGCCTGCGGAACGAACGGTCGACGTCTAAATTACCCGATCGGGTTGAGAAGCTTGACGACTTGTGGGCGCGGCTGCTCTCGTTGATGCGATCGCGGTGAGGGTCCGACTTTTGCTTGGCCTCCTCGGCCTTTTCACGCAGCCTCTCGATGACCTTGATGTAGTTGTCGAGGATAGTAGCGATGACAGGAACCATGTCGGCCTCAACGACCCGTGTCCGGACGGCCTCGGTGCCCCTAACCCCTATGTTGACGACACACTGGAAGGCGAGATTCCACTTCCACATGTCCATCAGATCCGTGCTGCGACCCTGCTTCAGGATGCAGACAAGTCGCTCGATGCCGCCATCGACGGTGAGGATGTCACGGATACGGGCCGACGACGTGGTGAGATAGGCGAGATGGTTGAGCGAGTTGATCAAGGGCAGCGTCGAAGTGCAGTCGAGAGCGCGGCGGTCATACAAAGCGGTGGTGATGCCCACCGACGCCTTGTTGACGTTGGGTATACTGAAGTTGACTTCCCGCATCTTGGCTCGCCTCGACGAAGCACGAGGAAACGCCAGACGGGGGAGGAGAGGAGAGACGAGCGGGACACGGAATAAAACGAGAGGGCCGGTGTCGTGCGGTTACGGGTCGGGGATGCGTGAGTGCGCAGAGTGGTGCTGCCCCTAACTGGTGAATGTGAGGTTAGAGATGAGGAGATTTGGATCGTCATGCGTTCATGTGCGAGATTGCAGGCTGGGTCGTACCGGCTGCTGGCGCGGTCGATTCGGTCCTGTGCGAAGGGGGCGAGAGCGGCGAGAGCACCACAGAGATGCGGGCGAGGCGAAGCAAGCAAGGCAAGACTGAAAAAGGGTTGCAAACCAGCGTATGAGTGAGCGATGCGTATGAATTGATGCCAGGCTGAAAAAAAGGATGAAGCGTGTGCGTGTGGGTTTGGACCACAGTGTGTGGTTTAATCGGAGCTGGAGAAGTGTAGATCGATGGATTGATGGGCGGGCAGTGCGAGTCAGGGCCAAATGCCTCAGTCGCGGTCGAGGATTGCGGGAGACGGGGGCGTTCGTGGATGAGCCAGACCAGACGGGACCAGACGGCGAGCCGCGCAGAAGGTCAACAATGTGTCGCAACAAGAGATGCGAATCTGGGTGATGGGACGGAGAAGAACGGCGAGACTAAGAGAAAGGGTGTGACCAATTCTCGCCGTGCCTGATGGAGCGAGAGGCTGGGTGGTGCTGGGGGATCAGACCAAGAAAGGCGGAGCAGCTGGGTTTTTCTGCAGCGCACTGCTTCAGGTGAATTCGACAACGCTCCAGTCCGCGCTTCTGCCTTAGGCAGCAATCTGCAGTGGAGTCTCGAGGCCCGGCGAGCGTGGTGGTGGGTACTGGGGCCAAGCTGAAGTCACTAAGTTTGAATTTCAGCGTCGGGATTGGGGCAGCCACCAGGGCACGCGCCTCCCGAAAATGTCGCCAACACCTCTAAAAATCCCACCTACCTTAGGCCCTTAACCGATCTTCAGCACGCACTCGAGCGTACCGTGCATTCCCACCCTTACAACGGGTCACTTCCGAGTCGCAAGACTCGCAACAAAGCGCGGACGCTGAGCTGGATCTTGGATTTGTGTTTTCAATTCTGGTTCTTGTATTTTCAGCTTTATCAGCTCATTGCCATCTCAATATCTGTCCACCGTTCCAGTGTTCGGAGCAGGGAAGAACCACACAGAAGACGAAACGGCCAATGGTGTACTCGGTATGCCTAAGCAACTCTGCTGACAATTGCGATGCCAGTGCTAAGGTAGAGGCGAAATAAAAACGGAGCCCGATCAAGATTGTGGTTTGGGGGTCGGCGCGGCGGGAAACATGCCATGGATTTTTGTGAGGGGCTAATGCAAAAAGGCTGGAGGGAGGGAAGTGGACATGTCACCAGCCAGTGGGATCTTGTTGAGGGGGTCGGAAGAGTTCCACCGCAAACGTTCTTAGATACACCTTATACCGTAGGTACTATTATTCAATCTGATGTGTGGCGTCCTCTCCAAGTCGGCCATCTACCTGCCCGTGACTGTGGGAATTATTTGCCTCCCCGTGAAAGGGAAGCCGAAGCCAAGTGCAGCAATGGAACCAACGGCACTAGGCCAGTCTACCGAACCAGTCGACCCAACGTCTAGACCTCGAAACCCTGGAGCTGCCCACTGTCTCTTCTTACTCCGGGTCGTGCTTTGTCTCGGCCAGAAACACGTGGGAGATCCTTTGACACTGAAGAAAGACAATCTAGATACCTAGATTTTGGCGTACCACCCGGACTGATGGCCAGTGACAACCATCTTCGACGTCCGGCCGAGATCGCGGCTTGTAGCGGAACAGAGTCGGGCCCTAGACTGGCGGGACTCTTTCACCCACCCATTCCTGCCTATCATCTTATACCCGCCCACATTGGTAGGTATAAAGACGCAGCGTGAAGCGCAGACCAGTGCTCCATCCGCATGGCAGCAGTCGATCACCTTAGATATTTAGACACCTCCAACGGTCGTTCGTTCTCCGGAGCGTGCCAGCACACCACTACGCAGTAGGTGTTTTTCTTTCAGCCAGATGCCACCCCAAAGAAGGCTTGGCAGTTTGCGTCTCGACCCGCCACTTCCAAGATCGGCGACATCCCCTCCCCTCTCAATGGTGCCATCCATGGACTGTTCACACAGCCAGACAACGGTTCAACAGAATCACAGCCATCTCGCGTTCGCTGGCAAAAGTGGCCACATAAACCCAACGATTGCTTTTTTCCGTTTCATCCCAGCTGTGCTGTCTCCGTCTGATTGATTAACCCATCGTCATGTCATCGCAGCTTTGGGGACGGTACTTTAACCTCGTTACATACGTCCACTAGGGTCGTGCGCATATCAATGCCCGCCTCGTGCCGTGACGGGGGGCGTTCTCTTCACCTTTTTAGGGCCAATAGCTAGGGCGGTGGGAAGTGGAGACAGGGTCGATGCGGGCAACCCTGGTCAGGCCGGGGTACGCTCCCCCCCACCACATACCGGCCTCGACTGGTGTGCCGGCCCAAACCTTCCATCCCGCCACTTCTTTAGGGGTAGCTTCAAATCTCAACGAGCTGCTCCTGTAACGGAAGATGGTCGAGCTGTTTGCTGAGGCCGACACAAGACGACAACAGTGCAGATCAGCACGTAAATTCTGCTGTGTGCAGTCCATTGCCTTGAAAAACACATTGAAGATACCCTGTTCCCTCTCGTGGATTCCTTGTTGCTTGAATTGACTTGCAGCTTCGCTTTTGGCTCTTTAGCTCTAAACTTTTCCTCGCCGCCCAGCTCTGACGACATGGCTGAGAAGAGACGGCACAGCACGCTGGCTTCTCACTTCTACAGCGTAAAGCGCTTCCCTGCAAAGAAGACTCGGGCTGAAAGCATGTATGTTGAGCCGCAGCGAGGGAAAAGTTTGCTTGGTCAGGTCTCAGCTGTCCCGGGTCAAACCCGCCTGGAAGCCCCGTGCCCCCGTCCTCTTCGATCCCGTCTGGCTAAACTGAGACACATCACACATCCACACCGCCAGGAAACAGAACGACCTGAGAATAGAAGGGAGAAATTAAGTGCAGGCATGTCAAAAGAGACCGATGTTGTGAACGTTCTGCTCACTAACGATACTACTATGTAGATACGGGGTACTTTAGTCTGAGGCGAAGGCCGGGCGGCTGTACGACCGCCTGGCCGCACTTTTGATGCTGAAGCGTCGCGACGGACCGACCGATGACGTACCGAATTTGCAAGATCCTCAGGCTGCTATGGGCCACTCTTAGCCAGCCAAACTGCCAGTGCGAGCATAGAATCTGGGAAGTGCCTCGTTTTGGTTTTCATGCGGCCCGGTCAAAGCGTTTTCCGTCTCCCCCAAATGCCGCCCATCCATTCACCCCCGTGCCCGCCAGATGCGCTCCTTGGCGGTTACTCAACGTGCACGGCTGTTAGGCGGCTGAGACTCCTGTGAACAGTGGTTCCATTTCTAGGTTGTAGTTGATGTACTTCAGACGGTGACAGCTTGGTCGGCCGTCAATCAACAAACTAACGTCACTTTTGCCTCCGGGACATGCGCGCGCTCGAGCGCACCAACGCCAAAGCCAAAGAAGCGAAGCGACGGTAAGGCGCCGTGCATCGGTCTCGTTTTAGAAACAAAGTTTCTCGAGACCCTCCAGGAGACTTTTACAGGCTAATATTGCCGCTCCAAACAGCCCAGGAACCCCCTGCATGCTAGCGCAGCGCTTAAATCGGAGCGCAATTGGCCCCGGGTCTGTCTCCAGGGAACCAGCAACCGACCTAATTCCATCCCGGCCTCCGAGCCGGGCTCTTGTCAAAATAGCTTTCGACATCACATCATCGGACATCGGAATCCACATAGGTTGTCGGTGCTGGACCTGGCTGTCCAGAGCCAGATACAATGCGGCGTGGAATAGAGCCAAGAAACCGTCCGAATTAGAAGGGAAATTACATCTGACGTGAGAGCCTTGGGTCGGGTGCTCCGTACGGAGTAGGTAGGTCGGTATTTGGCATTTCCATCGTTCGTGCCACTCCCACGGCATTTCTCGTCCTAAATTCGGCCCTGTCTTACGCCAGCTACGTATACACGAACCAACTTGGCAAGCCAACCGCCGCGGCTGTTTCCAGACAGTCGGGTTGCACGTCATTCAACGCTGGCGTTGGACAACGCTGCTAATCCTATCTGTCTGAACTCTGATGGGGAAACAGCCGCCGACTGGACTATCAACGGCATGTCGCCACGCCACACACCAGGCCGAGAACTCGCCCCAACCCGCTAGTCTCGACTCCACGCCTAGAGACACGAAAAGAGGCGGCCATTTCTTGCCAGAGTCGTAGGGAGGGGCCGGATTCCTGCATCGCTCTCACGCCCTTCATAGTGGAATATGGCGGCATCCATCGCGGTCGGACAACGGCTCCGACGACGTGCCGCTTCCGTGCCCGAGAGCGGCCTTGAGTATCAAGAGTTGGGGCGCCGTCAGGTAAGCAGAGATCTGCATGCATGTCCTGTGGCGAGGCAGGTCTTGTGGCGGGTCTTTGCCTCACTGCTACTCGCTGCAACAAGATGGAGCAGCAGTTCGGTTTGCGGTTTGTGCTGCTCACCTACTGCGTAGGCAGCCCCTGTCAGACGGATAATAAATCTTCTCCACTGTGTCCTGTAGGGTCCAAGCAGAGATTAGATGGACAGCATTGCTCTCTCAGCTTAGAGAAGGATCCGAGGTGCTACAGTCAGTTCTAAAGGGACGGATGGACGGATCAAGATGAAACCAAACGTCGTTCTGCGTCGCTTGGCAGGGAAGGTAGGGGAGGAAGGCGTCGTTGCTGTGCGCGCATAGCTCGTCACACGCGCGATGGCCTCGCCATTGGGTCCGCGCGCTTCTCGTCGCCGAACCCCGTCAGTAGGGCTAGCTGACTAAGTGAGGCGGTCGACTTGACTTGTTCAAGATCCCCAGCACAGCATGAACAGCTTGCTTGAGCCTTGGGTAGTGGCGGCTTCGGGAATCGAGGAGCAAATGACAGTGCATACATGTCAAGGATTTAAGGTTTAGAGCTGAACTGATTGCGGCCTGCGGGAGCGCGCGTCGTCACCCAATCCCGACCATGCAACTGCAACAGGGCAAGCTTACATCACAGACAGGCTACTACTAGTTCCCAACCCTGGCATAGGGCTTTACATACTTCAATGGATGTAGTACTGTGCTCTAGAGTATAGCATATACCTTGCCTAGCAACCTCGGCGGCAAACCAGCAACATGAGACACACGCGCGCTCTGGGCGTTCGCTCGCTTGTTGAATGATGTGGGCCTCTGCAGTATCTATGTAGTATGTATAGAGGCATGCAAGGTAGGTAGGCGAAGTAGGAATCTTGGTCTAAGTTCAAAGTCTAGACTTCCTTCCCGGTTACGGCTGAGAAGGAACATCTCTTCAACCAATGAGCTGCCTGTGTAACTACAAAAATAACATATGATTTCAGCTAGCCGCGAGTTTCGAACTAACAGGAAACGCAAGGCTGGGTAGCGAGGAATGTATACAAACACCACCACCCCTGTTTTGAGAATATGTCGGCAAAACGGGTGCGAGGGGAAAGACCTGCATGCAAGTCGGGACAGGGAAGACTTCTCCTTTACTGGCAAGGATCTGTGGAAATCCTGGGGTGAGACTAGTTCGCGATGTCAACAAACAGCGAACGCAAGGGCTTAAAGGGGCTCGCCGTGGTGCTGCTCCAATGCCATCAACGATATACGCTTAACAACAGTAGAATGAATCTGTATGAGCGTGCAAGCCACAGCACGAGCAGATACCTAAGTGAAATAACTGACAAGAAAGCTCAGTCCCTGAACAGCCAGTAATGTTCAGCAGAGCCAATGTCTCTCTGAGACGAGGTATTGCCGATGAGCGGTTACTGTCAATGTTTACTGTGTACGTTCGTCCTCCCCCATCAGCCTATGCTTGTCGGAAGAGAGCAACGAGGAGAAGACTGCTCCGAGTGCCTACCAGGTTGGATTCACGGGCATACCCCTTGAGAGAATGCACAAATACTACACAATTTAATCCCTGAGTGTTTAGTAGCGGGGGACTTCCCAAGGTTCTGAATGGCCTCAACACCTTACTACCCACCCTGAAAGGGTGTTTGTTTTGCCAGACTCGGGAGGCAATATCTATTAATTTCCCTATTGTTGAATCTTGCAAGCTTATCTCTCCCCTAGAAATACCGAAGGTGTGGACCAGAGGCCTTTCCTGGCCGGGACATGCAACAACGCTTATTCTACCCCAAGTACCACGCCTGACGAATGGATTGTACAACATATGCCCCACCATGTAATCGCCATGGCAGTTTACCCTCATAGTGACAAGGAGGGGGTAACAAAGCAGGGGCGGTCTCGCAAAGCCATATCAAATCACAAAGGAAACGCAATTGTGCTTTCTAGATTTGTGACTTCTCACTTCTGCACAATGAAGTTTACACTCACCTAATCTCAATAACTTCACAATAACAGCTCTCTCAAATCGACGGATTACTAGAAAGAGCCTCAAAAATAAAGAGCCTTGCCCGGTGTTATTTTCTCTCCATCCCTTCAGCACACTCCAGCCAGCCTCAGTTGGCTACAGCAGGACGTGTTCAAGGTGACGAAAGAACATCCGAGTCCAGTCTGTCTTCTAGGACTACGCCGTGCCCTGGATCTGGTTTACACAGAGCATAAAGGGCCACACGTGGGCAGTAAGACGAGACGAGTAAAGACGGGGAAGTTGCTGGACCACTACTACCTATAGCCACGAAACAGCTGGCATGCCAGGACACACACATAATTCCTGGAAGACAGGAACTCTCAAAAATAGTCGAATAATAATGTAAAATCTAGGGGTATATAATTCATCATGAGAACAAAACAAACAAGAACCGAGGCCTGTGCCAAGTATATAGCCGAGCGCCCACCGAAGAAGAGATATATATATACACGTATCATGTATAGACGGCAATATTGATATATACAACGGATGAGTCCGTATTTCACACGCAATGGGTGATCGGCTGTGTTTTAGTCCCCGTTCACACGGGCGTGCCTGAAATACTTCATGCCCACCCAGGCGACTACGACCCACACCCAAGCCATGACGCCCGTCAGGATCAGCAGGGCGGGGTAGTAGCCGACGATGGGCAGGGTCGGGTCGTTCTCCAGCTCGGGGGGCGCGTAGGGGGTAGTGCCGACGTCCCAGGCCCAGGTCCAGACGCCGAGGCAGGACCCCATGCCCGTGACGAAGACGGTCCACGTCACCACTAGGACGACCCAGCCCCACCACTCGGTCTCGGAATAATCCCAGTCGGCGTCGGGCGGGGGCAGCGGCGTTGTTGAGAGTCCGGCCAGGCTCGTCAGCGCCAGGGGAGACTTGGCGCGCTGGATGGTGTTGCGGCGCCGCTGCATGGAAGTAAGTGCGACTGATCCACCGCCGCCCGTGGAGCCGCTGCTTAGCCCTAGCGGGCGCGGGTGTGCGTGTGTGTGTGTGTGTTGCAGTGTTGGGAAGTAGCCCTCGGAGCCGGAGGAGAGTGACGCCCGCTCGGGTCTTAGGATGCTTGTGCTGGGCGATGAGGATAAAGATAAAGAGGGATTTGTGGAGGGACGCGAGGAGCTGCCGGGTCCGCCACCGCCGTTACTACCAGTGCGCGACATGTGCAGGCCGTCTTCGTCGTCAGTTGTGCTATAGCTGACGCTCGAACTCGTGACGGACGAATCAGTCGCAGCAGCAATGTCTGGCAGCGTGTTTGCCACCACTGTGGGTACTGAAAGAGCGGCCGGGGTGGTACCTTGATTCAATGCGGCGGCGGCAGCGGATCGACTAGCATACCCGTCCATACTCGGGCGGGGCGTGATGTCAGAGATACCTAGGCCTAGGGCCCCGTCTCCGTCGTCAAAGCCCACGGGGAAACCGTTCTTGTCGAACGCAGTGAATGGATTCAGGCTCGAGACGACGACGCCTGGTCCCGTAGCAATCTCTTCTTGACCCACTGCAAGGGTCCCATCCAGCTGATGATATCTGGTGTCAATGGCCAAGGCGCGGCCCTCTCGTCTCTCGCGCTGGGCACCGCGGCCAAGCAAGGCGACTTTGCGCAGGGAGCCGCGGCGGCGGCGCGTCTTCTGCTGCTGGAGGACGGCAAGAGCAACGGGAGGGGGCTCGGCAGCGGCGGTGCCGTTCCCGACGTGAGCGTAGGCGTGGGCGTGGGAGCGAGCGTCAGCGGGAATTGTGCGGAAAGAAGGTGTGGGGGGAAAGGTGGGCTGCTGCTGCTGCTGCTGGACGGAGACGGCCGACTCGTTGCCGTCAGCGCTACGGCGGGATCGAGGACGGAGATGCTCGGCTGAGGAGCGCATGAAGGGGATCTTAGAGAGGAGGCCGGCGGCGCCTGAGGCGCTTCGTTTGCGAGTGGGTGCCCATGGCCGATTGGGATTGGGATTGGGATTTGAAGGAGGCGCTGCATCGTCACTACGCGGCGGGGGCGCCAGCGGCAGTGGCGAAGGCGGCCGCTCCATAGTATAGTTTAAGCCTCTCCGATATCAATTCTGAAAGGCGCCTTAACGTGTCGGGGGGCACGCGGACAGGACGCGGCCCCAAGACAAGGTTTGTCGTGGCGGCCGAGTCTGCAGCGGGCAATCAGGAATTCGCCATGGCTTGTTGCTCCATCAGCGAGCGCATGCGGCGATCAAGCTTCTAAGAAGCTTCCCTGGCAGCGCGGCGAGGTCGGAGAAAGAAAGGCGGCTCTCAATGCAATGCGGCGCGTGGTGCTGTGCTGTGCTGTGCTATGCCCTTGAGGATCGAGCTGGAGAGGTTGGATGCACAGTCGCGGATGGGGCCGCCCGAAGTGGATGACATCGGCATTTGGGCGCACCCCTAGCACCCATGCCACTGCCCCCAGGGCCACCCCCACTAAACTATGCGGCTCTCCCGCCGCTCACGGGCACAACGACCGTCCACCCTGTTCGGGCCGAAGTCCCTGACGACCTGCGCCAGGGCGGGAGGAGGTGTGGACGGTCTCAGTGATAACTGGCTGGCCAACAGCAACCCAGCCTACAGAGACGAAAGACAGCAGCGTCGCATTCAAAGTAATCATCCCTTTGCATGTAGAAAATCCATTTCATTTTCCCCTCAGAGCATAACGATTTGGCCTGGAAGCGTATTCGGAGTACGGAAGTCGTCCAGCCTTGAATCCGACGAATAGGCACAAGGACAGTCTTTTAGCGCTTCACCTCGGTGGGAACAATCCACCCTACATTTGCGGTACGCTAGCCTCAAAGAGGACGGGCCAGGGTCCAGCTTCGAGATCCACACCGTCGACTGGGCAATCTGGTCATCAAATTACGGCTATCGCGAGGCGACGTAACGACAGCCCAGCCATTAGGTGCGGTTCTACCGTCTCCTCACCAGGGCGCACATGGCTTCTGGCCTGGCCTCATTCGATCCTCCTAGGACGCCGCCAACGCCTGCAACTCTGCCGCCAGGACTCGGCGACGAGGACGACGGCCGTTTTGTTTTCACATGCGACGATTACGACGGGACTGCCAAGTATCCCGATGCCAATGCCGATGCCGATACCAACGCCAATACAAATACCAATAATACCAATGCCAATCTTCGCGCGGCAGCCGCGTTCCCAGATCCCGATCGCTTCCTAGCAACGTCCCCTCGAAGCAGCCCCGCCGCCTTCCTCCATCCTCACCACGTCCCCTCGTTGCGTCCCCGGACGCCCGAGTCGGCCTTCACCATGTCTGAAAACGGGCTCGCCAATGGTCATGGCGCTGGCTCAGATGCGCCTGCCGCAAGGAACCCCTTCAACTTCGAGACGCAATTCATCGCAACTGCGCCCGTCAAGTCTGTACGTTGAATGCCCCTTCCAAACCTCCAATTGCTACGTCATCTCGGGCTGGCGAGACAGACAAACACTGTCGTCCCCTCTCCCGAGCTTCCATCCTAGAGTGCATTCGTCTAGCTGACTTGGATCTCGTCTCTCTCTCTCTGTAGAACATTGGACAACGGCGTGGCCATCGCTACAAACACAGCTCTATAAGTGTGCAGCACTCCTTCTTCCAGGAACCCCCACCACGGCCTCCCCCTGTCCTGCCCGCCTCGCTCCCCATACCGACGATGAAAGAAGCATGGGGTAGCATGCAAACAAATCAACGCGCCCGGCTATATTGGAGCTGCTGCCATGCGGCGGTAGCCGTGTACATCTTCTTCAGCGCCGAGGACTCGCTGGCCATGACGGCCCTCTCGCATCTGGTCTTCTTCGACGTCGGGTCCGCCGCCGTGTGCGTAGCTGTTGACGTGCTTGGGAACTTTGAGGTGTGGCGGCGGTCTAGCATCCGCCACCCGTTCGGGCTGCAGCGGGCCGAGGTGCTCGCCGGCTTTGCCATGTCGGTCTTCCTCGTCTTTGGCGGCTTCGACCTGTTGTCGCATAACCTCAAGCACGTGCTCGAGTCTGTCGGCGAGCATGCCCCTCACCATCCACACACGCACGGAGGCGGCGGCGCCAGCTTCGTTAACGCGCGCGCGTACATCACTCCGGGCACTGTCGACACAGCCAGCCTCGCCGCAGTCGTGAGCACCCTCGTGAGCGCGTACGGCCTTCGAAACCATAGTCGCATCCGCCGCGTCATGCGCGTGCCTCTCCCTTATCTCAGCAGCATCCTTCCCGGATCCGGTATTCTCGCCAACCCGTTCCACTTCCTGACGCTCTGTTTCTCCTTTCTGATGCTACTGCTTCCGCTCGTCAGCATCCCCTACTTTGTGTGGCTCGACAGTCTCATCTGCGCCGCCATAGCTGGGAGCATGTTTGTCCTAGGTACGCGGCTAGCTATTGCACAAGGTCTCATGCTGCTCATGAGCTACAGCGGCTTACAGGAGCCTCAGCAGCTAAAGCAGCAAGTAGGGCTGGGAGGCGGCGGTAACAACAGCAAGAAAACAGATAGTAGCGTCGGCGCGAACAACAGTAGCGTCTCCGCCGTAGTGCAGGAGATAGAGGCCGAGCCCCAGGTTGCCCGCGTCGAAGAGGCACAGTTCTGGCAGGTGCATTATGGTCTCGCCATGGCGAACCTCAAGGTCTGCCTCGTCCGTGGCTTGGACGACTCGGCGCTCAGCCAACTTCGAAGTCGTTTGGCTAGGGTTGTTCAGAACCGCCTCGGCGAGGGCTACGGCCGCGGGGGGAACCTACGCTGGGAGGTCACAGTCCAGATGAGTGCGGATAGCGGGAATTGAGTGTAACGGGCTGTGTACACTCGTATCTTCATATGTATATATTTATATATTTCAACCCAGGAATCCGAGATGGTACTAGCTGAGCATTTTTTATTATGGTCTTCTTTGCTTCACCCAGTCGGGTACAGCACCCTCGTTGCCTTTCCCAGCCGCATAGATTGCAGTCTATCCGTTACATCTACTGCATTCGCACAGTCTGCATGCGATGGTGATTTACCAGGCCTGCCCACGTGCGGCTGATATGGGGGCGAACAACTGGAGAAGCCCGGAGACGACACCTCCCACCCTCTGTATTTTGAATCCCACCATCACAGATAATTCCTGAAAATCCGGGTTATTGTACCTACGCACGTACCTTGATGGCAGGCAGCGGCTGGATGGCCTGACGTATTTTTCATCGGATATTATTTCATCGATTTTTTTTCGTCCGGCTTGCTTGCCCCTTTAACCAGCTGATTGAACTCTCTCTCTCTCTTACCATCCTGAGGCCCCTTTTCAGAGGAAAAACAAAATGAAACCTCTTTCTCCTGGCTACACCACAGTACCTATCTAGACAATCACCGAAACTTACGGGTGTTTCTGGGGAGCAAATAAAAAACAAAACCCCTTAACCCATTTTCATTTAATCTTCGTTTGTCTTTTACGCGCCCGCCGCCCCCAGATAAAAAAGGAGCCCTTTTAAACGGACCAGCTTCATACGCTGCTTTCTATCCTACCCTCTCATGAATCATGCATGTCTCTGTTCGCAACAAGAAAAAAAGAATCTCACACAATGACACCGGACAACAAGACTTGAACATACGGTAAAGCACAGGAAGAAACCAACCAAAAAAAAAGAAAACCCCCCAAAAAGGTTGGGATGCCTAATCCATAAATACATCCGATCCCATCCGATCCCAATTTGTCACAATCCCATTTCCCACCCTCCCGTTCAAAAAGAATAAACCCGGCAAGCCACCAAACCCCAGCGCCAAAAATTAAAGTAAAAAAATCAATAGAACCAAAAAGGGAGTAAATTCGAAACAGCATCATGACAACGTCAGCTCAGGAAAGTACTGGGCGAGCTTGGCGGGATTGCCGAACTCGGTCCGCGACGGCGAGGGGGTGAGGGGGCTGCCCGTGTCCTGTAGGGACGAGTACGCGGGCGGGTCGACGGCGGTGAGCGACGCGCGCTTCTTCTTGATGTTGCCCTGGGAGGGCGTAGCGAGCTGCTGTTGGGGGGGAAGCGCCGGCTGGGACGGGGAGCGGACGTCAGAGGAACCCAGCTGCGGAGTCGCGGCGGCCTCGGAATACGCGAGCGGAGTACGCGCTCGTGGCACTGTCGATGACGCCGAGTGGCTGCTCTCGGCCGCAGGCGGGCGGGACCGCGGTGCGCTGACGCTGAACGGTATTGTCGGCCCGAGTATCTTCTTGTGCGCCAGCGCGGCGGCGCTGCCGTTTTGCAAGAGGCGCGAGCGGTTATTGTTGAGAATGCTGCCGTTCTCAGCCACAGGCAACGCGGTGCCCGCGAGGCTGGAGGCGTTCTCGTTCGCGGCCAGGCCTTTGGTCCTGACAAAGGCCGTGGACCGCTGCCGGTTCGGGTTGCGGCCGTAGTACTGGTCCAGAATGGGATGCACCATGACCGTCTGGTTGTGGACGGTCAGGATTGAGTTGGTGGGTACGTTAATCCAGTTTTCTAGTGTTAGTCAGTTTGCTTGTAGTTGTGTCTTGAGTAATCTCAACGTTTTCCGGGTTAGAGCTTACCTCGCTCGAACGTGAGGGGCTCGCTCGCCACTAACACAACGTCGGCCCCTTTGTCGCTCCGCTCCATCTGATAATCGCGGTTCCCGGGCTCGGGGGCCCGCGTCTCCCACAGCGTACCGGATGAGTAGTACAAGCTGGCAGCCTCGTCCGAACTGCTCCCCACATAGCGCGTGCAGATGACGCTGTGGCCATCGGTCACGGCAAAGTTCAGGAGACTCCGCGTATCCACGTTCTCGGCGTGGATCACGCTTTCGGGGATGCTGTCGATGAGCTCGTTGATGAGGGCAATCGTCTTTAGCATGGCCTTCCGCAGTACGGTCGGGCCGAAGCCCTGGTCCGAGAGGGAGCTGGGGTCGTGACCCATGCGCTCCAGCGTGTCTAGAAACAGGGCAAACGCCCACTCGCTGTCGGTGCCGCCGCCCACGCTCAGATACCACTTATCGGCGAGGCGCTCGCCGAGGCGGCGCTTGATCTGCTTCCATCCGCCGAGACCGCCGTTGTGCATAAACATCAAGCTGCCGTGGCAGAAGGGGTGGCAGTTGTCCTCGCTCAGCGAACCTTCGGTGGTGGCGCGCACATGGGCGAAAATCAGGTGCGAGGCCGTTTTGGAGGCCAGCCGGTGCAGGTTGGCGCAGTTCCAGGCGGGCGTCGTCGATGTGAAGAGGCAGGGGTGGGCACCCAGCTTGCGGTCCGTGTAGAAGCCAATGCCGAAGCCGTCGGCATTGTTCTGGCCGCGACGGGTATCCTAATCGCCGAAACACGACGCAATGAGTCACAGCGCTCGCAAACACACAGCAAGGGCACCGGTATTGGAGCTCACTAATCGCAGGCGCGAGTCGAAGGACTGCTTGAGAATCGAGTGCGTTGGGTCGAGAATCAACTTGGAGAGGAGGATCTCGTCGCTCCCCTTGTAGACCTAGAGAGAACAGGCAGGCAAAAATCAGCATATTTTTTCGGCTTGCTCGGGTCCAGAGATCTGACCACTCACCAAAAATCGGCACATAGTGATCGGTCGTGCCCAGACAGGCCGGAGTAGCTAAGGACGAGTCGGCAATCCAAGAGTAGAGAGTTTTTTCGATGTTAGGCCAGATGCAAGGAAGGCTGTCAACAAAGAGAAGGGGGCTGGAATTCCCGCGGGCGACAGAAAATGGCATGCGGCCAACAAACAAAAATTAGAATGTCGACAGGAACAGTAGTCCGGCGCCGGCGGTTGACACGTTGTTCAGACTAATAAGTGCGAGGCCAGACAGTGGCCCCAGCGGGCGAGTACAGGGCTGCAGGTGACGGAATCCTCCATCAAAATGGCGAACAGGGGATTTAATCTCACCCGCCTCGCCCGTGGACCGACCCCTTTTAGTGCATCCACACGGGCGACGGACCAGTACTCCCCGAGCAGGTCCCGTCCATCGTTCTGTCCAACGGCGCTGGACGCATCTCCAACGCCTTGTCGATCGATCTCGGCTATAAAAGGAGTGGGAGCCAGATGCAGTAGAAACACTTCACGTGCAGCTTCCTTGGCGTTGAATTGCATTTTCTTCTCAACAGTGTTGAGTCCATCGAGCTAGATCAGAACATCCCATCCTCGGACATGTTCCACGACTTTGGCGGGGTTAGCGTTGTGTCTGAGGTGAGCTGGGCAATCCTGGTGCACTGGTGACGCTATCGCAGTGCATTATCGGTGACTGTCTGGTGAGAAGTGCCTGGCGTAGACCGGTCCCAAACGAATGGATATTGGGCCGATTGCTCCATCGGCCTGGGAATGTCACATACCCGGGAATTGCTCTGCCACGCGGGTACACTCTAGCAAGGTAAAAACATTCCGGCAGCTTGCCTGATATTTTGTTCATCGCTGTTACTTCTTTGGGTCATATCACTGCAAAGACTCTTCTTGAAATGGCTGAGTTCGCATCCGAGCAACAGAAAACCTTCGCTTAGTTTTACCTTCGGACTCTTTCCGCTGTAAGTTTATTGGCTAGAATAAAGATTGTAGCAAATAACCCGGCATGGAGAAGCCTTTAATACCTTAGGTAGGTGTTTCTAGGGTAGAGATAGGCTTCTAAGATTCTATAGCAGAGGTTCTTATAGTTATTATCTCCCTCGGCGAAAAACCTTTGCGGAGATACTGAGGTCTTTTACATCTTAGAAAGTCCCCGCTAACAAACATTCAGGGATCAGATTGTATCACTGGAGGTACCTCCTGAAATAGCGAACCTGGACCAAGAAATGATGTGAATGACCTGTAAGAGTTGGTTCGGTAACATGGGTTGTAGAGACGCCTCAAAAACTAAATCTCGGATAAAAAGATATGGGTGTAAACCGAGAATAGAGAATAAACGTTGCTGCTGTACGGATATATCACGTACATACATGTACGTAAGGTACAGCACATTACGGGTGCTGTGAGTTTACCATACCTCTCATTAGGATTTGGCACATGCACGACGTCGCTGTCCACCGCTGGACTTTTGGGTGGGTTTAGGTGGGAGTCCTGAGGCTCCTCTAATCCCTGCTCTGCACCACCCAGAGCCCACCACTGCAGCGGCACTGACGAAACCACAACCGAAAGGAGCCGCAACGAGCGACGACGGCCGCGGCTGCGAACTGATACTGACAACGCAATCTCGACACAATCGGCGGCCACATCCCCATTGACGCCGCTGGTTTCAATGTTGCCCGACGTCCGAGACCAGTAGACCTTAGTCTCGCTTGTCGCTTTTCTCCTCACCGCCCGTCATGAGTGCCCAGCTCCGCGCTGCTGGGGCTTTTGCCCCCCTCGCCCGTCGCGTCACACTTCGGGCCGTCCGTCAGTACCATCCACTACCCACCGGCGGACTCCAGCGCGCCGATGGCGCTGCCCGCACAGTCCGCCCCTCGATGCGCTTCACCGCCAACGCCTACCACAACGCCGTCATCGTCCGCAATGCCTCCTTTGCCCGCCTGCTCCCAAAGCTCGTCGTCAAGTTCGCCAGGATCCCCGCCCTGTTCGGCGGCCTCATGATTGGCGGCGTGGCTTGGATCCAGTACCAGGCCATCCAAGTGAGCAACTCAGCCCAGGAGCTATACGGCAACGTCAAGACCACCCTGACCGCCACTGCCTCGGACTTGTGGGGGAGCGCAGTCGACATTGCCGGCCAGACGAAACGCGGCTGGCAGAACACCAAAGACAAGGTCGAGATTCCCGAATGGCTCGACAAGATTATGAAAGGGGAAGGCGAAGCCGGCAATGGCAATGGGGGCTCCGGAGGCCCAGGAGGGCCTGAACCGCCGAAGCAGAGCAAGACGGGTGTCGCAGCCGGCGTGTCGGCTTCCGCCGCTGCCTATGGCTATGACCAGGCGGCCGACAACGACGAGCGAACTCCCGAGGAGATATCCAAGGACGACCACATGATGCACATAACCAAGATGATGATCGAGATACGGAACCTCCTCCAAAAAGTCGGCCAGTCGAGCTCCGTCACCCTGCCATCCATCGTCGTGATTGGGTCGCAGTCTTCGGGAAAGAGCTCGGTGCTGGAGGCCATAGTGGGCCACGAGTTTCTGCCCAAGGGCACCAATATGATAACGCGCCGGCCCATTGAGCTTACGCTAGTCAATGACCCCGATGCCAGGGTCGACTATGGCGAATTCCCCGACCTCGGCCTCAACAGGATTACCGATTTTTCGCTGATACAGAAGAACCTGACCGAACTCAACCAGTCTGTGCCCGACACGGAGTGCGTTTCGGATGACCCTATCCGCCTCATTATACACTCCCCCAAGGTGCCAGACCTGTCTCTCATTGACCTTCCCGGCTACATCCAGGTGGCCGGGGAGAACCAGCCCCGGGAGCTGAAGCGGAAGATATCGGAGCTCTGCGACAAGTACATTCGGGGCCCCAACATCATCCTGGCCATTTCGGCTGCTGACGTGGATCTGGCGAACTCGACTGCCTTGCAGGCGAGCCGCAGAGTTGACCCCAGAGGAGAGCGGACCATTGGCGTCATCACCAAGATGGACCTGGTCGATGCCGAAAAGGGGGCGGCCATCCTGAGCGACAAGCAGTATCCCCTCCGGCTGGGCTACGTCGGCGTGATTTCTAAACTACCCTCGCAGGGCCTCTTCAAGCGGGACACGGGCAACCTGTTGGCCGTCATCAGCCGAAACGAGAAGGCCTTCTTTAGCTCGCATCCGTCCCAGTTTGGCCCCGAAGCTAAAGTCAACATTGGCACTGTCACGCTGCGGAAGAAGTTAATGCAGGTTCTGGAGCAACAGATGTCGTCCAGGCTGCAAGCCACTACAGATGCCATCCAGCGAGAGCTTGAAGAGACGACGTACCAGTTCAAGGTGCAGTATAACGAGGAGCCCATGACAGCAGAAGCATACCTGGCGGAGAGCCTCGACAACTTCAAACACCTGTTCCACAAGTTTGCGTCATCGTTTGGTCGGCCCCAGATGCAAGACCTGCTGAAGAGCGCTCTAGACCAGCGGGTGCTCGACCAGCTGGCGGCGCGGTACTGGAACAAGCCCGTCGAGGATCTCTATGCGGCGCCCAACGAGCCTGATAGCATCGCCGATCTCCCCAAGGCCGACCCCAAATCCCATTACTGGCACATGCAGCTCGACACGGCGTCTTCTGCGCTGACCAGGCTCGGCGTGGGCCGTTTGGCGACGACTGTGGTGTCCGCCGCGGTGCAGTCCAACGTCGACAAGCTGATTGACAAGTCTTCGTTCGCGAAGCACCCGTCGGTCCGCCAGGTGATCAGCGAGGCTGCGGCTACGGTGCTCGAGGACCGGGCTTATACGACCAGCGACGGCATCGAGTTTTCTCTCAAGCCGTACAAGTACGAAGTTGACATCCAGCCGCAGGAGTGGAACCAGGGACGGGAACATGTTGCGGGGGTTCTCAAAGGAGAGCTAGACCAGTGCCAGGCAGCCATGAAGAATCTCGAAAACGTAGTCGGGGGCAAGAAGAAGCTCAAGGAGGTAATGGGGTTCGTGGACAAGGCACGCAAGGGGAACATTGCGGTCGAAGGCGAGAGCAGAAACGGGGCGGGCGGGTTCAGCGCTGCGTTGCTCGCAAGAGGTACGTCACTTCTTCCCTTTACTTTCTCCTGCTTTTCAAAAGTTTGTGTCCGACTCTGGGTGCTAAACTATGACAGGACGCGAAGCCGTGTTCCTCCGGGACCGGGCCGACATTATCAACATGCGCATGCTCGCGGTCAAGTCGCGGCAGTGCAAGCCGCTCGAGAACAAATACTACTGCCCCGAGGTGTTCCTCGACGCCGTGGCCACCAAGCTGACGCAGACGGCCGTGCTCTTCCTCAACGTCGAGATGCTCAACGACTTCTATGCCCGCTTCCCCCGCGAGGTCGAGGCCAAGCTCGGCGAGCAGATGGGCGGCGCCGGCATCGAGCGCTTCGCCCGCGAGGACCCCAGGATCAGGCGGCATCTGGACCTCATCCGCCGCAAGGAGCTGCTCGAGCTCGTCCTCTCCAAGATCGAGACGCTCAACCGCCTCGACACGCACAACGACGCAAAGCTCGACGGCGGGTACAAGAAGCGGCCAAGGCGGTCACTGTTTTGAGTGAGAGGTTTGCCTTGGGATGTTGGGGATGAACGGTTTTTTTTATCTCTTTTTTTTTCTTTCTCAAAATGTCTTTTGTCCATTGGGATGGTGTCTTGGCGCGGTGTCGGTTGTTTCGTGTGTCCTTGTGGTTTGTTCGTCTCGTCGTCATCTCCGCCGGGGATGTGAAACTGGGAGGGTGGTTTTTTTTTTTGCGTCTTGGTTAGTGCACAGTTAGAAGTATTGCCTGTACATATCCTGAATACCCTCCTCGAGTTCTTTTTCTAGATATATATATACATTTAGCCATGTCAAGCATGTAGTGTGATGTGGTGTGTAGTGTTTCTATGTCTCCATTTTGATTCCCAGGATCTGTTGACCTAGCCTGGCATGACCCCTGTCTCCCCCCTCAGGCCATGATATGACATGACTCGATCCCAACCCACACTTTCAACAAAATCAGACCCTCCTTCTGATTGATTCAACAGAGGCAAGATGGCCGAGCGATCTAAGGCGCCACGTTATGAATTACAAATCCCTTCATTCACGATCTCGAGCAGCAATCTCGTGGTCAATTGATCCCAAAATCCCCCAGAGTAAAAATTGACGCCCGCGGTGATTTCTTGTCGTCTCAATGGCTCGCTAGAATGGAAAGCGGGATTTGTATGAAATGGTCTTCTTGGATTTTGCTCGGGGGCGTCTAGGTCAAAGCAAGTAATACCAAGGGTGAAATGCCACAATCCCAATAAGCGCCAGCAAGGCAATTGGCGGGAAGCAAGAAAGAAATCCCTCGTGGCGCAATTGGCTAGCGCGTCAGACTGTTAATCTGGAGGCTGTTGGTTCGACCCCAACCGAGGGAGATGTTTCCTTTTATGGCTTATTTTATTTTTTTGAGTTTTGTCCGGGGGTTTGTGGAAGAAGGGATGTTATTGCTGGACTTGGGCAATCGCAACCTATCGTCGGGATTTGATTTTGTTACGTAGATGGAACTAGGTAGGTAGGTGCTTCCGGGTGCTGTTTACGGCGTGATAGGGGCAGGGGCGAGTTGGACTCGACAAGTCAGGAGGATACTAAGGGGAATTCTTGATCTGGCATTATTATGGGATCAACAACTTTTCGTGCAACTAGTTTCTTGATTGGACCACTGGTTATGCTGCTTGTCGTAGTCTTTCCATCCATGAACATGATGCAGCTGAAGCATTACTTTGTGCGGGATCAAATCAATTCATTCGTATTCTCTTCTAGGAACTTCCATTCGTGTTGTTGCAAATTCGATTCGGGCTCCCCCTCAAAGTCATAGTCGCCCTTTCTACCTAAAGAGGCAAATACTCGTTTAATTCTTGATTGATATGGACTGGTTCTCGTGCCTCGTATCTACCTACCTACGTCCCTCGTCCCTTGCTTGGCCCGTAGAACCAGCCTAGGATAGCTTGTTAGGTACCTTTTGTATACTGCGTAATTGCTAGGCGTGGAAAGTGCTGATCTGCTGAGTTTCTGATAGACCCAGTTGACGTCGACTTCCTCAGGGATATTAGATACCTTGCGCTTTATGGAAGTTCCGAAGCTATATATAGGCCCGGTCTACTATTTCCATCTGTGCCTGCTCTCGTCTGACGGGGCTGGAGTTGATCTTATTGTAGTAACCTCGATTTAACCCCTGTATTGAGGCCATGCTCTTTGACTCCCTTTCTGCCGAGCTTGGGTCTCACATGACACCTTGCTCTCGGGTCCGGCGTCCCTAGTTAAAGAATTTGGCGAGAAGAACAGTCTTGGCCTCGTGGTTGGACGTTGAGAACTATCCTTCGATTTATCGATAGAGATGGACAACAAAACCAACCACAGCGGCTCAACCCCTGGCCGGGACGACGACCTGGCCTGCCTATATCCGTCATCGCCGGTCAAACTCGGGAAAATCAGATTCGCCTCGCTCACAGCCCGAGCCGCGATCATTCCGCCATCTTCGCCCACTCCAGCTCGGAGAATGCTCGAGTCAGCCGCTGCCCTTACTGACGGAGCGTCGACAAACGCGTCGACTTTCGATCCCCCGCCGTCCGTTCCAGGCGGGTGGCATGACACATTTTCTCTCTTGGATTGAAACGGCATGCCGAGCTTGCAGCAATGCTGCGAGGGATTCACGACACCAATCTATTTTTCTTCGTTGCGGACATATGTATAGTATTTCGTGATTACGTTGGCCGCCGCGGTCGGTGGGCCGCCCAGACGAGAACAACTTCGGGCATATGGCCGACCAACCATTCAATTTGCGTCTTTCAGACCGTAGTTGGGTTTCCCGCGCCCGATGAAGCGGTGCCGGCCGGGGACCCCCGTTCGCCAGGTCAAAGTGTCTGCTTGCTGCCCGCCTCTCGTCGAGAGGCGTTCCTTGGAGTCCTTGTCCAGTCCATCTTGCACTTCCTTTAACGAGACAAGGCGGCGTCTGTCTGTCTGGGGGAAGTAACCAAATACGCGATCGAAACAAGTTTTCTTCCTGTGGCTCGATACCGTGGCAACTCTGGTAGGCTCAGCAGGGTAGGATGGCTTCTGAGACAGCAAGATTCTCGAATGGCTCTATACAGCTGGTGCCTGGAGGTTGGTTGGCTGTGTCTGGAATTTGGGTTGTCTTCTAGTCCTTGCCGAATAACCTGGACTCAGATGCTGCCTCTTGAGGGTATGAGAAGGCGACCGCGCAGCTGCCCCTTGCAAGATAGATATGACCTGAAGATCAGGCGGTTCGGGAGTTCGGTCGTCCGTCTTCATCTTCTTCAACTTCCTCTCTGCTCTGGTAGGCAGTGGCTTCCGGCGGCTAATGCTTCGGCTCTTTGGCTGCGGTGGTCGTACTGGACCGCAGGTAGCTTGCTAGGGGGGGGAGGGGGGGGTTTCCTTTTCTGGTTGAACTGCCATTGTCCTGTTTGGCTGGTTCCCCAAGTGTTTTCTGCTGTACTAACTGAATAGACGCTTGGGGTTCTGTCGGATGATAGCTGTGCAGCTGGTGTAGATAATTCAACCCTAATTTCTTTAGTAAAAAAGGCCGTCAATCCGTAATGAACCCCTGATCGGATGTTCGAATAGCAAACCGGTCTCCTGTGGCATCAAGCAACAAGTTCAACCGCACCGTTGTAAAAGGGCCACATAGAACCTAGCGACGAAGAGAAGCCGTCCGGGACAGCAAGAGAACTTCGCCCCTCTTTTCTCTCATTAGTCCGGACATGTTAGGTAAAGGACTAGAATTAAAGAAAAGAAAGGGATAAAAAGGGGCAAAACGAACCCAGACGAACAACCCAAGCGACCTAACCCGAACGACCCAGCCCGAACGAACCAACCCAAACGGGACCCGGCCCAAACTCTGCACACCCGCGCCCCCCCACCCAAGTCTGCCTCGTCGTCGTCGTCGTCGTCGTCGTCGTCGTCGTCGCCGTCGTCGTCGCCGTTATCGTCGCCGCCGTCGGCCCAGCCCCAATTTCTTCGTCGCCGTCGTCGTCGTCATCGGCCCGGCCCAGCCCCGAATTCCTCACCGCCTGCTTCTAGGCGGGGTATGCAAAGTCTCGGACACTGACGTCCATCTCGGCGATCAGGGCGGGATCCTGCTCGCGGCCCGCGTTCCACGCGAGCGGCGGCGGCGCGGTGGTGGTGGTGGTGGCTGCGGTGGGGGCGGCCGCAGCAGAGGAAGAAGAATCAGCAGTGGTGGTCGTGGCGGTGGCGGTGGCGGTGGCGATGGTGCCGGAGGAGGCGGCGCCGGACCCAGGTTTCAAGTCCAAAAGGGCTCGCAAAACTCCCCCCTCGGGGGCCTTTCTCTCCCGTCGGTGGACGGGGACCGGCGGAGCTGTGAGGGAGTTGCTTGTTAATACCGATGTTTGATGGCTGGTTTTGTTTGTCTTTCTGGCGGTAACAGAGGGGTGAAAGGATTGGACATATGTCACGGGAGAATGAGAATGAATAGATGGGGGTTGATATCAACTGTTGATATGCATGTGAGGAAGAAGTAAGCATATATAGGGCGGGAGGTTAGGAGAAGGGCACGTGGGAAAGGAAAGGGAAGGGCGGAACAAACTGGTCTCAATATAGCGGCTTGGGCATCAAGATAGATACCGTACCTAACCCCCCAAAAAACAACAACAACAACAACTCAAAGGCAAAGCCTGAAGTAGTGGTGGCATGTGTGAGCATAAGATCCGCAAAAATGGGGTTGAGATGGGAGGCAGAGTAAAAAGAAAGAAGCTTCGGTCCAACATGCCTTCGATGTCGGACTCTTCGTCCGACTCGGCGATGGCCGAGTTGCCATCGATGGTGATGCAGCCACGCAGCGCCCGCGCCCAATCCTTCATGTTTCGGCCACGTTGGCCGTTGCCGTTGCCGTTGCCGGCGCCGTCGTCGCTGCCGCTGCCGCTGCCGTTGCCGTTGCCGTTGCCGCTGCCGTTGCCGGTGTCGTCGTCGCTGCCACTGCCGTTGCCGTTGCCGGTGTTGTCGTCGCTGCCGCTGCCGTTGCCGGCGCCGTCGTCGCTGCCGCTGCCGTTGCCGGCAGGGGTGGTGGTGGCCATGCTGGCCAGTCGTAATTTTTTTTTGGGACAAAAAAAGCTTGATTGGTCGTTCGCTCGAACGAAGGAGAGGAAAGCTAGTCTGGGCGCAATCCGAAGAAACAAAGAAGAGGAAAGGGTAAAGGGTTGAGGGGGACGACATTAATTTTTAGTCGTGCTGGATGCCGCTGTTTCTGTGCTGCCGGCTTGTTCTATTGCGTCTCCACTGCACCCCTTTGCTATTGTTCTCGCCCGTCACTATTGTTCTCCTAGGTCGCTATTGTGACCCGCTCAGGGCTTCCTATTGTTGCCTATGACTCACTGGTGTTCACTTCGGTTCCTATTGTGCTCTCACTTTCTCCTCAGCTCGCAGGGTCTCGGTTTCAGTCTGCGGCTTGGCCTGGCCCCGAGGCTTGCGCCAGTGCTGGGCTGGTGAGAGGCGACGGCGACTTGGCAAGATGCAGCGTGAGTGCTCCCCGGCAGGCCGTCTTGCGCATCATCTCTCTGGCAAACCTATTTGCGCCGAGCTTCCTCAGCTGCTCGCCGGGCCGTGTGGTGCACGTCTTGTGGGCCAGGAGCCGTTGCGGTTCCTTCAGCGGCAGCTTTGTTTCGATCCTCACCAGCTGCGGCCTGGTCAGTTGCAGCTGGGCCAGAGTTATTCCAGCCAGTCCCTTGCCGTAATGGCAGTTCCACAACGCCATAGCGTGCCTGCGGGACCTGTGTGCTCACACATGTTAGAGGGGTTCTTTTACCGTTGCAGAGTGACTGGGTAAACGACGACTCGTACCAGTTGCGGGCATGCAGCAGCACCTTCTCCTGGTAGGCTCTCGACCGCGAGGCCTTGCTCTCCATGTCGCCGTCCTCGCGCTCGAGCTTGGCCACCAGCCTCGAGCGGTGCTTGGACGAGAGGGTGCCTGCCGCCGATTCGCGGGCGTAGTGGGCGAGCTCGTCGTCGATGCTGGCCAGCCGGTCCTCGTCGACCTTGTCCCATTCGGCATTGTGGCAGTCCAGACATCGCAGGCGGGTCCAGTACCGCGCAACCACGTCGCGCCGCGATCCTTCGCAGAGCTGGCCCGATGTCTGATACTGGCAGTGCAGGAGGAACAGGGCCCAGTCCCCGCAGCCCCCAAAGTGGAAGGTCGCAAAGTGGCACATTCTGGGTTTTGTTCTCGTTCGTCTTTGTTTTCTTAGTCGCTGTCGTCAGCTGGATGTACGTGGTGGTGAATAGGGGGGAAAGTGGAGACGCATTGTTTACTTTCAATGCTTGGCGAGCTTGTGTCCCCGGCCTTTACGCCCAACTTGTTGGCTTCTGGACACTCTGATAATTACTTTCTGTCTTTTGATGGGAGAGAGCGAGACTTGAATAAAGAGATTCAATCTGGGAGAAAGAGGTAAGACGAATAAAGGCAGGCAGGCCCCCGTGTCCCGATAATATATCGAGCTGTTGTCTTACAGTCTTGGCTAGGTTGTCACAAATAAACTCTGGCCAGGCATCAGGCTAGACGCACAGCGCGGCCGGTCATGACGACAATGAACCGTTTTGGCGCTTCCCGTAGCCCCGGAATCAATCTCGCAACTAGCTAGTCCAGGGGTTACAACGGGGAGCTTCCCATTACGTGGTGAACCACCCAAGCCAGCCGTTGATTTCGCCATGACGGCCCAGCGCCAGGTCCCCGCGTTTCGACCAGAAACATGGAATGGAATGCACGAAGTTTCGCTATCCAGAACCAGCAATTCCCCATCTTATCTAGGTATTTATATCTAAGACTGCCAATATAGCTAGTTGCAACGCACACAACCCAGCTATGCACTCCTGTATTCCCTGGAGGCGCCGCAAGGGACACATGCCACACCATGCCACACCATCCCCTGCCGTGCCCGTCTCCCCCTTGGCCGCTGCAGGTGCGGCGTGCTGCACGATTTCCCGCATTGCATTAGGGGGCGCTAGCGAAACAGAAACTCAAAAAGGCAAACAGGAAACAGCCCGGCAATCTCCCCACACAGACCCTCTCCCCCGGGAGTCCAACCGCCATAGCCCGGCTAGCAAAACCCCAACGGTCTGGGGTGGTAGGCTGCGCTGTGAAGGGGAGGGTGCTGACCTCGCCGCGCCCATAGCACCCACGTAGAGAAGGTAGACAAAACCTTGTTCCCCAGCCTCTACCCCAGAAAACTATATCGTCGAGTCTTTTGCATGTGATGGCGAGGACCTCTGATGCAACCGACATCGAGCGTGTGTGCCCCGAAGGCCAATCTATCTTTAATAGGTATTTCTAGGAGAGAGCAATATCTTGAAGATTCTACCATAGGGATTCTTGTAGCAATTGCCTCTCTTGGCGAAAAACCTTCAAGGCGAGCCATAATTTAAATCTTGGAAAGTCCCCTACTAATAAAAATTCAGGGGTTAGATTATAATCTTAAGGCAACTTAGGGAAAGGAAGGGGGGGGACGAAAACTTGACAAAAAAAGGGAGGAAGAAAGAACGAATACAATTGACGAAATAAAAGGGTGGGGGGGAAGATGAAAGAAAACGCCTGGTATCAAACTGTCACCTTTGTATTTTGTTCGTATGCCGCCTCAAATATCGCCCATAACCATTATCTAAAAGAAGGGTAAAGAAAAAAAAAGAAAAAAAGGGAAAATCATCTTTTGAATCGACGAGGCTGAGATGGCCGTGACCTGCAACACAAGTATCAGGAACAAGTCCATGCAGATAAACATGCACGCGAACATCTAATAAAGATCCGCTAAGCTCAAGCGGCTAAGGCCAGCAGCCGTTGCGTTTTCAGCTCCAACTCCGGCTCCGACTGTCTCCAACAGCAACATGGGAATCCCTCCCGCCCATTTCGTGATAAAGCGCCAGGATGCGCCAGGCAAAGCTCGGCGCAAGGCATTTTGTTTCTTCTCAAGGGAGGGGAACCATAAACTGGAATGAATGACGAGGCTGTCGTCGAGACGAGAGTATAGAGGAACAGGATTTAGTAATAGATCACATGCAGGCCTATGAATGAGACGATGCGACTATCACCCATCCCACCGTATTTCCCTCAAAGCCTCGTCGGTCTTGTTTCTGCTCTTGTCGTTTTTATTCAAAAACGACAAGCGCGGCTGTCGATCGTGTGAGTTAATCAGTACCATCAATATTTTCCAATCATTTCCGACTCGGTTCATGCCCCCCTCCCCCCCCCCCTCCTGCCCTTTTACTCTCGTACAAGGCCGTTAATAAACAGCGCAGCAACATTTGGACAACTTTAGCACGATTACTTGTCTTGTATCTCATAGACAGCTTAGCAACCCGGACTCTCACCCTGAGCGAGGGACGAGAGATAAATGTACAGGGCCAGCCAAGTGCAGGGGCAACAGCCACGGGCAACGGCCACGGGAAACTTCCCCTGCCTACAGGACGGCTGGGAACATATTTGCCGATGCGCAGGTGGTTGTTGGTCCTGCGGCCCGGTCCGGGTTCGACACCCCGTTCCCGGCTCGATGTCGAGGCTGCGGGGCTTGCCCGTCTCCATTCATTTTCTTCAAGTCCATAGTGGACTTGGATGTAGTGCAGCTCCTAGCCTGCGCTACCTAGGTAGTTCAGCCTGACATTGAGATTGCAGATGTCTTTCTTGCCAAGTTGATACAAGAGCTGCTGCACAACGTACGTAAGGTACCTTAGGTATGGCAAACGTACCGTTTCCAAAGCTTGCACATTCCACACACTGAGGTGCCGCCGAAATCATGTCCGCAGGCCGATGGAGGAGCCCGAGACCCGATCACAGACCACCAAATAGGCGTGGCAAGGTAAATCACCTACCCCGAGGTATCTCTAGCGTAACGGATCCAGAGCGAGGAGAATGGCGCCGTCTCTAGAATTGGCCTTCCGAGGGAAAGGAGTCCCAGGTGTCGTCTCCCCTTTCCGGGCCGATGCTTCCATGGGCTTGGGCTCCTTCTTAGAGGGTTCGGACTCAGGGGATTTTGGGCTTGAGGCACGTCTAGGTGGGTGAGGTTCAGGTTCTAGCCCCGGCTCTGACTCGAAATATATTATTGTATGGACACGGTATGGTACTATATATATATGTTGAATAAGGATACATACAGTGCCATCGAGGAAGGAATCCCACCCCGAGTATGTTGCAGCATGTCCGTAGCGTAGTTCCAGAGCCCTCCAGGTGCAGTACAGAACCAATGGCTAAAGATGGTGGATCAAGACAGCTTCAGTTTTCTCGATGGACACCCTGGAGCTGGCACACATCCAGCGTATGGCAGCTTGTAAAACCTTGCAGCAGAGCCGTGACGTGCGTGTACATCGCGAACAAGATGGCGACGTGGAAGATCTGGTGCGAGCTTCCCCAGATATCAAATCTACCAGGAGGCAAGCGCTCCGGGATTCGGAACTACAGAGATGTTCGTCAGACTTATTATTGTCTCTCGGGGAATATGGAGCATGCCGGGTGAGCGTGCAGAAATACCGCGTATAGGCTGACACCGGCGCCATAGAACACAAGCTCGAGCAGATACCACTTCATGCCCGAGTACTGGAGCATGTATTCGAGCCTGTAACGCTAGACTCCGTGCAGCAGGGGTATGAAGGACGAGGCGCCAAAAACAACAAAGGCGCCCACCCTCACTCTCCGCCACCGCAGCGTTCTGAGCGAGGGATTCGAGATTAGAACACCGGTGGCCGTGCCCGTAGTTAAGACCTAGAAATTTGTGTTGTGTTAAGTGATTTTGGCCTAGCTGCTATGTAGGAGCGAAGGTCGCTCGGAGATAGAGAGAGAGAGAGAGAGAGAGAGAGAGAGAGAGAGAGAGAGAGAGAGAGAGAGAGAGAGAAAGAGAGAGACTGACAATAGCCCAGTGCAACTTTTGCAAGCTCGCCTCGCAGAAGAAGACGTAATATATCCCGGAAGCAAATGTGCCCACCGTCACAACGACAATGCCCAGCAGATCCATTGCGTGCCAGACCTGCTCTGCGCGGTACGAGTGGGGCTGCAGCAGGTGGTAGAGCGCGCTGAAGAGCAGACAGATCTCGGCACACCAGAAGTAGATTCCAAACATGGCATAGTCCGCGGACGAGACATTGAGAAATTGCGGCTCGCCTAGGTACCGCAGGAAGACAGTCGCGACGAGCGGTAGGAGGATAGCTCCGACTAGGTGCGTGTACACGTTGCACGTCTTGTTGTGTAGAAAAGTTAGGCTGGCGAACAGCTCCAGATAGTCTGCCTTCTCGGGCCGATAGCCGCTGAGGATGTACTCACTGTCGAGCTGCCATTCGGAAGCCTCCTGCCGCGTTACCGTCCGCGCTCTGGCCGTTGACGGGGGTTGGGCGCTGTTCGTGGTGCTGCTCGTAGCGACTTTCGGCACTTGCCGTTTTTTTAGTCCTGCTCCTCCAGACATTGTCGTTTTCTTATGAGATAATTATATCTGAGCGGGCTGCGCTGGCGATTAAGAACAGCGGCTGTAAATGATGGAGACGAGGCGAAGGATGCGGATTGCTGCAGGCAAGGCAGAGAGAGGAGCGGATAGACGCTTGCAAAGAAGGTATCATGCGAAGCAAGGGATGGAGGGCTTTCGCCGAGGAAGCAGGCAAAAAGCCCACGGCTGGATAGTGCTCTCTACACAGTGGTTAAGTCGTCCACATCGTATTGGACGACACCCGGCCAGCCAGCAGTCGGTTTTCTTACAACGACGTCCTCAAGACGAAATATCCCCTTCTTGGGTCTGGCAGTGCGCAAACCCTGTAAGATCCCCTATCCGTGATCTCCTTTAGACTTTTGTTGCGTTGACAGATTATTTCAAGGCCAATACCGGGGATCCTGAAATGTCACGAACTAGGTATGGCCCCAGCAAGCCGTTCCGGTTGATTATTTACCGTGAAATGGTGAACATACAGGACGAGGTCGACCTTCCGGAACATCGGTGTAAGTGAGCAAGCAAAAGGAATCAAATATGGACGGACGTAAGGCAAGGAGCGGAGCCGCGAACACGCGGGGGCCAGACGGGGTTTTTAATTACGGAAACCAACCTAGTTTCAGGATGCCATCCATGGATGACTAGGGACACACCCCTGTTCGGTTGATGGAGCAAAACCAAGCCCTGTTTTAGTTGTCCGCCCCCACCATTAGTTACCTTACCCAACCCCGGTACAGTACTTTTCACCTACGTCCATGTACCTCAGGCACCTGACCTGCGGCCTGGCTACACACTCTTGTTGGCAAGCAAAATGCAAACCATGGACTCGGAGAAATGGACTCTAACCGAAAGAATAATGGGCTGCAACCTGTCTACGACTAGCCTACCAGCTTCTGTCAAACGCACGGGGAATGAATGCCCAAGGAGCTGCAGCACCGTATCCCCGCGTTAGCTTCAAAACGAACGGAGCAGTTCAGGCCCCGATTTGATGGCCCACTGCTGCGTCGTAGTGAACAGGGCCCAAGGTAGTAGTATGAAGGGTATCGAGTCGATATGGCCCCTGACATGGGAATTGGCAGACCAGACCGGGCCAGAAGGAGGAACCCCAGATTGAACTGCAGACCAAAAAAGGGCGTTCAGTCCATTAGTCCCGCGGTTGGTTGCTGGCCTCCCATCCATGAGTTTGAACGGACAAAACAATAAATAAAAATAGAATTGCAATTGTGTAAATAAGAATACATACCCACCACCCCCGTGCCCACCGCCCACCGCCCACCGCCTAGCCCTCCCGGTATCCTAGCCTAGGTATGGTAAGGTAGGTGCCAAGTCCTCTTCAGTACCTGAGTTCTCTCTCGTACCCGAGCTCTCTCTATTTCCAGTAGCCACCTAGCCAGCCAGCCTGTTTATCCTTCCTTTTCCTAGTTCTTGGTCTTAGCCTTGATCTTAGTCTTAGTCTTCGTTTAATATGCATCATGATGATAGCCTTGGGCGAGGTTTTGTTGGTGGCGGAATACTATAGCGTGCTGTCTCTTGTCTCTGTCCTTGCTTGTGTTCTTTTTTTTTCTTTCTTCTTCTTCTTTTCCTTCGTTTTCTTCTCTTTTTTTCTTGTTCTTTTCTTGTTCTTTTTCTTCTCTTTTTTTCTTCTTCTTTTCTTCTTCTTTTTGCACTTTTCCTCTCCCGCCCCTCCTTGCTCGCTGTCAAACTCACTTGAGTCGGCCAGAGCCATTTCGCGCAGCTGATGCCCGCCGTCCACGGCTGCTAGTAGACCTTAGACACGTCGCCGCGAGAACTGCCTGCGGGGCTCAGTTGGCCGCCGCGGTGTCGTTTGTCGGGGCATAATCCATCGCGTTGCTATTATTATTAGTATTAGTATTGCTGTCGTTTCTGGCGGCAGCGCTGACTGAGGCGGGCGTGGGGATGGTGCTGCTGGCGCGATCGGCTTCGTACTCGGCTACCGCCGCCGCCGACTCGGCGCGGGTTACAAACCTGTGTGAGTATCCGCAGTGGCTTAGCAGCGGCGCCGCCATCTGGCGCGGCGGCGGCGGAATCATGTTGATGGCTGGCACTTGCTGCTGCGGGCTGTGCAGGGGGCTGTTGCCGTTGCTCGACGGCACGTCTTCCATTTCAACGTCCGAGTCCGAGTCCGAGTTCGAGTCCGAGTCCGAGTCCGTGTCGTCGCCGCCGTAATACTCGCCGGCGGCCAGCTCCTGGTCGGCGACGCTGTGCTGGGCGAGAAAGTCGATGATGGGGCGCGGCTCGTCGGTCCTGACGCGCAGCACGACCTTGCCGCGGGCGGCGGGGTTGCGGAGGCGGTCGAGGGCGCGGGCGTAGTCGGCTATGTCGAAGATGTTTGCCTTGTCGAGCTGGCCGTGCAGCAGGCCCTGGTCGAGCAGCGAGCTGATGAGCTCGAGCTCGTCGGGCGCCGGGCCGACGAGCGAGTAACCCGTGGCCACGCCGGGCTCGACGCCGTGGGCGGGCCGGTGGTCGCTGGCACGCGCCACCACGCTGACGATCTTGCCGTACGGCTGCACCACGGCCCACGCCGCCTGGAGTATGTTGTCGGCCGGGCCCGCGCAGTCGAGCACGATGTGGAACTTGGACCGCCGCCACTGCGTCAGGTCGCCCTCGGCGCGCTCGTTGAGCACCTCGTGCGCGCCACCGAGAGCCCGCACAAAGCCGACGTCGCGGGCGGGACACGTGGCGACGATGTGGCCGGCGCCGGCGCGGTTCGCGAGCTGCACGGCCCACGTGCCGACGGGGGTGGCGGCGCCCGTGATGAGCGTCAGCTTCTTCCGGTTGGGCTCGGGCAGCATGCCTTTGCCCATGGGCGTCCAGTGCTCCTTCCTCTCGGGCCGCTTGAGCAGGTCCTGGTCGAACAGGGCCTGGAAGGCCGTGAGCGCGCTCATTGGCACCGCTGCACACTGCTCCCAGGAGAGAAGCGTCGGTTGGACGGCTAGCTCAATAAACTGGGCCACAGTGAAGGGCCGGGCATTACCCTGCGAGTCGAAGCTGGTGTGGCCACTGTTTTTTTTGGGGGGGGGAGGGGGGAGGGTTGTTTAGCTGGTTGCGCTGTGTGGCCAACATGGAAACATGGGATGTGGTGTGCTGCTTCGCACCCAACGACAAGACTTGGTGTGAGACAAAATAAAAGGGGGGGGGACACAAGGCGGCAACGAAAAAATAGAAAAGAGAGGAAACGGGAAACAATAAATAACAAGAAACCAAACAAACAAAAGAACCAGAGAAAAAACATACTAGACCTGCGCACCCGGCTTAAACGGCGAGAGAAACGGGGCCGACACGACATAGCCCGAGAACTCATAGCCCGGGATGTGGCGGTCCGCGTTGTTGTGCGGGCGGTCGAGGTCCTCGCGGGAGAGGGCGACGGCGCAGACCTGGACGACGTGGGCCCGGGGCCTGCTGGCGGTGGGGTCGGGGAATGCTGTGGGCCCCGGGTAGAGCGTCTTGGTGTGCCTGTCGAGGTAGAGGGCCTCAAGCTGGAGCGGAGGAGTGGAGCTGAGCCAGGTCGACATGGCGGAGCGGTGGTTGGGCTTCAAGAGAGAGGGGGAGAGGGCACACGAAGTCTTAGTCTTGCTGCTGTGATTTGTGATCTGTATTGTCCCGTTGGCCCGGCCTACAACAAGCTCCAGACGGCGGTTGGGTCTAGTTTTCTCGTGTGCTTGTCCTTACTGGTCAGCGGCGTGTTGCGGTGTGTGTTGGGGTGGGTATCTTGCTTGTCGATGGGCGGTTCCACTCCCAGTGGATGGGGGGAGGCTCCTAACCAAGAACCAGCCGGTGATTGTGCCAGCGAGTGAGGATGGATGTTGCGGCGACGGTCGAGCTCGCAGCATCAAAGACCACTCATGCTCCCATCCCAGACACGGCCGAATTATTGCCAAAATGAAGATTGTACCCAAGATGAAGTAGCGACAACCGTCGGGCGAAGCGCCTTGGGAAGCTCTGCAAGAACCAAGGTAGTCTGCCCTGTGGAGAGGGAGCGATTTCACAGCCCTTGTGATCCGGCTTGGATTTCTCCGGCCATCGGTGGAAAAAAAACGTAGAATCCCCCGCTGTGGTTGCCGCCGCAGTTTAGATTGTCCGCTGGCTCCCTCCCTTCCCCCTTCCCCCTTCCCCCTTCCCCCCTTCCCCCTTTTAACCCCCCTCCCGAAACTTTACTACAGGGTAGTAGCTTGTGGCCAGCCTGGCAGCAGCCACCTGCCCGCAACCAATATTTTATTTTATTTTTGTACCTTGACCAAGGTACTTGCCGGCAGAGAGAGGAAGCTATGCAGGAGTTGGGTGGTAAATTCTGAATGCAGCTTCATTACGGCAGATGGAAAAAAGCAGGTGCTTGTGAGTTACCGTGATGGTACAGTATGCAGTGCAGCGCAGTACGCAGTATTCGTCAAGAAGGTCAAGAATCTCATGTCTATTGTGTTGTGGCTCAAGAAGCAAAAAGTTTCTTCTCAAAAAGGGGGGGTCTGCAGCTGTGGAGAAGCGGAAAAGCAAAAGAGCCGAAAGCTCAAAACAAGCGCAAACTCCAAAATCGAGGCGCCCTATGGCCGGCATCCAACCGCCGCAAAAGAAGAAAAAATGAATAAAAAGGGGGGTGTGCGTCAATCGCAGGTGTCATACAGCCAAGGCAAAACGGGCAACATCCGGCTAATCAATCCGCCGCTCCTCGTCGTCGCGTGGCCCCCTCAGGAGCGCCTCGGTCTCGCCGCCTCTGGCGTCGGCGCCGCGGTACAGGACGTAGTGCTGCGTCATAAAGATGAGGTCGTAAAACATGGAGACGTTGCCGAGGGCGAACTTGACCGGATTACCCGTGACACCAGACCAATCACCCTGCAGGTAGCTGTCGATGGCCAGCTGGGCGAGGCTGAGGACGCCGCCGACAAAGTCGAGCAGGATCTGGCTGATGCTCCAGCCCTTGGTGGAGCGGTTGCGGTAGTTGACGAGCACCTGCGGCGAGTACTTGATGACGGTGACGACGAGCTTGACGTACGACACGGCGTAGACGACGTCGAGCCACAGCCAGGCGCTGGCGGGCGTGTCGTGGGTGCTGTCGCGGTCGGGCGCGCCGGCGACGGCGAGCAGGATGACGGCGACGCCGGTGACGCAGCCCGCAGAGATGCCCAGGATGAAGCGGCTGGGACGCGAGCCCGCCGACGGCGCGAAGCCCCACGCGCGCGGAAAGAAGTACTGGCTGCTGGTGACGACGGACAGCAGCAGGCCGTGCGCTGCAAAGGTGATGTCGTTGAACTGCACCGTGGGGGTGAGCCCCTTGTTGCGATGGGCGTACTGCGCGCGGATCAGGGGCGAATAGAAGAAGGCGACGTTGGAGACGAAGTAGGCCGAGAAGCCTGCCAGCAATCGCAAGGGAGAGGTTAGCAGCCGTCCCAAGGTACTGTGCTGTGCTGTGCTGTGCTGTACATATATTCTGAGAAGGGACATACCTAGCGTGTTGATCAGGGGAAAGTCGACGGTGGTGCCCGACGTCGATCGGCGGCCAAAGTTGAGCGAGGGCTGGCCGTAGAAGGACAGCGACCAGGCTATAAAATACAGCCAACCGAACGTCGCCGACAACGACTCGAGGAATCCAAAGACGGCCATGTCCGCGGTATCCTTTGCATTATTATCCGGGGCATGTGTCTTCCTTTGCGCCGCGATTGCTGTCGTGTCGATGTGGTTGTGATAGTGTTGCGACGAAAGGCGGATGGTTCGCGGTTCTTATTGCCGCCTCCAGGGGGGGCGCGATGGCGTCAGACGGCCTGGGGCTGGGGTGCTAGACAGGGGGCCGGGGCAGGCAACACGCGCTGCGCTGTTTCACCCCCAGCCCCCGCCCTACGTATCCTTAGCTGGACACCTAACCCAGCCCCGGGCAGGGCATGTTTCTTTGGCCGCTGTGTAACCGTGAACCGCAGCGGTGCTTCTGTCATGCGCAACTCATTAAGAGTCCAAAATCACCTGCAAACTCTGAATAACGGCGGGTATGTCTCAGCCTATGTCTTATGATGTATAGTACTCATTTCTCTCGCCCATCTCGTCCATCTAGGCTGCATCTAGAGGGCAGTCGAGATCTCTTGCAAGTTTCCAATGTCCGGCCATCTGTTTAGACAGGTTTGGCCGAGATGCGACGGGCGGCACCGGCATCGGCATCGGCATCAGCAGCAGGCCTGCAGGCTTGCATATACCCGACATACGCAGTATACATGACAGGGCTGCGGCACGGAGCTGAGCGACGGTGCGCGACTGTTGGCCTAGAGCCCACGTCCGTTTGCGGATTCGGCGGCTGTGCCACAGGCCGGCGTGGTCGTTACAGCGGGCATCCCAACCTGATGGGACCGGGTCATGGATGGTTGATGCTCGATGCCCGATGCTTGATTGGCTGGCGGGTTGATGCACACTTGACAACTGTTTGTGTAGTCGCGCTTACTTACCTACTTGCTTGCTTGTTGGCAACTACGTAACTGGCTTAGGTTGGGCTGGATTTGGCTTTGGCATGATTGATGCCATGGAGAGAAACTCACCGCCAAGATGGGCGCGGGGGGGGCATTGGGATTGGGCTGACCGACCCCTGCCGTGATGCCCCTTTGTTCTATCTGCCATGTCATGATGATCTCTACGCGTATACACCACCTCTCTTGTATCGTCACCACCGCCTTGATCTTGTATCAACCCTCTCATCTCCCATCCCCAAAACCGCACAAGCATAAATAATGCCTCAGCCCAGCCAACCCTCGCTCCTCACCATCCCCCTCGAGCTCCGCATGCTCATATACAAGGAGCTACTCATCTACCCGCCGCTAGCAAGACAAGCACAGCGGCAGTCGCGCAGCATCCACCCGGCCATCCTCGTCGTGTGCGTGCAGACCCACGACGAGGCTGCCCCCGTGCTCTACGGCGAGAACGTGTTCCACGCCCACCCCGCGGCCCTGACTGCGCAGCCGCGCCTCGAGCCGTGGTTCCCGCCCGTTGTCGAGCTGCCATCATTATCATCGTCTTCGTCGTCGTCGTCCACGGCGAGTTCTGGCAGCAGCACGCTGGCCGCGTACACGCGCATCCGGCGGTGGAAGGGTATGCCCCCTCCTAACCCGCTTCTATAACCCCCCCCCATCTATCAGTTCCAAGCACTAAGGGCAGGTCCCTAGTCCAAGTCAACCTCGACTTCGCGCCGGATTATACACGGGACGACGTGACTGCGGCGTTTGCTGGCGCCGGCGAGCTCGAGCTCGCAGTGTGTCGGGGGTTTTCTGCCGTACGTTATAAGTACCTTACATCCCTCTCTCGTGAACTGTAGCAAGGAGTAAAAGAACGACTTAATGTTAAAACTCAAAATCTCGTGTGAAATATAGTTCGCGGGCGGCGCCAGCGCCGACGCGCTACGGCGCTTCGAGGGCGTGCGCGGGCTGCGGCGCGCGCGCATAAGGCAGTCCCCGCCGGGTTACGAGCGCTACGTCGCCTGGCTTGCGGCGGGAATGACCATGGCGCGTGGGGCTGCGAGGGAAGAATATGAGTTTGAGGACGAGTTGGAGCGGAAGCGTTTGGCTGGGTGGGGAGGAGGAGGTCGTGGTGGTGCCGACTCCTGACTGAGGCGGATGGATATCCTCTGGGACATGTGCCAAGTGTATTGAAATGCTCGCGCCCACCAGTTACGCATACACACACACGCCCTTGGCGAAAGAATAGAAAACGATTAACAAAGATTGCAGACTCGTGCGTCCGTCTATCTGTCTATCTATCTGCTACCCATCTACCCAAGTGTGCGTCCGTCCTTCTTTCTAGGTACCTACCCACCAGGCGAGGCAATTGCTAAACCACGTCGCCCATCATCTACAACAAAGAAAGCAAGGGGGCAAAACCAGAATAGTCACTAGAACCAAGATGATTGATACACTCCGACGGTGAGAGAGAGAGAGAGAGGGCGAGCGAGAAGAACAAGGTAAGAACTAATTATACGGTAGAGAGAATGGGGGATAGAAGATGGGGAAAAAAGAGCAAACGTCCTCTTTTAATTACTCCACGACAGCAAAAATACGACGAGAGTAAAAAGGGGGTGCGAACGAATGGTCAATCAAATTTAACGAACGAAAAGAAAAAGACGAGAAAAAAGGGAAACCCCCATGATAATGCACGCACACATGCTTTCCCCAACCAACCAACCAATGCAAACATTTTTTTGTCGTGATTTTTCCATTTTTGGCTTCTGCTTCAAATGCGATCCGAACAAACAAACAACAACAAAGAGGGCTTGCTCTCTCCACGAATGATGTGCCCAGAATTAAAGAAAATGGCGTGTCGTAGGTAACAATGCAAGCATGTAAAGCCCGACACGGTGTGTTTGTGGAGCCAACCATCCCAAAATGTCCACAACTGCCGTGTCTTTGCATTGCCCGCCTACTGTGTTACCCTGCATTGTACAGTATATGTCCTGAGGGGGCGGGTTCATCGATCGGGGTAGGTAGGTAAGGTAGGTGCGAGGCGGGGTGAGGCCAGGCGCAGGTCTCAGCTGCCGCCCGCCTGGGGTAATGGAGGTGAGGTAGCAGGCACCGGGAAGGTTGGGGGTTTGCCGAAGTGCAATATCACACCACACCACATCGAACCGCACAGCACAGCAAAGCATAAACCCGCACGCGGGCCCATCCGCTAGCCGGAACTTACAAGTGCAACCGTGACCCTCACAACGCAGAGGCCCGGGCAAGCCAACCAAGCATGAAGGAACTTGAAGTGGCCATACTTAGGCCGTGCTCGCGCTGCTGCTGCTGCTGCTACCCCCCTCAGCTGGTATCCATTGCCTCAGCACCTTCCATCCCTTCTCGTTCGGCCCCAGCTTCGTGCGCCCAAGGTTCTCGTCCAGGTCGAGCAGAATCTTGAGCGCGTTCCGCGACCGCACGAACGGCGTGTCGGGTGTCGTGTCCTTCATCGCCGCCGCCACGTCCACCACGCCGCCGCCGCCCAGCTTCGACTCCGACTTGACCCCGCCCGGATATGGCAGCGCCGTCTGGAGCAGCTCGTAGGCCGCGAGCGTGAAGCCGAACTGCGGCGACGACCGCAGGATGCGCGCCGGCCCGCCCTTGAAGAAGGCCCGGAACCCCTCCTCCTTGAGGATCGTCTTAGCGGCGTGCCTCAGGCCTGTGTACGTAGTGTCGCCCTTCCGCGCCTCGACTTGCAGCCGCGTCTTGATCACGTCGCAAGGTGTCGTCAGGTAAGCCGCCGGCATTCCAGCGATGGCGCCCGATGTCAAGAGCTGGAGCACGCCGAGCTTCTTGGTCGGCGACTCGCCGAAGAGGTCCTTCTTCAAGTGGGCGTATGTGGGGAAGTAGATGGCCGAGAAGGGCACATCGCGCAGCAGACACGCCGAGGCTCCCTTGTACAGCCCGACCAGACCCAGATTCCGAATGATCCACATGGCAGACCGCTTGGGCGCGCCCTCGACGCTCTTGGCAACCTCGCCCTGGACCTGGAGACGGATCTTGACGATTTCCAAGGGGTTCGTGAACACCTAAATCAGACCCCAGTCAGCATTACCGCACAACAGAGCTCGGTCATGGTACAGCACAACAAACGGATGACATACGACTTGACAGGCACCGGCAGTGCCGCCGGCAATGATCTCATGGTACAGCTTGATCCCCTGCTTGTCGGAGAACCATCCTCGAACAAGATCGTTGACCGTGAGCTTGATGGCCTTCTCGGGCGCCACCCCGATGAGCTGCGGAACGACGCCCGAGTACAGACCCCTGAACCCCTCGTTCCGTATCACCTTCCGGAAGCAGTCGATCGAGTTCAGATACAGCCTCTGGCCCACCGAGGCTGACCTCTGGTTCTGCATCCTGGTCTTGACCAGATCGATGGGGTAGACCATAAAGGCACCGAAGGCGCCAGCGAAACTGCCGAGAGCAAAGTTGTAGCCCGACTCAAAAGCTTGTGCGAAGAAGTTCTGGGAAGTAGTCCTGTCCGCTGGAGGGCCCGCTTCGTCGCTCTGGATCCCCCGGTTTCGCCAGGACGGGTCGAGAACCTTGGCAAAGTCCCGCAGGCCAAGGCGACCTGACGGCTCGTCGAGACTGGCAAAGTGGAACAAGATGTTGGCCTCCATGGGGGTGAACATGGTGAAGCGCGTGACCTTGGCGGCGTGGTTGAGGAACTCGGTCCTGGTTATCTTGCCGTCGGCGCTCTTTGCGCAGGCGCGTCGAACGATGAGCTCTACCAGGTCCATCTCCTTAATCATGTTCTGGAAGGCCCTAACGTTGGCATACGACACCTTGCTGCCCTGCGTGATGTTGCACAAGGTATGCAGGTTTTCCAGCAGGTGGTCTGAGAGCTTGTGCCTGGACGTCTCCATAATGATGCGCTCAAAGTCCTCGGGCTCGATAAAGCCATCGCCATCCTTGTCGAAGAGCTCGAAGGCCTGTCTGATCCTCTCCCCTTGGAGGCCACGCAGCATCTGCGAGAATTGTTGGTAGTCCAGGTTGTGCCTCTTGGTCTTGCTGCCAATGTACAGCCTGGCCCACTCGCAGTCCCAGTTGAAGGGGATGCTGTCGGGCCCCTTGTTGAGCTCGTAGAGCTTGCGGAAGTCGTCGTACTTGACGGTGCCGAGGCGGTCGACGTCGAAGAGACGGAAGGCAATCTCGTACTCGGCGTCGGGCTTGGCGAGGAGGTTCTCGAAATAACCCCAGTCGGCGAGGTTGACCTTGCCCCTATTCCTCCGGTCGGCGACGCGGAACAGGATCGAATACTGTTCCCGCTTTATCTTGTGCTGTTGTCAAACACGCCTACGCGTCAGCTAATTCGCTATCGGCGACACAGCAAAGCTGCTGCTCGGCTTACATAGTCTTCGTTCGGGGGGGCGACAGCGTCGATGAACTGTTCGGGCCCCAGAGCGAGCTCGCCCGTCTCCAGGTCTGTCTGAGCATGGCGGCTGAAGCGGGCCTTGGTCTGGGCGGAAAGCTGTGTCACCTCTGGCTCCTGGGAGCCGATGAGGGTCTCCTTGACGGCCTCCTTCACGGCTGCGACCTTGGCCATGGTGGTTGACACGAGTATGCGCGCGAATATTACGAAGCTGGAGGTGCCTGCCGGAGCGAGACGGGTTAAGAGGAGAGGTCGGCAGCAAGCAATCGCGGGGATGCCACCGTGTTATCGCGCGTTGTGTTGAGTGGGCCGATTCTCAATGCCGACTCGCTCGCAAAAAAAACAGAGAGGGTTGGCGGGAGTGAGTCAATTTGCGACAGCTAGCTCTAACTCGGGAGTAGCCAGAGCCAAGCAACGTGAAGGTAAATTTGGCTTTGTCACGAGGGTCAGCAGCTTGGCGGCAAAGCTGAATCCAGCGTTCCAACGTCCAGAGCCCAACGTCTAACGCAACGACACTGCACTGCACTCAATGCAAAGAGTGACTCAATGGTATAGAAAACGAACGTCGCGATCGGCGCAGCGTAGGTCGCAGGTGGATATCCGAGGGAGGGGTGCAGGAGAGGAACACCTGGAGAGGGTAGGCTTGTTGGCCGAAACAGGAGCTCTATCTCACCCTCTAATTTTTTTGAGCCTTTATTTTTTTTCTCTCATGCTCCGTCCAATCCGAAGTGGCAATTCGTCGGTTACAGTGGGGGTCAGCTCAGCCTTGGCGGGCGGCTGGGCTGGCACGGCTAGGGCTAGCTGGGCAGGCCCAAACAGCCGAGAAAAGCCCACTGGCCAGGCCAGGAGGAATTAGTTCGGGGTTCTCCGCCATTTGGAGTTGGGGGGATCCACCACCGAAAGTACAAAGCTCTGTCGAAAAGGAAACGCTTTACCGTCGGAGACACGAAAAGAAAAGAGCGGCATCACGTAATCCCGAGGCCAAAACGTGCAACACACAACCTTCTGTCCCAAAGAAAAAAAAAGTTTAGCGCGGTTTGAAGATTTTAACGTTCCACGTTTTCCACGGAATCCCCGAAGCATGCTAGCGCCGAATCAAAATCTCTACGGCAGGGGTATGTCATTGGATATATCGGACGATCCCGCCAACCAGAGGAAGGAAGCACGAGTTGCTGACATGCAAGGGAAAAAAGCTTGTTTGTGGCTTTTCCAGATGATCGATCGAATTGGAAAATCCATGCATGCAATGGCGCTCGAATGCGAAATTCCACGGTCAGCAACAAGTAACAATAAGTTTCATTGGATCCGTATGGTTTTTACTGTGAGTTTTGTAAGTGCCGGATAATCACTATTAGTGCTGTTGCCTGTGACGTGTAAACAAGCCGCTAGCACACATACACACATGAGTGTGTGGCGGTTGATGCCGCAAGGTCGAGAGACTCGAGACGAGCCAATGCACGTCCAAGACGGCGGTTGAATCAAACAGAAACAATACAACCTTACCCACACGCAACACACACTCAAGGACTGATAATTACGAAAACCGTTTTCCATTCCCATGTCTATTTACTGCTAAGCTACTACTCTTCAGTGCCGTAGAGAAAGCCCATCAGCCAAGCTGAGCTTTCCCCTCGCGCGCAATGTTCAGATTATTTGAAAACTCCTTTTCTCGCCGAGAAAATGAAGATTTGCAATATTCTTCCCTCCGCCCACCAAAAGTATTTGCTTAGAGCAAAAGATATAATAAGAATATAACACAGAGTGTCCACCATCTGTATCTCTCTAAAAGAAAATATGCTCATACCTTGTCTTCCGCAAGCGCGCCCCAGTATAACATCCCAATTCCTACGCCCGCCAGGATGCCGTCTCATTATCTCAGCCACCCCGTGATGTCTCAAAGTGCAAATAATAAATATAATAAAATTCCTCAACGCCATGACAAAGGAAGCAGACAAACAACCAGTGATCCTCATCGCCAACATTATCTGCTCGCAGACGGCAAGATCAATAATAGAAATAGCAAAGGGATCTCCCAAAAGTAAAGGAATCGATCGTATGTCTCGTCGCTTCGTGATATAGCGGGGGAGGGGGTTTGTGTATGTGTGCGTGCGTGTATAGTGTAGCTGGTGATTGTGCTGCCGAGGAGGGGGGTGTCGTAACTTGGGCATCAGATCCTGAAATGTCCAGTAACCAAGACGGCTGCTCCTCGAACTACTAAGCAATCCCTTAGTCGGAGGAGTGTAACTGGAATCTGAGGCGCGAAAGACGAGGGTACTGCGACGGTGGTAATAGCGATATAGGTTCGTACAGTTCCCATTCGGGGTCGCCATGCTGATATTAGTAGGAAAGTGTACACCCATATCGATCTCTATGTCGGGGTCAAAGGGGGAAAGAAATGACCAGTTTCCCAGCGGCCAAGATAGGGTACTAGGGCACCGTGAGTCTGGCGCGCAAATTTTGTACAGTGAATCGAAGACGATGTACGGTCGGGGCTTGCGGTTAAGCCTCAGTCGAGATGTGGGGAATGATAGGCTCGAAGTTGGTCAGGCGCGACTCCTCGAACGGTGACGAGTTGCGCGCAGCCTGCAGCAAGGCAGGCAGGGGCAGCTTGAACCCTTTGACCATCTTCTCCTCGACGAAAATGGAAGAATACTTGTACCGGGGGCCGGAGTACTTGTCAAAGACGGCCCCGTGGTGTCGGTGCGGGTCCTGGCAGCACTCAAGGAGCATCGTGACGAGCGGCTTGAGCTGGCTCATGGTGTAGCCAGAGTAGTGAACGTGTGCGAGTGTCTGCAAAGTTTGAGTTAGCATTGAATGACCCTTGGGAGAGAAGAGATTTGACTTACCCAATCACCCTTTGCCAAGAACATGCGCGCGAGGCAATGCGCCCCAGCAGCAATAAAGCTGGGGGGGCTGCCAACGAAACGCTCGTCCATGATCGTCATCTCCAGGAAGTACTTGGCCAGAGTCCGCGTCTCCAAGTCGTAATCATCCGCCTTGCTAATGCGACGGAGAAAGCTCATGGGTCCGGGCCAGCCAAGTTCGAACTGCAGCATGCTAAGCATGAAACGCTCTGCCTTGAGAATCTCTTCGATGTTGTAGCCCGAATCCACCATGTACACAATCTCTTGCACAGAAGGGCAGTTGATCTCTTCATACTTTGCAGCCAAGAACATAGCTGTGGCTCCCACAAGCTGAAGCTTTCCGAGAGACACGACCTTGACCGAGAGAAAACGGTCAATGTAGTTGACCGTCAGAAACAGAGTCTCCGGGAGGAGGCTGAATCGGTGATGGACCTGGACAAGCCAGTCCATGAGGACGGAGCGCATGGACCACTGGATCTCGGTCTGGATATCCATGTAATGAGGGTTCGGAAGCATGTTTGCCTGTGTGAGATTGTCAGCAACTCGTCAAAGAATCAAGGGGAAGGACGATAGGTGCATACCTCGAGAGTCCTCATGTGCGCAAAGATCTCATCGCCGTACTCGGCAACCATGCTCACATCCCAAGCCTCCTCCTCGAGTTCTTCCTCCGTCTGGGTCTCTTGGACATGGTGCAAGGCCCTCTCCAGCTCCTTCTTGATGTTCGCTGTGACTTTCGGTGCCACTATAGTGGTCACCCCGCCAGTCGTGTTATCGCCGTGAGATCGGTAGGAATGGGCCGTCGTGAAACCCTGCTCGTCGTAGAGATCCTGCTCCTCGTCCTCGTCCCAGTACTCCTCGGGCTCGGAAGTTATCGGTGCGGCTGGAAGAGACTTGTGCGAATGTGCAATGTCAGAGTGAGTGGTAACGTGCTGCTCTACGACATCTTCGACTTGGACAGAGCGAATTAGATCCGCTCCCCCGACCAAGTCCTCCTCAATTGACGCCTCAAAATCCTTGGACAAGCGTTCCACGGCGTCCTCGTAAGCCACCTCGGTAACATCGTCGGGCAGGTCACTGCCATCCTCAACCTCGACAAGCTCGTCGGCCTTGTGGAGATACTTGCTCTGAGTGCGTCTGAGAACGGGCTGGTCGAGTTTGAGCTGAGGCTGGCTCTTGTAGTGGCGCGGATTCTTAATCTGTTTGTCTACAAGAGCGAGCAAGTCATCAACGGAGGCTCCGACCTCGGGACGGACAGCGACATTGCGGTCCTTCTTGTCTTGGTATATCTTCGCAACCTTTTTGGCGGGTCCCGGTTTCACCAGCGGGTTGGCTGCCGAGGCGATGTGCTGCTGCGAATACTGCACATTGCTTCGGAGAGCTGGCTTTGCAGCCTGTCCCAACAGCGCCGTCGAGACGGGGCCATTACTGAGACACTTTGATGACTGAGCTGTGGCCCGACTATTTTCTTTGTCCTCGACCCTAGGCTCGCGGGAGGTAACAGCCGCGATGACCGGCTTGACACGTCCCTTGGACGCGTCCTTCCCATCATAGTCCACGATGCTCCTCACCACGTTGCTAACATCACCAAACGCAGTGCGCTTCGGCGGGGCATTGAGGGCCCCAGTCATGGTCACAGCCTTGAGGTTGACGGCAGATTTGTGACGCTGGTGAATCAAGGTCTTCACTGGGGGCGCGTTCTCGTTCCCGTTGGCTGGAGGGGGAGGGGCTCGCTGGGGACGTTGAGGCTAAAGTGAAGATTTGTCAGTGTACCGTAGCAAGTGAAGCAGGGGTAGTTTGGGTATATTCGGGAGAAGACGTGCGCACAAACGATAACGCCGCAGGTTACGCCGGCGGCGAAACGGAGGGTTAATAGTGCACGCGGTAAAGACAGGATTGGCAAATGTGCCAACGGTGAAGACCGGTTGTGAAGAGAGAAAGTTGAGGAGAAGGGCAGTGGTTAGGAAGCCGAGCAAGGAAGTAGGTTAAGGTAGGGTAGAGAGGTAGGTTGGCGGGCTAAATAGGGAGGCTACAGAGATTTGGTGGAGAAGATTAAGTTGCGTACCTTGGCGTCCATTGTTGGGAGCTGAAGCCGTAGCGAGGTGGTCGTTTGACTTCCTTAGTCGGGACTACGAGTTCGGGCGGTTGAAGATGGGATGAATGCTGCACAATGCCAGGCGGTTCGACGTTGGTACGAAATACGAAGTACAAGATGCCGGGATCCCGATGACAATACTGTTGCTCCGATGGTCTCTGAGCGCCCCCCAGTTACAGGCACGCAACGCGTAGAACACAAGAGGATAGCGCGCCCAGTTGACACAACGGTATCGATAGATGAAGAAAGTCGCGAGATTGGGCCAAGCTGTCGTCGCTTTCGGGGCCCAGGAGCTGGTCGAACGCCACGAGTTGGCCGCAGGGAGGGAATGGGATGGGAGAAGAGGCAGTCGCTAGTCGAAGGTCGAGACAATAGGAAGCAGCGCGTCACACGTCGACCGCAATCTTAAATCTCAAACATGAGAGAAATAATAACAGGTCGAGGACGGTAATTGCCGTTCCTACCGCCGGTGCTCACTTTTCCTTCACTTTTCTGAGGCGGAAAGTGAGGATGTCGGGTTGGGGCCCGAGTTCTTCGTGCATGCCCAGAAGTGAAAAAATAAGTATGTTGCTCCTTCTGTTTATTGACAACTTGAGGCATGTAAACAGAGCACGGACATTGTCAAAGTAGTGGTCTGTGCAATCCCTGTCAGCTTGGCACCATCACTCCGGGCGACCCATTCTTCCGGCTCCGCTTTGAGCGCGTGTCGAGTGGGGTCCGAAGCCAATGACGTAACCCGCTACTTTAAATACCATTGAGGGGCTTTTGGAGTCAGTCGCGTCAACTTTTCGACATTCAGAACACGGCCAAAGTCTGCATATCTCACCATATTGTTATATAAGTATTCCCGATTGCTTCAATATTGTCGCAAGTCACTTAGAAAGCGTCAAGTCTAATTTGCGACATCAATTTCCCTTTTCTCGCCGACTAATCGCCGCATCTTGACAGCTTCAGAAAGCGCGTCGTCCCGCGGAGCTAACCGACGCCAGCTCGTCGCGTTTCCACGTGACTCTTCCCGCAGCACTGAGGCCTGAATTGAGGCAAGCAGACGCCAAGATCAAGTCCGCGACGGCCGTTGCGCTCGCCTTTGAACAAGGCCTTGCTGAAAAGTCTGCGTCGTCTGTTAATCTCTCTATACATTTCGGCATCTGAACCGCCGCGGATAATTGATTTAGGATCTCAAGAAACGATGGGCGACGCCGACGCCGACGCCGACGCCGACGCTGGGAGCGCGGGGTGTGGAGACTGCCCGCTTCTAACGACCATCAATTCTGACCAGTCAAATGGCTAGCGCAGCTAGAGATGAAGCACTCTGTTTTTGTTGTTTTGATCAAAGGGCCGGCCGACGCATGGCGCCTGGTCGAATGATTTGCGATCCGCTCAGCCGCTGGGCGTAGCGACCATTTTTCATGCCAAACCTAAACTTGTTCCAGGAAGCCAAATCCGAATCTGCCTCAACCTACCCCTCCTCGGAAGAGTCGGGTCGGGGGAATGTGGATGTTGCGAAATGATAGCGAGCAATCCGCGAAGTGATTACCATGCGCCCACGGTGTGGACAGACAACTTGTCTCGCTCTCTTCAGCTGGACGGTCATTGTTAATAATTGCGCATGCCAGAGGGGCTACTGACAAACCGCCGATGTATTTTTTTTCATCTCAACTTTCCAGTCTTGTCCGGTCTTTGTGCGCGCGACATTTAAATATCCGGGATTTCACCATTGGAACGGGACGGATGATGCTGCCCGCCCAATGCACACCTACTTCCATCGCCAGCTGCCGGGCCAGAGCAGGGGGATGCCCCCCCTCCATTTCACGGCCAGAGAAACTCACAGCTCATGGGCTTCTCCCGCGACTCGCTTCGCTGCGGAGTAAAGTGGTTAATATGATCGTCCACAAATACTCTGACATTACCTGTCCTTCATCAACGGCTGGTCTGCCATCAGGAGACTGTAGCGTGGCAAAACTATTAGCAAGTTGTGCAGCGCAGGAGCAGGTCAAATCAACCTAGTTGGCGCAAAGCGCAAAGAGGTGCATGACCTGTACTGATAAAGGTACCCGATTGTGGGCCGCCAGCTGGAGACCAGAGGCTGGAAGCAGAGGCAGTCGGCTGGCCAGATACGGAAGGCAAGGCATCGCCTTCGCTCCTGGCCTGGGGAATAAAAAGCCTCGAGGGGAAAAGCCCCTAGGATCCCAGCCCGGGCTAGAGACTAGGCGAGTGGCTTTCAAGTTGACGGAAATGACAAAACTCGGCTGCGAAAGTTGACCGGTGCGGAATAACCCATCGAGTGTTTTGCGACAAAGGCCGGAATTGCAGGCGGACAGGCGGGCAAGGCGTTTGGCGGTTGCAGATCGGCAGCACGAAACGGGTAAAAGTGCGGTCATGGACGCTAAAACCCCATGTCTGTGCTCCGTGCTACGAGAGAGAATGTGGCTAGGCCCATTCAAGATCAAGATCTAGACAAGACAAGCAGAGCCCGTCGCCGCCACCTGCCTTTCTCAATAACCACACGGGTACTCAAAGACTGCTCCCCGTTCGAACTGGCAGGAGGGGCACCACGACTTCGCCGCCCCGCTCACCGGCAACGCAAGCACTCGGTTCCCATCCACGTGCCTTACCTACCAGGCTCCATTCGCAATAATTCAATGCGCATCTCTGGCGGCAACTTGGCTCCAACCCAGGACAAGTCTTTGGATCTGGCACGCCTTGTCTGTAACTTGAATCCAAGGTTAGGTTAGGTAGGTAAACGCGGGCTGAAAGTTTGTTCATGTATGTAGGTACCTAGCGAAGGTGCTTAGGTTTCGCCCCTTGGCCGTAACTGACGCCTCTAGATGGATGGATGGAATGCCCTGGATGGATTGCTGCAGCCATCTGCATCTATCTGCAGACGGCGGACCTTAATCTTTCGAGGCGGTTCGGCTCTGGCTGGCGTTGCATCGCCGGAGCAGCAGAGAAAGCAGGTGCGCTTTCCCTTTGGACTTAAGGAGTCCATTAACAGAGGCAGATAGACAGACTGCTCTGCTTCGTTTCCGTCTACGGTATGGTCTGGGTGTCTGGCACTGGGACTGGGGGGGCATTTCGGGCATTGGGCGCAGATCTGACAAGCTGATTCGACACGGCCGGGCTCGCATTTGAAACTTTGCCAGCGCATCGAGCCGTGGTCTAGTCTGGTCTTGTCTGCGATCCTGCCGTCTTCAAACCCACCCACTCTTTTCAGCCAGCTGGCTGGCTGCTGGCTGCTGGCTGCTATCTGGCCGTCTGTCGGCCTCTAGGTGATGGGAGCAACAAGAAAGACCCTAGCTCGGAAACCTTTGCATCATCGCACGCGCATGGCCGCCGCCATCCTCCTTGATGCCGCTTGCGCTCCTCACTTGCACTTGCACTGGCACTTGCGCTTGCACTTGCGGTGGCCTGGTGGCAGCATTGGCCAAGTCTCGGCTGTTTCCCCGGAATCTCTGCCTCACTCACTCACCGTCCTCGTCGTTAAAACGCGGAAACAGCCTAGGCACAGCACAACACAGCACAGCACAGCAACTCCTTGCGCACCTCAGAGGCGCCCGCCACAATCGGGGTTTCTTGGCAACCCTACCGAACTTACTTTACTCCGTATCCGTACAGCTCCCTCGTTCGGTCTCTTTACTAGCTTTCCTCTTGCCTTCCTATTGACCAAGAGACGCCATGTATAGCGAACCCAAGGTTTCTAAAGTATCCATGAAGAAGCGGGGCCCACGTACAGTCGTGCGCACATCTGTTCCTGCGCGCCAGAGCAGTTACGACACTTCGAGGTGTTGACCACATTGCGCCTGGGGCCGGCCAGACCCCTGCCATTCGGGTGCTGCCTGCTCTCGTGCCTCCCATTGGCTGGCCGCAGTTCGACAAAGACGGCGATGGCCATATGGTAGTTCGTCGGCTTGCCTGGCGCATTCTCATCCAGTGACTTGCTAGCACAGGGAACCGACCGAGTGTCAAGTGGGATGCAACGGCATTATTGATCCTGAAAGCCTGCCCCAGATACCTACCTACACACTACACAGTAGAGGAGATTTTCCGTGTGTGTGCCCAAGGTGAAATTTAGCGACCCTGATGGCTAGCAGCATGCGATCAGGCCCGGCCAATGGCCAGGCAAGGTCGGCCAGGTCGCCATTGGAGTGACCCGCCGCCCAGCAGCAACTCCGCAAGCAGTGGGCGAGGAGCTGCCCTGGAGAAACAGAAAAGGCGCATTCTTGCATACCCACCCTCACTCTCCAGAGTCCACCCGGCCAGCGACGGTGTCCCTAGCACGGCACTGTAGGAGACAGATGTGAAGCTATGTAGGAATTCCCCAAATCTATGTACCTTTTGTTCGGGTCAAGGTGGTCGGCGGCCATTGTGTGTGTGCGCGAATCGGTGTGCGTGAGTGGTTGCGTGTCGCATAGCGCTCCCGTCCAACGTCCGATTATCGCCAAAAGCGGCGGATAAGAGTCGATTGTCTGGCGTTAAACACAGCGTCCCCAGGCTTAGCTAAAATAAGGTGAGTTGGATGTATGTATGTAGATACATTACATACATACTAACACGTTCTAGGTAGGTAACAAAGATTCGCAGACCGTCTTCGTAACCACCTTAGGGCACCTCACCCAAAGCATCTGGCGCACACCTGGGGCTGCCCTCTCTAGATCCATATCATAACCTTAGCATCTTCCCGCGCCGTGGCCGCGGCCGAGGCCTGGCTGACTGCCGAGAGGCAACGAATAGCCTCCGGCCACTCACTGCGTAGCCGCTGGAGCGCATCTCGGTCCCAGCTCCAGAGGTCGGCGTGCACAGTCCCTGGCACCTCGTACCTGTAGGCTGGTGGTCGTCCAGGCTGCGACTTGAACTTTGAACTAATTCTGACCCCTGCGCTTCTTCAATGGCAATGTCGTCGTCGGTTTACGCATCGTGCGCTGTTGCAGTTCACCGTCCACGGCGTTCTCCCGATCCTGCAATCTTGACTCTTTTATATGCTCGTCTGTAGGTAAAGCCGTAATTAGATACCTAGATAACTGTAGGAAATCACAGAGTGTATGCTCCTCACGAACTTGCATGTATGTGCGACAGTTGGCTCTTGTCACACGTCCACCCCACCGCTGGCCCCCGGGATGACAGCCCCATTTTGTTCAAGAGCCAAAAAGTCTAGACTAAGATGGAGACAACAACTTAACTCCCCGTCGTCCCTACCTAGCTCCGTCCCACCCAACAGACGAGGATTGCGAACAGATGCGCCGCTCAATGGACGAGATCAGAGTAGAGCGCTCCCCCCCGCGGGCTAATGCCTCCTAATGGCAGCTTTTGGCGGGAGTGTGTGTCCACGCGCTTCCCGCTGAGGTGGCTTGCTTGGGGCGAGCGCATTCCGATCTAAGATAAGAAGAGAGAAGCATACATACAGACACCCCGGCCAGGGGGGGGATACTGTACTATGTTTGCGAGGTAAGGTATGCACGGATAGGCATCTAAAGTGCCTTATGTATACATTCGTCGATTCGTACAGTACACACATGTAAATAGAAACTCGCTGCCGAGAGCCAACCTGGAAGTAATGTATGTGCAGTACAAGTACCGTACGGAATAGGCGAGCTGTGTGGTGTGAATGTGGGTTGATGCAAGCGCTAGCCGTGCGAACAACCAAAGCTAGGGCAGGCACCATGTCGTCGACGCCTGCGCAACGAAGCGCAAAGCAAAAAAAAAAATAGATAGGATGCGACTCAGGCGCGCAAATCGGCTACCCTAGGGAAAGGAAAACCGTCTACATTAGCTAGGCGGGCGTGAAAGAGCATGCCTGCGAGCGAACGAACAGACAGAGCTAGCCCGTGTCGAGACTGCGAGGCGCTGTCTAACCGCTTATTTCCATTCTTGTCTGTCTGGTGCGTGGCCTGCCCGGTACGGTACTGTACATACGGTGCGGTGCTGAGGTGGTGACAGGAATTGCGCTGTGGCACAGTGTTGAAGCGCAGTCACCCACACACACCTCCATACCAATCCAATACACCCATACCTACCAAACTAGTGCAGTGCAGTGCGCAGTGCGGTGCCGTGCGGTGCCGTGGTGTGGTGCCTTTTAATGCAGAATTCTTGCGACTCCTCCATTCTCTTCTCAACGCACACACAACCCGACCTCCGAATTGCTCAGGTCGGCCCCATCAAATCACCCAGGATCTTCGTGGTAAGTCATTGCCATGTTGCATGCGACAGACGGTGCCTGTATCTACTCAGGTCGGCCAGCGCCAGATGCGCATTTGTTCGTCCGAGACTTGGAGGGCTCCTGTCGCTTGTTGCATCCATGCCAAGTACCCCGACTGCGAGCGACTGACTGACTGACCATTGCCCGCCCGCCCAGGCCAAGTCCGGTTTGTGTGCTAGACATCGAGATCGAAGCCCATCTACCGTCCGTCAACACCACTCTTCAGTCATTATGGTAAGTGTTTCCGGATCTCCAATACCATGCGATCGAGTCCCCACTGCGATACCTGCCCATTTCTTTCTCCCTACTGCAAAGCATGGCCATCTCGCTCGACACGGCGGGAGCCTGCCTGCTTGCGCTTCTCCTCTCCCACTCCCGTCCTCCTCTGTCTCTCCCCTTCCACTACCACCACCACCACCACACCTCAGCCACCATCATTGCAGCCTACCCAGACAACAAGACACAGCATCGCCGGGTTGGCGACTACCACTGTTGTTATTTGCCCCCGCATTAGCGCAACAATAGCTAATGGGCTCCGTCTCGCAGCAGATTTACTAGAGAACCATCAATCCTTAGCATCTCGGCCGCATCCCAAGCAGCAGTCACAAAGACAAGCCAACCCCTGCCGCGCCCAGGCGGTGATTTCAACCCTGACCTGTCCGGCGTCGCCCACATCTCTTTCCCAAACACACAGCGTCTTCCGCCGGAGGACGCCGCTATCACCTGGTCTTCTGGCCGGGTATGGAATTGTCGGGCCCCGTGCCGTCCACATCTGTCAATATCCAAATCCCCCACACCGGCGCTGTCTTTGGGGCCCCAGCCTCTCCCGACCGCTTCCCCCAACCCTACCCATCGCCCGCACAGGAGCGATCGCTAGCCAACGCCGCCATACATCCCGTCGCACCCATGGCGGCGACACAGCCTCCGGTCAATGGGGCCGCTGCCATGCCGGCCGCTCCCAATGCCGATCCTACGCAGCAAGGCAGCCCGTTGCCTCCCAAGAGTGTCACATTTGAGTTGATGTTCCCCGAATACCGCGCGCGCTTGCCGCTTCGCGTTTCCATATATCTACACGATGCCACCGACTCCATTGTAACAACCGTCAGAAACTTCTACGGTCTGTACGAGTCACAAGGAGTCAGCTTTGAGGATGAGCAAGGCAACACCCTCATCGCACGGTACGAGAACTTCCGCAACCACATGATCATATATGTGCGTGTCCTTGAGAATGTCATGTCTCCCGCCCCGGGCGCCTTCGGCGCTCGCGGTTTCAACTCTCCGCCCGTCGGCGCCCAAGGCGCTGCCAATGGCGAAGCCTTTTCACCGCAACACTATGGGCAGCACATCGCTCGGCCCGGTTCCGGGACATCGCGCCTTCGCAGTCTCTCGCCGAACGGTGGGCGTGGCCGTCGCAGCGCCTCGGCGGGAAAGAACTCGGCGGCCAGCAAGAAGGGCCGGTCACGGTCGTCCAAGAACAGGGGGCACGGCTCCCAAGCAGCTGGCGATTCCCACGGTGACAGCGTAAACGGCTATAGCAGTGGTGACGGCGCGCCAGGCTCGAGCTCGGGTAAAACCAAGGAGCAATTGGGGAATACCGAGATCAGCGTGGAGAATATCGTCGAAGGGGGCCGTCGCAAGCGCGCCAAGTTCGAGAGTTCGGTAAGGTCCCGAACTTCTTTGCGGGTTTGCGCGCATAGGTTCCATTTGCTAATCAATGTCTTCTCCTGCTCTAGGAACTGCCCCTTTTTGCTCCTCCCCAAATGCCGGCGGCTACTTCGAACCCTTCCGTCTCCCCGGCCCGGCGTATCGAGCACCACCGACAATCGCTTCCCTTTGTGCAGCCTGGGCAGAATCCGTTTAGCAACCCTCGGCCACTGCAGTCACCGCAAAGCTACAATAGTGGTTACGCGCAACCGGGCACGTATGCTACTCCGATTGGGGATGGTCGGCGCACTCGAGGAAGCTTCGAATATACTCAGGGCAGTGCCGGCGTCGGCCCCGGGCAGAACACGATGCCTACTCCCGACCCGACAGTTCAGAGCTGCATGTCGGAAGAGGACAAAGACGTTGCCATCCAGCTTATGCGTTTGGGTGAAATGTCAAACGTTTCTCACGGCCGGACTTCAGCCTCGACATTAGATGACACCTTCAGCGGGAGAGCGGATGCGGCGTCGTCGACTGGCGCAACCAGCGAGGCCGAGAGTGGCAGTGAAGAAGAGATGCCGCCTGCGCAGCGGCAAAAGCTGGACATTATGGGCAATCATAAGGTGTTTGACACGATAGAGAGCCACTTTGCTGGCCCGCGCGAGAGCGTTGAGTCCAGCGGCGATGATGCCGACTATGAAGACGGTCCCAAGGAGGGCTCAATGGCCGCTCCGAAAATCAAGAGCGAGAAGCCGAAGCCGAGCTCTGTGAACGGCGCCAAGCCGCGTCCGCAGCCCTTGAACAAGGTCAAGACTTCCAAGCCGGCCAGCAAGCCCAAAGTGAAGAAGATAGCCTCCACCATGGGGCCCATGTCTCCGGCGTCTCTGCCGGCGTCCCGCAAGCAGTCGATTGCGTCTAATGGAACATTTTCGTTGCTTCCTGGCGACGACGACAATCCGGATCTCTCGACCAAGCCAAGATGCCAGCGCTGCCGCAAGAGCAAGAAGGGCTGCGACAGGCAGAGGCCATGCGCTAGATGCCGCGATGCCGGGATTCCTGCGGACCAGTGCATCAGCGAGGATGAGGGCAACGGGCGCAAGGGTCGATATGGGCGTCATATGGGCGTTCCCATCAAGATTGGCGACATTCCAGCGCCGGGTTCCCTTTTGCCCGCTGCGCCCATCGCAGCGACGGCGACGACTGCCGGCGCCGCCACCACAGCCGCCATCCCCCCAACAGTATCAGCAGCATCTCTGCCACCTCTTGCTCCTGGCGCACTCGATAAGAATAAGAAGCGCAAGAGGTAGGCCAAAAACTCCCACGGTAACATATACAGCGCTCTCGATGGTACCCTGCCAACAGGCTTCATGGCTATCTTCAAGGGAGCCATGTCCGCTGTAGCGGTTGTCATCCATACGCGCATCGGTTTTAAGTATTGGAAAGACTGGGTCTCCTGCCTTGGAGAGCCTCTTGAAAAATACCACTGTGTTTGAACAAACCGGAAGACGCCGCCCAGAATCAAGACGACTCTCATATGCACAGTCAGCGACGTGGCCGACTCTTTTCCCTCCAATCTATTAAATCAGCAGTGTTTATCAGTCCGCGAGACTACAATGCTATCGCCCTTCTCGGCCAACCTCCCTGCCGGGTATCGGCATTACGTTCCTTAGATAAAAAAGGGGAGTGTTTCATATAACGCGAGATGAAAGTGTCTATTCTTTATTTGCTTGCTCGGGTCTTTGTTTCTCTCGGACATATACTTCTGCCTTTGCGTGGTGTGTGTTTCTCAAAAGATTTGAACTTTGCAAGGGAGTTGTGTACCGTACAGCATCCCTATTATTCTCTCTTTCCTTTTTTGTTCTTCCTCCTTTCAACAGGCAGCAGGAGAGACAATGGGGTAAGAGATGATATGGTCTGAAAGATACGAGGGAAGTGGTGGCCGGACAGGACTAGAGAAGTGCTGTGAGTGTGTGTCGAAACAAAAAAGAAAAGTAGGGACTGAAGCCGGACTGAACTGGACGTGGACGGATACTTATGGAATGATGGGACTTTGTGCGACTGGGAGGAAAGCAAAGCAGGGAGCAACGGAGTTGGGACGGACACAAGGACCGGGCCGGGCCGGACAGAGCGAAAGGCTGGAAGGATTAAAGGGGGGAGGGCAGGCTATGGCTTCTGTTTTTTTTCTCTTTTCTGATTTTCCTGTGTGTGGCTCTCTCTCTTTCTCTCTCTCTCTATTTTTGGGGCCTCTTTATATCTATTTTCCTATTTCGGCTTTTCCTTGTTCCCGCGAATGTTTCTTTTCGTGTCTTTGGCTTTTTATTTTCGTTTGCTATGGGGAAAAGGGGAACCGAATCACAGCCCCTTGTTGCTATTACCTACCTACTTCTACCTACCTACGAACCTACCTACGAACCTAACTACCTTGTCCACTGCTCTGCGTTGCTATTACTCTATGTTACCGGCCAGGCATGAAGTGAACATGGCGACAAACGATAACAACGACAGCGACAATAATGTCTATAAATAGGGAGGAGAAAAAGAGCGGGCGAACAACGTCTATTTCTTTTTCTAGCTCTTTAATCCCGTACATGGTTTCTATCTCGCTATCTTTTACCATCTGATGGGGGGTTTCCTATTCTCTATCCTTGCGCTTTTCTGGTCAGGTTGTGCGCTTAACTACCTAGAGATGGTTGATGGATATAACACGTCTTCATATTAGCAGAACACACACCCCCGGTGGCTAGTTTAATGCAGACAATGAACAAGCGATGGATCTATAGCAGCCGGTAAGACCTACTTGGGTTCTTATCTCTTTCAGTTTAACACCTATGTATATATTTAAAAGGAAATGGAAATTTCCATTTTTGGTTGATGAAGTCGTTTTGGTGTTTGACATCTAGATGTAGCGCCAATGTCCTCGTCTGCTATCATGTCTAAGCGACTTGATTGGCTGCACACCTTGGTTGGGCGGGCTATTAGCCGCAAGCGTATGGAATAGATTTCTCGCTTTCAGCGCATCGCGGCGCGGCGCATCGCATCGCATCGCATCGCATCGCATGCGCCACCAGCCAGCCAGCTAGCTTAGAACACAAAGCGTGCGCGCGCGCACGAGCGCAATTTTGGGCACTTTTCGCAATCTCCCATCCCCACGCATGTAATTCAATTGCTGCGCAAACGCATGAGGGCTCGCGGCGGTAGGTGCGCCGGGTTTCGAGTCGTCAGTCCGCTCCCGGCCGTTTTATGCGCGCGCCAGTTGGTTGGCTGGGTTTAAGTAGTTTGGCCGACAAGTGGGGCCGGTGTTTGAACAAACTTTGGCGCTAGCTCTGCCTTGGAGTTTAGCGTTGCCATGCCTATACTAGTGTAGAAAGGTGGGGTACTCCCGGCCCGCTGCCCTTTCTTTCTCACCCCTGCGTGGTTTTCCGGTTTTCGGTTCGGGTGCCACCCGAGGACGCCCGGGTGTTGGCCTACGGTAAGAAGTGGGGTCAAGCCCTTTCTCACACGGCGGCGCGAAATAAGGCGGGGCCGCAAAATCCCGGCGCCTTCCCTTTCCGATCGTCGACGGACCAATGCGCTTTACGTCATTGGCTCGCGGACTTGTCTCCACACTACGCCTCCCCCCTCCCCCCCTCATTGAGGGGTCGCGGGTGTTCGGTTTCTGCTCAGTAGGGTCGGGGAGAAACGAGCCGTCAGCTCGGTGTAAAGTCTGTGCTGGATAACACGGAAATCAGTCGTTGACAGCGAATTGCTTTTATCGTAAAAATAAGCCGAGAATAGCCCAGGTGCCTGAGGTCTTGGTTACATGGCGGCGTGTATTCATTGCTCGGTGTCGCATTCGATTGGACTCGGGAATGGGATGAGCGGTCTGCAGCAATTGTTTCTGCCGCCAGGGGTCGTCCAAAGCCAAGTATTGATTCTCGATTCGCCTCCCTCCTCGTCTTTACCGCTACTCTTGTGCCCAAACGAAATGACCTGCAAATCTCGCGCGGCCCGGTGTAATGTGCATGGAAAATTATTGTTTTCAAACTTCACAAGGTTTGTAAAAAGCTGAGATTATTGGCCGCGGTTCCCTCCCTCGTTCCTTTGGTTCGAGTTGCTCGGGTTTCGAATCTTTGATGGGCTAGTCGTGCTTTCCTGGTACTTAATTTAAGGCATGACAACTTGAACGAAACTGGTGCACTCCGTCTTTCTTGGACTGGTTGTGCCTGCCCACTTGACGTTGTCCCCTTACCGGTCCTAGATTCAGTTTCAATGCCCCCAAGAGACTTGCAGTGCTGCAACAGCAAAGAATTTCCACTTATTCAGTTCCATCGCCTCTCCTTTGTCGCTTCACCTTCCCAGCCCCGTTCACGTTCCTTTCAACGCCTGCTGCATTAGGTTGCCTCACCTCTTTGCTGGTGGAACCAAAATATATTTTCTCCTGCTACTGTACACGACGGAATGCGACAGCTGCAGGCCGTTTTTCGACGACCTATTACGCACACACCGTTTGTAGATGGAGAATCTCGTGCGCCCTTGCCCACAGTGATGGGTGATGGGAAGCTCCCTACCCACCCCCAACACTACTCACTTTCCTTTACCAAACCCATCCAAGTATGGACTGCCTCCCTTAGTCTGTGTTGGAAGACTGCGTCGTATTGGAGTTGGTGACAGTTGCCACGACCACTGCATCTGTCAAAAATGAGGGGCTTCCTTATCTATGGATGGACTTTGCCCGGTTGGGGTCGCCGCACCGACCGCCGGCACTGCAACGGCCTGCACCCGAATGCTGCTCGATCCTTCGGGCATCATCAAGTGACGGCGGGGCTTAGTGTGCCATGACAGAAGGAGAGTAGCGCTCTTGTCCCCCAAGGTTTCTGCCAGCGACTCCAAGCAGCCTTGGATTCGGTCGGTTCAGACTGGCAGCGTCCTCACACGATGCAGGTAGACAGAAAGAGGCCGTCGGATGATGAACCCGGGAACCAGCCGTAGACGGAACGCGCACGGCAGGCAGCTCTCCGCTCTACCGCCCTGTCACATGCGGTGCGGTCGCGACTTTGCTTGGCTGCGTCCCCGGATTTCGCCTTGCCGCAAGAGCCCGGAGACCTTCAGCGCCGGCTGTTACCCGAGAAATACAAAGCAAAGACCCGTGCTGTTTGGGATAGAGACGAGGAGTGGTGGTGCGTCTCAATATTCCTTGCCGCCCTGCCGCCTTGCGACGTAAAGGGCGTGGAGAAATGACATCTACTACTACGTTTAGTTAGGCCGCCTGCGATGTCGGCGGAAATAACGCCTCGCCGGAAGCCGCAAGGCCAGCCACGCCTTTCGTCTGGAGTCTAGAAGTCGCGGTTTGGTACAAGGCAGGATATAAGAAGGAACCGGCAGTTTTCGGCCAAAGGTCACTGCATTTGGGTACTGGTTACATTCCCAATATCGGAGCCTGCACCGTCGGACCTTTTGATGCCTCTCCCCCTTCGTTGCCGAATTCAACTCCCCCTATTTGGCACCCGCACCTCGTCTCTTACCTCATTAGCTCTAGCAGCCCGTTGTGAATACCGCTTAGCGCAACGTATTAGTTGTCTCTGATAATGGGGCTCGAGGCGGACCTTGAAAAGACAGCACACGCCGGCAGCAGAGTCGCTACTCTGGACAGTGCTTCAGCTTCGGACGTCGAAGATGTTGCGCCCGCAGACGAAGAAGAGTTCCAGCCTCCAGATGGAGGGCTTACGGCCTGGTCCCAAGTTCTCGCTGGTTGTCTAGTCAACATGCTAGCCTGGGGCTACCCTTCCACGTTTGGCGTATATCAGCTCTACTACCGGGACACGCTCAAGGTTCCCGAGGCGCAGATATCGTGGATAGGCTCCCTCCAGACCTTCTTGGCCTTTGCGACGTGCACCTTTTCCGGCAGGCTGGCCGACGCCGGCTTCATGAAGTCGACCATGGCCGTGGGCTCGTTCCTGACCATCTTTGGAAGCTTCATGACGAGCGTGGCGACAGAATATTGGCAGATCTTCCTCGCCCAGGGCGTCTGCACCGGCCTCGGCCTCGGTATCATCTTCATGCCGCCCCTCGCCGTCATCAATTCGTACTTCAAGGCGAAGCGGTCGTTTGCGCTCGCCATTGCGGCGACCGGCACGGGCATCGGCAGCGTCGTGTTCCCTGCTGTCGTGCAGTACCTGATTCCCCAGATCGGCTTTCCATGGGCTGTCAGGTGCTCGGCTTTTGTGGCGCTGTTCCTTGCCGTCGCGGCCATCTTGCTGCTGAGGCCGCGGCTAAGGCCGAGAAAGCTGGGCCCTCTCGTCGAGTGGGAAGCCTTCAAAGAGGGCCCATATGTCCTCTACACTCTCGGGTCCTTCCTGTTCTTTTGGGCTCTCTACTTTGGCTTCTTTTATGTAAGTCGCGATCTGTGCCCTTTATACAATTTGCGTATGTATTCACCGGCCCCTACTTACACTCCTGTAAAGATCAACGCATATGCTCGCAACTTTATTGGCTTCTCTACTACGGACTCGGTGCAGCTCTTGCTCATCACGAACGGCTTGAGCGTCCCGAGCCGGCCTCTCATGGGGTTCTTGGCCGACCGATACATGGGCCCCATCAACACCTTCACCACTGCCACGCTTTTCCTAGGTGTCATGCTGTTCGCCTGGATCGGCGTCGACACGCGCACCGGCATGTACGTGTTCTCCGTCTTCTTCGGGCTCGCGAATGGTGCCGCCCAAGGCGTCTTTGTCGGCTCCCTCGCCAGCCTCACCAAGGACCCGCGCAAGATGGGTACCCGCTTCGGCATGGTCTGCACCATCGTGGCCTTTGCCACCCTCGCCGGCCCGCCGACTGCCGGCGCCATCATCGACAAGTCGGGAGGCAGCTATCTGTGGGCGCAGGTCTGGGCCGGCCTCGTCATTGTGCTGAGCTCGCTAGTCCTGGCGGCGGCGCGCTGCGCTGCAACGGGATACAAATTCAAGATCAAAATCTGACATGGCCAGGCTAAAAATGGGGTCGGCGAGAGAGTAGTAAAAAGGGCTGGTATTTGAAATGGAGGACGAACGTCTGGAGTAAAATTTTCTTGTATAGTCACAAAAGGGATTGCATGCAGTCTTTGATGTGCTAATAAAACGAAGCTAGTTTGTCTAGGGACATTTTGATTCTCGGCTGAACTGTGGTTCTTTTCGATGTAGTGCAGCATGGAGTAGTGTAACGTGTAACATGGAAATGGGCAAAGGGCTATCATTATTCGTTTATATTGGGAAGCGCTTGCTATATTTGCTATTTATACTAACTCGCCCACCCTCCCGATCCAACTTCCAAACCCTCCACCGCCCTCAGAATGGGCTCTCCTGAAACGCCTTCTCGGCCTCGGCATAGGCGTCGTAGCCATATAAGAACGGCTGGATCTCAGGACAGGTCCAGCGCGACGGGAAGGGGGCCTTGAGCTCCCTGTCTTCGCCGAGCATGCTCAGCATGAGCGCGTCGCGCTTCTCCTGGGCCTCGCCGTCGGGCAGGTGCGAGTCGTCGCGCTGGCGGAACGTCTCAAGCTGGATGCGGCGCCCGCGGTCCATGCGCAGGCGCTGGTACAGCTCCGACACGCGGGCCAGCTGGCCAGCCCTGTCCTTGCGCGCGTCCGAGCCGACGCGGCCGAGCAGGTGGCCCAGCACGGCGCCGTCCTCGAGGCTCGAGTTGGCGCCCTGCGCCAGGTACGGCAGCATCGGGTGGCAGCAGTCGCCGGCCATGAAGAAGGTCCCCTCGGGGTTCGCCCACTGCGGCAGCGCGTCGAGCCACATGAGCTTCCACTTGTGCACGGCCTTGACCTGGCCCAGGAACTTGGTCAGCAGCGGGTCCCAGCCGGCGAACAGGGCGCGCATCTCGCCCAGGTCACCCGCCGACTTGACGACGGCTGCGGGCAGATCGTCGGGGCATAGGAACACGAGGTTGTACACGGTGCCGCCCGAGACGGAATACCCCACGGCGTGGCTGTGCGGGCCGACCCAGAACCGCACCGCCGGGTCGCGCACCACGGCGGCCAGCTCGGCGCGGTCGGGCCCCGACAGCTCGTCGGCGCACAGCGTGATGCGGTACGCCAGGTCGCCCGTCAGGATGGCCGGGCTCGGCCGCCCGAGAAACTGCGGCCGGATCGCCGACCACAGCCCGTCGGCCAGCACCACGACGTCGCCTGCCACCACCTGCTGCGGCCTATCGCCAGCCAGCCGCACCGTCGCCGCGGCGAAATCGACGCTCTCGGCCCTCGCCCCGAGCCGGATGTCCACCCCCAGCGCCCGGCACTTGCCCACTAGCGCCCGCTGCAGGTCCACGCGGTGCAGGTCCCAGAAGGGATACCCGTACCGTGCCACCACCTGCGCCTGCAGCGCCGGCTCGTGCGCCAGCAGTTTGCTGCCGTCGTACCGGTGCACCGACAGCGTTTTCGGCACTGCCGCGTGCGGCGCCAGCTCGGCTAGCAGGCCCCATTGCGCGAGCAGGCAGGTCCCGTTGGGCGTCACCTGCAGGCCGGCCTGCGAGAGAGTCAGTGTGTGTGCAAGACGAAGAATAAAAGGGGGCAAAAGGGGGCAAAAGGGGGCAGCCTTTTCCTGTTGGGATGGGAAGTAATAATGAAAACAAAAACCCCTTTTCATCGACCATTGATAGGGGGGCACCTGCATGTCTTGTATCCAAGCAGCAGCCGAACAGACAAGCACTGCAGTCAAGTAGTAGTGACAACAACAAATAGAGTTTAAAATAATAGAAAAGGAATGAAGAAAGAAAAAAAAAGGGAAAAGGAACAACCCACCCCGACCTCCTGCAGCTCCTTGACCGTCTCCAGTACCGTCACGCGGTGCGCCGCGTTGGCGAGCTTGGTCGACAGCGCGACCGCCAGCCCGGCGAGGCCGGCACCGATGACGACGAGGTGCAAGCCGCCGGGCGGCGCCCCTTCTTGTCTGTTGTCGGCATTTGCTTCTTTGTCCTCTTCCGGCATTTTAGGTGTTTTATTTCAGTGTTCTCTTGGTTTAAATAAAATTAAAATATAATCGGCGTGCCTTGGCAGGCGGGTGTCTTGCCGAGATGATGGGATGACCCACCCGCCCCGGTGGTGGCGTAGATGAGAGAGCTCTGCCGGTGCTGCTGTTTCTGCTGCTGCAATGTCGGACGTGATGCTATCCCCGGGATAGTACGGAGTGATTCGGAGAATAACCGTGGCCGTATGCACGTATATCCTTTAAACAAACAAAGCCAGGAAATTATTGTTATTTAATTTAAAAAGACGGAAACCAAGAGCTTCAAATAACAGACGTTGGCTGGTTTGCTGGTTCGCTGGTTCGCTGGCTCACTGGTTCGCTGGTTCGCTGGTTGGGGTGGTGGCCGTCCGTCAAAGCCAGGACCGGACCGGAGTTTGCCTAGGTAAGGCAAGGTAAATGTGTATCTAGACATTAAAAAGGGGGGTTGCCGTAACCACCCCACGTAGCTCCGAACCCAGCCTCGGTCTTGAAGTGACATGAAAACGCGGGGAAGGAAACAAGTTAGTTAGGTCGGAGTAATCTGAGCGAGTGTCCCTCAGCTTGGCGAGATGCGGAGAACAGTAAGTCAGTCCAACCTGTACCACCGCCGGCCATCCCTTTTGGGGAGAGGGGGTTCGGCAGCGGGTTTCGGCTTTGGGGAAAAACCACCCGCAGCCCGCCCGTCTCGGGTCCTCTATACAACTAGTCTGAACGAATGGCAGACACCAAGTCCACGTATGCTAAATGCCAAACACAGGTTCATATGTAGTGTAGAATGGCTCCACGCCTAGCTTCACTTCTTGGTACACACCAGTCTAAACCTGCAGGGGAAAGGAAAATAGCCCTGTGGACATGTTATGAAAGGGGGTATCTAGTCCTGTCTATAATCCTTGTTTTCCTTACCCATTCTGCCTTTCCGCATGTACAGTAGAGAGAACAACACAAAAAAAAACCACCAGTCAACTTGCCCATGTAGGCCGGCACCCATCGCTACTCAGTCTTCGTGGATAACGAGATGCTCGGATCGACACCCATTCCTTCTCCTCTTCCCACGTCGGGACTAGCGTAAAGGAGAACAACACACAACAACACACAACAAAACCAGTCAACCAGCCCGCGTAGGCTAGACCCTCACTACTCACTCTTCGGGGACCACGAGATCCTCGGGGTCGACAACCCAATCCTCCTCTTCTTCCCACGTCGGGGCCAGGGTAAAAGACCCCTGGACCTTGCCCATGCTGTACGCGACGCCCGCCATCTGTCCGGGCTGGGGCTTCGCGTCCTTGTCCTCGAGGAGCATCGCCGTCGACAGGAAGGTAGCCTGGGCGCCAGGGACCAGCCCCAGCGTCTTTCCTCCCCAGCTCAGCTCGACCTTGCCCGACTTGCTCACAATCAGATTCCCCACAAAGCCCGCCTCATGAACCACCTGTGCCGTGTTCTTTCTGCCGGCATTCTCCTCGGCGGCAACGTCTTTCTGTGCCGCGCTGTCGCCGTCTCCGCTAAGGTCGATTTTGGCGGTGGTGCCGTTGGCTGCTGGAACGTCTAGCATGACAACGTCGCTGTCCGGCTCGGGCTTGACGAGATTCGGTCGCGGCCCGACTGGCACGCTCTTTAGGGGCGGCAGGACAGGCGGGAACTGGAAGAGGAACATATGACCTTCCAGTTGTGACTCTGCGCTGCCTCCGGCCTCGGCGTCGTTCTGGATGTTGAAGAGTCCGAGGAGGCGCTCGAGATCTTCCGAGATGATTTCCTCCTCTGTGCCCTTGGGCGCCTTCTTCTTCTTTATGCCGCTCGCCAGCTTCTTTTTCTTGCTGTCTGGCGAATCGGGCGCCTTGAACTGTCCCTCGGGGATCTGGTCAATGTCCATAACATCGCCGTCGCCGTCCTCGTTCTTGATGCGCACCTTGTTGTCCGACTTGGAAGCGCCGTGCTCCCAGACGCGGTCGTCCTTGGTCAACTCTAGCTCTGGATCGACCTTGGGCGAGCCATCCTCGACAAACAAGGCTCCCGAATCGTCGTCGCCGTCGTCGTCAACATCGCCTCCGTGTTCCCGGGCCTCAATCTCAGCTGCAGTCGTTAGTACCACCTCCTCCTGCTTATGCTCGATACGCCGAATACCAAGAGGCAGGATCGGCTTCTTCTTCCGAGTTTTACGGACAGCCCCCTTAACTGCGACCTGCTCCTCCTCGTCCGAGTAGTCAACCCACGAGTAGAGGGCGTCGGCGTTAATCCGTCCATTATCCATCGCGCCCGACGGCTCATACTTTGTTTTGCCATTGGCTCCACCGCCAGCTCCGTAACTACCAGAGGTGCCTGAGCCTGGGCCTGAGCCTGAGCCTGGGCCTGAGCCTGAGCCTGAGCCGGAAGCAAAGGAATAATTTCCGCCGCTCGCAGCCTGGTAGCCTGAACCACCACCTCCAACTGTTGTGCCACAGCGGTTAGAGACAACACATACGAAGTAGAGAGCAGATGATGGAGGTGTAGTAACTTACAAGTCATGCCTGCCGACAAGGGTCCCGCAGCCGTCGAGCCGCCGCGCGACAGGCCACGCGTCATGAAGCCTCCGCGGCCTCTGCCCCTGCCGCGACCGCGACCGCGGCCACGGTTAGCACGAGCGGCCAGTTTGGCCTCTTCGTAATTCCTATGCATCTGAATTTTTAGCTGCTCCTCGGCGAGGCGGGCGCGCTCGGCCTCGCTCCTTCGGTTTCCCCTGGGCTTGAACTTGTTCGCACGCGTCGAGGAGGAGGGCTGCGCCATTTGAGACGAGCTCGACGCGGCGGCGGCGGCGGCAGGCCCTGGTGTGAGCTGAGTGGAAACTGAAGCAGCAGTGACAGGAGTGGGCGACAGCAAGCTTTGCTGCTGTGGTGTAGCGTTGTCGGCCTCCGAGGCAGCAGCTGCTGGCTGTTCTTGGTCATCACCAGATGCTGCCGAGGATCTGCGGCCTGCCCGGCCCCGGCCCCGCGTGCCTCGAGCTCTGCCTCCCCTGGGCGCCATTCTTGGTGTGGCTTTATGGCTGCTGAATTAATACCGGCGCTCGAACGGTAAAGCTGGTGAAATAGAGATAAAAGCTAGAGACAAGTGCAGATCTATTCGAGCAAAAATGTTTGAATTGCCCGAGATTCATTTCTCGAGCCGAACTAGCTCCAAACTTTGGCGGCGTTTTTGGTGGGGGACGAATCTAGCTTGCTCGTTGCGATGCGGGGGCACTGCAACCAAATCTCGCGCTAGCTCGGTGCGGGTAGGGGCCTCTTTCCGTATAGGGGTGTCTACTGTAGGGGTGCAACGGCGAGCTGAAAGGGAAAGGGATGGTGGATCCCGTCAAAGTTGAAGTCGCTTTGTGAATTTGACACTTTGGTCGGCTCTTTCCGAGAATCACGAGCAACCTAGCTAACTTCTTGGAATTATCCGTGCTTCCCATTGCCGTAAAGCACCAAACTCCCTGGATTCGATAAAAACTTCCAATGTCATTTGAGTCACTGCCATCAATAATTACTACCTATTGAAAATCTATAGTAAATCCTTGACGCGGGAATTAACAGCTCCCCCTAACCACACAGCGGCTCGGTATCCATCCCGAATTCGGTGTTGTACCAAGTTCACATCTTAACCTCAGCTCCTTCGAGAAGTCTGCGTATAGATGCCTTATAACAGAACTCACAAACGATTCGTCTTCAGTAATTACCAATGCCTTGACAATTGTGACTCAGCCGGCGACACCGAGTCTGGATTCCGATCGGACGTTGATGATGCTTTCTACAGTACCTACATAGGTATACATATAGGTAGGCAGTAGCTTACCCCTATCTGAAGCCATCATACATCCACGCTCCGTCCCATACAGACCACAACAATTACCTCACCTACGTAGCACCTTGACCCAAGAAATGGCCGCCACAGCCTCAGCCAGCCCGCCCGTCGAGGGCATCACGCACCACACGGCCGCCGTCAACGGCACGACACTGCACTACGTGTCTGCCGGAACATCAGCGGCGGCGCGGCGTTCCGGCTCGCGGCCGCACACCCGCAGCTCGTGCGCAGCTTCGCGGCCGTCGAGATGGGGCTGGCGGGGTTCGGGCTCGAGGCGCTCGCCGATGTGACCCACGGCGGCGGCGCGTGGCACATTGGCGTGCTGGCCGCGCCAGGGATTCCCGAGCTGCTGTTTGCTGGTGGCGGGCGCGAGCGCGCGTTCCTCGCCGGCGCCGCGTTCCCAAGCATGACGGCCGTCGCCGGGTCGATTACCGATCTTGATTATGACGAGTTTGCGCGCACGTACTCGCGCCCGGGCGCGTGGCGCGGCGCAGCTGCGCTGTACCGGTCCATGCTTGCCGAAGGCGATGAGATTAGGGCACTCGCCGCGTCGTCCCCGCTGGCCGTACCCGTGCTTGCTGTCGGTGCCGGCGGCGGGCCGTTTACGGAGATGACTATGCGCCAGGTCACTGCCGGCGGCGAGGTCACGGCGCGCCAGCTGGACGGCGTCAGCCACTACGCTGCCATGGAGGCGCCGGAGCGGCTTGCGGAGGTGGTTCTTGAGTTTGTCAGAGGCGTCGAGAGCGCCTAGCGGACGGAGTGGGAGGTGTGAAGCATGATGATGAGGGCTGTACGACACGCGTGGCTGCCGAGGCTGGATGTCTTTCGATCTCTGGGATTTGCTGTTTTGGTGAAAAGAAAACCAAGGAGCCAGTCCTTGATGTCATCTACATTTATTTCCTGGGCGGAGCTTTAAGCTGCACTGCACTGTCACTGACACGAAATAAAACAAGGTATAAACAAAGTGCATGTGCTGCTTACTAGCGGCAAGTAGAAATAAAGGCACTATTATCAAGCAGAAAAAGAAAGAAAGAAAAAAGATCGACACGAAAAACGCTGGACGACGCTTAAATGGGAACTTGACGTGCCACTGCTCTCCCCCCTTACACAATATTCTGCTGCGGCGTACCATGCTCTTGAGAGAAATTTCCTGCTACGAAGAAGGCAGATGGAACTTATCAAACAAATACCACAGCACCTTGAAGATAGTCCGAGTATACGAGAAGGCCTTGCGGGCGGCGAGGGCCGTGAGGATAGTCTGTGGGTCTTTAGCAAAAAAGACCTCGAACGTCTCAATCCCCACAACAGTGAAGCGCAGCCCGACGTCGAGGCCCTGGTACATGTAGACGAACCAGGACTTCTTCTGCTTGCCCGTCTTCTGGTACTCCTCGGTCGCGATGCCGAAGGACAGGAACGTGTCGACGGCCGTCGCCGCGCAAGCGACGATGGTGTTGAGCTCTTTGGCCTCGCTCTCGTGCCACCCAATCTTGCCGCTGAAGAACTTGACCACGCGCACGGAAGTGTCGATGCCCCATGCCTGTGGGTGAGAGACAAAGGAATGGGTTAATAAATAGACAAGCTCAGGAAAGAGAGAAGGCGGGGGCGGGGCGGGATGCTTACAATCCAGCGGAGCCGTTTCTGGGTCTCCGTGTCGCCTACCTCGGGCGGCATGTTGTTGATGATGGAGATCAGGTCGAGCAGGCCGCCGTCGAAGATGTCCTTGAGCTTCTGCAGCGGGCTGGGCAAGCTGAACAGTTCCCCGGCGGCGCCGACCCCGCCGGCCTTGAGAACGGGGAACTGGTACAGGCGCGCGCGCGCCATGTTCGTGCCAGCCAGCGCGCCGCCCACTGGGTCGAGGTGGTCGAGGGCGGAGAAGATAATCCCGATCTCGGCCAGCAGGTGCGTGACGACGACGTCCGACGCCGGCATGAAGCCGCGGATGTCGGTCGTAAGCTCCGGGTCGCCCGGGATGGGCCGGCCGGCCTGGTACAGCTCGAACGTGTCGGCGTTGAGGCGGCCGCCGCCGAGCGCGGGCGGCTTGGTGCCGAAGACGAGCTTGTACAGGATGGTGGCGGGCACGGCGAGCACGAGCGAGAAGAAGTTGAGGAGCGTTAATGGTCGTCCCTTGGTCACGCGCTTCCACAGCGCCGTGAAGATGGGCACTTCCACCTCGGCATTGCCTAGTGTGTCGAGCAGCGACAGGATCTTGTCCAGGATGCCCAAGATCGCGTCGACGATGTCGGCGAGCATCCCCAGCCCTAGGTCGACCGTCTCAGTCCCGATCGCCGTGATGATCTTGCTGCTGTCGTGCGTCCCGCTCAGCAGGTCTTTGATGTTGCCCGCCAGGCTAGAGATGTAGGTGCCCAACTTGTCGAACTCCTCCTTGAACAGCTCCGACAGGTCGGTAAAGCCGCTGTCGTCCGTGTCTAGATGGTAGAGAGGTGTTAGTTTTGTTTTTTCCGAGATATTGCCGATACGGGTTGGAGAGAGACCAGTCAAAACTCACCAGGGACCGTCGCGCCCGACAGAGCCCCGCCATGCGACAGGTGGTAAGACGAAAAGTTGTAGGGGGTGCCGTGCACAATCTCGGTCTTGGGGTCCTTGGGCACGCCGTCCTTGACCTCCTGGTCGGTGATGCCCCCGGCCCCGACCCAGGCGCTGTCGGTGACAGCGTCGCGCAGCGTCTTGACCCAGGCCTTGGTGTCGCGGTTGAGCCCCGACAGCTTGTTACGCGAGAGGGCCAGGCCGGCGTTGAACAGGGCCGCGAAGTTGTCGGCCGTCTGCAACATGTCGTCCCAGTTGAACAGGAAGCCCACGAAGGCGATGATCTTCTTGATGCCGATCTTGACCTTGGCCAGCACCCACGACATGGCCTTCTTGACCGAGTCGATCGTCTGGGTCACGAACGTGTACACCTCGCCAAAGAGCGTCACGCTGAGCTGGATGGCGTCGCCTGTGGCAGGCAGCAGTCAGCAAAAGAGTTTCCTAAAGTATCTGGGGAGTGTGGTACTCGGTCACTTACCCACGCGATCGACCACCCAGTCAGCCGCGTCCTTGACCTTCTCTTCGACATAGTTGAAGGCCTCCCAGACGTCGTCGAGAAGGCCAAAGACGTCGCCCTGCGGACGGATGACGCCGCCCGACTTCTGGATGTCAAGCGCCATGGCCGCCTTCTTCTCGTCGAGGTGGTCCATGAGCGTGTGTAGAGCGTCGACGGCCTTGCCGGCATCGGCAGACGAGATGGAGCCCTGCGGCACCAGGCTCTCACCCTCCTGGGTCTTGGCGGCGAGCAGGTCCTGGCCCGTCTTGATGTCGCGCAGCTTGGCCACGAGCGCCTCGGTGGGGTCGCTGGAGCCGTCGACGGCAATCTCCATGGCGTCGCCGGCGTGTGTCTTGAAGCCCGTGACGTGGACCAGCGTGCTCGGCACGTCCTTGGACTCGGAGAAGACGGTCAGCGACCCGTCGTAGCCCGTCTGGAACCAGGCGCCGTCGGCCGTGACCGCCGCCACCTGCCCGTTGACGACTGCGCGCAGGTAACCCGTGCTGGCCAGGCGCAGCTGGCAGAACCCAATGGCCTTTTGCTGGTCCTCGTTGAGGTCCTCGGCCACGGGCTGGAACCGCGTGGCGTGCCCGTGCAGCGCCACGTTGTTGGTGCGCGACGCCGCGTAGAAGGGCCGCTTGCGCCAGATCTTGGTGTCGGGCGCCTGCTGCAGCAGCGTCACGCGGCCCTTGTGGTCGGCCGACAGCAACGTCTTAACCACGGTCTGGTCGGCCCCGGACACCTGCAGCAGCCCTGACAGCTTGCCGCCGTGGCCGTCGGCGAGTAGCGGCACGAGCTGCCCCGACGCCATGGAGTCGACGGCGGCCGTATAGCAGTACGCGCTGTCCGTCTTGGTCGTGAACCACACCGACACCGTCTGCAGGGCGACGGACGCGTGTAGACCCCTGAGCCCGGGCGTGGCCGCGCCGTCGATGATGGTGGTGCCGGCCGACGTCGGCGACACGTACTCCTGCGACGTGAACTGGGTGACCGTGTCACCGCCGACTAGCAGCACCGAGTACCCCGTTTTGGGGTGCACGTACGTTGCCAGGCCTGTGGCGCCCGCCGGGCACACGGGCTCTACCTGGAAGTTGTGGCCTTGGAAGGTGCGGAACTGCAGCTTGAGCCCTGCCGAGCTCTGGTACAGCACGAACGCCCCCGAGCCGACCCGGCACGTGCCGAACGCCACGGCCAGGATTGCTTGCGGGTTTGTTGCTAGCTTCCATGACGTGTCGACCTGCAGCACCATGTTGCCCGACTCCGTGTCAAGCACCACGTTGACGAACCCCAGCTGGCTCTCCTTGGTGATACTTTCCGGTGGGTGGAAAGCAAGGAAGACTAGGGGCTGGCTGTTCTTGGTGAAGTCACTCTATGTTCCCGTCATGTGTGTCAGTACATGCATGTGTGTGTATATATACATACCTGCGTGTATGTGTGTGTGTGTGGGGTGTGAGTGAGTGAGTGAGTGTGTGAGTGAGTGTGTGTGTGTGTGTGTGAGAGAGAGAGAGAGAGCATACCATGTAGACCTCGTAGATAGTCGGCAGCGGCTGGGAGTTGCGGAGCACGGCGCTGTCGGGCAGCTTGTCCTGCTCGAGGTCGGCAGGGGCGATCGACGAGACGAGGCTGAGCCCGTAGTTGCCGCCGCCCTGGTCCGTGGCGACGGCGATGCTGAGCTTGCCGTCGGCCGTCTGCCTGGCGTCAAAGGCCACGACGGCGTGCGAGCTGTCGATGCCAATCTTGGCGCCAAAGTCGGCAATCGTGGGAATACCCGTGTGGTCGAGGATCAGGTTCAGCTGCCCGGCGTTGCTGAGCGACAACAGTGCCGGGCTCGAGTTGGCGTCGAGAAAGGCCACGAACCGCTTCTCGGCCGGCACCGACGCCGCCGGCACGAGGTTGGTCATGCATTCCGCCTGCGCCTTGATGGTGATCATTGTAAATGTCGTCTCTGTGTTTGGGGACAAGAGCCGGGGGGGAAAAGGGGTCTCAAAGCAGTATGGTAAAAATGATGGTGCTTGGCCAAGATGGAGAAGGGTGCAGGTGGAGGGACGACGGGCTATTACATACTGTTTGGACATGGACTTTTGAAGGATATCGCGGCTACTAGTAATACCGAGTTCTGCCATGTATCTGAGTTTCGACGGAGTCCAGCAAACATGAGCATCCCAGGATGGCGGCAGTAAGAGTCGACCTAACAACACCGAGAAGCCGCCATATCTCGCGAGCTGAAGACGCGGCTGGGGCGGCATCGTGGCATCATAGCATCATGTGGACAGCACGTTGCATTGAAAACAATATTGTAGACGCATTTTCAGTATGTGATAATCCGAATCTAGATACCTGGAGCGAGAAGGATCAAGCTGAGTCCTGGACGACGACGACGACGACGACGACGAGAACACAACTCAGAGAACTAACCGCATTGGCGGGATCCCGGCTTCTGTGATGCGCGCATGGATGGCCAGCGTGTTTTCCTTGACATTGCGAAAGGGCCAATGCGTACACGGGCCTATCACTACTAATGGTGGTTGAAATATTGGCGTTTGCTTTCCTCAGGGTCCCTCAGGGTCCCTCAGGATGCCATCAGGGGTCGTTGTGGTGAAAAGGGGGGTCGGGATGTCGATCCCGGGATGCGCGCTGACGCTTCTGGACGGCAACATGACCTCGGCAACGGCGGGCGTCAAGCTGAAACGAAAAAGCCGGGGTTGTGTGGCTGCTGCAGGAGCGGGCGTTCGTGCCGGGGTGGGACGTTCAGCTGGCCTCGGGGCAGCCACCCTCGTCATTGGGTGCGGGTGTGTGCATGAGAGTAGGGGCATTCTCGTTGGAGTTGGAGTTCGTGGGTAGGGGAGCTGCGAGTATTTGCCAGCGGGATGCAACTCGTCGGTCACCCCAGAAGGGACGCCGCCATGTGCGAAGTATGTACATGTGTATGTCCAGCTGGTGTTTTCTGATTGGCGGGTATTAGAGACGATGGTCTGGTGCCGTGCCAACCGGATAGGGGTCGCCAAGGTCAAGAGCCTCGAAGGATAGAAGACAACCTCAAGCACGAGGGTTTACTTGTATAAGTACCTCCCAGTTGAGGACTCGAATCAGTTCAGACGGACGACAAGGACCAAGGCACTCACTGACCCAGACTGAACCCTCATCACCACCATCACCACTTCTTCTCTCCAGACTTCTTCTAGGCTTCTTCCTCTTTCAGGATCGTCATCATGGGCTCGGACTTCACCTACAGCCAGGTCTACCGGACCAGCCCGAACCCGTACGACCAGATCATCGTGCTGAGCCAAAAGACGATCAACGATGAGCTCTTCAACATGTGGGCCGTGGCGCCCGACGACTCGCCGCTGCTCTCGTACACACTCAACCTGCGCGACGGGCAGTCGCTCAGCAGCCAGCTCGACGCGCCCGTCATCTCGCTGCAGGTCAACAACCAGGAGTCGATCCAGCTGTACTACTACCTCAAGATGCTGTCTGGCACGCTCAACCTGTACGTCAGCAACGACCCGGCCGACATGAGCATGAAGCAGTTCGACACGACCGACTGGTCGATTGCTATCCCCGTCAAAATCTGTAAGTTTTTGTCTGGTGTGTGTTTTATGTCCGTGCCAGACTGACCGAGAGAAATAGCACGCAAGATCATCAACAAGGGCGACGACGAGTGGAAGTACTACGCCGACAAGACGGGCTTCAATAACGACATCTTTTCCGTTGCCCAGCTGTACATTGACGCGTCGAGTGAGTTTTGCTTTGCTTGTTGGGTCTCACTTAGACTGACCGAACCATCGACTGACCATCGGGAACAGCCTCTGCCATCTACGACCTCAAGCGCAGCACCTTCAACGGGCTGGACTGGTCCAAAGAGACGGCGGCCATCCAGCAAAACTTTGGCATCTTCATGTCGCAGTGGATGTCGGTGACGTCGTCTGGGGCGACCAACGTGATCGGGGCCGTCCTGCAGGGCGACCCGTCGAGCACGCTCAACACCACGGCGCCGAGCTTCGTGCCGACGTCCATCGACTACTACAACTATGCGTGGCACAACCCCAGCTCGGACCCCAACGGCACGGGGGCCAAGGTCGACGACATTGACGAGAACGCGCTGTGCTACCTGACCATGTCAGACTTCGCGCCGCCGCCCGAGCCCGTCGGCATCAGCTTCTCGGGCACCTTTGTCGACGACTCGGCCGTGCTGTGCATGAACGCGCGCCTGTTCTGGGACCGCTGGATGCTGCCGCTCTTCAAAAAGGTCAACCAGGAGCTGGAGCTGGTGGCCCTCGAGCCGTACCTGCAGCCGTCGCAGACCGCGGGCTGGGACATGGACTGCGGTCCCAGCTTCACCTTTGGGTCCAACTCTGCGCACACGTCCGACACGGACCCCTACTTTGACTTTAGCAACCTCCAGTGGGCTGGCACTGAGATTGATAGCCCCGAGGCGTCGTGCACAGGCAATTTTGGCGACTTTGCCAAGGCGTACGACACGGCGACGACATCGACGAGCCTGTCGTACGACGTCGGTGGGCAAAAGATCTCCATCCTGGGCAGCAGCACCTTTTACTTCAAGATCTACTTTCCCGGAAGCTATGCCAAGTTAGTAGCAGCAACCCTCTCATGAACCACACATGAATACAGAACAACAGTGGCCATGGCTAACCCATCTTGTCTTCCATAGCTCGACCATGACGCTGACGTCCAACTGGCATCTCGACTTTGCGCTGGGCGCGGTGACAGACGGGGGGCTGGACATTTCGCGGTACGACGACGGCACGCCGGCCGTGGTGACGATGCACGAGAGCCACGACGCGGGTATCACGTGGATGATCGACTACGAGACATATGTGCAGCAGATTGACGAGTGGATCACCAGCTACCTCGACGAGAACATTAGCTGGCTGACCGACGACTTGACCGCGGCGCTGGTCAACCAGCACAAGCTGTTCCTGCCGGGCAGCGGCATCTTCCTGATGTCTGACGCAAAGTTCAACGCGCGCGGCGACCTGCTGGCCACGCTGGCCTACAACGGTGCCCCGTCGCCCATCGTCCGCAGCAAGATTCCGGCGGCGCGGCTGAGCCTCCTGGCGCGCGACTACGTCGAGTCGGAGCTGGCCGTCGACCACGGCGGCGTCGACTGGGTGCCCAAGGCGTGGGCCGAGCTGAAGCTGCCCAAGCGGCAGCAGCCCCGGCACGACAAGTCCAAGGCCGCCAAGCTGCCGCCGCTCAAGCTGCCGCGCTTCACTGCTGGGAAGAAGTAGAGCTTTGCAGTGCATGGAAAGGAGTCTGATGGGAAAGCGTGCGAGAGAGACAAGAATGTATGCATTGCCAGTGCAGGAAGCATGCGGGAAGCAACTGGCTGAAGGCAATCAGTATCTCCAGTATCTCGGGTCAAGTGTTTGTAGTAGCGAGTCTGTTTTTGTGACGGTTCGAAATCGACAATTATTCGATTGCTTTCCTATAACATTGGCTGGACGGTGTGTCGCGCGCATGACGGTCAAGCCCATCTTCTTGGTGTTGTGGTGGAGTTAGGAGCAACTTTGTCCGTAAAGTGTTGAGCGTGGTTAAGGAGTTTGAGTAGGAAATATGGAAGGAATGATTGACTTCGGGGACAACTCAGGTCCACCCGACTGACTGACTGCACGTCAGCTCTTGCCTCCTTGTCCCATCCATCCACCATGAGTGCACCTGCCTCAAGTGGCTAGTGAGGGGTGAGGGTCTGATTTTAAGCCGCAGCCTACAGTGCCCCGCACTAGATGAAATGATTTCCACCGCATCCCAGCGACTCTCCCCTGTACTTAATTACCACCTTGGGTATCTGCCGCCGACGACTCGGCCGGCCGACAACCGGAACCGGAGACTTCAGATGTAATGGAGTCGCCTTTCCCCAAATCGTCGTCGGCGCCGGGCGAGGGGCGCGTGGTGGCCAAGCTGCAGCCCGAGGGCGGGTCGGCGCTGGAGGCGCTGGCGTACCAGTACCCGCTGAAGCTGATCTCGCCATCGCGCCCCGCCCACAGCACCAAGAGCGTCCTGGTCTTTCTGCTCTCGTACGGCGGCGGGCTCGTCGGCGGCGACTCGGTGTCTCTGGCCGTCGACATGCGCCCGGGAGCCCGGCTGAGCATGGTCACGCAGGGCCACACCAAGGTCTTCGCCCCCGCCACGGCCACCCCGAACCTGGTCACGCGCCAGACCATGCGCGCCCACCTCGCCCCGGCCGCCGCCCTGTGTCTGCTGCCCGACCCCGTCCAGCCCTTCGCCGCCAGCGTCTACGAGCAGACCCAGGTCTTCCGCCTCGCCCCCGACGCCTCGCTATGTCTGCTGGACTGGGTCACCCAGGGCCGCTCCGCCCGCGGCGAGGACTGGAGCTTTGCCCGCTGGACAGGCCGCAACGAGGTCTGGGCCGTGACTGAGAACTACCACCGCCTGCTCGTCCGCGACGCCGTCATCCTCGACGGCGCCCAGCCCTCCCCGCCGCACATCATGCCGACGCTGCGCGAGTCCATGCACGCCATGGGCGTCGTCGGCACGCTGATCCTGCGCGGGCCCCTGGTCAAGGCCCTGGCCGACTTCTTCCTGGCCGAGTTCGCCGCCCTGCCCCGGCTCGGCTCGCGCGACTTCCGCACCGACGCCGACGCCAGGCGCGACGCCGCCGCCGAGTCCGTGTCGGACCTCGAGAAGTGGCGCCGCACTAGGCTGCTCACCGAGCGCTCCACCAGGCTGCTTTGGTCTGCCGCCAACGTCCGCGGCTGCGTCGTCGTCAAGTTCGGCGCCCCTACCGTCGAGGCTGGCCGGCTGTGGGTCGGCGCCATGCTGGCGCGCGAGGGCAGCGTCGCGCGCGTCTTTGGCGACCACGCGCTGATGTGTGTCCGGTGAAGGGCGGGACGGCGTGATGTTATGTGTGCATGTATTGTACGGATATTGTACATACTGTACATCCATATGTTTTATTTCGTCTGCTTCAAGGAGGCTCTGCTCAAGGAGGGACTTCCACAGGTGCGTCCATACTGACAGCTACCTAGTTTACGGGGTCTTCATATCTACTATATATATCATGTGAAGTTTCCAGCCAGTGCCGGAATACGGTAATGGCGTGCGGTATGCGGTTTGAAAACACAGCAGCCAAACTGCATCTGTCAATCAACAATTATTATAGCCTTGTCGTCGGAGTTCGCCGCGTCGATCTTGGCCACGATGCGCACCGGGGAAGTGCCTTTTTTCTCACTTATCGATAAGAAGAAGGGCCGGTGTTGGTTGGGCAGGCTGGCAGGCAGCCTGCTGCCTTATGGCTACACAGGAGAACCGCCGAACAGATGAAAATGTCTCGATAAATCACACATTTAGAGCTCAACGTTCACTAATTTTGCTTGGTGCAACACACTGTGCCTGTACCATGGCTTCATACCACTACTCTCAGCTGCCCAAGAGCAACGTGCGCATGCTCCGGCTTTTGCCGCATCCAGACAAGCATTCCCGCACTGCTTCTTCGAGCGGGTCATGTGGGTAGATGCTATTTGCATTAACGAAGATGACGCGACCGAAAAGGGGCACCAGGTCTAGGCTATGGCCAAGATTTACGCCAAAGCAAGCCGGGGCCGTCGTCTGGCTCGGAGAGGCGGCAGAAAACAGCGACGAAGCACTCGAGTACATGCGCATTTCGTCTTAGAGCCTGCGGCAGCTGACGAGGCAAACAAGCCGGCGATTATAAAACTGCTTCAGCGGCCATGGTTCCAGCGGATCTGGGTAAGTGAGACTCTACAGTGTTTAGTAGCGGAATATCCTAATGAGATGAACACAATCCAGGTCCTTCAGGAGGTTGCTGCAGCTCGGCACATCGTAATCAGATGTGGTTCTACCGAGATGGGCGGGCATGCGTTTTGCTCAGCCCTCGGGGTGCTGAAGCCATTCTACAGCACCATCCCAAGTCTACAAGGTCTAATCCCTCCTATAACCCACCAGGTCAGAGACGCCATCTTCCGTCCTAAATATAACCTCATTCAGCAAGGCGCCTTCTCCCTGTCTATTCACCTCCTCGGCGAGCTGGTGGATATGTTCCACACCCGAGAGGCAACAGAGGCTCTTGACAAAGTTTATGCCTTGTTGGGTATGAGCTCCGGAGATCCCAGTGCAGAAGGGCTATCGGCCGATTACATTGCCTCGTGGAAGACAGTCTTCAAGAAACTCATCGCCTATTCCCTTTCGACGCAAGCATCTGTAGAGACCTGGGACGGAAAGGATGTAGCGCTGATCAAGGGCAAGGGCTACGTTCTAGGCAGTGTATCTCGGGTTGAAGACACCACTCAAGACTCTAGGGTGCGAGTTACTTGGAACCGCCACAGTCATGATACTAAGGTTCAGAGCTTTATACTCTGGGCATCAGCCAAATCCCTCCAACCAGGCGATTTTATTTGTCTCTTCCAAGGGGCATCACACCCTACTAGATAAGCGTCTCAGCAAATCTCCTTTTCCCTTTTGGAACATCATTCTCTTGATCTGCGTGGGCGCAGGAGCTATCGAGGGCGGAGAGGTGGGAAGAGCTGTATCTCTTTCGGAAACCGGTTCGAAGCGATTTTATCGAGCCCAAGAACGAGCTAGGTAGAAAAACACAGGCTGGCACACCACATCCGCAGCCCCGGGCAGTGCTGTTAAATCCAGGTTTGGCTTCCGCAGTGAACCGGGATGAAGGTGGCATACCTATCCCAAATCCCTGGCTTACTGTCGACAGCCAAGATAAGATAGCATTGTACCGTACCCTGGTTCCCGGAAGCTTGGATAAGCTGCACATCCCGTATAGGTAACAGACACAGCATAGGAGTATTTTGGGTTTGTTACCTACCTAACTCAAATAATGGGACACCAAAGACCTGGAGGCCAGTCGTATAATAGGTTATGGCCCAAGACTCGAGGGCTCTAGGTCTAGAAGCTGCTGTTTAATGCGAAAACTCAATGAATGTTTGGTATAACCTACGTAGGGGAGGGCGCCTTCCCGGAGCCCAAGTCTGAGCAGTGCTGTTCAATCGTTTCACTTTTTGCTGTACCGCCGCAAATGCCTGTGTTTACCTTTAACGTGTGCGTGTTGATGGGTACCTAGGGTATGGGCTATTTCACCTTTGTGATAAATCTAACTGCCCCGTGGAAGTCCCTCCTTGAGCAGACGAAACAAAATATAGAATATAGGGCCCTAAAAAAACCACATGAGCGGAACACTGCACACGGAAAAAGAAAAAGAAAACGCTCGGGCTGCATCTCTGCCGCTCTTGCATCGCGCTTGTGTCGCCTGCAAGTGACGTGACGTCTGCAAGTAAGTGGCCTTCATGCCTCAAATAGGGGACCCCTCCACCTTGACGGCTAAGACCCCGGTAGATGCATATGCCACATTGCTACGTTCTGATGGCCGGCTAGGCCCCTCGCTTCCGCTGGTGGTGGGGCCTGGGGTCTGGGGCCTAGGACCTGGGGGGCAGTCCGCCAAAATAATCTGGCGATGTGCACCTTTCAATTCCCGCCGGAACGCGTCAATTGTCAAAATCCCCAAAACCGAGAGAACCCCGCCGTTGACAACCGTTCATTCATAAAAACGTCCGCAACGGCTTCCCCATCACCTCGTCAAATGTAATGACCTCAGTACGACAGCCGCTCATGGAAACCTCTGAAAACACAAACAGTGCGAACGGCTCGCCAGCGCCCGCCTCAAGCGCGCGTCGGTCCGGACGCGTCACGAAGGCGCCCGCAAAGTTTACCCCCGATGCGCCCCTCGCCACCAAGCGCAAACGCGCCCCCGATCACGACGACGACGACGATGAGGACGCTGACGATGACGATCTCGAGAACGAATCGCCCGACGACCCTGACGGCAATGCCGCGGCCAGCGCCGACGAAGATGCCGACGCTGATGATAGTGCCGCCGACGAGCCCCGGCCTCCGCGCAGGAAAAAGCCCTCGGCCTCGTCGTCGCAGCCGGCCAAGCAGAAGAAACCCGCCGCCAAGAAGCCAAAGATCAACGGCGACGCGCCCCCCGCCCCAGAGTCGGCGTCTGTAGAGCCTGCGGGCAGCACTGGGTCGCCTGTTGCCGAACTCGTCCATGCGGCGAGACTGCCGAGTCGGCCTAAGAAGACGGTGCGGATCGCCATTGCGCGTCGCGACGGAGATGGGCTCTACGGTGCGTTCCTATTTTATCTTCATCCTCCCTTATTGGCATTGGTCTTGTCAACCTGCCCAAGACAGCTGTGTCAACGGGTTGCCTGAGCTTTCTGTCTGTCTGCTGTCTGTGTGTTGGCGCGTATGTGTCTTGCCGAATTCTAACCCTCTCCTCTTCGCCAGCCGATATCTTTGCCTCGGGGGACTCCTCAGACAAAGTCGCTACGGAGTGGTACCACAAATACCAAGCCGACGACACGCTCGCCGTCACCGACCTGGTGAACTCTATCTTGATGGCTGCTGGCTGCGACCAGCACGTCACGGCAGACGACATCCGCGACCCCGAAAACTGCCAGAACAGGCTCGCAGACTTGCAGAACGTGTACGCCGAGGTAAGCCAGACAAGTCCGATGCTCTTTTCTTCTATGCGCAGCCCGTGCTAATGCCGCTGTCTGCTCCAGGAGGGAATAACCGACTACCCTCTCATCTCGAGGGCCAAGTCCAGCAGGTCGTTCCGCGACTTGCTCATCGGCTTTTTCCGGTCGCTCGTGACCGTCATCCACGAGACCGACGTACTGTACAAGGACGCCTCGCTAATGGAGAACATCGCGAGATGGGTCGCCTCCATGTCGTCGTCCACCCTGCGCCCGTTCCGGCACACGGCCACCACCGTTGCCCTCGCCATGGAGGCCTCGCTCGTCGAGGTGGCCAAGAAGCTCGACGACCGCATCACCAAGATGACGCAGCAGGTCGAGGCCGAAAAGAGCCGCAAGGGAAAAAACAAGAACAAGGACAGGCTGGTCGCCATCCAGAAGAACCTCGACGAGGCAAACGAGAATCGCAAGATCTGCCAGGAACAGATCTCCGACTTTTTCGAGACCGTCTTCGTTCACCGCTACCGCGACATTGATCCCAAGATCCGCACCGAGTGCGTCGAGGCTCTCGGGTCTTGGATCTGGCATTTGCCGACCGTCTTCATGGAGCCCGAGTATCTCCGCTACCTGGGCTGGATGCTCTCCGACGTCATGCCGCAGACAAGACAGGAGGTCCTCAAGCAGCTGGCGAGAATATTCAAGCGGGATGCCGAGAAGCTGGGCCACTTCATTGACCGGTTCAGGCCGCGCCTGGTCGAGATGGCCACAAAAGACTCGGACGTCAGCGTCCGAGTCGCCGCCATCGCCGTCATTCAGATCCTCAAAGACACGGGCTCGCTAGACCCCGACGAGGTTGACGCCATTGGCCGGCTGATATTCGACTCGGAGCTGCGCGTCCGGAGGGCAGTTATTGACTTCTTTGCCGGTTGCGTTAACGACTCGATCGAGAGCAAGATTGACGACATTGGAGGTGCCGACGCGGTCGAGGAGCTGTTCGGCGACGACCTCGAGGAGGACCACTTCTCGCCCCGCCGAGACTGGATCAGTATCAAGTGCCTCGCTGAGCTGCTCGCTAACTACGACGCCCAGCTTGAGGAGGAGAACGGGACTGAACCCCCCCGGGGCCTCGATGTTGCCGTCGAGATGGTCCAGGCCGTGGTGCCCGAGACCAGAATATCCTTTGCATCCCAGGTTTTGTACGAAAAAATCGACCATGTAAAGAACTGGGAGCTTCTGTCCGGATACCTTCTGTACGACCACACCACGAGCTCAAAGTCAAAGTCGGCGTCGAGGGGGAAAAGCTCGAACGAGTCCGCCCTGAGAAACGCCGTGGCGCCCGTGGGCAAGGAGGAATCAGTCCTTCTCGAGGTTCTCTCGTCGGCCGTCAAACTGAGCCTGACCTCGGCCACAGAAGTCGACCGGAGCAGGAGGAAACCGCGCGCGGACGGCGAGAGCCCCGAGGATTCTGCCGTCCATCTTGCCACTATTATTCCCCGCCTCCTGAAGAAGTACGGAGCTGATGCCAGCACCGCCGTCGTGGTGTTGCGGCTAGAGCACTATCTCGATCTCGACATCTTCCAGCAGCTTCGCCAGGAATCTACGACATACACCAGGCTTCTAGATGAGATCTGCACACAGTTCGACAGGCATGTCGACAGGGGTGTTCTCGCCGAAGCCGCAGCGGCGCTGCTGCACTCGCGCAGGTACGACGAGTTGGAGGAGATCACGGACGCAAAGATTGCCGATCTGTGGCAGGCTGTTATCAACGCTCTTCGGCATTTCGACAAGACGTACGAGCTCAAAATGCGCGGCAACCTCGACGCGCCAGCCATCGCCGAACTGGGCCACATTCTCCTCAAGGCAAGCAAGCTCGCCAGCATTGCTAACTGCATCGATCTGCTCGAAGCCGAGGGGCAGTCAGATGGTTCCGAGGCTCCCGCAATCGACCTCCTCATTCAGGTCATTCACCGCGGCCGCCTCGACCAGGTCGACGAGGCTCTAGACGACCTCGAGGACGAGGCGGTGTCTTTCGCCGCCAAGTCCTGCCAGTTCTACTTTATGTGGAAAGTGCGCAGCCTGATTGACTCTGTTCAGGGGGGCGTGGAGATTACCAGCGCCGACGCCGAGAAGCTCGACAGCCGCCGCGTCGCGTTCCAGGAAAACTTGATCTGGACCCTGTCGTCGCGCGGCACCAACGACGACCTCCGGCTCTTTGCCACGGGCGGGCTCTGTGACCTGCACGTCGTGTTTGCGTCGCTCCGGCAGAACGTGGCGGACCTGAGCCAGCAGGGCGCGGCCGACGGCGCCAGGGGCGGTGGTAAATACGCGGTCCTGGACCCGCTGTACAAAACGATCCAGCCGGCGCTGATCAACGAACTGGTCGAGATCTTCGACGCGGCCGAGCGCGCCTACGCGCGCTGCATCAAGCGCGACCTCAACGAGCCGGCTGAAGACGAGGACCCGCTCGACGACGACCAGTTCTCCGACGACGACAACGAGGACGATGAGCTCTCGCCCACCGAGAAGAAGGGCAAGGAGCTCAAGACGGAGCGCGCCCTCTGCGAGCTCGCCGGCAAGTTCGTCCTCGCCATCGCCGCCAAGATGCTCGACAACACGGGGCCCGTCGCCGGCAAGCTGCGCCGCCGCATGCTCCGCAACCAGAACAAGCTCGGCCACAACCTCAAGGAGACGCTCTCGTACCTCGACGAGGCCAAGCTCCGCGACAAGGCCGGCGCCGCGGCGGCCGCCGGCGGGAGAAAAAAGGCCGGCGCCGCTGCTGCTGCGTCCCGGGGCAAGGGGAAACAGCCTGTCTCTGCCGCTAGTGGCAGTGGGTCAACCGCGGCCGCGAACGCTGCAGCCGCCAAAAAGAAGAACAACCGCGGCAGGGGCCCTCTGAGCGCCGAGATCGTCGTCGGCGACGACACTAGCGACGACGACGACGTCGAGGACATTGACGACGACCTCGAGCCCGAGCCTGAGGAGGGCACCGCCGAAGACCTGCGACGCCGCGGCCTGATGGACGGGGAGGACCCTATCATAGACGACGATGAGGATGACGACGACGACGGCGGAGGGGGGAAAGGTGGCGGTGATAACATGGACGAAGACAACTCTGTCATAGGCGACTGATTTTGTGGTGTTTTTCTTTTTCTTTTCTTTTTTTCTTCAAGTGGGCTTTTGAAAGACGTTCGGAAGGTCTGTAATTACGGATCACTACGGGATTGCGGGAGGTCGTTTTGTTTTCTTCTTGTTTCTTCTTGTTTCTTCTGGTTCTTGTTGCTTTCCCCCCCTTGTTTCGCTTCTTAATATTCTTCTTGCCGGCATCTTGTCCTGTTCAGCTCAGTTCAGTTCAGCTCAGCTCAGTTCAGTTCAGTTCAGTTCAGCCTGGTTGGCTGGCGCTCCGCCTTCCTGCTTGCTCAAGGCTGCGCGTCTTTGATAAGAAAATTCCCTTCTCGATACGGAAACGCGCTGTTTTTTTGTTTTTTTTGTTGGTTGTGGTTTGCGGTTTGTGGTTTGTGGTTTAGGCGAGGGTGAAGGCGAAGGCGTTTAGAGAGTGTGTGTGTAGGAAAGAGGGTTGTGAGGGAGACTCTGGCTCTGAGAAGGCATGGAAGAGAGAGAAAGTCGAGGTAAGACGGGATGGATGGGGAGAGTTTGGATGGTGTGTGTTGTTGTCATCGAGCGAGCAGAGAGCTAAAGCTGCGAAAACACAGAGCGAGAGCGAAAGAAAGAGAGAAAGAGAGATGACATGAAGTCTATTGTCTATTGTCTATGCCTATGTCTGTCCATGTCTACGGCCCCCATTTTCTTATTCCTTTTTTTTAGTAGTATTCCTGTCATGATAGCTCGAGCGGACTGGAACCTTTTTGGTTTCGAGCTTTGTTTTTTTGTTATTGTTGTTGTTGGTCTCACGTTTTCCTTCAAAATCTGTTTAGTACGTGCCTGCGGTAGTCGGCTAGTGTAAAATGAAAGAATCGAGAGAGACTTGGTCTGTGCCGCTGTCCTGCCCGTCTGCCTGTCTGACTGCCTGGACTTAGGTTTAGCTATAATTGTTTGCCAATGGACACATGAGTCAGTTTGCAGTACGCCGATGGGCATATAAAGCCCTTATCTATCTTAGTCGTTGCCAAAGGGCTACGCTATCTAGGCGTAGTTTAACGAGTGATACCAGTGTATAAGCAGAGTTTATCACCCTCTATTCTCTTCTAGTGTTAATCGTTAAAATTAGGGTTAGTTTACTTCTAATAGCCTCAAGCATTTTACTTTACTCGCGCAGAGCGGCTTTGGGTTGAACGGGCCGGCAAAGAAGGTAGCCACCAGCACTTGACACACTTATGGGGCGTGATGTATTCATATACGCCGTCGGTCGACGACATCGGCCATCATCTGTCTGAGATGCTGGCCGACGACTTCCGCGATATATGCAACAAGTCAGTGCCTGTGTACATCCTGTCGCCGCAGTGGAAGATGCCCACCGTGGTGCTTTATAATTATGTATACCTTTGGTGGTTCCGCCCGTACCGCAGCGAGCTGGACTGGCAACGCTTCATGTGCAAGTTCATCAAACCACAGGGCCTACCCGGCGACGAGACTCTGTCCGACGCAACCGTCGACACCCTTATCGCCCTGAACGAGGCCACGTGCGCGCACATCCAAGCCCTGCGTCCCGTCTACGACGCGCGCGCAGCAGCAGCAGCAGCAGCAGCACCGGGTGCCAACGGGCTGTCCAGGCAGCCGCCCTTCGTCCGGGACCACCAAATCTACATCGTCCAGCCACTATTCCACACGCTGATGATGGTGGTCTGCCCCGCCGACTACAGGAAAGAAGACTCGGCAACGGTCGGCAGGCTACCCGTTGTTCTGGTCCGCACGGGCATCGAGGACGGCCTCAGCGCGCCTATTACTTTTGAGTCTATCATCCAGCAGGATAATATTAGTGGTGGAAACACGATTACCACGACGCTCGAGGGGGCCACCGACTTTGTCGTGGCGCTGGAGGCCCGGGAAGCCGCCACCTTTGGGCTGCGTCCCGACTCGTCAGCGATTGAACCCCGTAGTCTCTCGTATATCGGGGGTATGGAGAAGAAGGAGCTGCTGCTGCTGCCGGCCGCGTCGAGCGCTTCGTATGTCGACGACGAGGACGCGTTGGCGTGGGGGTGGTGCGGCTCTGGCGTGCATTACGACTCCGTCCCCATGCCTAACCACGAGAAGAGGGCTATCCGCAAGCTGGAGATTGAGTCAGACCCGGTGCTCAAGGAGTCTTGCAAGGTCGTCGAAGGGCATTATATTATCCCCTTTTGATTATCGGGTAGTGTGCGACGCCGTGAGCAGTAGGATCAGCTTGTAGAAGGCCCACCACGTCTTAGAGAAGCCATAGATAAGTAGGATAGGAGAGCCCGAACGCCCCGGCCGAGATATAGTGTAGTATGGTGCCGTTAACTGCAGTTATGTAGTGCGTGATGCCCTCGACGAGCAGGCTGGCCGAGGTGATGGTGGCCATTTTCTTGGGTTAGGTGCTACGTCGGAAAGGTAGTTGTTATGGCCTGTATGGGATAGAGTATAGATAATGACTTTGAATAGGGGTAAGCTACTACTTACCTATATGTAAGGGATTATTATAAATACTCGACTGGGATCTAGACTCGGTATCGCTGGCTAAGTTATAATAAAGCTCTCGTTAAAAACAACGCCCTGTTTACATGCCCCGTGGTATCAATAATCGCCCAAATCCCCTGCCATTGCCTGCCATTACACCCCCAAAAGAACATAAAAAGGTCGCTCACGTGCAGATCTTGGTCCCGAACAGCCCAAATACCCTCTCCCACGCCGTGCGCTCACCCGCCCTCCCAGAAGACAGGACGCCGTACTGCTTGATGCAGCAGGCGAACGGCTTGTTCGACAGGGCGCGCTCGGCGCCGCCATCCTCGACGTCCGAGCTGTCGGGCGGCAGCTTGTCTGAGCGCAGCAGGGGGCGCCCTTTGGCTGCACGGCCGTCCGCCCGTCGCCTGGCGGCCGTGGCCTTGCCGGACTTGAGCTCCTCGAGGTTGCCCCACAGCGTGAACAGGCGCTCGCGCAGCCGGGCGAGCGCGTCGACGTCGTAGCGGAGGTTCGTGGCGTCCAGGCCCGCGAGGCACTGCGCCTCGGCATTGTTGACCACGGCCCAGAAACGCGCCCGGGGCGCCTGGACGCCGTTGGGCTTTTGGCCCTTGCCGTTGGTCGTCGGGGGCGGCTGCGGCGATGCGTCCTCGAGCTGCACCGCAAAGCGCCACTCCCATATACGCCCCCCCGGCCGTCGTCGTCCGAGCTGGTTTCGTCGTCGTCGTCCCCATCGACGTCGCCGTTGTCGGATAGGACGTCAAACTCGACTGTGCGGCGGCCGCATGAAAAGTCCTCTAGTGATTGGGGGAAAAAGTCAACAACGCGCACGCGCGTCAGGTACTTGGCGCATATAAAAGGCAACTCGAGCTTCACGGCCTGGCCGTTGACCGTGGTGTCGTAGTGGACGGGGGCGAGTATGGATTCTACCGACGCAAGCGGCGTGCCGGGGTGGCTCTCGCACGTCACCTGCTTGTTGAGGCCCTGCCACATATCCTCCTTCTGGCCTGCCTCTGCCGCCTTTGCTTGCTGCTCGAGAGCCGCACGCCTCATCTTGCGTTTCTCCTTGCCATTTAGGGCCCGCGGGCCCTTCTGTTCCGACGCACCCGCGCCAGCGCTATTGGTCTGGCCGGCGCCGGCGTCGACTGCTGCAGCCTTGCGCTTGACACCGGTGACCTTTCTAGACTTTATCTCTTTGATTTGCGCCTTTTTGCTCAGCTCGTAGTCGCGCCATCGCCTGATCGCATCCTTGAACCGCGGATTTATAGGCTCGGCGTCCGTGGCGCTTAGCACGTCGACATTGATTTTGTATTCGTTCAAGTTTAGCTCGGCGCGCATAAAGCCCTCAAGGTTCTGGCCGTCTCGGCCAAACTTAACCTGCACGTTGCGCAACATTAGCCACTGGCCTGCCTTCACTTCGCTACGGATGAAGCTGGCGTGGGGCTCGTAGCAGGTGATTTGCATGGCCTTCTTCCCGTACGGGCCGCACCAGTCCTTCTTGTCCGAGTCTTTGGCATAGGTGCCGGTGGTGTAACCGTAGGGGTCGCCGCCACCGGCCCGCGATGGGAGATCTTTGAGGCCGTCCCAGGTGTAGTGGAAGAAGTGTTCATTCTCGGTGTAGTCGGATACATATAAGGTCATCTTGTCCGCCATGTACCAGGGCTCCCGGGCGACTTGGACGATCAGGTCATAGAAGCTGCCGTCGCACACGTCTTTGAGCAGCCTGAACTTTTCCTTGATGTTGAGAGACATGGCGGCCCTCTGGCTGAATTCTTCATCGTCGGGAAGTCCATGTTTGTCGATCTTATTAAAAAAATACGAGACATATCGGTTGATCTCGTCGTCCGGCTCCCGGGGGTCGCTCTTGGAGGGCGGAACAAGGGCAGCCTTGGCCGCTAATGGCGACAAGGCCAGCCTGGGTGCCTTGTACAGGCAGATGCAAGTGGCGCGGTTGCTGATCAGAGACATGGAGCCGTTGTATTTTTGCACCTTGGCCCTGAAGATGACCACGACATCCCTGGCTCTAACTTGGGGCATGGCCTCTTTGGGGCGGAAGATGTTAAAGACAATGCCATAGCCGCCGTCGACCTGGGTGGACAAGTCACAGAGGGTTAGGGTGCTTTTGAAGTCTGCAATGAAATAATTAGAGGCATTCTTATCTTCTTCCAAATAGAGACAAACTCACCTGTGCCGGTCGTGGGCATGGGCAGTCGGCAGTCCGTCACCAGGCCAATGACATCGACAAAACTGCCGGGCTCTGGCCTGGAGCCCTCATCTAGAATCTGGCGAATCTCGTTGAACGGGGCGGGCAAGGCTCTGCCTGCATCCATTTTGTCGGTGCAAGTGACAAGGCAACAGGCCTGCAGGTGCAAGCCTTCATCTAGCACTGGTTTGACGTGGAGGTTGCTTTGTCCAAGCGAATTTTATTGCGTGCGTGCTGCGTGCTGCATGTTGCGTGCTGCGTGCACCTGGAATGACAGGAATGAATTGAGAATCGACGGGACGTTTTGCTGCCAAACTCAAAAGGAAACAACCTATCCGTCCGTACATTCACTGTTACACAGCGCTCGCAACAACGCAAACAAATATGCCCGGCCTTCGTATTTGTATTTGTTTACCAAATGAGGCCATATTTGAGCTTTTCCAACATGTATTTGAGTTGATTGGATTATTTGCAAATATTCATTTGACCAGCGCTGAAAAACAATATTCTGGCCCGGGTAAACCCCGGCATAGAAAAAAATCTGCCAGCCGGGACGCCGAAAGCCAGCCAAAGCCATGCCGACGCTTCAAAACAGGCCATATCGCCGCCAATTTAACAGGCACAGCAGCCTGTTGATGGTATCGCTACTGAGCCCGTGTCTCTGTAGTCCAACGATCAATTTGGCCACACTGAACAGCCTCTCGCAGTCTGAAGACATCGCCGGGATCGAAAGAAGGTCAAAGGCCATTCGTGACAACTGTGGAAAGCGGTCTTTGTTGTTAGTCCACCAAGCTAGAATGTCATCAACAGGCTTGACAAGTTCTTGAAGGTATTGTTGAAGCTCAGATGTAGGCGGGGGGGTCGTAGTAGCCGTGGCTGGTAAGGTACGCATTTAGGAAGTCTTGGACCTCCACAGGGACTTCAGGGACCTCGATATGGGGGTAATGCCAGTCGAAGAACGCAGTTACTAGGGCCATAATATCAAGGACCTGTTCATCAGGTAGGTACTTCACAACCCACTTGTCCTTATGCCCAGGGTGCAGAATCATCGAGAACCAAGAAACCGGTGTAATTTCCAACCCCTTGATGTATTTCTTGAGCTTCGCAATTGAGCGATCAAGGCTTTGAGCCAGGGAGACCTCACTTTCGCCAGCCAAAGGAAGCTCGGGCGCGGCGGTAGGCTCGGGGTGTGGCAGGCTCACGTTAACGGCGATCGCGACTTCAGGGGGCATCATTGAGCCGGCCCTGGATCGGCGAGGAAGACTGGCTTCGTGATCCCGTAGGCGGGTGGTCGGCCGGGTCGCTCGTTGCATTCGTCTTGTTGTTGCGGGCGGCTCTACAACGACGATTTCTTCATATGCCGGGGCAGGAACCGGGTGAGCCAGTGCATAGGTAAGCCGTCAATTAGAAAGCTCTTCGACCAAGTAATACATCGTAGGGATCACCTCACAGAAGAGAGGCTTCCTATATTCAAAGCGCTTGGTAATGACTTCGAAGGGTTTCGACTGGGTTTTGACTTTCTTCAAAATATGCCAGTCTCCGGGGCTCAGCACATCGGCAATAGGTACTCTTTTTGACGGGTCAGGGTTTTGCAACGGCTGGAAGGTCCACTAATCTAGCACATCGCGAAGCCGAATTGCTTTCTCAATCATAGAATAAACAAAGTTCCATCGAGTACTGTTGTCAGCTTTGAGTCGAAGCCCAACTAAATCATCGTCAACGAAAACCCGATCACCAACAGCCTCAAGCTCATCGGCGCTCAGCCGACTGTTGGCGACGTTGAGGAAGGAATCCCGGCGTTGAGGGTTGTAGCGAACATGGTTTACGAGGTTGTGAAGCTTACCGACTGGCCCGCGTTTACGCCATTCCTTGAGGATTTTATCTTCTCCCTCAAGATTGCTCTGTAGGTTGTCGTAAGGTTTGAGGGTCCTGAGCAGCTCTCTACTGTTACCCTCAATGAAGGCTTTAGCGGCAAGGTTAAGTATATGGCCGAAGCAACGTATACGATGGCGTGCCTCGGAATCAGCCCGGCCGTCGGCATCAAGGCCCGGCTTAAGCTCCCAAATTAAATGCCGAACACTCGTGTCGTTGCTGTTGGTATTGTCGGCCTGAAAGTAACCGACTTCCTCATTACCTATGCCGTACTTGGCGAAGACCCTCGTGATGATCGGCGCGAGGTTATCGCCGCCGTGACTCCCCAGATGCGTGGTATGCTTAGAGTATAGTTTATGAGCTTTCCACCGGCCTCAACGAAGTATAGAAAAATACGGAAGAGGGCGTAGCCATTCGGCGAAGTCCACGCATCGACGGAAAGGTTCTTTTTATGCTTACTTGCCGTTATTCTTTCACGAAGTTGATCCGCCTGGCTAGCGAATCTTTCCTCTACCCAGGCCTTGATCGTGTTGGCTGACTTCGGCAACAGGGTTTCCCTTAATACGGGCGAAACCAGGGCAAGCATATGACGGAAGGCAGGGCCTTCGATCATGTGGAAAGGAATAGAGTCTTCAATGACCCAGTCGATAACTACATCCTTGAAAGCCTCTACCAAATGCACCGGAATAGGCACAATACTCGGTGATCTTGTTGATGCCCCGGAGCGTTGCATATCTAGTACGCTGACGAGCTTCCGCTTCTTGACTGGGGGCTCACGGTGCTTTGCAGGGTCATACTTCTTATGTACAGAGCCGAGGTGTGAAGCCGCCGACGACGTAACTGTTGAACAGAAAAGGGTGACATCGAGACAAAGAGAACAAATCTAACTGCAGCTGTCGAGTCGCTCCCCGGCCAGGCTCAAGCCCACAGTAAAGACACCCCCAATCACGAATCCACGATGTTCTTTTCTTCTTGTTGTATATCCACACTTCCAACACGTAGCGGGTTCATCCTGCCAGTATAAAGGGCCATGTGTTCAGGTCTTTAGAAAGCCCGCGGCTCTCTACCGCGCGCATGGCTTCGATGCGGCTCGCGATGGAGGCAGGCTGACTGCCGAGGGAGGGGAGTTTCGATGGATTCGGTCGGAAAGGAGCCTTGGGCCGAATTCGAGCCGGGGGAGTTCGGAGGACTGTCGGAAATGGAAAAGGGACTTCCGGGAGGGCTCGTCATCGTGTTGACAGGTTGGGATGGCTTCAGTTGCAGTAGAAATGCGGGTTTTCGTAGGTTCAGACAGTCGTTCAGAGGCTGCCAGGCAAATGCAGGATTTCGCCTGGAAAATCCACTTTTTCCTGGGCCGGGAACCCACTGTTGACACCCTGAACCCAGGAAAATGGGCCATATAAAATGGCCCCACATACCAAGTATGCCAAATACATTTACGAATCTACGGCTTCATACTTGTGTTTGGTTTGGCCTTTTTTGAGCATATTTGAGTTGCCAGTATTTGTATTTGCTTTGTTTGCATTACTATATTTGCGCTGTTGCGAACGCTGTCATTTCGCAGCCTGAAGGCGCTTTTAATCTGTCATTCAAGTAAGGTAATCTACGCGTCTCTCCAGCCCTGGAGACGCGTTAACTTGCCGGCCCGCTGTTAGTGTCGCGCTGGGCCTGTTTACTACCGGTACTCTGAGCTGGCTCCTTCTTTGTTGGTGGTGTAGACCGCTATTCTTTCAAGCTGTTACAGTGGGCGTCTGGGCCTGGGGCCTAGGGCGACACCCGCTGGTCCGTGCACGCCCCCTTTGGAGGGGTCGGCGGCCGTCAGCGTGGGGCGTGTTGACGCCTCAGGCAGCGATCAGCTGTCTCTGACTCGAAAGGGTCGGGCCAAAAGAGGGCGGGGCCAGTACGGGAACCTTTCCTGGCGCAGAAAGACCCGTTCTCATTTCCATCTCTCCAAATTTCTTTCATTGTCTAACACGAGCACAAATTCTCCCTAACGACCATTACGTCCTGTCCCCCCTCGACCCGTTGCGAAGAGAAGACAAGCCGGGCGCACGCACGCAAACTCAAAAAATCTGCTGCCGCCGTGTCTCGTCTCTGCGTTACCTTTTTCTTCGCTTTGTAGTCAAGTCAACCTCAACTCCAACGTCAACCCTCGGACAAACCACCCCGCCACGGCCTATCGACTCAGCTGAGAGCCGTCGACACCATGGCTGACCGGTACATTCCCGAGCATCGCCGCACCCAGTTCAAGGCGAAGAACACGTTCAAGCCCGAGGAGCTTCGACGCCGCCGCGAAGAGCAGCAGGTCGAGATCCGCAAGGCAAAGCGCGAGGAGAATTTGGCTAAGCGCCGCGGTATTGGTACCGGCGACAACCGCCCCGGTGCCTCACTGGGAGCTGCTCCCGATAGCGACGATGAGAACCCCCCAACAGAGTCTCAGGTATGGCCTTCTTTCTCTCTTCTTGTTGTGCTTCGCAATCGCCGCCATCCTTTTGCACTTGTCTATTTTTTTCCACCCCGCCTCCCGTACCCCGCCGCTTGCTGTGGTCCCCCCTGCTGGCCGCTCTCCCCCCTCCCCCTCCTTCCTCCCAAAGAACCCATCACAGGCAAGCGACCACGTTTAAGACCCCGCGCTTTACTGTGCTCTGCTCTGCCATGTCCGCATTTTCTGCTGCCCATTGCGCAACGGCCTGTGCATCGGAGTGTGGGCGACTGTGGTCGCGATGCTACTCGCCGTCTTGGTTCTGGACAATTACCGCTCGCGAAATGTCGGCTAACATAACACGTACAGCTCAATGAGGACCTCCCGCACATGGTCCAGGGTGTTTTCTCCGACCAGATTGACCTCCAGATTCAAGCTACCACCAAATTCCGCAAGCTCCTCTCCAAAGAGCGCAACCCCCCAATCGAAGAGGTCATCAAGACTGGCGTCGTCAGCCGTTTCGTCGAGTTCCTCCGGTCCCCGCATACGCTTGTGCAGTTTGAGGCCGCCTGGGCATTGACCAATATCGCGTCCGGCTCGGCCACCCAGACCCAGGTTGTTATCGAGGCTGGCGCTGTGCCCATTTTCGTTGAGCTTCTTGCAAGCCCCGAGCCCGACGTCCGCGAACAGGCGGTATGGGCGCTGGGCAACATTGCCGGCGACAGCCCCCAGTGCCGCGATTACGTTCTCGGCCAGGGTGCTCTGCGGCCTTTGTTGACCCTCCTTGGCGACAGCCGGAAGCTTAGCATGCTTAGAAACGCCACCTGGACCCTAAGCAACTTTTGTCGCGGGAAGACGCCTCAACCCGACTGGAACACTGTATGCACTTTGCTCTCCCCTCTCACTGCCCAATCCCGTCTTGCTCTATCACGTGACGCTAACACACGCAAGATTGCTCCCGCCCTTCCCATCCTCGGAAAGCTTGTCTACTCTCTCGACGACGAGGTGTTGATTGATGCCTGCTGGGCCATCTCCTATCTGTCGGACGGGTCCAACGACAAGATCCAGGCCGTCATCGAGGCGGGCATTCCCCGCCGTCTGGTGGAGCTTCTCATGCACGCCTCGACGTCGGTTCAGACACCTGCCCTTCGTTCGGTTGGCAACATCGTTACCGGTGATGATGTGCAGACACAGGTTATCATTAACTGCGGCGCCCTTCCCTGTCTGCTCTCTCTGCTGAGCTCTAACAAGGACGGGATTCGCAAGGAAGCTTGCTGGACCATTTCTAACATTACGGCTGGGAACTCGGCGCAGATCCAGTCGGTCATCGATGCCAACATCATTCCTCCGCTGATCCATCTTCTTTCTAATGGAGATCTCAAGACGCGGAAGGAAGCGTGCTGGGCCATCAGCAACGCCACCTCTGGCGGCCTGCAGAAGCCCGAGCAGATCAGGTATCTGGTTTCGCAGGGTTGCATCAAGCCGCTGTGCGACCTCCTGGCCTGCCCCGACAACAAGATCATCCAAGTCGCCCTAGACGGCCTCGAGAACATTCTCAAGGTTGGAGATCTCGATAAGCAGGCTGCCGGCGACGGCCCCGACTCGATCAACCGCTACGCCCTCTTCATTGAGGAGTGTGGTGGCATGGAGAAGATCCACGACTGCCAGACGAACGCGAACGAGGAGATTTACATGAAGGCGTACAACATTATTGAGAAGTACTTTTCGGACGAGGAGGAAGCTACCGACGAGGCCATGGGCCAGGCGCAGCAGTTTGGCTTCGGCGCCAATGGCGCCGGTGCTCAACAAGGCGGTTTCAGCTTCGGTGCCAATGGTACCGAGTCTATGGACATGTAGAGCCGTTCTAGCCATGAGACCCTGCACCTCGGCCACGACGCCCCATGGCGGGTACTTGAGTCGGAAATGACAGACAAGGAGAGATAGACTTGAGACAACCTCGACTTGCTGTTGACTTCTGATGCGACATCCAAAAACATAACTTCCCCTAAACACCCTCCCCTGATCCCCCCTATACACCTCTCTTCCCGGGCAGACACGACACGGCACAGCTATGTTTAGGTTGAATCGACGCGATCGCTTATCTCCTCAACACACCCCCCTTCCCCCCACTCCCCCCCCGTATTTCCCCGACCACCCCGACTCGGCGTATCATCATTTTGTTTTCAGCGACAAGCTCGGGATAGCAGATGCATAGAGGAAGAGAGACCAGGTCCTTTGGTTGCTTAAAAGCTCCGGCCTGGCGGACGAAGCGATGCATAATATAGGCGGTGCAGCAGGAAGGGTCTAAAGGGCCCTCAGAAAGAAAGATGTTCATTTATTTATCCGTTCATCGATTGATTCTAAGTGTTTGAACAGCAATTACGACAAGCGGCTGGATAGGTACTGCTTTAATCGTGGGTGAGTGAATGAGTACATGAGTACATCAGTTAGTGAGTGAGCTGAGCAGGTCAGTAGGTTAAGTGACATTTACATTGAGGTAGTCTTTTTGTACGGTAGGATACAGAAAGCGACATGTGCGCCAAGGCGCCAAGCCACTAGCCCAGCTAAAACCGGATTTTTACGCATAAAAAAGCCTACTTCAATAGGTTGAACGCTTCTTTAGATGGCCTGCCCGGCACCCTGCGCCCAGGCCCTATCTATGCCTGGGCCAATTTTCACCTGCAATTGAGGCCATCGCCAAATCCACCAAATCCGCCAAAACCCCTTAACTACAACCATCACAATACTATCAATCGCACAACACAACAACAACACGATTTTATCGTCGCGTAAGTAGGTGCGCCGCTTCATTTTCAATCGATTAGACTAACTAGCGATAGAAATGGCCGCGCGTACGCCTTCGGCCGGCGGGAATGACGATGTAGCTCCCCCCGCGCCCGCGCCCGCGCCCGCGCCCGAACCTCTCTACTACGAGGGCTTTGGCTGTAGCCTTTGAAGCGTAACAAAGCAGCGATTTCGAGGGTGCCTAGGTAGGGTAGGTTTTTATTACTAATTAAGACATACTATATAAGCAATAATAGAGGTTAAGCCTTCGGGTTTTATTATGGAAATGAACGATTTAAGCGAATTTTACAGCCCTGAGCGATAATTACCGTATTTGGAAGTGCATTAATGTTGACGTTGGCGGTGTAATCGTGGTACGACTATATATGTGACTAATTGATCTGAAGTTGGTCTGGCTCCGTCCCAGGAATTGGCGCTTTCTTAGTGCGAAAAGTGGGATTGTAATAGGCGGGTCCTAGCGCCTATGTCACTTTTTGTACCCTACCGTACGAATAGACTGTCTCTTTACATTTTAGTTGACAAAGAAAGACAGTGCTTACCACTTACTTTACCACCTCACAGCCTCGTTATATCTACCTACAGGTCCATGATTTGACGGTACCCTTGTGCTTCGGATATACTGGCGGTATGTGCTCCTACGCCCCGGCAGCCATTTCCAGCACGCATTTTGCGTATAAATATACATAGGTAGGGAGCTATGAAGCTGCCACGGTACCATACTGCCACGGCCACGGCCACCGGCACTAGCACTAGCACTGGCACTAGCAGTAGCAGCAGCAGGTCATCTACCACCCTGGCCTTGGCTCTAGCTCTGGCCCTGATTCTTACCCTGGCATCAACGCCCTGCATTACCGCTGCTGCTACCGCTGAACCCTCGCATCCCCGCGGCACTGGCCCTGGCCCCGACAACGGCGCCCTCCCCACCCCCCCGGCCTTCCCCGGCCCGTGGAAGCGCTATATCAGCACCCCAGCCAACAAGAGCCACGTCGTCCCGTCGCGCATATGGAAGGTCCGCGGGAACGTGTCGCTCCCGGCGGCAACGGGCGAGGATGGCGACGGGGAAGCGGCCAGTGTCTTTGGCAGGGGCGGCGGGTTTTTGGTTGGCATTGGCGGCATGTTGACGCTGGCGTTTGAGCAGAACATCGGAGGGCGGTATGCATTTTCTTGTGTGTCGTGTCGTTTTGTTCCTGTGCTGGCTGGCTGGGTGCTTACTGTGTCAAGGCTCTGTCTCGAGATCGACGGCGCCGGCGGGAACCCGACGGTTAATCTTGCTTATTCCGAGTCGCCGTGGTTCGCCGGCCGCATCCCCGACGCCACAACGGACCAGCAGGAAAGGGACCTGCCGCTGTCCCTGCACGTTGGCGACACGGCGCGCACTACTACCCGCTGCGTCGACCCCGAGTTTGTGCGCGGCGGGCTCAAGTTTGTCACGGTTAGCCTGCCGTATAGGAGTAGTGGTTGGTTTAGTGGCCGTGTTGTTCAACAGGTGCTCGCTCTCTTCTCGGGCACGCAGAAGGCAAAGGCGAGCGCGCCGTGGGTGCGCATCTCGATGCTGTGGGTCAACTGCACGGCGTTCCCATCGCAAAGCAACGGGCGGGCGTACTCGGGCTACTTCTTCAGCTCGAGCGACGTGCTCAACCGGGCGTGGTACGCGGGCGCCTGGACTCTGCAGCTGACAACAATCAACCCGCGAGAGGGCTCCGCGCTGATCGACTACAACCGCCTCGTCGACCACAACACGTCGCCCGTCGGGTCGTGGTACTCAAACTTCACCATCGCCAACGGCTCCGCCGTCACCACCGACGGCGCCAAGCGCGACCGCGTCGTGTGGCCCGGCGACATGGCCATCGCCGTGCCGGGCATCGCGGTCTCCACCTATGACATGGCCGCCGTGCGCAACGGCCTCGACGTCTTATTTGCTCACCAATACCCCGACGGCTCGCTGCCCTACGCCGGCCCGCCCATGGGCTTCCACGCCGAGTTCTCCGACACGTACCACCTGCACACCCTGCTCGGCGTCTTCAACTACGTGCTGTGGTCGGGCGACGTCGCCTGGCTGCGCGCCCGCTGGCCCGCCTACCTCGCGGCCCTGCGCGCGAGCGCCGCCAAGGTTGACGCGCTGGGCCTGTTGCACGTGTCGTCCACCGCCGACTGGCTGCGCCCCGGCATGACGGGCCACAACCTCGAGGCCTCCGCCATCCTGTACGCCGCGCTGGCCAAGACGCAGCTGCTTGCCGCCTGGCTCGGCGAGGCCCCCAGCGACGAGTGGCCCGCTCTGCAGCGTGTTCTCGAGAACGGCCTCGCCCGCCTCTACTGCCCCCGCACGGGCCTGTTCTCGGACAACGTCGGCCGCCGCGGCTGCGCCGGTGATGACCACGTCGATCCCCAGGACGGCAACAGCTGGGTGCTTATTAGTGGCATCGACCTCGCGCCCTCGGGCCGCCCGTGGGAGCACCCCAAGTCGCCGCGCCGGGGGTCCAAGATGCTCCCTGGCGGGCCGCCCACGCGGGCGAACATTTCGGCGAATCTCCGCAAGAGGTGGTATGTTATTTGTTGCTGTGCCCCCTTTTTTTCCCCTGCTGGACTAGACTGCTTTTGTTTAGGCTAGTTCTGCCACTCTCCCTGATCGCCCCTTTTCCCTAGTCGTCGAATCCATTCCCCACTTAGCCAGCGAAATCAAATAAAAGGAGGAAGAAGACTGACCAAGAGTCCATCCAGGCTCGCGCACGGCGCGCCGGCTGTCGAGTTCCCTAACGTCATCAGCCCGTTCATCAGCGGCTTCGAGCTGCTGGGGCACGGGGCGGCGGGGCAGGTCAGCATGGCGGTCGAGCTGGTGCTGCTGGAGTGGGCGCACCTGCTCGGCGGCGACGGCTTCACGGGCAGCACGCTGGCCGAGGGCTTCCGCGTCGACGGCCACCCGCAGTACCCGGCATACTGGAGCACGGCGCGCAACTCCCATGCCCACGGCTGGAGCGCTGGCCCCACGGCTGCGCTGCACCGCTTCGTGCTCGGGTTCGAGCTGCTGGAGCCCGCGGGCCGCAGGGGCAGGGCAAATCCGCAGCTGACGCCCTGGCCAGTGTTTCCCTCAGCACCCACCCATATACATACCTCCCATTTCAACCAAAGCCAGAATCACAGCTAACCGCCCCATCAACAGGCTAAGCTAGGTCCGCGGCGGCTACTCGACGTCCATAAGCCGGTTCGAACTCGCACACTACCGCGCCGTCGAAGTCCGGCGCCGGAACAACAACGACATCAACGACACGAATGGCCTCGTCAAAACCGGGCGCAAAGCCACCGTCACCGAGATCCGCATCCCCGCGCCGGCTGACTTTAGCGTGCAGGTCGGCAGCAGCAGCAGCGAAGAGCTCATCAGCTTCGACGGCCCTGGCGACTGCGACGGCTATGGATGCAGGGCGCTGTTTTTTGCGTGGGAGGAGGACGGCGATGACGATGACGGTGTGGAAGATCACGAGGAAGGGGAGCCGATTTCTTCACCTGCGAGAAGTAAGAAGAGACTGCAGCGGGTCCCGCTGTCAGCGAAGCGGGCTCTGCGCACGGGCCCCTCTTCAAACCATGACCATGACCATAACCATAACCGTAACCATAACCGCGACGGCAGTGCGAGGGACGGCGCAGGACCGGCAGGAGACGAAGATAACGAAGATGACGGAGATGGCGGAGATAGCGGAGATGACGGGGATAACGAAGATGACGAGGAAGAGGAAGAGGAAGAGGAAGAGGAGAAAGAAGACTGGTACCGGCGGTTCGCCATCTCGCTTGGCCAGGATGACGGCAGCGCGACGGAGCTAGTCTATGACGAGGGGTATGTGGCGCCCGAGATGGAGAGGCGGGCGCCGGGGGTGGTGAATTGGGAAGCCATGGAGCGTCATTTCTGACAGAGCCGCCGGCGGGGTGGACGGTTGACCGGCTGCGGGCGTGGGGGGTGGGCGGCGACGACGATGATGACAACGGGCTCATGTTTGATGTCTGAATGTACTGTTTGATATGCGACGGAATGATAGGAATCATAAGACACGCACACGTGGAAAAAAATCAGACGCTCTTGTTGCCCTTTTGTCTATACAGGCCAATGTACCCCAAAGATGTATATGATCGCTCTATCAGCATGCCTCCGCCGTCATACCCAATGCCACCTACCTACCCAACCTCATGCATCGAGTCCGTCTAGCTCTATCAGCTTCACCACCGTTCTGATGACCTCGTTCTTGGTAAGATCCAGGGATGGGTTCTCCACCTTCTTGGCAATGAGGCCGTCAATGACGCCCCGCAGCCGCGACACCAAGACACCAATCCGCGCCCAGCCCCGGAGACGCAGCCACCCGTCCACCACAAGGCCGCGACCCTGCGTGTCCAGCCCAATGGCTCCGGCAAAAAGGAGCAGCGTGTACGCATTGAATGCTGCAGCAAGAACGGTTAGCACAGCGACATGCCCAGATCATACGCAGAATCAACTTACGCGTGAGGTCTCGCACAAAAATCTTGCTCGTCGCCATCATGGTGAAGTACGATAAGAAGGCGGCGTTGCCGGTGAAGCCCTGGCTGCCAAACATGGTGCTGCCGGGATGGATAAAGACGCGCCCGCTGTCCTGGGCAAAATACTTGATCGTCTTGGCATCGGGATCTAGCTCGACGGCGCCCGACGACGACGACGCGTACTTCTTGTCGGGGAACTGGATGCGGGCGATCTGCGGGCTGAAGGCCGATGCCGTCAGGGCGCGGAGCAGCGCCATCGACGGCGAGCTGCGGTTTGCCGCTACCGTAGGCGACGGCGCAGCGATGCCCATCTCGGACAGCGACGAGTAGTACTGCGTCCGCGTCGACGCAATGTCGGAGAGCGTCTGGAAGGAGAGGAAGTTATCGTCGCAAAACTGCCGCACCCGCCTCTGGGGCACCCAGTTCTGCACCATGTCGTCCCACTCTTTGAACACCCGGAGGTCCGTGAGCAGGTCGCCGTCGCCCTGCGAGAAGCGCATCTTGGCCTCCTTGGCCTCGTCCCGCTTGTCGGCCGGGGAGAGAAAGGGGCTCTTGGTGCTCAAGATTGCCGAAATGGTGACGCAGTCATCCAGGCAATCGAAAATAGCGCCAAACACCATGAGCTTGCCGCACCGTAGATCGGCGGGGATCATGGCTAACTGCTGGCCGAGCGCCGTCAGCTCCTCGCCGTCGAGAGCACCCATCCTGCGCAGCATTGAAATGGCTCCCTCGACTGCCGTCGCCTCGGGCGGCGTCGGGGCCCGGGCCAGGAAGTTAGTCACGTCCCTGATGCCCATGGCCCTGACGGCCAGACACAGCTGCTCGAGCGGCACGCGCCGGATCTCGGGCTCAGGACGCTCGGCCATCTGCATCTCAAGGTTTCGCGTGTAGAGCTTGTAGCATTTGCCTGCCTGCACACGGCCGGCTCGGCCGCGGCGCTGTTTGCAGGCCGCGCGGGACGCCCACGTCTCCTCTAGCTTGCGCATGTTGTTCTGCGGGTCAAACGACGTCTCCTTGACCCGCCCGCTGTCTATGACGGCGACAATGTCGTCAATCGTAATCGACGTCTCAGCAACATTAGTGGCCACCACCACCTTCCTCTTGCCAGAAGGCGCGCTGGCAAACACCTTGCGCTGCTCCCTGGTTATCAGGGACGCGTGAAGGGGCAGCACGAACAGCGAGCTGACCGAGCCCAGGACCTTGCATGCACGGCTGATCTCGGCCACTCCGGGCAGGAACACCAGGATGCCGCCAGACTTCTGCGTTGCTGCCAGGTCCCGGTCGATTCCCTTTACCGTCTCTGCCAGCAAGTCGTAGTTGATGCGGCTTCCGAGCTTCTGGATGATCTTGTTCATAGGGTCGTTCTGCTGAGGATCCCCAGACGGCTTGCTAGAGAAGCCATCCGGGTCGGATTCGTCCCTGTCTCTGCTGTTGTACCGGTTCTCAAGCGTGAAGCCTGTCATGCGGATGACGTCGTCGAGATAGTAGTCTTCGACGGGGTAGGTACGGCCGGCAATCTCAACCATGCCGACCGAGATGCCCTTGTCGTCCTTTCTGAGGTAGTCTTTGAACGCAGTAGCGTCGAGCGTTGCGCTCATCAGGATCAGCTTCAAGTCCTTGCGCTTGTACAAGACGTCGCGGATGATGCTCAGCAGGAAGTCGGTGTCGAGGCTGCGCTCGTGGACTTCATCGACTACGACGTGACTGATGTCGGCCAGCGAGGCCACCACGTCGTCGACGCTGCCGCCAGATGTTTGCAGACGCCGAAGCAGAACACCAGTCGTCACAAACGTGATCTTTGTATCCGGGCTCGTCTTGTTCTCGCCGCGAATCGTGTAGCCAACTTCTTGTCCTACCGTAGTGCACCGCTCCTCGCTCACTCGGTCTGCGAGACCCAAGGCCGAGATACGTCGGGGCTGGGTCACGACGATTCTGGCTCCGCGCCCGAGGCCTCTGCTGTATAAATCGTCGAGGATGAACTGGACGGACTGGGTCGACTTTCCTGACCCTGTTTCTCCCGAAATAATGGTGACTTGGTTCTCATAGACCGTGTCTATGATGTCGTCACGCACATCCCAGGCCGGCAGCTTCTGGCGCTGTGCCAGCATCTTCATGAAGCTCGGAGTTCCCGTGCGTACGAGCCACTCGCTTTTGCTCCGAGCATCTGGTGTCCAGTCAATCGGCCTTGGATTCCGCGCCCGTTTTCGCGACGGCTTCGGAACCGCCTTTGGCTCCTCCGAGGCTGCCGACGCCACAGCGGCCACGTCGCGGAGAGCCCCGGGCCGCTCTATGATCTCATTGATGTTTTCCTGCAGCCAGCTCGAGATAAAGTAGACCTTGGACTCCTCTCCGCGCAACGAGGCACCAGCATAGGCAAGGGTCCTCTTGATTATGCTGAGTTTGATGTAGGCAGGGAGCGGTGCTACGATGGACAAGATTACCTGGGCAGGATACTGCGGCGATCTCCGGAACCGGACGTCCGTCTCGACATTTGTGTTTGGCCCGTTGGTGACTGAATCGAGCCGTATCTGGCACAGGTCGTCTGCCAACCTCGTGTATTTGCCCCCAAAGCACGCCTCGAGGGTCGTCATTTCTTCTTCCCAGTACTCCTCTGGCGACCTCCACGAATCCAGCTCTTCGGCGTCTGTTCCGGCTTGGCCTGGGATGGCCTCACTACCATCGGCGCCGCTGGCCAAGAGGAGCTTCTGCAACGCCGCCGCGGCCTTGCCCTCGTCGCCGTCGTTGGCGTCGAGAACCTTGCCGCACAGATCGGCCGAATACCCGGACTGGGAGAGGCGCTTGATCATGCCCTCTTTGCGCAGATCAGTGGTTGCTACAGTGACTCCGGCACTGTACCTTTCTGGCAGGGCCCACCGAGGGAGATCGTCCTCGGGGATGTGAACGAGGAGCCACTCGAGCGTTTCCTCGCGGTCCTTGCACTCTTCGACAGCCTCTTCGATGTGGCTCTGGCGGAAGCCCAGGTCCTTGAACTCCTTGACAATGGCAGCCTTTTGGGAGGTCGACATGACCACCCCGTACTGGTTCCAGACCGTTTCTTTCCGCAGGAGATCCTCGAGTTGGGCTCGCGTCTTGTTGCCCATCTCGATCTTGGGGACGGTCACCCACCCCCTCGAGACGGTGTGGGATCCGGGAACGCCGCCTCCGGATCCGCCGCCCCTGAAGGCCAGGGCAGCACCGCCGGGCTCTTCTGCGGCCTTCTCGCGGGCGGCCTGCAGCTGCTTCCGCTTCTTTTCGGCGACAGCCTTGGCCTCTTCGCGCTCTCGCAGGGCCTGGAAGGGGTCGGCCTCGTACATCCATGCCTTGCCCTCGCGGACGTCCAGCTTCTTCAAGGCCTCAAACTCCTTCCAAAGGGTCTTGTAGTGAGGGGGCAGGGAGATGGACAGGTTCTTCATGCTGCAAACGCGGTAGAGGGCATAGGTGGCAGCAAAGTGCTTGGCCTCGAGGGCGGTGGGCCTGTAGGCAAGATGGACATGGCTGGGGGGGAGCTTGAAGGGGGGCAGCTTGACGAGCTCACGCGTCTTTGGGTTCTTGGCACTGAGGCTCACGAAGACGGAGAAGCCCTCAGGCGTTTTGATGGTGTTGTAGTCGGGATGCTCCCATTTCTGGCGCTGGCAGTGCTCCGAGAGGAGGTTGACGGGCAGCTTCCCCGTCCACGAGGCGCCGCCGATGATCTGCTTGATGGTTGGCTTTGGGGGCCCGGGTTCAGCAGCCTCGTCGGCGGGCGGCGGCTTGCTGGCGCCCGAGGGTCCGCCCCTCTTTTTGGGCTCCTTGTCCGAATTGGTAAAGACGATGAAGTCGTCCTCTGGCGGCGGCTTCTTGATTTCCTTCTTGGCGGCGGGTTTGGCCGCCGGTTTGGCCGCCGTTGCTTTCGCGGCGGTTGATGAGGCTGAGGCCGACGCCGACGCCGACGCCGACGCAGGGGCGCCGCCCTTGTCTTTGCTGCCCTTTTTCGCCATATTTTATTGCCTTTTTAATTGTCAAGCTTGGGCAAAAGTGAGATCGAGACAACTCAAATCAAATCCACAAAGCGATTGATGGTGGGCACCCGGTCTTAATTTGCCCTGTTCTGCCATCCATGACCTAGATCAGCGTGACAGTTTGGCCGTTTGCTGTTGGTGAATGGATTATGTACCGCTTCAACAAGTGAGCACAAGCATTATCCGTAAGCTGAATGCAATTTGAATGACGACTCAGTCGTTGCAAAAAATCACTGGAACCCAAGTGGATGTCTCAGGCCTTCCACGCCTTCCTCCTCAACGTCACGTCTTTAAAAGGTCTTGGCAGTGCGAAAGCTTGGACTAACGATCCGCCTGTGCAGCCCGCCCTTTCCTCGCCCGTTAGCGGGGCCAGGCCTGGCCATCGGAGTCTGGACGTCGATCGCACAGTGCGTGTTGGGTTATCTGTCACCGTCCGGAACATGCAATGTGCCCGCCTTATCATACCAGAAGTGCGACTTTCCGGGTCCAAACTAGTACAACACTCTTTATTGAGCAGCTGCTGTAGCTGGAGCTTGAATCCTCTTTCTCTTCCTACTCTCATACAAACACTAGCAAATTCCGCGCTTGCACATTGCGCAGCAGAGCATCGGCTTGAGAGGTACCTTACCTTACTTAGCACACAGTGCGTACTTACCAAGCCCGCCAAGCTCCCAGCATATTGGCTCTTTCGATGTGGGGCATCCCCGGCGCTGAATCAAATCCTACGAAATCCGCCTTCAACAGGGACGCTGCGCGTCTCGACACAGAAGGTGCGTTTGTCGCGTTCGCAAGAGCCACGGCGGGCAGCCTCTCTTTTTCCTCCCCTCTCATCTCGCTCACTACATGTCACACGGCGAATTCGCGTTCATGTGTTTTTTGTTGCGATGCTCTTTTCTCGGACATTGTGCTCTGCCACGCAGCTGTCCCACGCTCTCTCCTGCCTGCCTTGAGTCAAGCATAACAACACCCTCTTTTGCAGGGTTGGTTATATGAATAAAATACCTTACCTTCTGGTCTACCTAGGTCAGGTATGTAAAGTATCTTAGCTGCGTTGGCTAAGGTATTCTCGTTGGTAAGAAACCGAAAACGAGTAACGCCAAACATTCGCATCGTCGCGCGCAAGTCCCGTGTCGCAAGTCGAACGTCGAGCCGCAGAAATGAAGGGAGCTTCGACTCCCGTTATAGTCCCCCCTCCACCTGGCGGCCAAGTTCCAGAGCCAGTTCGGGTTCCAACTCCTCCTCCTCTTCCAGCCCCAGCTCGAGCTCTTGCTGCGGCTCCTGGTGGCTCTGGGAACAAGAGGAAACGAACAATCATGCAGCAGCCACCGCCACCCCTCATCCCCACAAACCTTCCAGTCCTTCCTCCCACCAAACCGGCCGTGGGCACCAAAAGACGAGGGAGACCGCCAAACTACATGAGGCCCGTCAACCTTCCGCCTCCGCATGCGCCGGCTGGGGCTCCGCCGCCGGCCCTTTGGCAGCCGCCTCCGCCCGCGCCTCCACCTCCACGGCCAGCGCCCAGGAGAGTGCGGGTCCCGGAGCCATATGACATAACCCGTCTCCCCGCCCTGCCGCCATGGTCCGAGGTGCGGCCTGCCATCTCTAAGCTGGTCCCCGTTCATGCGGGCCCCGCTAACCCTGCCTTTTTCGCCTTCGACATGAAATGGCTTGTGCTCACCTCGGCCCACCAAATCGATCTGTGGATCGACCAGGTCGAGGCCATGGCTAGCGCCAGCAGCTGTCTCCGCGAGATGACGACGCAGTTTACCGCTTTTCCCAAGCCCGGCACTGTCGAGGCCTTCATCTGTCAGACGCGTTTCATGTCTTGCTGGCACATCCTCACCGAGACCATCTCGGGGCCCGTGTGGGCCTACATGCGTGCCCTGGGCTACAACAAGATCCCCGTCTTCAAGGATCCCGACGGCGTGCAGTGGCAGCCCGGCCCCGTCGACGCCTTCTACTTCGCCAGGCAGGCAGGCTACCGTCTGAACCTTCCCGGGAGCACGCGCCAGGCCAGGATTGAGGTCGCAGCCATGGTCGAGGAGCTTCGTGTCGCCAAAGCCGAAGACTACCCTTCCGAGGCCAAGTTTAAAAAGGGCTACGCATGGCTCAAGAACATCCTCGACAACATGATCCGGAACGGCGACCGACAGGTTCAGGAGGCCCTGTACGACGCGAGACCTGACTGGGCTCCAGTGTGGCCAGACGGACCAATGGCCGAAACGCCCTGGGTACTCCGTGGCACTGCTCTTGAGACGGGGTCCAAGAAGGAGTTGAGGCAGGAAAATGCCAGGATACGGAAAAAGCAAGCCAGGGCCGAAGCCAGGGCCGAAGCTGCTGCCGCCGCTGCCGCCGCTTTTGAGCGGCAGGAAGCTGCCTTCTACTACCAGCGACCAGAACAGGCCCCGCCACAGGCCCCGCCAAGCTCATCATCTGAGGCGGCCGAGTCTCCCGAATTTCATGAATCTCATGAATCTCCAGATGCCCAGGACTCTAACGAATCTCTAGAGGTGCAGGAATCGGATGAATCTACCGAGTCACCCTAAGAGAATCGACCTTTTCTAGGGAACATTCGAGGGCACCTAGGTGGCCCTCGTTGTTTTATCTATCCTTCAGCGGCTAGCGTTGCTCTTTTTCGGTTTGGAGTGGCTCTGTCCGCCAAGTCTGGTTGGCCAAGCCAAATGGAGAGAGTGCCTCCACGACACGGCACCCCAGAGCCACATGGACTGACTCTGGGGCAGTTCTTTGCGCGACTTGGTCGGCTTTTCATAAGTTTCGGCACGGGGACAGTCTGTTTAGGGGAGCTTGCGGGCTTGGCATCTTTGTTCTATTTCATAAGATTCGGCACGGGGACAGTCTGTTTAGGGGAGTTTGCGGGCTTGGCGTTTTTGTCCTAAAGATTTATAAATATACCCAGGATCTAAGCTAGAATAATAATAATGAGTACACGGGGATCAACCGGCTGGGTTGGACAGAATTTGGTATAGACGTGAGGGTGGTGGTGGTTTTACGAGGAAATGTGTGGCCGATGATACCACGGGAAGGCAAAGCCATGCCATGGCGATGTTATGAACTTATTTCCAACCCCATTTTTTCTTTCTCGCCTACTGGTTTCCTTTTCTCGAAGGGGATGTTGAACTAGAAATATAAAATATACCTGCCGAGACATTTCGTGCGCTTCATATTCCCGGGGCGAAAACTTTGATCTTGCATGGCGGTGGTAAAGATCGTGAGTCGGCCGGTATGATTCTATCGGCGCCGTTCAATTATTTGACCTTTTGCGGTACCGCAGCAAAATGCTTGACTGTGTCTATTCTAGTCTGTGCGTGGTGTTGGGTATAAGCTTTTTATTTCACTTTGGCGATAGATCTCAACGGGGAAGTCCTTCCTTAAGTCGACGAAATAATAAATCCATTTCCAACCCCTTTCTCTTTGTCACCTGCTACGTGCTTGGCTCTTGGGCGAAGAGGACGTTGACTTTCTAGGAATATAACTGCCGAGACTAAATTGGATAGTAAAGGAAAAGGCCAAGTATACCCACAAAAAGACTCGTTCGTTTCCTACTCGCCCTCGCTCTCGCCGTATCCAAACCCAACCCCAACCTAGTCTCCTGAGCCTGCTCGTGAGAGAAACAACGGGCGCGAAAAGGGGGTATAATTGGATACAAAGACCTGCCATGCAAACGCGAGTAAAGCAAACTTAAACACCTGATCATCACCTTCCCATAGCCTCCCAGTCCCAACATGCCGAGTTTCCGACCTAGCCCATTCGTTCGTTCCTTCGTTCGTTCGCTCGATCGTATCACTCATCCGTTCCTATAAAAAAAGAAGAAAACAGCAAAGTTAGTTTCCGCCGCGCGCGGTTCCTTTAACTGAACGAAGGCCCGGATCCTTACTGTGTTTTTTTATTGCTGGTCTCCCTTCTTGGGCGTCGAGCCCCACATCTGACCACTAGACGCAGGTCGTTAACGAGAGTGTCCTTCTTTGTGATCATGTTCACTCTCTTTTCCCCCCCACGTATAGGTAGGTGGTGGTGTGGGTTAGAAGAAAAAGGCACGTTGGAGGGACTTACAGAAAGCCAGGCCAGAGACTACTACTTGTAGCGGTTGCTCCAGCAGCCTCGTCACCGTCACCGTCACTAGCCGATACAGCTCTGTCGGCGTCTAGATGTGAGAGAAAAATAGGAGTCAGTTTGGATTTTTAGTTTTGTTCATATTTTTCCGTGCGTGCCTGGTGTCTCTCTCCGTGTGTGTTCCGGGTACCCAGGTAGAGAAAGAAAAAGAGAGAAGGAAAAAAATATCAACAAGTTGTACAGTGGGAGGGGGAAAAAAGGGAAGACCGGAAGGATATCAAGGGCAAACAATGGCAAGATGGGTAAAAACAAAGAAATGAAAATGATAAAAAAAAGACAAATCAAGAATTAACTCCCTCCCCTCTCGCCATTCCCATCTCCAGTTTCCCAAAGACCAAACCGAACGCTGTCCTCAACGCAAAAAACCCTGATATTAATAACCACCCGATCTGTTTGTGTTTTCTGTCATCAGAGTCTTCTCCCCCCCTGCTACCTCTATCCCACTAGCGCTCTTCCCCTAATACCGCCGATACACACGCACAGGCGCGCCTCCTTCCCCGTTTCCATATACCATTGGGACACACAAAACCAAAGACTGGCTTACTACTCACTTGCGTCCTCCCCATCCTCCTCGCCGGCGATGGAGCCATCGTCGATGTTGGCGTCGTCAGCGTCGGCGATGTCGACGTCCTCGTCCTGCTCCTCCTCGGCAGCCGCGCGCGACGAGCGCTTAGGGCCGCCCTTGGCGGGCTTGGTGCCCTTCTTGGCGGCGGCAGTCTTCTTGGTGGTGGCGGCGGCGCCAGTGTCAGACTTGCGGCCTCCACGGCTCCGCGTACCCGAGGGCGCCGCATCGGCGACGGCGGCTTCCGTGGCCGCGTTGGTAGGGCGGCCGCGCCGCGTCAGCCCGCTGCCAACTACCTTGGTCGCCTTCTTAACACCGCCGCTGCCCTTGGGGCGGCCCCTGGGGCGCCCGCTGGGCTCCGGCTTGGGCTTGCGCTCTGAGGGGTCTTTGGGGGGACGGCCGCGGCCGCGCTTGACGGTGCCATCTGCAGCTGCAGCAGGTGCAGGTGCGACAGCTTTGGTTGGCGCCATTGTTATTGTTTTTCAGGGTTATGTGTGTTGGTTTATTTTCTGTTCTTGTCGGTCTTGTAGTTGATGCCGCTGCTGTTGTTGTCCGTATTTTGGTTTATCTGCGGATGCGACAACACGTAGCACGTGAAAGTCGGGTTTGACGCGTTACAAAGTCGCGGCGTGAAGAAAAAGAAGGTTGAGCGGGCCTGCTTCTGGTCCGGTTGGGGGTGTGGGGAATACGGCGCTGATTGGAGGAATTGGGCAGATGGTTTTCTCTTTCAAAAAGGAAAGAAAAAAAGAGAACGTGCCCAGCAAAATAGTAAAAAATCGGGCGAAAATGGACAGGACTGGTCGCACACGTAAGCGAAGTTTGGGACCGCGTTTGAAAGTAAAATTGGTGAGGTGAAGAAGAGGGGAATTTTCCGAGTTAATTTTTGCTGGATTTATTGGGGGTTTTATTTGGTCCTGCCCCAATATGAAGGGGGTCCTGTTGATTTGGGGTGCATCATCCCGGGGCTGAATTGGGCGGGCGCTGTTGGACGCGCTCGCGTCTTGTTTCGGGCTGGCCCAGCACACTGATTTTCGTCAAGCCTTCCACCGGTTGGCCACTCGCTTAGTCCGTACTGTAAGCGTATCAGATTTCGCTCGGCTAAACTCCCTTATGCTTTCGTTGTTTTCCGAGTATGCATGCTCGCAAGGGGGGGCTCAAGCTCTTGGAGTAAACATGGTTTTGCTGATATCTGCCTTTCGTCGTCATCGCTAGTAAGAGCATTCCCTTTCTAGTCTAGCTATGTGCAATCCATATCAAAGAATCGGATGTATCGATGTAATGAACACAAGTTCGACTTTATTTGCACGCTTGTAATTGAGGTACAGTACTTACTGCCACACAGGGTGGTGCACAGACATGGCAGCAAATGCCTCTGCTACCCTGTCTTATTATCCGTATAGTGACTGCCCGGAACAACCTCCTCGAGACTTGGCTTGACGCTAAGTTTGGACATAGACTCCTTCGCAACGGGCCATTGCAAGATCAAAGTGTGTTTCTCAACTAAGCCACCTCACCTGCTGCGTTGTATTCTTTTTTCTCACACAGAGAGACGTTGGCAACTATCGACTACGACGTGTTCCGTGGGCGCGTAACCGTCTAAGCGCCTCGCGCCTACCGTACCTTTGTAACTGTGTCAAAACGAAAGAGAGATAATGGGCCAGGTTGCGTGGCACTTATCTTGGGGCTGGTTCTCAAAGAACCCAAGATCTAGAATGGGTGTTCTTGGTGGGCATCCACCCGACTTCAAGTTGCTGGGCATCTGGAAATGAGCATCAGACGAACGAGACGGGAGCGGAAGTGGTCTGGGGAAACTGGCTCAAGACCGAACTTGCGTCTCTGGAGGGGAGAGGGGAGATGCTTATCGGAAAGCACGACCCTGTGATTATGCCCGTATGAGTAGACACCCTTGGAGGTTCTCGCTGAAAGAGGGGAAAGAGGGCAAGAGCACCGTAGTACTTGCCTTCCATACTGTTGCCGTCAAGGAAGGCGCGACAGGTGCGCACCTTGAGCTAGGCAGGTCTTCGTCTCCCAGAAACTTTCAAGCAGCTTTCGTCAGATACTATCTTACCCCGGACAGAAGCGCTAGGGCGTAATATCCATGATATCACAAGACGTTCGAGGTCACGGGGTCCTTTTTGTTCCGTTATCCCCGATATCCCATTGATCAGGCACTGGTAGCTCGGCAGCGACGTAATATTGAACATGCTAGCCGGTTCTGAAGAACTTCCCCTAGCGAGAACTTCCACTTGACGCCGAATGCCCGCTACGGAGTCCAGTCGAGGTCTCATGTTACCCGGTGAAAGAGAGAAAAGACTGCCAGACATGCAGCCCTCCTATTCGGACTAGCATTGGAACTATCGTCTCGTCGATATATCTTTTCTCGGTATTTCTATTGACAGGACAGGGTAGTACAGTGCCTGTCCGATAAGCATCTTCTCCAGCATCACTTGCAATCATTACCCAACCGGATACCCCCCAACATGACGAGAGCTACAGTGTTCTTAGCCATTGCCATGGCGCTGTCCGCGACAGCTATGGATGCCTCGATCCTACAACAGCGGGTCGCAGTCCCCGACTACACCACCTCTGAAGCCGGCAACCCCTTCGTTGACGGTTGGTACGCTGACCCTGGGACAGCCTACCGTGACGGGCAATACTGGGTGTACGCGACGCCAGCGTTGACAGCCAAGGAGAGCGAGCAGACGAGCCTTGACGCCTTCTCGTCCCCGGACCTGGTGCACTGGTCCTTCCATGGTAGCGTGCTCAACGCCACGGCCAACTTCGGCTGGGCCACACACGCCGTGCGCGGGCCCTCCCCGGCTGTGATCAGCAGCGGCGGCTACTACTACCTCTACTTCTCGGCTAACAACATCAGCGAGACGCACGCTAGAGTCGGCGGCATCGGCGTCGGCATGGCCAAGTCTCCCAGGGGCCCCTATTTCGACCCCATTGGCGCCCCACTGGTTGGAGCATACCACCGAGGCGCGCCGCCAGTGGACTGCCACGTTTTCGTTGACGACGATGACGGCGACTACGGCAGCGGCCCGCAGGCTTACCTCTACTACGGCTGGCACGGCCACCTCAACGTCGCGAAGCTGAATGCCGACATGATCAGCATTGGCCTCTTAGACGATGGGTCGCAGTTCCAGGAGATCACGCCAGCGGCGGCCAAGGGCTGCGCGGTGCAGGGCAAGTCACACGTTTTCAAGCGGGCGGGGCTCTACTACCTGATGTGGTCCAGCGGGAGGCAGGGCGACAACGACAACGACGGTCATGGCAACTGCGCGCCAGCCATCAGCTACGCCACGTCGTCCAGCCCACTGGGGCCGTTCTTGCCCGTGGCCGGAAACAGCACGGTCTTGCAGCTTGACCCAGCCGTGGCCGCCGTGACTAGCACCGCTGCCATCGGCAGCAGCACCATCAACGTGCCCGGCACCGACATCTGGTACCTCGTGTACAACCGCCAGCCGCTCAGCGAACAGGGGGCTGCGCCCGGGACGCACACCGTTTTAGCGTACGACCGGCTGTATTTCAGCACCCGGGCCAAAGGCAGCACGATCGAGCCCGTGCAGATGCTCGTCCAGGACAACTTTGCGGACGGCGACATGGTGGGGTGGACGGCGTACGACGACGACAACGGCTCGTCGTTCATGCCCTCTAGCGGCCAGCTCGCCGCGGGCTGGTCATGGGGCGGCAAGGCACTGCTCGACGTCAACTTCACAGACTTGGCCCTAACCGCCGACGTCTCGGCCCCCTTCCTCGCCGCGGTCCCCAGCACGGAGAATAACGCCATGGCCAGCAACCGACAACACCTCGTCCTCGGGGACGCGGGTCTCGTGTTCCGCGTCGCGCCGCCCATCACCTCCGACGTAGACAGTTACCGCGGCTACTACGCCGGCATCCGCACCACTAGAAACGGTGCCGAGGTAGTTCTCGGCCGGGCGGACGGAGGGCGCTGGACCCAGCTGGCAGCGACGAGGCTCCAGGCTTTAGCGGGCAGCGGTAGTGGGCGTTACCGCATGCGAGTCAAGGCCGTAGGCGACAACATCCAGGTGTTTATCGGTGGCGACAACGGCGACCTAGCGCACGAGGAGCCTCAGATCAACGTCACAGACGGAAGCTACGCTAGCGGTCGTGCCGGCGTCCGGGTATATCTTACGTCTGCCGTGTTTGGTAACGTGTCGCTGGCGAGGCCGTAGTTGGGGCTAGCTGGTGCGTTTCCGCGAGGGGTTGGAAGTGACAGACAATACTAGACAGACCGTACTGTAGCGTGGCAGGTTGACAATATGTGCGCTATCTTATTCGTTTCGGCCACGTGTGAACAGGCGTGGGAAACGCAAATGGCTTGTCAGGCCCGCATGCCAACAGACATTGATAGGTAGTACGGATATTCTTCAGACGATACACACGCATCTACCTTATTACCTTGACAGCAGCGTGAGCCTGGAAGAGCGCCATAGACAATAAAGTTATCAAGACCAAGAAGAAGAGTGAAAGGGTGCGGAACTACCATCTCACCTCACCTCACCTTACCATGTGACAGAGCAAACACGAAACACGACAGCCCGGCTACTGCCTACAGAGAAAACATTAGTCATTCCCCCATACTGGCCTGGCCTGGCCTGAGTGTAACGAGGTTCCATGTATGCATGTATGTATACCTCCACTATATATCGTACAGATCCTGGGGAGGGGGAAGGGGACTAACCCCTTTCTTTTGGTTCCCAATGCCGATTGATCGATCTATGGACGCCCCCCGTCTTTTTTGTCTCTTTCAATTGTCTTTCCGACTATATCCGTAATGGATAAATAAATAAATAAATAAAAAATGAAATTTTGTATAAATTTCACCACCGCCGTTTCCCTTCTCAATGCTCCCCTCTCGCCTTCATCAATCCTGTCCCTGTTTTGTCACATTTTACACCCCTCTTACAAAAGTGCGGAGATCCCGCCTGCCCGCCCGCCTGGTTGTTTGTTTTTTCTTTTGTTCTTTGTTGTCAAACCTCCACGGCTTCATGTCTGATGCTGCTCTCGATATGTTTGCTTTTCGAGGGCTGTGAGAGCGCGCCATCGGAAGAGAGCCCCGTCTGGCAGGGGAGAGCGAAACGGGTGAGCTCGGTATAATATTGCCTTGTGTTATCCTCGTCGATTGGACGTCCTATTCCTCCACACCTCCCTTGTAGTCCGGCCTCATGAGAGACTGTAGGGCGTTTTTGCAAGCTAGATAATACATGATTTGGGGGGGGTTCTTTTCCACCGTATAAACGAACAAGCATTCTAGGGGTATGCGAGCCTAGAGAGGGAAGAAAAAAACACATGAGGGGTGTTTGCGGGAGGGTCCCACCGTGGTGTGCAGCAAAAAGCCGGCAATTTATAGATCGGCGTTCCTATTCTTGGACTTGCTGCTGGCGCCGCTCTTGACGCGCTTAGCGACGGGGCGGTTGATGTGGTGGTTGGGGATCCAGCTCTCGTCGTACGACTTGTCGGCACCGGTGGCGAAGGCCCCGCCGGCCGACTCGGAGCCCGACAGTGGCTCGACGGCCTCGACCTTCTTGACCTTCTTGGCGCCGGCCGGCTTGGCGGCGCGGCGCGTCTGCGGGAACAGTGCCTCGATCCACGTCTTGTAGACAAAGTACGACGTGGCGCCGAACAGGCCGGTCAGGAAGAGGTAGAGGAAGATGCTACGGGAAACAGGTTGTCAGCGCAAGAGTAACCAGCCAAAGGGAGGGGGTCGGCTCACATTTGGGGGTCGAAGATGCTCGTGGGAGCCTCGACAATGGTGGCGGGCCCGCCATGGACCTGGACCTGGAAGATCTGGCCGGCTGGGTTGGTGATGACGGCCAGGAGCTCGACGACGACGTCCTGGGGGTTCATGTCCAGCACAAAATTGAAGGGCAGGGTCTCCTTGGCGCCGGACGGGACCGAGACGTCGTACTTGACGGCGGTAAGGTTGCGGAGGATGGCAGCGGACTCGGGGGCGCCTTCGGGAAGAGGCTTGGTGGTCTTGAGCACGCCGCCGACGAATGAGATGTCAATTGGGCCATCCTCGTGGTTGGTGATGTCGATCAGGGCCTTGGTGACATGGCCGTTGACGAGCTTCACGCCAAAGATGTCGGCCTCGGGGAAGGTGGTCTCGATGTCGGCTTTGAGCTCGGCCTGGGTGACGGCTTCGGAAGTGGGCGGCTGCTAGTGATCAGAACCTATGTCTATGGAATGGCTGACTGCCTGGCGTATGGCGTCGAGCTCTCTCAGAGATTGAGGTTGCAGTGCAGCGCATCGCAACGGGACAGAGGGAAAAGGGAAAATGGGAGAGACGGAAGGGCTCGACGTACATCTCCAGCGGCTGCGAGCACGGCAGAGACGCGGAGAGCGACTAGCGCCAGAGCGGACCACTTCATGTTGATCATGTTTGCGCCAGGGAGTAATGGAAGTCGGAGTTTTGGAGCAACCTAAGCAAAATCCAAGTCCCGACAGCAGCTGCAATACGGCGATGACAGAATGACAGAGGCAGGCGTAAAAAAAGCTCACGCAAGGTCGGGTGTGCGGCCCAGGTGCGCCCGCTTGCGTGCGTGCTTGCTCCGTGCTCTGTGCAATCTGGCCTCCCCCTAGCCCCCGCAGCCACTCACAGGGCTGTCCTGGTCAATGGGGTGGCCCGGGGAGAGCTTGCCCCAAAAATGCAGATACCGGGGTTATTCAGAGGTTGGAGAACGGCGAGCTTGGCACGCGTGCAATTTGCAGCCAATAACTCAATTGCGACTTCAATTCATTCACAAGAACGGAATCACGAATACGTATACTTCGTTAACGACAGCCCTCCTCTACGTAGAGTGAGGTACGAAGTATATGAGGCCAGACCCCACCGTCTCCAGTGTCAATCGTCATGATGCACGCTCACGCTCACGCTCATGCTATTGCTCCTCGGGCTAGAGTTTACTCGTCTGGCTAACAAGCAGGCATGCGTAGACCCAGTCATGCCAATGGATACCGTGTGGATCTGATACTCATGCCGTTGCGACAAAAATGGGAATATCCTATTTCGGTGGAATCACGGGTAAGATAACATAGTTCTCGAGGCCTTGTCCAAAATGGATGTGATTCAGCCCGGCAAACTTGGACGGTGGTCTAGCAGCCATCATCAGTAAGTCTTCAGTACGGCCAGGCCCAAAGAAGAGGAAGGAAAAAAAAAAACCGACCGGTCCGTCTCGGAATCGTGCTGGAAGATGCCCGACCCTTGGGTGTCGCCACTCGCCACCTCGAGCACGATGCTGCCGCCCCGGGAGACGACCACGTTGGTCGGCCACAGCTCGACGTCGACGGCGTACACTTCGCCCGCCCGCACCGGCAGCACGTCGGTCGACAAGTATTCGCGGTGCGGAAGCCATGGCCTGTGCTTGGGGTGCTCGGCGTGCACGCGGCGGTGGCTCACCCGCAGCCAGCCTTTGCACAGCGGCACCGCATCGCCCGCCGTGCCCGTGTAGAAGATCTCGTGGCCCGCCGCGTCCACGTGGCGCAGAGTGAGGAACAGGTCCATGTCCTTGTCTGTGTCTGTGTCTGTATCGTCGCCGTCACCGTTGCTGCTGTTGTCGTTGCCGTTTCTAGCATCATTCGACGTCAGCGACACATGCAGCCGCGCGACGATGTGGCCCGTGATCTCCGTCTCCTCTTCAAAGCGCCCCGTAGCGAACCGGACCGCCTGCGGGTTGTCGAGGCTCCCGCGGGCCTTGTACGTCGCCAGCTGCGGCGGCTCATCTAGGGCGGGACTGGCTCTGACCATGGTCATGTCTGGCGTGAGATAGAACCTGGTGTACTGCGTGCGCGGGATGGGCCACGCGCTCTCTCCCCGCTTGGCGTAGGCCTTTTCGCGCTCGGCGCCGTTGACGCCGACGTTGCCCTTGCGCAGCGTCACCGTCACCGGCGCCACCTTCCCCGGCACCGCCCACCCGGTGGCGTCGCGGCCCTTGAGGAAGGCGCTCAGGAAGCTCTTCTGGACCTCGACCTCTTCGTGGTAGTAGAAGGGCAGGTCGTGGCGGCCTGTGATGAAGCGCAGGTACTTGAAGCGCGAGCCCGCGTGCGTGTACCCGAGCACGTTGCCGCGCAAGTGCAGCAGGATGCCGCCCCAGTTGGCCACGCTGAGAACGGGCACCTCGATATCCTCCAGCCGGAACTCCTTGCTGGCGTAGTACTCGTCGTCGCGGAACCGGTTGGCCGCGTTGTCCGCCGTCTGGTCCCGGCGGTTGGCTGCCAGCACGTCTGCCGGTAGGTCGCCCTCGATGGTTTCCTCCTGTCCGCGCGCCCCTGGCCCGTCCGCCGGGAACGCCAGCTTCGACCGCCCTGCTCGCCCGTACTGGTTGACCAGCACCTGCCGGTTCCACCAGAAGCTGATGAAGCGGTTGGAGAGGATCCCGCCGTGTCTGCACCGGTCCCGGTAATAATCCGACATGCCTTCCCAGGGCACGATGGCCGCCAGTCCCTTGGGCCGACGAGCCGCCACGCGCCACTGGGACCCTGGACACAACTCCAGTTAGCCCAGACACATCTTACGATAGAAACACACCGTAGACATTTATTTCACGTTCCCCGGCTCAGAAGCAGCAACAGCCGCAACAGCCGCAAACACGCACCGGCATAGTACGACACGCCCAGCAAGCCGACTTTGCCGGTCGACCACTTCTGCTCGGCAGCCCACTCGACGACATCGAAAAAGCACTCGCTCGTGCCGCGGCTCATCGTGTCCAGCAGGCCAGGGCTCTGGCCGAGGCCGCGCTCGTCGGCGCGCACGACCACATACCCCTCGCGGCACCAGAACACGGGGTCCGGCGTCTCCCACGCCGAGTACCGCGAGCGATGCTCCGCGCCGACCTCGCCAAACGACGCCGCGTGGAACGTCGCGTACGGGATGTCTTTGCCGTACGGCCCGTACGTGACTAGCACCGGATACCGCCTCCCGCCTTCTTCATGTTCTTGTGTGTCTGACGACGACGACGACGACGACAGCGGTAGGTAGACATTTGCGCGGATGGGCAGGCTGGCGCCGGTGCCGGGACTCGTCCGCAGCGGGATCGACACGTTCTTCATAAACGTCAGCCCGTTCTCTGCGTCCTCAAAGACCTCGAGCAGGTCGTCCCGCAGCGGCGGCGTCTTGATCTCGGCGGCCATGCTGTCACTGATTCGTCTTGCTTGCTTGCTTATCTGTTTCGCCGAGGTCTCTCTTCCTCTTTCGCATTTGTTTTGAAACCGTAGTGATGAGAAGAACGGGAAGGGGGATGGGGAGGCTTCTCGGCATTGTTTTGTGTGCCCCGAAATAGGACCGGTTTGGGAATCCGGAACTCCGTTGGAGCTTCCGACTCGACCATTTTGCCCAACTCAGATCCCTACACGCTATATAAGCCAGGCGCTACGCATTTGTTTGCAGCAGAGTGGGACTGCCCGTTTCTCACTTGTCCAGTTTACTTTACAGAAACACTGTTTTGATTCACGCATACGTATTTATTTACTACCTAGGCGGCTAACAGCCCAAGTAGACGTCGCCAAATGCGTCAAGTGTAAGCATTGTTGTTATCGGGACATCCGGGCCTCGTACGGGCTCTCGTTCTAATTCTAGGCCAAGGACTACCTTGACAAAAAATAAGAAGAGCAACCCGTATATTACCTGCTTTGGGCTTCCCAAGTCAAGAGGCAAGGAAAACACCTCGTCGTTTCTCCTTAGAGTCTACTCACAGAAACGAGTAGCCGCTAAGGAGTAAGGAAGGGGAGAATATAGGAAAACCGGAGAAGGCACCGTGGCGATATTTGCATCTTTCGTGGACTTGTCGTGTCTTCCCCCTTCGAGCTCACATGATATCAGTGTTTCCATTTCACCCTTTCTTTCTTCGCCGCCAGTCTTGTAAGATACGAGGGTACCCGTGCTTGGATTCTAAAATCGACAGCGACCCTGATATGATGAACTACACCAAGCAATTAGCTTTGCTCGATCCTGTGAACCTCGCTCCTGGACCCCTTGTCGTCCTGATTCCTCTGCCGCGCAACCCCCCTATGTCATACACGGGTTCCGTGAGACTTTTAATGGATATCCAGAGCCTGCCCGACGTTTGAGCAAAGTGTAGAGATGACGCAATAGTCTGAGAATTATCCCACGTTCGGGAGCCAGGTCCACTGGCCGGATTTATGAGTGAATCGGACCCTCTTGACTGTCGGATGGCTCGTTCGGACTGCTGTATGTTCAAGCACAGCCACAGTTGCGTATTTGATCGCCAGTCTGGAGAACCTTGATATAGGTTGGAATCGATCGGGACGTGTTTTCGATGTTGATGTCGCGATAAAACCAATCGGGCTGGCATACAACACACTCGATTGTCATCAACTTGAGGATGGGCTCGGTAGACGAAAAAGCAGTATAATCCCCGAGGCCGGCCTCGGCGAGCTTCAAAACAAGGAAAAGCTGATTTGGCACGTCGTTGAAGAGAACGGAGAACCAAGTCGATTTCTGCATAAAGCCCTAGCAGCGCTCATCGACGTCGTGTTTTGGTCAGGGGTGAAGTGAAAGGGAGAGTCGACGAATTGTCGGAAACGTCATCGCAGTAGCGATTGGTTCAAAGATGCATCATTTTGCATCGCTTTCGGGGGTAGAAACCACTAGGCTATCCATCAGTAAAAAGGACCGAGTGGGTGCGGTGTCACGGTACGAGATAATTATATAAAAATGTTAAACCGCGGGTTCTCCTCATAAGGCTCTATTTACCTTAGGTATGCTCGCCAAGAGGCCCACAGCGGACGCGAGCAAATTTGGTCGGAAAAGGACAAACTCCAGGGACTTGGTACACTACCCAAGCCTAGCTAACTACGGCAACGGCAGCTTGTCTGTTCATCTCACCCCTGAGTGAGATATGAGTGCTGTACGAGTACCAGTGTGGCCCGATATGGTATCACAAGCTCCTCACCGTGTCTAAAACGTTAGTGTTGGGGTTGAGAGCGTCCCTGTCTCAGGAGTGCTGATCCAAACGGTTGCAAAGCATGCTTCCCTCGAGAACCTTGGCGATCAAGTGCTTGGACGCATATACCCGTCTATCGGTGTCACCATACTGCATATAATGGATGGTGAGCTCCAACATGCCGCTTTCCTGCAGCCGAACCGGGCCGCGGGCCCCGGTATACGGGCATCGAACCGGAGTTCAGCCTTTTGTAAACTTGTTGCTGTGAGGTACATGACATGCGCCCCCGTTGCCTGTCTAAACGGGTCGAGCTCCGGGATGAAGGCGAGTTAATCATCACGGTGTGTAGGCAGGAGCGAAAAGACGAGGGTGGACCGGAGAAAGTATCCAATGGGAGACCCTAGTGAATCCGGGTGCGCATCGTTCAAGTTCTCGGAGCTGGAGCCATATTGACAGGCATATGCTTGCTTACGAGCGAGGTTGGTCGAGTCGGCTGGCGCTCCAACGTGTAAACCACGAGGTTCTGCTGAGGAGCCCCTATGCAGGAAGGAGCCGTGGCGTCCAACAAAGTAGAAAAAATCTCTGATGGCTGGGCCCTGTAGGATAGAGTTGTTAGAACCACTGGACTTGGCTATCATATCCGTCATGACAAGCGAGCGGGCGGACCAGTCCAAGTGACGTCAATCACCATGCCGTCAGTGTTATACAATCTCGGGCTTCAGCGACAAAGGCGTACCGTATGCACGTTCCATCACACCTGTATTCAAGACACTGGACCGTTAAGGTAGTTCGCAGCACGCCTCAGGGGCTCGAACGAGGCAGCGGAAGCCACCACGATAAGTTGGTATATCAGCCGCATATGTTTGAGAGACGGCTACCGTCAGCCCGGATGAGCTGTAACCCATATTTCTCCACTCTCACGTTTCTCTTACCATTGGTCATCCTTGTGACAGATTCGAGAGCAGCTGCGCGGTCTCAAACGACAGCGAACGAGAAGAGGGGTTCAGCTTTTGAAACAAAAATAAGAAATATAAATATAAAAAGAAAATGTGACGCTGGGCAAGGTAGTATCCATGCTGGGACTATAAGCTGCACAATTGATTGCGCGGTGAGACATGGAGGTCCCGAAGAACCTCCTCAAGATGTGGCTATCTTTTTGCGTTGTCAATGATGACGACGACGATGGCGATCTGACGGAACGGCATTTCCTCTTCCAAAGGACTCGGAAAAGTTTGTATAATATCAACATGCCGTTATACAAATCCAGAAGAGTCCAATAAGAAAACAGAGATCAACGGCAGCGTGGGAAGTTGGATCCGGGCCGTTGGTTCCTTGTCGGCCAAGTTTTACAGATGTGGAAGGTTCGACTTAGAGACTGGGGTTGAAGAGACCCGTGCTTCGGTTAGCGCAGTAGCACAGTGCTAGGCTGTAAGCGTGCTTTCACACTAGCCTATGAAAACTAGACCGCATCGTTTGGGCTTTTTGAGGCAGCCTCTCTAATCGTGCACTAGCGGCCTGGGCAAATCTATCTAGCCCTTTGCTTCCTCAGCTCACCAATGGGAATGTGAATTCATGCCCAATCTTTGCAACCTTCCAGATGTTTACTACGAGCTCCCTAAACCCCCCAAAGGACCCCCATACGCTTGGTGGCGAAAGGCGTGCGTGTCTTCAGCTCTGTCGACAGTGAAACTCCAATGTCTCTGGCACCCTGGGTTTCTTGCTTCGTCTGGACCCTCTGACGGCAATGGCCAAGGCTGGCAAATGATATGATGCGGGTCTCGAGGGTAATACCTGGACCCTTATGCTCGAGCCTGGCAGCGCAGGCAGGTAGGTATCCAGTATTGTTTCATTCAGATGACCAAGAGACAAGCCATATTCTCGTTTAGGTACGTTTGAATATACGAGATCGAACTCAAAGGGCCCGAAAAGCCTCGGATGTGGCATTTAATCAACATAGATACGGTGCAGTACTCCGAAGCTAGCCTCGGGGATAGACTTACTGGCTACAGACTAGACATCGACTAAGTTGATGGACCTGTGATCTGTGATCTGTCTCTCCCATCAGCGTGCCATCAAGCCAACTTGCCCATTTCTTTGGACAAACCGACTCTTCGGGGCACGATGTCGGGGAGCAGCCAGAGATGCATGTCGGAACAGTTCCAGACGCACTGCATACGACCAACCTTCCCGGTTTGCGAACGAGTCAAGTCGATTGGAGCGATGGTGCCTTCCTTAATCCGGCTCGACGATCAGGGACATTATACCCAGTAATTCGTATACCTACCATGCAGGTAGGGAGGGAGCAAGGAAGTTCCGGGAACATAGGGTTGCTTCCCGTCCCAAAACCCTTAGCCTCAATGTTAGGTTTTAGTGGTGAGCAACCGCCGCCCTGACCAGCTGAAAGACTTGGCTGTGGCGATTTGCTCTCTTTGCGGATAGCTTCGAGCCCGTAGAGCTGAGCTTGATACGTTCAATCTTCGCGATCACCATTCGAAATCTAGGGAGGCAAGTCGTGCCAGCCTTGCAAGGGTTTTTCGAGACTGTTGACTGCGGGAGGTGAGTAAGTTTTATTTACTTTGGGCTCTTTTCATCCTGTCGAATGGTTGGCTGCAACTGGAAAGTACCTTATATACGAAGGACTGCAGAATAATTATAGCAATAAATACGGTATCAATTGGTATCAAACCAGTATCTAGCGAGCTTTGACAGACTGCAGCACCGCGTCGTTGCACCACGCACGTACTCGAACTAGGTACCTTGGAAATTGGTCCCTGCAGGAGATTTTCCCTGAGATCGTAGCCCTGCTGTGTTTCCCGGGTGGACTATGTGGACGGGCAATGCACCTTCACTTCGTTTGTTGTCATGGCGAGCTTTCTGCAAGATGACCCCACCCGATACCGGCTTCCAGGTTCGCGGTAACTTTCCATGATACATACCGTATGCGCTGGAACCAGGAAGTTTCCAGGTTGTCTCAGACCAGGACTCCTCTATAGATGTAATCCGTAGTGGGGTAAGCCCGCCACCTCCCCGCCAAATTGCCCTGAAGCTAGCCTCTTCTCAGGTCGTGGTTGTTTGCTTGCTGTGTCCAAGCTCCCGGAGCTGTCAGTGGGATAAGGATTCGACGACAACGCGGTGCTCCCAGCTGAAACCTACCATTGAACCTACGTAACCTCATGTGCGGAGTGAGTCTAATGGCCGCACAGGTGTCAGCTCTGCTGTCAATGACGTGACGTACTCCCATCGTAAGGTACGGCACAGAGACCACTCGTTCCCCTTGATCACGTTGGCATGCCTCCCCAAGCTCCTTCCTTGCCAACCCACCTCACGCCTTGGGCGGTGGCGTGAACTGTGCCTGATACTTAGCTATGATCCGGGGAAGGCACGCCCGAGAACTGTGGGGGGCCTTTTGATTTACAACCCACAAATGCCGTTCACCCACTTTGCGTTCCATGGCAAGCTGTGACACTGCCAGTCGCTTCCCTGTCAACGCTCTAACACGTGTCCCAAAGAGTAAAGGCAGATGTTAAGAAAGCTGAAAAGAAGGGCATCGGAATGTGGGAAATTTATCTTCAAAAATCCCGCCAGATTCGACTCACGCCCTCCACTGGCTCAGGGCCTGCTAATTGACGCGCCTAGCCGCTGTGGCAGAGCGCGCTCGACCATGAACTTACCTTTCGAAGGCGGGAGTTTTGCTGGATCTCAATGCGACGGCTTGCGGATACCGCGTACCTACTTGCATATCCCGAAGCCACGACCAAGAAAGAACCCTTGTTAGGTCCCATAGGTAGGTTAAGGTAGGTACGGTAGGTATGTATCCATCCGCGGATCATCGGTTTGGCGATGGCAGTTCGCTGAGATCTAAAGCCGTGGGATCGCCAGGAGCTCTCGATCTGGTGACAATGCTAAAGCCAATTGGCCAGTGGGTGATGTCCATACCCCTTCCCTTTTGTCGCTCTCCTGCCCTGTCTTCTCTGGGGTGGCCCTCCCGCGCAGCCCCCGACAGCATCGGGTCGGCGAATGAAGGGCCAAAATGCCTGCGTCCGATGGCGATGACCGGTCGACTCCATCCCGTCTCCTACCTCGATCACCGCCTGCCCGGTCTGTATCGCGCATTCGGTCATCAGTGGATGGATGCACCCGCCTTCACTTGACCGTTGGCATCACACCGCCAGCACGAGCCCGGCCCTCGGACCCAAGGTACCGTGGGACCGTGGGACTTGGCCAAGGAGAAGCGAGGTTTGGCTACATCACCTGGAGCATTCTTGCCAGGCTGTGTTGACATGATGTGCTGTCTCGGTGGCCTGGCCGGGGTCGCATATTCTTGGCCGTTGTTGATTGCATGGACTGCTGCTCTCTCAGGCCAAGGTACGGATGCCGTTGTTTCTATTCCTGCACATCGTTTGTGGTTGGCTGCGCGCCCGGCCGCCGCCCCCCCTTCTCCCCCAGCCTAGGCCGCTCCCGCCTGAGGGACGCGGCAAGGAAAATAAGGAAAGCGAGCCCCTTAAGTGCAAAAGCCAGACTTAGTTCAAGCGCCAGCTGGACTATAAAAAGATGCTTGATGCCCAGGCCATATTCACTTGCCACCACCGTCCCATCTTTGCTGTCTATCCCATCCTCCCGCCAGCCCACGGCTCTCCCATTCTGAACTATATAGTCACCTTCCTTCGTTTCCAGGCAGAGACCACTTCCTTCTTGAACCACGTGCCGACCTCCGGTATCATTACATCCTGCAATCCCACGCGAGGAGAGCTACCAAGTCCGAGACTATAGTGGGGGGAAAACACAGACAAGAAGAATTCAAGCCGAATATTATATATATCCCTGGCGTACGTGTGTTAATGAGGGCAAGATCGTCTCTGGTCGAGGTCGCTTTTCGACTACCTTCATCCATTCAACTCTCGGTCTCTTGAAGGTCCCCGTTGTGCCCACATAAACTAACCAACGGCAAGCAGCAAATCTTATTCAAGATTGAGACCATACGCTCCTCATACTCTTATCGAATTCCTCCCCACTGGTGTCTTCCCCGAGATCCCTCCTTGACCAATAGCCAAACAGAATCATGGCGTTTCCCAGGCCGGGTGCACCGTCTTTCAAGCACGAAAAGGTACCTTGTCGATCTCTCATATCCCGTTGCAGTTTTGCCGTTCGATATCCCACTCCCCACAGCAACTTGACCTTTGGACTGACTCCTCTCTTCTCTCAAGAGCTTTCTGGATCCGGACTTCGATATGTTCGACTGGCATCCTCACTTTCTCTCATGCGCCCGCTTTTTCTTAGACCATGCACAGTTCGAGGGCCCTGTCCAGAACCTCGCAGCTTTCCTTAATATCCAACTCCCCTTCCAGAAGGCAGCTACGGCAGTATACCACGCGGCCCTCGTATCTTCCTCTCTCTCGGTCCACGGCGAACCGCCATCCGGAGGCAGTGGTGGCATGGGGTCAATGGGAGCCGGGGGTAGCGGCGGCAGCAGCGGAGCTGGGAGCGCAAAGCTACCGTCACCACCACCACTGGGCGGTGCCAGCGCTCCGGCTGGCGGCTCGACGTATCCACCGAGTAGCGTCACTACACTGGCGCCATATGTCCGCCGGCTCGTGGCCACGGGCTTTGACTTCCCCGCCGTCATGCACAGCTTTTTTGGCGACGACTGGAGAGCTGGCGTTGGGCCCCTTCACCAACAAGAGCGTCGCAATTACCTCTTCGCCGCCAAGAGCGACAACTGGCTTCGGGTCAAGACATCGTACGACATGGGCGAGAGCGAGACGATCCCTTTCATCCGTCCTCTTCAGGGCGTCAGCGAAGAGGAGATCAGCTCGGCCGAGGCGGCCTGGAGCGAGTGGCTTGCCATGCAGGATTGGATGCTTGGACCTAGGGCGCCAGAGGCAGAGGGAGGGGACGCTTCAGGGGGAGCTTCTAACCGCCGCTCTAACGGGACGGCGGGTCTTGGGCGGATGGGAAATGGCAAGGCGTATGGCGGCGGTGGGAGAGTCAACATCAAGAAAGAGGAGAACTAAGTGAGCAAGGGGCGTACCAGACCCCGAGAAAGGCATCCACAGGACTTTCACATGGGGTTTATTTTTGGGTCCAAGCGCATGGACGCGGGCTTTGCAAGGTTGCTTGGGTAGGTCGGGAGGCTATGTTCCCTCTTCGTTTCTTGCATTACACGGTTATGAATGGATATAAACATGCGGCTGGGCCATTTGTACTATAGTCGCGCCCTAGCGTTTGAGCGCTTGTGCGTATGTACCAGGTAACTTTGTACAGTACTAAGGCGCTCTCGGTAGGCTAGGCCACGATAGAATCGGCCAAGGTACGGATACACGAAAGGAGCGTGAATGCCAACCTGAGGTACCGGGGAGTGAACGAGTGGGAAGGCACCAACCGGCCCCAGGCCTTCTTTATTCGCTATCGTCTACATTTTCTGCAACCAAGAAACATTGGTTATAATATAACTTTGATATTTGTTGTTACGTCTTTGCCTAAACTCGTTAGCGGCATGTTTGCGCGCTGGGTTGAAGTTCTAGGATTCGAGATTTTGGCAGAGGTGTCGAATGGCGAGACGAGACACTCGCTCTCCTCCGCACTCAGTGCTACTATAGCTGCCCCACACTTATAGGTGCGAGTGTCTAAAAATAAAGTACATACCTCCCGATACCCACAATTACCTGGTAACGTACATACAAGCAGTTTTGGGTGGAAATGACTGCGCTAGCTCAAGCCCTGGAATGGAAGCGGACATGTAGCGTACTATTCTTAACTCGGGCGATGCTCTCTAGCTTCTCCCTCTCCAGCCTGGAAAAGACGGGACTGGAATTTTCAAGGCACGCTGTAATATGGTTGTGTTTCGGGGAGCTATTTCCGGACTACACCGGTGAACCGTTAATAGGTAAGGTAACCTAGTTGAGGTTTGCCTGCCGCGAGCCTGAGACGTCCAGGTTGGTGTTATTGGTTCTTCTCAGAGATGGAATTGATTCAGGTCGCCCGTAGTCGTGGGTTGACAAACGCTCACTTCCTTGAGTGCCTGCACTGTCGGTACCTTGCGCTAGCCTTTCCCCCACTCCGCAACCCCACCAATAACGGCGAGCAAAGGAATTGATTACTCGGCATGAGCCGGAGACTAGGTTTCTTTGACTTCGCGAATCCAATCCAAAATCGAAGGGAGGGCCTGCTGCCGACGCCCACGTGCATCACACCAGCATGTCGAGTCTACATGCGCTGCCCGAGTAGCCGACGCCCCGCACGCCCCGAAAGGAGGGAAGAGGCAGAAAAAGAAAAGGAGAGAGAACCAAAACAACGAACGGATCGATCGAATTGACCGCCGCCAATCGATGCCGCAACCATGGACCGACGCCCAAGAGCAGGCTTGCCTGCGGCCGTGGCACAATGGATCAAGTTCCTCTCCAACGCCCATACCCGACGACTAGATGCCGAAGACTTTGCATCGTTCGCGCCCATCCTCTCCTCAAAGCACCCCCTGCCTCGCGCGCTTGTCGCCGAGCTGCTCCTCCGCCCGACCAAGGGCAACCAAGACCTGCTGGATCCGCGCGTGCCACAGTACCTCGAGGCACTCCTGAAGCTCAAGCTCGTCGACGCGCCCTCGGTCCTGAGGGCCCTCTACAAATTCTCGACGGCGCATTCGAAAGCGCACCCTGCCCCGGCAGAGGCGAATGGCGCCGGCAACGGCAACCCAAGGGGCCACGGCTCTGAGCAGCAACAACAACAAAGGAGCCAAAAGGTCTTGCGGTGGCGGAGCTCATATTCCTCCGAGGAGGTCATCTTCTGGCGCCTCGCAAAACACATCTCGGCTGTCAAGGCCATCAAGACGGGCAGAGATGCCGTCGAGCTACTCACGGTCCTGGCCAAGTGGATGACGCTCTTCGCCGACGCCGCCGCCGCCTACTCGCGCGACGTTTACAGGACCATGCACAGCCTGCGGGCTAAGGATGAGATGGAGAACTCGCGCGCCGCCTTTAATCTTCTTATTCTCGGCGTGTTTGAGACAGAAACCGTTCTCTCTGTGCTCGGCCGACAAGAGGCTAAAGGTGAGAAGAAGACGGAAGCGGCGGGCTCATGCTAGCGAACCTTTGCAGTTGACTTCACTGTCCTGTCTCTGGCTAGCCATTAATGATTTAGCCCTGTTGAACTGCTGGTGAAGAAAATGTCAGACTAATCATGCTGGGCAGAACTTCGCAAACAGCTGTCGGACAGCCTGGATATCTATGTTCCGTCTCTCATGCAGGCACCATCTGAGATAGCGAGCCGCATAGAGCACTTCCGATCGCAGACTCTCGCCAGCTTCGACCCGACGGACAAGAAAGACACGGCGATATCTGAAATAAACAGGTACATGGACAACCTGATCGGCTTGGACAGCTTCCAGGTTCCAGAGATACAACTAGACAACTCGCGCGCCGGCCTATACATTTACCTTAACGCTGCGGTTAGGCGCCCGATGGGACACGTCCACATCCTGTCGCGGTCTGAATGCTGACGGCTTGTAGCTTGTGGGGCGGCCACTCGTCGATGACACGGCACTATTCACGTACATGCACAACAGGTACCAGGTACGATCTCTCGCAGCCTTGGTTCGGTTCGTGGCGTGATGCTGACCCAGAATTCAGGGCGACCTCAACACGATGGCCATACAGCTTATCCTTGCATCCTTTGACGTTCTTGCCAACGCCGTCTTCCGCGGCGAGGGAGCAAAGAAGGGCCACCTGCTCAAGTCGTATCTGGTCAACAAAGTGCCGCTGATCCTACGGTCTCTCGCCGCTTCTTCGACCATGTATTCCTTCAATGCCGAGCTGTGCATTTCGCAAGCGCTGGGGCAGGTCGACACCAATGTCTTCCCAACACTGTCGGGCTTGTTTGACATGCACAATTCTGGCTCGGGCCCGTCGTTTCAAGACTCGGTCCGGCAGGATTTCTGCTTCGCGTGCCAGCTCCATGGCCTGCTCTCTCCAAATGCCACCGAGAATCTTCTCGGAGACATCACCTACCAGTCTCTGCCGGATGAGGGCCGCTACATCAAAGAGACACTCGTCGAAGCCTGTCTTGAAGACCTAGACAGAACGCAAAAACTGATTAGGGAGCTGGACGAAGTGAACGGAAACGTTGGTGCTGCGGCCCAGGCCATAACCGAGGTATGCGACTCTTTCCCACCACCCAGCCCATTGATACTAACATGGAGACTGCAGGTGATTCGTAGTCTCTGTCGCAACAAGGACACAATGACTCTCAAACAAGTTTGCAGCCAGCTCGCCAGTAAGCCCGTGTCTCTGGACATTCTGCTTCTTTTCGAGAAACCGGAGAGGGTCCTTCACCCGTTGTGCGAAATCCTGGACAACTGGAGTGGGTATGATGAGGACCAAGGGGAATACCAGCCCGTCTACGAGGAGTTTGGGTCCATTCTCCTGCTCCTGCTGGCATTCACATACCGGTACAGCTTCACCCTTGCCGACTTGGGCATCCGCTCGGCCGATTCGTTCATGGGAAAGCTGCTGAGTAGAGGGCAACTCTGCCGGCCCTTGGAAGATCTCAGCGAGCAGGAGAAGTCACACATGAATGGATGGATTCACGGACTCTTTGACAGCGAGGCCGGCGGCTTGGGAGATGAGTTGATGGCTTCGTGCCCACCGCAAGACTTTTATCTGCTCATGCCTACGTTATTTCACCACATCGTACTGGCGCTGAGTACCGGATACCTCACCGAAGAGATGCTGAAAGGGGGTCTCGAGTGTAAGTCTTCCCTCCCCGCACTATTTTGGGAACCGGTTCTAACGGCAAATTAGACTTGGTCGACGTGCTCCTCCTGCCATCGCTGGTCCCCGCCCTCTCGTTCCTGTCAAATCGCCTTTGGGCCGATGAACCCCAGGGGCAACGCGCCATTATCAAGATCCTCCAGCTTATCTTGGTGCCGCACTCCATTTCAAATGAGGCATCGGCCTTGCTCTCTTCGGTTCTCAATATTGTGGCAAAGCCTCTTGAGCACGCATTGCGCTCCTACCAACGGCAGGACCCAAAGTCTCCGGAAGTGGAGCCTCTGCTAAGGGCCCTGAAGGATAATCTCCCAGTATCCAGGCGAACGGGGGGGGCCGACCACAGCGAACTCGAGCAGTGGACGGCTACAATCATCGGGCCAAAGGAAATCGGCGGTCTTTCGGCAGCCGTCAGGCAAGCGGTGCAAGGCTTGATCCAGTGGGCACAGCAGAGCTCGCTCAACGGGTTGATACCAACCACCACATATTGTCACCAACAGACGCTAGTAGCCATCCAGATGCTCGGCGCCAAACACGTCCTCTGGATCCTCCTGGAAGAGCTAAAAGCCTTCACGGAGGCAGGCAATGCGCCTGTGGCCTACGACGTGGTCACGGCCATTGTGTGTGCGCCAGACGTCAAAAACGACGCCTCGACGGCAGCGGCGGCCACGGCGGTGCCGGATGAGACGGGCGCGTTTCCGGCCCCGCTGCAACGGCGGCTCACGCTCCGGGAAGCGCTGAAGGCGGAGGCGGACGACTGGAAGAAGATACAGAAGAGTAACGAGGCGATGGCGGAGACGGTGGTACGGCTCTACCGGCGCGTCGAGGCGCAGATGGCGCTCCCGCCTCCGCCGGCGGCCATCTTGCAGCCCGAGCTTGGGTCGCTCGGTGGCGACGAGCTCGACGAGGCCGCTATGACGGCCGCCGTCGCTACCATGGTCGACTCGTCGGTCGACGCAATGACCATCGACACGACGGGTCTAGGCTCGGGGGTCGATTTGGGGGACCTTGGGCTGAATAGTGGGGCGAACTCGGCCGTTGGCGGGCTGGACATGAGCAACGACGACATCTTTGGCGGGCTCACGGGCGTGACCGACTTCACTACGGATTTCTCGAGCTGGGACACGATGGAGTTGGGGTGAGTAGGGCGGTGTCGAATAGATGAGGTGCGGTGTCGGCGGGTTTAATATCGGCTGAAGGGTGAATTAAGTCTAAGTTCTAGACTCAGACTCTATGACTCCTCGAAGTGAAGAGACTCGAGCGTTTTTATTTAATTGGGACGTTGGGTAGCTCGTTGATCACGATCATATGCACAGCGCATACAAAGCATTATTCATGTATTTATTTACGTCGGCGAGGGAGGGAGGAAATCTTGCGCAGCCTGGGTACGCTCTAATAGAGGAGTGTACTTAAAACAATGTTTCTTTTTGACAGATTGTCCCTCTGTTCCGGTCATTTATGCCTATGTACAGACCAATCCCTGAATGTTTGTTAGTCGAGGACTGACTCCCCAAAGTCTGAATGGCCTCAATACCTTTCTCTTCGCCCAAATTTTTTTTTTTGCTGGAGGTAACAGGTAGCTATCCGAATCCCTTTTATTGAATCCTGCAGGCCTATCTCTCCCCAAGAAACACCTATCCAGGGCTTTTCCCAGCCGGTTCATTTACCAGTCTTTATTCTGCCCAAGTACCGCGCCAACAGACACCTATTTGGGGGTTGGATTGTATGACCTTATGTATGACGAGATGGAAATGCTCTTTTACCTACTCGGGATAATTGCATGGCGGGTATTATGATCTGGGTGACGGGTAGACAGACACATCACCAAGGGGAATATCGACGCCAGCAAGAGTGAGGTGTCCTGGTATGTGACTTGGATTCTCTCGAGTTTGGCCGAGTTTGGCCACGGCGCTTCTGCGAGTGGGAGACGGGATTTTACACCGCGGCCAGACGACGCAGTGGTTGCCTGCCTTCTGGCTTCTTTGTACGAGGCATGTTTCTCCACGAAGCTGTGCCGCAGGACTGCCGCTGCGAGGACGCTAACACAAGAAACAACAGGAGGTTCAGAAAGGTTAGGTTGTGGAGAAGACGATCGTCCGCTAGGTAGGGGTGGGAGCTGGAACCTTGTTTGGAAGGGGTGGTGGCACGGTGCGGGGAACTGGAACTGGGGACAACCAACCGGGAGGAAGTGTTGCATACGGCTGAGCTGAGCTGATAACTCCATTAGGATCATCATCGCGCGAATTCCATGTCAAGAGTCTCCGGAGTAATGAGTTTGAGCGTTGGGTGTTGCAGGCTTTTCTAGCCATGTTCACACTGTAGATATGGTCGGAATCTCGAAGGGTAATAAAACCCGTCACAGATTAGTATGGAGCGTAGGTTAGGTTAGGTTTGATGCCATCAACGCCGTAATCGGAAAAATACCACATTCGGTCACCGGCCGGGCACAGCCCAGCTCCACAAACTTGGATGGAACGGGATGGACGAGGCCAGCTTCACGAGCGGTTTGCTCTGTTCAATGCCAAGCCTGCCCGTCATACGCTGCCCACCCCCGCGCTTGCCCTGAAGGAGCCTAACGCGTCAATATTCACGCACTGTAGCTTCCCGGGCTGGGCTGCATGGGCCATCCATCACTTGCACCTGCCCGTCGAGGACCTGAGGGGTGGTTCTCGAAGGCTTGGACGTAGCCTGGTCAAAGTTTTCTTTCCCTCAGATTTGGGGGAGCCGGAGAGGGAATACCGTCACTAGAGGAAAAAAGAAAAAAAAAAGAGATTGGGGTGGCTGTGATAAGATAAGGTGCTGCGGGCGTCGACGCCGTCGAGGGAGTGGCTTGACCCCCTGGTCGTCTTTGCTGTCGACGATTCGCTGGCCGACACTCATAGCAGACGCCTCCCGAGGGGAGACACCCATCGCGGCCCATGGATCTCGGGCGGCAAGCCACGCCAATGGCTGGACAATGCAATCTACGAGCGACTGTTCAGCTAGGGGGGGGGTCGATTAGAGTCACTGGACTGACTGGGCTAGACTATATTCAACGCGAGGCTCGAGTGACCTGGCCTGGGAAATAAATATGGATTCCTGCTACCTGGCCCAGATCTTCGCGGTACCTTTTTTCCAACAAGTCGTGTACTAAGTACCCCCTCCCCCTTCCGCATGTGGCATGTGTTGCGGTCGCGCGCCCATGCCCGCCCGACCGACAGACGACAACGTTTTCTTTCCTTTCTCTCTTCCATACATGATATCTCTCTGCCTCTTCTTCTTGCTGCTGTGAGACGGAATCTTGTTGTTATTATCGGCACCAGCTTGACCCCGCAGAAAAGGATGAAGGGCGCCGTTGGCCTTGCGGCGCTGGGCTGCTATGCCCTCAGACTCACAAGCGCAAAGGTGCTGAAATGGAGTCCGGACCACGACGACGCCAACCGGAACCGGGCTCCGGCCCAGGCAACTCTCGGCTACATGCCCTTGATGGGCGTCTTCGCGCCCGCCCCGATGCCCACCCCGGCGCCGATCTCTCCGCAGCATCATCTCGACGCCAGGGACGCAACCGACAACACCTGCGCCTATATCAGCGGGAGCTCTGGTGAGACTCGTCTCGAGCTGAAATGAATACCTACTTTGGAAATAAACTGATTCGGTTGGCAGAATACCCCCTCTACTGCCCCGTGACGGCCCGCTGCGTCTACAACAACTTCAACTCCCACGTGGGATGCTGTCAGGACTCGTCCACCATCTGTCCCGTCTTCACAAAGTGCCTAGACAGGACCCAGAGCGCCCGCTTCACCACCGATAACGGTTTCACTGCGTGGTGCGGCCAGGCCTCGTATCCCCACTGCCTTACCCACACCTTTGCCGGCCCTAGGACCGGATACACCCTGCTGGGCTGTGGCGTTGCCGCCGGCACCGACGAAGTCCTCCAAACCGTCTTCTCCATCTCGGCCCCGTCCTCGACGACATCTCTGCCGACTACCAGCTCAAAGTCTAGCACCGGCACCGCAGACACGGCAGGCGTCACCGACAACAGCTCGCCTAACAACCAGCCCGCCTCGTCTTCGCCCTCGTCCTCGCCCCCGATCGCCGCCATCGTCGGCGGCGTCGTCGGCGGCGTTGCTGTCATCGCCGTCCTCGCCTTTTGCATCTTCCTGCTGGTCCGCCACAACAAGAAGAAGACCGCCGCTGCTACCGCTCCCCTCCCGCCGAAGGATTTCAACGGCCCCTCGGCCCAGCACATGTCGCAGCAGCCGCCCGCCGTCGGCCACTACCCTGCCTCGACCGCCGACACAGGCCACACGGGCTTCTCTCCCGTCGGCACGGGCGCCGCCGGCCACGGCTCCATGTACGACCAGGGCGTCAGCCCCCCCGCCAGCCCGCCGCCGGCCTCCCATAACAGCCCCTCACCCTCGGGATACCCGCTCCCGCAGACCACGCCACCGCCCAGTAGCTTCGCCAGCGCCGCTGCCGCCTACAACCACTCGCCGCCCCCGACACAGTACCAGAACACCCCGCCGTCCGCATACTCCTCCACCGGCTATCCCACCCCGGGCTCGGCCGCTCACCCAGGCCCCTACCCCCCACATCAGCCGGGAGCCTATCCCCCTCAGCAGGGAGCCTATCCCCCACAACAGCCGGAAGTCTATCCTATACAAGGAGGAGGCTATCCCGCTCAGCCACAGCAGCAGTACCAGGCATACGTGCCGCCGCCACACCAGCAGTTACACCACCCGCCGCAGCCGCCGCCGCAGCCGCAGACGTACTCTGAGCTGCCGACAGAGCGGGGAGACGGCGAAGTGCGCGAGCTGCAGGGCTGATTTGGTTTCATCCACCACCTTTTCCTTTCCATTTTTAGGGGAGCATATGGAGTTTGAGTCATTTCGTCATTTGTTATTATGCTGCCACTTTGGGGGGTTTTTAACAGCCTACCTAGGTAGTTTGCTTCCTTGCTTGTCTGCTTTCTTCATTGCTTGCTTGTTGTTTAATACCCCGTCTGTCTGTCTGTTTACACATACTCCCACATGTCTGCACATACATACTTATATACACACATGTGTGCTATTTACTACCTAGGTACACATATTGTTCATACGTTTCATATCTAGGACGGTGTCTGATAGGATGGAATCGGGTTCGGCATGGTAGGAACCACAGTTGTAGTAAGGGTTGGGGGTATTAGGGTTATAAACCAGAGCAAAACTGATCTGAGCCAATCCGCAAGTCCGAGGCTCATGGAAGTAAGTGACCACCTACCGACCCAGTTCAGGTCATGGGGGGGGGGGGGTGGGGGGGGTTTGGGAGAGAGTGGTGTTTTGTGTTGTTTCTGTTCCTTTTTGAACACCCTCGTCCCCGTCTCGTGTGCAATAAACATGGTAAAAGTGAACAGTAAAGGTTTCGTTGTCAATGAGCAATCGTGAGCAGTTTTTCTCCTTTCTCTTCTTCCTCTTTCTCTTCGGTTATGAAAAGGGGAGGCAGTACAGACAACGGTCATCGCACAGAACAGAACAGCAGAACAGACGGTAAAATACCCGAGCATATCACGTCGTAAATCGTGCCGTTTGAGTTTCCGTGTTTGATTAGGAGGTAAAAGCGGCAATATGGTTCGACAAAAATAGGGGGGGAAAGCGGGTGTTACAGCGACGGAAGTTGTGAGACACGCCGAGTCGCACATACGGGAAGGGAAAAAAGGGGCGGCTCCACGTATAAATATTGACAACCCGCCGGGGGCGTAAGCCGAGTGGCATCGCCCCTGAAGGCACCCCCTCACATCGTTAATGTTCAATAAAAAAGTAAGCAAAGCAGCGCCCGCATTTCCCTGCCTCATTGCTCGGCCAATGCGATATTTATCTGCCAAGCCAAGCCCGCCGTCGTTCAGAGTTTGCTCCCCTGCGGCTTCCTCCGCCACTTGGCGTAGGGGTGGTCGTCGGCCGCCGACTCGGGGACGAGGTGGTCGACGGCACGCGTGTTTAGGAGGCCCGGGTGTAGCTCATCGAGGCTGGTGACGCCGCACAGGCGCATCGTGGTTTCGAGCTCCTCATTGAGTACTTTTTGCCACGTTAATCAATTATTCCCCCCATACCCGCAGAGACACAGACATGACAGGCAAGACTCACTCTCAATGTACCGCCGGACACCCTCCTCGCCGTAGTTCAGGCCATACAGGACGCCCCTGCCGACACCCACAGCCGTCGCGCCGAGGCACAGGGCCTTGAACACGTCGGTGCCGCGCGCGACGCCGCCGTCGACAAAGACCTGCACGCGGTCGAAGACGTGCGGGCAGCAGCGCTGCAGCTCGAGCAGAACTAAAATGGTCGCGGGCGCCGTGTCGAGGCTGCGGCCGCCGTGGTTAGACACGAAGATGGCGTCGACGCCGGCATCGACGGCGCGCACCGCGTCCGCCGCCGTCTGCACGCCCTTGAGCGCGACCGGCGTGCCGGGCGGCAGACAGCGCCGCAGCCAGGCCAAGTCCGCCCACGCCACGCTCGCGTCGACGTACTGTCCCATGATGCGGCCCAGCCCGCCGCCGCCGCCGTCGTTGCCGGCCCGCGTGCCCGCCATCGGCGCCCGCACGCTCTCGTCGGCGCGCACGCGCTCGTCCGCCTCGCGCTTGCCCATGACCGGCGCGTCCACCGTCAGGAACACGCCCCCAACACAGCCGAGTGCCGCGGCGGCTGCGAGCAGGCGCTCCGACTTCGCCCGGTCCTTGTCGACGTAGAGCTGGAAGAAGATGGGGATCATGTCTCCACCACTGTCTGAGCCCGCCGCCGGTGCCGGGGTGCTGCTGCTGCGGATGGCGTCGACGATGTCGCCCAGCGGGAAGCTCGCGCTGGTGCTGACGACCTGCGCGATGCCGAGCGCCTGGCAGGCGCGGCCGAGCGCGCACTCGCCGTCCGGGTGCACAAGGGTGCCCAACGAGGTCGGCGAGCAGAAGATGGGCGAGCGGACGTGCCTGCCGAGCATCGACGTGCCGAGGTCGACGGGACCTGAGACATCGCGCAGCACGCGGGGCCGCAGCCCGATCGCGGCGTAGGCGGTCGTGTTGGCGCGGTGAGTGAGGCAGTCGGTTGCCGCCGACGAGATAAATGCATAGGTTTTGGCGGGGAACGCGGATGCGGCGGCGGCGAAGTCGTGCGAGGATATCAGCGTGTGGAGAGGTGGTTTCAGGGGCCCTGGGGGGGGAGGTGGAGGTGGCGACGCAACACGATTTGGAGACTCGGGCATGGCAGTGTCTTTGAGCTTATGGGCTGACGGCGGCTTGGGTGCCATGGCAGCAACGTTGGAGAACAGCGATACAAGTCAATGGAAAGAGTCAAATCAGCAGCTGCTACAACGAGATATAGGTAAAAGCTCGGTGAAATTTATATCCAAAGTAAGACAAAAGAAGTTCAAAATATTCTGATTGGCGGCACCCGTCGACATTGCGACACTAACTCGGATGTCGATGTCGGTCTTCGGCGGGGAGCTCACGGCAGCCGGCAAACTCGGACGGGATTCGACCGAGCCGAGCAGCAGCGCTTTCGCTAAGAATGCCGCCCTAAGCGGGCCGGACAATGAAGCAAAGTCAAGCCACCGCGACGTCAATACCCTCCACCAACCCAGTCAAATGACACACAAGCTGCTCAAACTACCCCCCAAGAGCCTTCTGAATCAGCGTCTGGGCTCTGCCGCTGAGCTGCATCTGCAGGGCGAGGGCGTGGCCGGCGGGGCTCATCTTGGCCCACGTCTTCTGGAGGATGGCGACGATCTTGTCCTCGTCCATCTCTGGCTTGCTCTCGAAGGCGTCGAACTGGTCATCAAGAAAAACGAGGCAGGCCACGTCCTCGAGGACCTGCGTCTCGTCGTCGTCGCGCAGGTTCTCCTTGCGCACCAGGGCCGCAACGCGGTCGATGTCGTGCGCGGCCAGCGGCGGGTCGACGGCCGGCGACGCCAGCAGCTCGGCTACCTGCGCTGCCGCCTGCGACTTGAGCTTGGCCCGCCACGTCAGGTAGCCCGGCCGCGTCATGGGATAGCTACTCCGCGGGATCTCCCATCTGTGGAGCGCGGGCAGACGCGGATGAGGCGGGCCCGGCTTGTCAGGTCATCAATTGATACAATGAAGTAATTTCCCTTGTCAAAAAAGTCAAAAGACGAAAGAGCGCAGTAAGTTCAAGCAAATAAGCACCCGACCCAGAGCTTCCTCTTTTGGGTTTGGGCTGGCACTGCTTATGCAGGTAAGGTATATAATGAAAAGAGAAACCGCAGACTGAGAGGGAAGGAACGAACGGACCGTCGAAAATGCTGCGCACGGCAGGCAAGCTGCAAGGTCGGCGAAGCCTCTGGGCTGCGCGCCGCGAGCCAGCGCGTCATTTTCTGCGCATAGTGAAGCTCGTACGGGACAGGGCTGCTCTTTCCCTCGATCGTCTTGGGATCGCAAGAGTGCGCCTCGTCGATGAGCTGCGAGGCCGTGGCGTAGTTTCCCACAAGAGGTTCCATGTTTCTTTTCCGATTAATTCTCGAGTTCGCGTCTTTTTTATCTCCCAAGGTCTTTCGGTCCGACTCGATAGTAGCTCATGGGTTGGTTGCTTGCGAGTTCGGCCGTGATCTGCTGCTGTGTTCCCCTTTCTCAAAGGGACTTGATGACTCAGCGACAAGTCCTTTTTGTGGCCCCTTCCGTTCCCCCTAGCAACATCATCCAGTCCGTCACCCCTGGCGTTTGGATTTGAGGCTCTGCACGCTCCAACGTCAAGTCATTAGACAGCACCAAGACAAAGTGAGGATAATCAAGTTTTGCATCAGGTTGCCATTACGTCTTGTTTTCGGTCATGTTCGCATAACCTCCTTGTCTTGGGCTCTCTCTCCCCTTTCTTTTGTATTCCTGCTTTCATTTCCGCTCAACTTCATTATTGCCGTCCAAACATTAGATTTTACTCACTATTTTTTGTATCGTTGAATGTATGTACCTACATGTTGACATGATGATTGTTTATTGTACGGCTGCTCGATTGTTCTGTTCTGCCGGAAATGATGCGCTTGAAAGAAACGAATGTGGTGAGAACTCGCCTAGCATCGATAGCTGTTACAGAACGTCTCTTTCATTTCCGGTAGTCTGCCTAGACGTACTATTACTATTTTATATGACCAACACTCGTGAACGGTGCAGCCAAAACAAATGTCAGTCGCAGGTAAACTACTGCTAAAATGCGGCATCAGCTCGGGCAGCGAGGCATCTTACGGGCAATTGCGTAGGGAAGGGGAGCTTGGTAAGATACAGGCGTATGTAATTCGTTGCGGTCGGTACTGGTCATCCTCGGAGTGGTGTACATACAGACTACATTTGACTGCTGTGTGGTTTCGCTGGCGGAAGGAAGGTGCACTTCCTCACCTCGCCCTCAAAACCCGGGCTCTTTCCTCTTTCCTTTCTCGCTTCTGTCCGCTTACTCCAAAAACCTCCACACCCTGACACAGTCGCGCTTCTTCTTCCCCTCCTTTCGCAGATCGAAAGGCGAGTTAAACAGGCCCTTGGCTTCTCTCTTCATTGGAAATTGTCGCGTTCAACCGGCGGCATCTTCCTTCTTGCAAACATCAACGCGTAACAACGCCCTCAAACCTTGAACCTTACCGCAGGATTAAGGGACGCGACGATTTATGACCGCGACCGCGAGTCCTCGCTTCTATTCCTCCTTCCCTCATACATCTTCCTCTCTCTGCCGGGTTCTGCGCCAGACCACTGGTCACGACCTTTCCCGCCCCCCACTACCTACCACTTTCTGACTGCCCTGACTAGGCGGCTGTTGGCGCATTCTCTTTGATAGTCGGTGAATCTAATAAATCCTACTACAACATCACCTCGAGTCTCAAATCTAAAGTCTCAATCCAAACCTCAAATCTCAAACCTCAACTTCAACCTCAACCTCACTTAACCAAGTACCTACGCCTCGCGCAGCATCACCACCGCCACAATGCCGCCTAGAAGAGACGACCAGATTACTTCCGACGATTTCAAGGCCGGCAACGTCAAATTCTCCATGTCGAGCTGGCTTGTCGGGCGGGGTCCCCTCGTCCTGAGGGGGCCTCGCCCCAGGCCGGCTCCCAAGCCAGCCCGTGCTCCGTCGGTGACCCCCCAAATCATCAAAATCATCATTGAGAACCGCATTACTTATACTCCCGATAGCAGGTCCGTGGCCGACGAGTCTGAGGACACGGGGTATGTCGCCGGCCCCACCAACTCGAATTCTGATTCGTCCAACTCGGACGATGAAGACGAGAATTCTGACGACAACAAAGACGTCCGCATCATTATCAAGCGTGCGTCCAAAAAGGCCAACCAGGGCAACGACGGGGCTCAGACCAAAAAGGACTGCCTCAAGAAGTCCCATAAGTCGTCAAAGTCGGGCAAACAGCTCAAGGTGGCGTCGGCTTCTTCGCAGAATGAGAACGCCGACAGCACCTCGGCCAAGGGCGATACGATTGCAGAGTCCACCGGCTGTCGTGACTCAGACGGTGAAGCCAAGACCCCCAAGGAGACGGGTGGCAAAGCAACGGGTGGCCCTGTTTGGTCGGCCGCAGATGACGCCAAAGTCCTGTCGATGAAGAAAGGAGGCAGCACCCGGGCAGAGATTGGAAAGACGGTCAAACGCGGCAAGAATGAGGTGCAGAAGCGCCACAAAGAGCTTACCACGGCCGGCAATACGCTCGCTGCGAATGACACAGCCAATGACGGCGACAACGAGCTCACTGAAGCGGGCGAGCAAGCCCACCACCACGAGAAGGGCCACTGGGGCAAGGACGAATCATCTGCTTGCGAATCCGTCTCTGGGCCCAGCCCCACCGACGATGGCCAGGATTATTCTGCCGCATACGAACAGAACCTCTACCTCCACGAAATGCACTTCTTCCATTTGTACAGAGAGCAAATCAAGGAGAAGGATCTTGTGATTCCTGACGACCGGCTCACCGAGCGCGAGTGCAACATTATCGCCCTGCTCTCCGCCAGACGCCGCGCCAACTTCTACCTCCAACTCAAGTCGGAATTCTTCAACATCACCGGACGCAGGGTTCCCGCGCAGTATCTGAAGTACAAGTTTGACGAGAAGAAGTCGATCATCAAGAACCGAGATGGCCGTTAAGGGGATATGGGTGGCCTAGGGAGCTTTGGGTCGTGTGAGCCATGATACTCACGTAGTTCATTTTGTGCGATAGTTCTGGTTATTCACACCGATCTTTTATGGTGTTAGATGATATGACAGATTGATTTTACCTGGATTGTCTACGGATACTGGAGTAGGTATGGTTCATTGGCCGGAGTTTTGCGCGAAGTGGTAGATCGGCTGGGGCGTTGGTATTGCTTTACACGCACCGGGGCTTGCTGGAGATCAGGCGAGGATACATATTCCTTGCGGCGAAAAGAAGGTTGTGAGCTTGAGCCGAACCTTCTGAGTTCTTGTTTGCTGGGCTACATGCATGTATGGATAGGAAATCTCGGTATCGACAATAGCTGAATGGGCAATCAGTAACATACAGGTGTGATCCAGGTCTGACAAGGTAGTCAATGCCGGTATGTGATGATTCTCGATAACATGCCTTGGACTGCAAATGGTGAGTCTGCGTTTTTCTTGTTTTCCTTCTTGATGACGGAAAGTTAGGTGTGAGAGTTGACATCTTTTATTGCTGAGTGTTTTAGGGCCGACACTCTTGCGGAAACCGCCGACTCGAAAGAGCTTTTGTCTCCACGTTTACAGTGACCCCTTACACGCGATGTGAGTGACTGGCCTGCAGCAAGCGCCCGCCGTCAGGCTATTCTGAATCAACAGTCCCGATCATCCATTCGATCTCCCAGAGCTTGATTGCTCATTCTGCACACTCTACCCTTGAAACCCGCAACTCGCTATGACTGGATATCTGAGAATAAACATGGGACCCACGGGGAAGCCCTGCAGGACTTTGTCAGGGTCGGCCTCTTTCAGCGAGCTGTTGCTGTCGGCTCTTTACTCTGATCACAGCCATGACGCGAATCATCAACCATGCGTGACTCTTTCTTTGAACGGCTTCATGGGAAAGAGTATTAATACCCAGGTCGCTTTTCAGTTTTCCATTTCTCCTCCTCTCAGTCAACCAATACGGCCCAGCATATCAGCAGTATTTGAACGTGAACGCACTCTGCTTGAACCTAGTATCTCGCCCCTTATATGTAAGAAACCCCCCCCCCCTTATCAAGCCAACACCCCCAACACAGACAGAAACCAGCATGCCCGCGCTTTGGGACCTCCTCGGCACGACGTACCCGCACAACCCTAGCATCGAGCCGGTAGATTGGGACAAAGCCGAGCCGGTAGCATGGGTGTGCGCGTGCGGCGAGTGGCACCTGATCTCTGCACCGCGGTGCCACCTCACGTGCGCCGAGTTCCCTCGGCGCTGCGCAGCGTGCGCGCGCACGCCGACGAGGGCTAAGACGTGGTCAACGAGTTCTGCGTCGTCGTCGGCCGTGGCGCCGCCACCTGGACAAACGTCGGCGCGCCCGGCCGCGGCCTCGGCCTATCCCGCGGCCGCTAGCGCCAGCACGCCAACCACTTCGTCGAGGTCCGCGTCGCCGCCAGCCAGAAGCGCGGATACTACGGCCCCGACCCAAGAGTGCTGCCGCCGCCGGCGGGACCGTATCCGGATAGCTTGGCCACGGCCGTGCACAATGCCATGTACCCCGGTCAGGGGAGCGGGGGGTATAACGGCGCGGCGGGGTTCTGGCCGGGCGGTGCGGCCGCCCCGCCGCCCGAGAAGTGTCGCTCGAGGTTCCGCTGGCCGGCGTACGCTAGGGGCCTGGGCCCTGGGAGGGTCGACGCGTACCCCGAGGACGAGCCGCTGTATGATGCTTACTACACCTGGTATGAGAATCATGTTTTCAGCCCCGACACGTGGGGGGTCCCGTCGAGGTGGTTCATGAGGGGCAATGCGTGGCTCCTCCAGGACGGGTCAGGAGGAGGTGCTGAGCCGGGGGCGCCGTCGGTGTCGGCTTGAGATTGAGCTGAGTTGAGTTTGGATGGTGTGTGGTGTTATTGTTTCCTACTTTCGCGAGGCGTCGAGGTGCCTGGTTCCAAGTTGTTCTCTTTGTGTTTCTAGACATTTTAGTAGAGGCCCTTGCGAAAAGAGTACAGTTTTCAGGGGCTGCCCATCCGGCAGGGGAAAGATGAACACAGGTGCCTAATTTTTGCCGGCCACACGGCCACGGAACAAAGCCCCTTTTCGCCCTGACAGATTGTTCGCGAACAAGCGCGAAAACGCACGACAATGCATTGTCTTTCACACTACGCGGCGATGTGGCTCTGCAGTGCTACTATTAATACTTAACTTTTTGCTGGTTGTAAGACTGTTTACTCTAGGTTCGCTACTCACATGTAAATACGCATAGTAAGAGAGAGCGAGAGCAGACTCGCACGCATTAGATACGTCCTATCACAAGAATGCAGCTTAACTCTCTCTTCTCCCCGTCTCAACCGCAACCGTGGTAGCCCCTTGGCAACTCAACGGCCTAGTAAAGCGGTACGACCCCGAGGAGACACCGCTCTACCTCCACAACCCGCGCGAGGTCGCGTGGGTGTGCGCGTGCGGCGAGTGGGAGCAGATGGAGGACTCGTGCGCGCGGTGCGGCCTGCACCCCAATGACGAAGACTCGGACCCTGACGGAAACAACGATAGACCCGCGCGGATACCCTTTGACGTCGTGAACCGGTACGGCGTCGTCGTGCGCCGGGGCGGGTCCCGGCTCGCGGACAGCACCAGCGAGCGCAACTGCGCCGGCCTGTACAACGGCCAGTGGCGCGACCACGCCATCCACTACAACGTTAAGATGCGGCCGCAGCCGCAGGAGCAGCAGCCCCAGCCGCCGGCAGACCCCAGCCTCTACAGGCTCGACGCAATGTATCCGGGCCAAGGCAAGTACGGCTACTTCGGCGCCGCGGAAGAAGGCTTCTATCCCGGCGGCACCCGTTACCCACCGGGACACCCCAGCTACGTGCCCCCTGCGCTGGACGGCCGGGAACAGGTCGAGAGGGGGATGGCGCGCGTCTTTTGTGACTATTTGACCGCCGAGCCGGAGCAGGTTGCTAGTCTGAATACCGAGGCGCCTGTCGCGGAGCGTTTTAAAGGCCGGGAGAGACGGCGGAGAAATGGGCCTGCGCAGCTGCGTGAGCAGAACGGATGGCGTAGAGAGTTATGATCGTACTTAATGAATTGATAGCCATTTGCGTTGCTTTTCTCTTTCCCTAGCCGACGTCCTTTCTTGTGGGTGTACTGCTTGAATTGTGTCTGGTGAATCATAATAGGGGTAAAACCCGTAACCATTATCACACTCAATGACTTGGTATCGTTTATATTACTTTTGTTTTTCCCCAGCTGACATTCTTGTGCGCGTAGTTTTAGAATCACATGTGGTGAATCATAATAGGGGTAAGCCCGTACCATCTTGATTATGTTCATTTCAGTGTGTGTGTGTGGTGATAGATCCAACGGTGGAAGTCGCTCCTTGAGAGTAGACGAGATAAAACAAATCCGTATCACTGTCCTGCTTTGTAGTAAAAGAGCCACACCACAATCTGAGCTTTTGAAGCATGGCCAGGTTGAATAGTTGAAGTTGTTTCAGGTCTCCGTGTCTGAATTTCGCTCACACGTCACTCAGTTCTTCAATTGAATCCGCCTCGCAACGTAAGATGAAATCTATTACTCCCCTTCGCCCTGACCAGCTCCAACCTATTTACCAATTCATAACCGTCCAGCCCCTTGCCATGACGAGGGTTTGTTGCTCATATGATACGGCATTCAGGCCACACCTCATTCCCGATCTTCAAGGTATAAATACTCCCCGAGTCCCGGATGCTGTGTCGTCCTTCCACTCTCCCACGAGTCCTCTCTCCCACAGACACCGATTAACTACACATCTAGTCCTTGCCGAAACAGGAAATCCATAGTTTTTCTTTGGCGTCTGGTCATCTCTTTATCCTCTGCCTGAGAAAAATTACCATCTCCATGCCGGCCGCTCACGAGACGACCGATCTAGTAAGGTGCTGCGATCCCGAACAACAGCCGCCGGCGGACCTCCACGATCCCCTGCCCGTGGCAGCTCTGTGCGGGTGCGGGCATTGGTTCGAACTTCGTGACCTAGAGGGACTCCAGAGGCACCAGGCGTTGATTCGCCCTCCTCTGCCAACAGCAACAGCAGCAGCAACAGCAGCAGCAACAACAGCTCAGCAGCCAACCCCCTCCTCCAGGTCGCCACCACCACCACCACCACCGGCCCCGTCTCCGCCCTTTATATGCCAAGAACGACTCAAGATCGTGAACAAATACGCTGTCGTGCTCTACCACCGAAACAACCGCGTTGGGCAGCATCCGCCCGTGTTCCTGCTGCTGAGGGGATCGTGGCGAACGCACGCGCACTGGTTCAACTCCGTCACCAGCAGGTATCCGATCCTCCTTCCGGAGGCGCTGACCGACGAGCCCGAGGAGGTCGGTGATCTGCACACCGAAGCACACGTCTCGGGGCGCTAGTAGACATAGGTATGAGGGGTAGGTGTTAATCTGATACTAGGCAAGTCACTCCCCTCGAAGGAGATGATGAACAATGAAATAAACTCTGGATTTAATCAGTAGCCTCCCTATTTTTCACTCACGCGTTCACTTCACTCAACTCTTGCTTACAGTACTACTTACTACATCAAGGGGCGACTGAACGCGCTCTATCGCAACCCTGTGATGAAATACATTGCCACTTACCAGCTGGCCTTACTTCCCACCGCCTCATCTCATCGCCGTGACGAGTGTTTGTCTGGCTCATACAAAACAGTAATCAGACCACGCCTCCTTTCCGAGCCTCTCTCACGAGGTATAAATCCCCCTCCCCCCCCCTGTCCTAGCTTGCTGTACCGTCCACACATCCACACACGTACACGACGGTCATCCACGCGTCTAGCCTTTTGCCGAAACCAAACCTTCCGAAAAGTCTCGACACAAATTAACTTCGTCTCTAATCAACGAAAATACCATCGCCATGCCAGCTGCCCACGAGATCGCCGGCCTTAAACAGCTCTACCGTCCCTGGCTTCAGCTGGACGACATCAACAAGAACAACAACAACAACAACAACAACAACAACAACAACAACAACAACAACAACAACAACAACAACAACAACAACAACAACAACAACAGCAACAACAAACACCCCCTGGAGCTTGGTGAACAAGCACCGCGTCTTGCTGTACAACGAGCGCTACTGCTATCCAAAACCGCCCCTTTTCTGGTTGCACGGGGGATCGTGGAAACTGCACGCGCACTGGTTCAACTCGCTCACCAACGCGCCCAACGCGCAGCCGCCAGCGGTCGAGGCGCTGCTGACGGAGGAGCCCGAGGAGGTGGGAAATCTGTACAGCGAAGTACATGCCTTGCAGCCCCGGCAGGGATAATTTCGGGGTCAGTCGCCTAGATCGTTATCTATCTACGAGCAATTCAGTGCCGCGACAGATGCAGAAAGACGGGTGGGGGTCTACGACCGTGACGCACAGCATCTAGCATGAAGGAGCCGGCATAGCTTAGACCTCCTTTGACGAGTGAACCTAGACCTAGACCTAGACGGACGGATACCAGAAATTTACATAGTATTACCTTTATGTTAATTTTCGCCAATTTATTTTGAACAGAACATATTCATGAGAGCACCGGTTTTAAATCTCCAATGCCTCCTTGGCGAGGCTGCCGCTTATCCCTGAACAGGACGCTCTGTTTGTGTTTGTTTGCCTCCTCTCCTCAGCCACAGCCCAGCCAGCACATCAGACTACCGCTACGCCGGTAGACGAGACAGATGCCTGCTACCTAGATACCTAGCGCATCACATACCCCCATCTCCAAGTCTTGTGATCAATCAAACACATGCAACCCACGCAAGCCGTATTGAACCACAATCGATACCCAGACAATCCGTCTCGACATCTGGTGCATAAAAGTCGGACATCACGCCAGTTAACGACATATGCTGAGAATCTGCTCATCAGGACAAGTTTGGCCAGGCATTGTTTACTCCTTTACCTACACGGCAATCACTTAACGCGCCAAAATCTAGACCACATTTTACTCAGGACCTTGCTCCCTCCATTCAACCCCATTTACTCAATCACGTGTTCGATTTCCTTTCAAGGCGCAGATGTTACTTCCACTGATGAGTATTAATTATGTAACATGCTATATAAACCCTCGCCCAAAAACCAAATCTGACCTCCCCTCCAAGCATTGAAATCATCTAGAGCGAAACATAGAAATACAACCAGCGGCGGTACATAGCCCCCCTCCATTCTCGGGAAATGCTGCCGCCCCTCGGCCCAGATGCCGTCCCATAATACAAGTCTGTAGGTCAAGTAGGTACTCTGAATCCGGTATATATGAACACGGTAAAAGACAATAGAGGTCAACCCAGTCAAGCAAGGAAAGGCCAAACCCCTTCGCAAGACACCGTCGCCACCTCGACGCCTCGGGTATCATCAAGAGAAAGGAAATAGGCCAGAGACAAAAGAGAGATATTCCCCATTTTAAGCCACCAAGGAAATCCAGATTAGTTACTACAATTTTATAAAGACAAAAACAAACGGTGCAACTCCGGTCCAGAGTCAATGCAAGCTCCGACAAAATGCAGAAATTACTAACCCCAACATGGAAAAACAAATGGGTACGGAACAAATAAGCACTCCAGCGATCCAAATGTCACTGACGAAAAACATCCATCGAGCATGGTCGGGATATTGGCCGGTGGTACATGTCGTGTGTCGAAAAATGGAAGTGCGGTATATGCGCCACATCGAGGCGCAAATCTCTACGACGAGGGATATCTCATTTGGGCGATTGTAAGAGAGGCCGACATTGGGTGTCGGCGCTCAAATCATTCCAGGCGGGACACGGCCTTCGGCTTCAGCGCTAGTCGTCTCCAACTGTGCCTTGCTGTTGCCGTTTCCATTGCCGTTGCCATTGCCGGGACTGGACCTTGGGGACCGACTATTGTTTGTGCCGAGTCCCCGCTTCACCATCCTACCCAGGACATTCACGAGCTCGCTAGTGTCGTCGAACATGTCGTCTTCGATGCCCTCCGTGGCTTCGTATGCCTGGGTAATGGTTTCCTTGGCAACCTTCCGACTGCCTTCGGTGTCATGCACACACTCGTAGAGAAACGCCGCATACTCGGTTTTGACGGAGAGACGGAGAGAGTGTGATCCCCACAGTAGGGTCTCGGCGTACTGTACAGCTTCCTGGAAGTATTGGTAGGCTTGGGGAAGGTAGTCGCCCGGTCTCATGAGAAAGGCGGCCGGGGACTCGGGGCCAAATCCCGGGGGAGGGCCTACTGGACCTCCTTCGAAGGTGCGTGGAGTGATTAGAGATAGCTGCCCCATGTCGTACTCGTCGTCTCTTGCCACTCCTTTTCCCTTATCCAGGCGGATCGGTGCCAGGCCAGGGGCCGCCGATGTCTGGCCTTCTGGAGTGCCGAGGCTCATGGACGAGACTGAAGGCGTGTTGTGGAACAAGACAAAAATATGGTAGAAAGAAGCGCGGAGCTTATATGCTAGGACCTTGAGCTCGACGTATTTGCCCACCATTGGCAAAACATATTGCTCGAGTAGCACCAGACCTTCACGGGACAGCCAGATGATGTGGAAGTGTAGCTCCAGCAAGTCTGCTGTCCGGGCGGTGTCGACCCGACTTTGCTTCCGTGCGCTGACGAGCTGGCCAGAAAGGTTGATGGACAGGCCCAATATCCTAAACAAAACCTTAGCAAGTAGCGGATTGTCGTTTTCTACCGCCTTGGCAAGCTTGCCGAGAAACTTCTGATCGACTTCTGAAGAGGCCATCGGGGTGAGGCTGCCCGTGTTGGAGCAGCGTTGCGCGTCACAGTCCTTGGAGAGAGGGGTAAAGGCTTGACTGCCGCGGTGATATCAGACACGGGGCAGTAGCCTCGCGAGGGCCGTACCTGTGCTCCCGTTCCAGACAAGCCTCGAAACTGGTGACTGCTGAGATGGCTCGTCCGTCCCATAGATGATAAGTAAATGAGTGCGTCGCCTGGCGGGCTCAGCCTCTGTTAATCTCCGTAATGATGGCGTAGTTGGTGGAGAGCGTTGGGTTTTCTTTAATTAATTACACAAGCCTGGGGCAGAGCTTGGGTCAGAATTTGGGCGACGAGGCGGCCTCTGGTTGATTGGAGGATAACTGACCAATATGAAGCAAACCAGGCCGCAAGAGGCAATTTGTACAGACGGAGCGGCAAATCAGAGGAGCGGAGGGGTAGTCGTTACCAGTAATGAACCCCGAGGGGAAGTTGAGGCTCAAGTTTGGTGGCGGAGGACTTGCTGGTTTTCGAGCTGAGCATGGCGACGACTCGGACCTGTCTATCGAGCACACACAGAAATGAGGCCTGGATGACCCGAGGTGGGTTGGAGGGTAAACAATGGGCTGCTGGATATGCCGGGAACCCAAAGGTCAGAGTATCTCGGGCAAGGGCCCCGCACTTCCTTCCTTGAGGGGGGACAGGGCGGTGAGCCGGCGGTAGACTTGGCTCTTCCTCAGGCGTTATCCTCAAGCAACAACAGACGGGCAGGCAGGCAGTCAAGCAAGCGTGCCAAGGTGGGATCGAGGTGGAGCCTCAGAGGTCCGACAACGTCGGGCGGAGGAAGGCGGACTGGAGTGGCAGGAGGAGGCCAATGGCAGTTCAATTGGGGCCGTGGCTCATGGCTGGACTTGAGATTGAGACTTTGAGGCAAACTTCGGGATTGAGAAGACGACAATGGCAAAGTAAACACGAATATTGACAGAAGCCACACTAGACCAGAGCACCCAGTCCTGTGCGTGGCAGGCTAACCTGCAGAGGCGAGGGCTGACGCGCGGGCCGGGGCCTTGGTTATGTGGTTTAAAGGAGTCGTGCAGCAAGGCAAAGCAAAACCGAGGGTCTCTCATGCATGAACGAGTGTTTAGTGTCGTGAGGGGTGGGCCCTTTTGACAGCTTCTGAGCGCGACGGTGACTTGCCGACCGACACCCTGAATCGAAACGACGGCCACACAAGACGGCCTGGCTGACACGTTGGCTTAAGGCTAGCAAAAAAAACAAGATAGGCCCAAAACAAAACAAACGAGGACAAGAATTCAATGTCCAAGAAAGAGAGAGATAGAGAGAGCGGCAAGGCGAATATGTCATACGGGTAAGGACAGACTGGGCGACTGCGAGCGAGACAGACTGCGAGAGTCTGGAGAGGCGGGTCAAGGCTGTAGGCGAAAAGCGAATGGAAACCGTTGGAGGTGCAGATGGTCGCTGCAAAGTGAGTTGTCCGCCCTTCAATCAACCACTGCATGGCATGCCCCGGCACCCTCAGACTCCAAAACGGCCAGCGACGGCGATTGGAGGGCAGATGCGCGCGAGTGGACAAGTCCGTCACTGGGGTCTCGGTGTATGACCCAAGAGACGCAGCGTATGCGTTCGCTTGATGTATGATGTGTCCTTCGCAGGAGTCGGGATTGACGGTCGGTGGTCGATGGTCGCAAAGTCGTCCCCTCGCGTCCCCCCCGAGCGCCAGCGCAGCGCAGCACGCGCCAATCGAAGCCCAGCCCCAAACAGATTCTGTCTCTAGAGTCTGTCTAACGGCCAGTTGATTGAGGCCGGCTTCCTCGACGAGCCCTGGTGGGAAAATGAGCGGAACTGGCTAATAGAGCCAATGGCGTGTGTCGTATCAATTGAGGAAAGACTAAAATGAATGGATGCGAGGGGCCGTTCGATGTGTTGTTGCGAGAAAAGCCAGGGAGGGCCTTGGCGTTCGCCTGAGGTGTGCTAAGGTAGCTGGGCTGAGCTTGGGCCGGGCTGACAGTGGTCCATGGGTTCCTGGTTCCAGGTTCCATCCTTCCGTCACCGTCTGAACAAAAGACGGGAAGGGACGTCTGATGAGCCAACAAGCGGGCCTTTGCGGCAAGCGCCAGCGGCTGGGTAATGACATTCCCAAGGTGGATGTTTTGGGACTTCAAGTTCTTGCCCAGAGACACTGACGCTCTTTCCTAACAAACCTGTCCGACCCCGTTCATACTTTGTACTTTCCTCCAAGTCTATACTCTTATTAGATCTGCAAACCTTGATGAAATTTGAATGATTCAATTCCATCCAAAACGTGAAACGATGTGCTTTGTTGGAAACTGCGAAACTCCAATGGCTGCAATTATTTCGACCATCACGGACCAGGACTTCGGACCATCATTTTGGATTACGACATTCATCAAGCGGGAAGGATCAAAGCCGTGTCTGAGACAGATTCCCCCCGGAGCCGTCGCCTTCTCAAGGACCTAAAAGACAAGACTCTGGCCATTGACAATTAACCTACGGAACAATTGAACAGGTCTAGTCTCGGCTAGTCCTTGAGTCCTTCCCTGTTACGGATACCTTAATCGCCGTCCGAGAGCCGCCAAGTTGAGCATTGTCCTACCTACCTTAGGTACTGCTGCTGCTTGCAACTTGCAACTTGCAACTTTCGTGACAGAACAGGAGATGGGGCTCGGGAGCGTTGGACGGCACAGGCGCGCGCGCAGGCACACGACAGCACGGCCGCTTATCTCTCTCTATCTCTCTCTCCCTTTCCGACCCGAGTCCTCAAGTGTCGCGAAACAGCCGCATTCTCATCCAATACTACCTGTCCACTTCTCATATTGAGGTACGCAGAAGGTCTGAGGTGAGACATCGAAGGCGAATGCCGAGGCCAAGACGCCGACAAGATCTCGCTCATGCTCCTCAATACGCACGCACGCACGCACGCACGCACGCACGCACGCACTGTCACTGCATCTACATAGTACACCTGCATCGCATCATGGTTCTATTTTAACGGATGCACCCGATGCGCGGGGGCGTCAGTCAGTCAGGTCCTGGGTCGGGGGTGGTCCGTCTTGGGGGTTCCCCCCGGCTTTGTGGTGTCCTTCGCCTCGATAGCCGATCAGAGGTTGGGACCAGGAACGGGAGTGAAGCGCCACTGCACATGGACTCGCCGAGTCCCAGTCCCACACCTCCCACCCACTGGAGGTCTTTACCAATTCCTAGTCCTAGGGCAGGGCAGTTTCCCACAGGGCACAGGCCGCAGGGCCACAGCCAGGCAGGGGGGCGTTCGTCCTGGCTCACAGCTCCCCAGCCACCTCAATTCTCGACTTTGACGTGTAGAAAAGCCAGCCGCAGCCCCCAATTGGCTCCAGCCTCACACGACGGCCGCCCAAGCCAAGCACCATCCACCGATTCCACATCGACCATTGGCGCCCGGCATCCAAACTTAGTCGTCGGTTATTCGTAGGCGACCACACTTGGCCCTCAAATCTGCGGCCATGTCCATCTCGAGTGCGTTGTTTTGCCTTGCCTTGCCTTGCCTTGTCTCCCATCCCATCCATCATGGGCTTTGCACGACCTGATGAATGGATGGGCGCCCATGACACCACCGAGGAGCACCACGGCCCAACCGTCTAGGTCTGGGGAGACAAACAGCTCAGAGGTGAACTGTGAACTGGCGGTGAAGACCCGAAACAGACACCGAGACTCGTCGTCCTCGTCATCTTAGAGGCTCCGAACCCGTAGTTCACAGCTCTGTCGACGGCCCCCAAGGCCGTGTCGTCCCGGTTTCTCCCCTTTGTTTTCAGCAGGCACAGGTTCATTGATCAGCCCGGCCTGACAAATCACAGGCCCGGAAATTGAGACTAGAGTTCTGATCGGCTCTCCGCCCAGTTATTTTCTGGTTTCTGATGCGTTACACGGCAGTTGTTTTCCCGTGCCTGCAGCCCTACAAGAGCCCTCTTCTCAATCTCGAGAGAGAGACCAAGTTTCTCTCGGTTTGCGGCATGGAGTTCGGGAAAAGACCAATGGCCAGCCAAGCCTATACTCTCTCTCTCAAGACACGCCCCAAGGAAGCGGTCAGTCCAAGTAGCACATATCAGGGTGCCATCCTATAACCATATTATGTCCCATCTGGGACCCGGTTCATATCAAGTGATCAAAACTCGCCCGTATCAGCTCTCCACAAACACAGCATCGGGAGGAGGACTCTTAGTCATGGCCAACGGAGTGCCGGCCCGTGTTTTCGTTCGGCCCTATCCGTGCCTACTATTGGCCGCCGCCGCCGCCGCCGCCGTACCGGCCAAGAACGGAAAGGATGCCGGCACCGGCAGAGCCCATCATATGCAAGACTAGACTTGCTCCAGGCTGCTGCATCGCGAGCCTTGGCCGGTCCCGCACCACCACTGGCCACAAGGCTCTTGTCACCCGCGCTCGTAGCCGGATCGCTAAGGCAGCTGCGCCGAAGGCTTCAACCCGCTTTTGGTAACTGAGTCCTGAAAGTCAGCCTTCCCACGTTATTGGGCCGATTAATTTGCCAATGACGCAGTCGGACAGTGGAGGGTCAACTTTTGAGGACCCAATGCACCAGGCACGGCGCACACACGAACACCCACACATGCACACGCACAGAGTGTTGCACACACACCTACAGACCTACCTTTCCTACCTACATACATACATACCTACCCGCAGATGTATGTATGTGCCTTTGTATGGAGCTGAGAGCTGAGCCCCCCAAAAGCAGCTGCTGGTCAGCTTCATAAGCAGAAGCGGCTCATCCGAGATTTGCCATCAGAGCAAAACGCATATCGCTATAGCAATCGTGCATTTTGTCCGACTTTATTGACTGCAGGCGTGAGGCTGGCTACCTACCAATGTTGCCACTCGGCTTCAGCTCCCGTCGTATCTCGACTTCGTGATATTCCTTGGTCTGAGGAAAGGGGGCCGGCGATCCCAACCCGAGTCTCGGTGCTTCAATCACAGGAGTTCTGGGGGCAAATTAGACACCTACAAACCGAGCATTCTTATTGTCTTACTCGGTCACTCGGCCTCGTCAAAGCGCCCCTTCTTCGCGGCGACCTGTCTCATATATATCTGCTACAAGCCCATCACATATCACATCATAAAGAAAGAAAGATCATCACCAGCCAGCAGCATCCTCAGAATCATTGTGATCACCCCCTTCTTTGTCTCATCAGTGCCCAAGATCGAGTGCCTTCTCATTTCAAGCAGACAGCCTCGTGGGTTTATATCAACACAGAGAAACCACACTCTGAACCACATCCATCCCTTGTTTGCTCAAGAGATCAGACCCAAACAACCATTTTCTCATCTCTCACATATCCAACAACCCAACCCAAACCACTCCAACAACCAACCAACTCCAATCCACTACAACAAAGATAAGATGTGCCGGTACTACGCCCACGCCTTCGTGTGCAAGCATGTCACGCACAGCTTCGCCAGCTTCTGCAAGCCCGCCAGCATGATCCAGACGGCGTGTGGCGAGCGCCATATTTGGCAGACCATCCGCATGGACGAAGCCTGCGACGAGTGCAAGGCATGGTACTCGCCACCTCAGCCTGCCTATGTTCACGCGCCCGCGCGGAGGACAGTCAGAAGGTGATGTTCTTTGGCTTGAAGAGAAGCCGGAAAGGAAGCCGAATCCCAACACCAGCCAGCCATCAACCCGGAGCCCAAGCTCGGGGCACGCAACCAGGCTGGTTGATGCCACGAAAAGTGGGAGATGATAGCAGAGCCAAGAAAGGGACACTGAAGGGTTAAGGAATGATATGGACACCTCGGGGACCGAAAGAGGCTGCGCTTCGCTCGGGTTCTTGCGGAGAATGTGCTACCGAGTGTAGTAAGATTTGTAATAACATCCTCATGTACTAGGCTTGGGTTAGGGGTTTGTGCTTTGGAAGAGTGATAGCGTTTTTTTTTTACAATAGCGGCGGGTTGGAAGGACATGGTGGGTAGATGTGAACAGGTCTGGTTCTCGTTACGATCACGATAATACGAGGAGGCAAGATAGAGCAGGAAGCAATGCACTTTCAGTACCAGAGAAGCACTGGGATGGTAGAAGATTGTCATGCTAATAACGATTTCTGCACGAGATTGTCTTTGTCATTTACCGCCACCACAACACCTTCACCGCTGCCTCACATCCATGCTACCGACCTGATATAACCACCAACGCTTGCTAGACAGGTAGACAACCGCTTCCAAAGGAGATTCAAGAACGAGACCCTACCTTACCTACTATCCGATGAAGGGAAAAATGAACAAACCCTCAACACCAAAAAAAGGACAAAAAGGCAAAAAAAGCTCGGCCCCGGGGGGGGGATCGAATCCGGGCGTCCCCAGTATTCTCATCCCCCCCCGCAGGCCTACGAAAAACCCTGGCGTGGATGGGGGCCGGCAGGGATTTTTCATAGATAGCAAGACATAGCAGAAGCGTCTACTACTACCGCTTGACCACCCGCGATTCCTTACCCCAGGTGGGGGGCTAACTTGTAAGGGTGTCCGCGAAACGGGAGTTATATCCCCCTCTTGGAACTTCACTCCCTCCCACCCTATCCCATCCCATTATCTCATCTTCTGGGTGCGAGCCCAGGTGCTAGAAGCCGCCCTGGAGTTTGGGAGCTTTAGACTACCTGTCTGCCTGCCCCGCGTAGTATTGAGTAAACATGAAGCCCGAAATGTTCCCCCGTCCCCCCCGAAATTAAACATCACGGCGTTTGCAAATGTTCAACCCCCTTTCGCAAGCAGGCACGCGCGCCACCATCGCCAACCCCCAAAACACAACAACACGTCAATACCACCCATTTTCATAGTGCGATATGCAGCAGTGAATATGAAGCCGGCTTTTTATTTCTTTTCTTTTCTTCCCTCTTTTTGGCGACCGTCGTGCATGCGCACACACGCGCGCGCGCCGCGCCCCCTTTAACATTCGCGCGCCGTCGGCCCCACAACGACGCACCGCCCACCCCCTTTGACCACACCTGCACAACATCGCAAGTCAGTCCAACGTCACAGACCACCAACAAAGAAAGAAAACAAATGCACGCGAGCATATGTTTGTTCTTCTAAAACGGCAATTTTGTTCGTCGTCAAGAAAATATTGTACAAAATAGAAAAAGAAAAAATAAAATAAAAAAAATAACACACGTCCAGCGGCAGACCTTCCTCACGGCTCACATCCCCGTCTCCTCGTCCCGTCCGATCTGCTTTTTCTCGACAAGACCACTACTACCAAGCGCGAAACACCCCAAGGCAAGCAATGTTGGATACGGCCTCAGACACATGCCATGCAAGTGAGTACGATATAATATAATATAATATGGTAATTGCGAACACGGTGCTGCACGGTCTAGGAAAGGAGCCATTCCCCCACCTCTCCTCATTTGGTTTAGCGCGGCCCTTCCATTGACTCGACGACTCCATGTCCTTCGGCCCAAATATAAATAAGAATCCCCTCCCCCCGGCGTCTCTTTCTTGTATTCTTGACCTTTTTGCCCTTCTTCACATATTCTTCGCAATTACACCGGCATGCAACGCGGCGGCCGCACTTTATGATCCTTCATTTCGGCTATGTCTCCATCCGTCGTTCTCTCTCACACGCCTCGCCACATCGATCGCGCCGCCGTTTTCGTCCATTCCTCACTACCTGAAACCCACCCACCCCTCTGTGTCCTTTAAATTACCAGTAGGGCTTACTTCACTGCCAAAACTAACTTCTATTCCTCCTGGTGCAAGGCCTCGTATGCATAGTTGCGGTCCGGAAACCATACCTCAATCTAGTTGACGTGGTCGGGCGTGGGATCCTCGCCGCCTACATCCCTTAGCTACAGCCGCGGCAGCGACAGCTGGACGCCGTGGGCCATGCGCAGCACGGCCGAAAACTTGGTTTGTGTAGGAGGCGTGGTTGGTGACAGCGGCAGCGATGCCAGAGGCGATACTGAGGAGGGTGATGGCAATAGCGTCGCCGTACGATGCCCAGAACACCGTTCTCGAAGGAGAAGTTGGCCGAGTAGGAAAGCGTTAGCGAGAACGCGGTGTGCAATAGTAGCGTCGGCCACCAGATCTAGTGATATGTTGGAAACCCTCTAGCTAGGGTCGGACTGGTTGTCGTAGCAGTTTCCGGGCTCGTACTCATTGGGGAAGACAGCCACGTACAAGATCAATAGGCTCAGCGACTCTCCCGACTCTTCGTCCCGGAGCGGCCCGAGTCCGAGGGCGGGAACGTTAAGCGAGTTGCCGTTGAGCGGTAGTTGGGTATCGGAGGACGGCGTTAAGGCGATATAACCGTACGAGGTATCGTAAGGAGCAAGTGTAGTCTATATTACAGGATGCTAAGTAGTAAGTAATACTAAGATAAATTACCTAATCTATTATATTAATATTCTACTAAAGCGGTGAAAAATAAGTCAATCACTACTAAATAATAGAAACGCGAGCCTTATACGGTACTAGGGATTATAGTCGGTTAGTTACGAACGGCGTACTACGTATACCGGTCAAAGAGCCTCAAAATATAGTAGAAAGAATAAACCCTAACCAGTAACCCAGAAGAGAAGCCAAAGAGCGATATCCTCTAACTAGAGGGAGCCGGTAACCAACTTATATAAGGTAGGCCAGCTAAGAAAAGAAATCAGCGCTAGATAATAATAGGGAAGGGTATAAATAAACCCTTTGTCCTGTACCCCGAGTCCCGAGTCCATGCCGATCGTTCTTAATTAATTAGTACATTGCTGAAAGAAGATCATCTCCATTATACCTCTGAAACACCTTTAGCTTCCACAAAACCCTGAAGTGCGGTCTCTGACCATAACTTGACAATCCCACACGTTACGAGCGGGTCTAAAACTCCAATCTTCAACGCCGGTTCGATGCACATGTTTGGCGTACCGTCATCCCGGCCAGACCTGACCAACAAACTGCCTGCCTCGGTCATCCAAAGACAATCTTGGTTGTCGCCTGGCGTAGCCCAGTCTGGCGTTGTTAGGAACAGCAGCTCGTTTGATGTTGGAGAATTCAAGCGCACTTTCCAGTTGCCGGTCCAGTCTTTGTGTATGCGGTATGATGACCGTTGCGACAATGCTGGGGATTTGGACTGCTCAATTGCATTGTAGAGAGTGGTTTGGACACTAAGCTCGAGTTCGAATTCTTGATAATCGACGCGTAGACAGGTGATATGGTACAGCACGTCGGTGAAGTTAAAATCGTCGAGCTGCAGAGGGTATTCACCCATCTCGGCTCGACGCACAGCTCGACTGACGCTAATTATAGTGGAACTAGTCTCCATGACGTGGGAGACTTAATAAATGTAGCCAGCAGGGTCGGGAGAGTCCTATTGCAATCTAGGATAGAGGAACTGCCCAGACTATGTTCTCTTGACGAGGGTGCGCGATAGAGGATTGTCAAATAACAAGAACAATTTATGTTCTAGAGGGAAAGAAGGCGAAAGCATAACTGGCGTTGATAGTGGTGGTTCAATGCGGACCCAATCCGTTTCGCGTCCTCTCTGAGCGAGCTTAGTCGCAGTCGCCCCAGCGCTCTTCAGCTTTCTTACGATGACGGTCTCGTTCGCCTATATTGCAAGGTCGAATGGGGTGACGCCTTGGTCTGACCTAACATTGACATCGGAGCCGGCGTCGATAAGCAGCTGCACACATTCTTCATGACCATACGAGGCAGCCCAATGGATGGGTCGGTTCCGCTCTCGAGCAAGAAGTGTACCAACTCGGTCTCCCCATTTGACGCGGCTTCGTATAGTGGACTGACACCTTGAAGGCCACGGGTCGACGGGTCTGCTCCAGCATCGAGCAGAATATCCAGAATTTCCTTGTTGCGTGACCTGACGTTCGCGCTCCAAGCCGTGCGGCCCTCATCATCTCGGCTGTCGATTCCGATCTTGTCAGAAATGAGGAGCTTCATCATCACGGCATCTTGCCGACGAGTTGCCCTGAATAATGCTGTCTGACCCTTGCTGTCCTTGACATTGATGTTGACACCTGCATCGAGGAGAGCGCCCACCATTGCGCCATCTTGGTGCTCAACTGCCAGAAAAAGCGCTAGATTTCCTATGGTAACGACACTGCCATCCATTTCAACACAACCTGTCCGGGAGAGCAGGGCTACTTCGTCCATATTGCCAAGATATACGGCTACCATAAATCGAAGTTGTGGGTCGGCCGCGGTGTCTCCAGCGTTTAGCTGGGCCTGAACCTTTGAGACAAGGATGCTCCCAGCATTATTCCAGTCTTTTCAGCCATGAAAAGAAGAGTCATGCGGCCATGTTCATCAAGGAGATTGACCAAAGCGCCGCCGTCGATTAGGAACTCGACAGCCTTCTCAAATCCACGTTCCATTGCAACCGTGAGAGCAGTCTTCCCAGTCTCGTCGACAGCGTCAATGTTTGGAGTCTCTTTAAGCAGCATGGAGGCAAATTTGGCCAGACCCATGGATGCGGCTAGGTGGAGTGCAGTGACCTCCGGTATGCGTCTGCCTCTCATCTTAGCCTGCCAGGCTTCGGTGACGTGATCCGCCACAGCATCATCCGTGACCCCAGAGATCGTGCTGGACGAAATGCTCATACCCTCGAGATCGGAACATACAGCATCTGATCCAACGGCACTGCTGTCCACAGTGGAGGCCGCTGTTGCCCCGTCAATTGGAGGCGATGTCATGCTGCCTGCAGTGTTCTCAGCCATGTCTGCCGAAGGATTCGAGTAATATCCGGAACGGATGAGGTCCAAGCCATCCAGAAGTGTGAGCAAGGGTTTACGCTTGTCAGCGTCAGTCAGAAGATGGCAGATAGCCTCCAGAATTGCTGGAGCTAGTGACTCCTCTGGCGAGTGGCGAGCGTGATCTCCCAAGCACTGGGCGGCGTAGGTGGCGAGTGGATAATGCTGAGCAATTTCGCTTATTGCGGCGCTTTGGAGCGCGTCCAAAGTCAGATATGTCGCTAGGCTGAGAGTGATACCAGCATGATACAGAGCGAAGTACTTCTGGCGTGTGTTTTCGAAGTAGCTTTTGGCGCTATAGTGGACAAGAATGGCTTTGTCAGTAGCCTTGTCAATGACTACGAGGCCGGCACAGAGAGCAGTGATGCTCTGCGCATCCATTAGCAACTCGTCGTCTAATTTGGAGTCTCCAGGTTCAACGGCTAGGGCGTGCTGCAGTTCTCGCAAGGATAGTGAGCGGAAGACATCTGTGACCCAAGCCAACGTCTTGAACGCAAGTTTCCGGTGATCCTCTTCCTGGTTTCTGATGCGCTGCATCGCGTTGTCGTAAGAAGTTTCGAGGGTGGTGGGAAGCTCCTGGAGCTTCTGCCGGACATGTTTGGTGAGAGATGCGGCACTGGCGAGGGACTCTACCTGAAGGCGAGCTAGCAAAAACATGCTCTCGGCGGTCTTGACTACTGCTGATTTGATATCCTGTGTCAATTTTGAGTTCCGCATGACCATCCGCCGGAGATTTCGATTTCTTTGGATCTGGTAGTCGATGAAGAGCTCGATGTCCATCTTGTTGGCCTTTATCTCGATGCGGACGAAGCTTTCGAGCTCTTCTTCAATAGAACTGAGATACGAGAGGTAACCATAAGGCGAATACCAGGGAGTTTGCCGACTTGCTCGATGAGATCCCATCGTGTCTCCTCACATTCGTCTAGTCCGTCGATTACCAAGAAGGTCTCCTTATATGTCTCTAACTTCTTCTGAAGAAGTAACATGATGGACTTGAGAGGAGGTGCCGCGTTTCGCTGGCGGTGGTGCTCGTACAGGTCTCGGGCAGCCTGATCGAGCACGTTGGAGTCTTGAATGAACTGCTTGGCAATGCTCCCCAGCAGAGTATCTACCGTCTGTTTGGGCTCATTGTATTTCAGGTAGACAACTGCGACTCCGATTGTTGTTCTTAGATTCTCGCCTCTTGACTGACGGAGGTGGTTCATGACGATGGATGCAAGGACGGTTTTACCAGCACCTGGAATGCCTCGGCACCAAAGAGAATCTACATCTCCACCTTTGGTTAACTAGCTGAGGTAATGTAGCGTGGCTAGAAACCATTCCCCAAACCCAGGATAGGCTCTGTCGGATATGCTTTGGTGCGTGCGGTTCATGTCAAGGGGGGAGAGCCAGTTCAGAATCTCGTCCATCGTCTTTCGATCCACGGCTTCCTTCTGTTCCCGGTCCATGTGCGAGAGAATGGACAGTTGAGCATCAGACACGAGAGCGTTCGCATGATGTTGCAAACGCTCGACTCGTTGTAGTAGGTCATATACCTCGGACTTTGAAAAGTGCTACCCTGCCGACGAGATCAGAGCCCTGAAGCGCGACTCATCTGGTATTCTTCCCGTCTGCAAGTCAATTCTGAGCGCCTTTGCAAGGTCGAGGAAAGCCGCCTCGAAATGTTGGACAAGATCTGCATGTTGGGTAAGCCAAGTCTTGTCCTGCTTCCCTAGGGCCTGTTGCCGCAGTTGTTCTAGGAGTTTTGACAGTAGTGATGCCTCCTCAGCTAGCAGCCTCTTATCTCGAGAGGACTTCTTGGCGTCCTTTGCACATGCGACAAGCTCTCTAGTCGTAGCAATGGCGGCTTGTGAGATGTTCAAGACCGACGCCATGATACTGAGAGGATCCCTCTAGGCGGCGACTATATAGGCTCTTGAGAGAGGGATACGAAAATGTTGGCGAGTGTAGCGCAGTAAGTAGCCCTTTAGGGCCTGCGGCCGGTTGAAACGGCTGGCAGGCCTCTTTGTCGTTGACTAAGGCTATCATCGGGATCGACCTTAGGTATCGGGGAAAAGAGGCAAGAGTTATAGTATGGCGACCAAATAAGACCAAGAAGAACGGAGAAACGATCCTTACAACAAAAGAGACCTTCAAGGGTACCTTTCAGGATATAGATGGGAATTTGGTCAATGGCAAAAAGAACCTCCGGATTTGGCTGAAGGATTTCGGTAATAAGCTTGATTACTTGGGGATCCAAAAGGTCAAAGGGGTAATTACCATCTCCTTTACTCAGTTGTATAAGTTGGTACAGAAGAGTGAGGCTTTTGATCAGACACTGAAGCGGAGGCGGGGGTCAGACGAGGTTCTCGAAGGTAGAAGCATGCAGAAGATGGTAAAGCAGAAGATGGTAAAGCAGAAGATGGTAAAGCAGAAGATGGTAAAGCAGAAGATGGTCTGCCCGTTGCCAGAGAAACGATTCAAGGCAACCGAGGAAGAAGTTGAGAAGCAGCTCAGCGACCAGGACGGAGATTATACCCCAGAATAGGATTATATCTTGGGGCAGGTGGCAAAGATAGAGCTTATAGAATTTTTAGATCCGTAGATCCTGGGTTCTGAGCGCCACCAGGACTGGAATGGCCTTGTCCTCGCGCGTCTCCTGATTCTCTCCACATGAGTCAACAGACAAGAGACAATATCAGCCCTCGTTTGATTATTCTGCGGCTGCGTGTCTTAGTCTGCTTATTATCATTACCGTTACTACCTTTTGGAGCCCTGTTCTCTGTTGTCATATTCTCTAACACCGGGGGATCTAATAATATATAGACGTAAAACACCAACACCTCAACTCTCAGCACGGCACGGCGACCATGTCAAGCACGTCGTCCAGCACGCCCTCGGGGCCGACGCCGTCGAGCAGGGCCGCGACGGCGGCGAGCTGGCTGCCCCACTGCATGCTGCGCTCGCGGTCGGGGGCTGTGGTGACGGTGCGCAGGCGGTGCAGGTAGACCTTGCGGGCGGCGAGCGCCACTAGCGACGGTGTGACGTGGTCCAGCCCGTGTAGCGCCGCCAGGCTGCGCGCCAGGCGCCCAAAGTGCTTGGTCGCCGCCGGCGACGCCCCGCTGTCCGCTGCCACCGCCCGGTGCATCCGCACGAACGAAGCGATGTTGGCCTGGTACCGCGTCATCTCGACAGACACGTGCACCGCCTGTGCCAGCTGCCCCAGGAACGCGATGTCCCCATCGCTGAACACGGGGCCGTCGTGCGGCTGCGGCGGCTGCTGGTGCTGCTGGTGCTGTGGTGCGCTGCTGCTGCTGCTGCTGCTGAGCTGCTGGCTGGCGGTGCGAGCGTTGGTTAGGGTTGGCGTGGGAGAGCGCCAGCCGTCGAGCGCCGCGAGGTGGTTGCCGTGGCTGTCGGTATTATTATTATTATTGTGATTGCTGCTGTTATTAGTGGCGGTGTGTGTTGAGGTTGCTGTGGCGAGGGAACCCCGTTTCACGACGCTGCGGCTCGAGTCCGTCGAGGCTGCATCGTTGCCGTCGTAGTCGTCATCGTCGTAGTCGCCCTCGTTGAGGCCGTCGCCCCCACCCGATGCTCTTGCTCGTCCCGCGCCCCATTCTCGGTCGAGATGCTCGAACCCGAACTCGTCAGCGTCGTGCCAGTGCGCAATGTAGAAGAAGTCATTGAGATGCGGCGTCACGCGCGCTTGGCCCCCGCTCGCCGCGCCCAGCACCGCCACGAACAGGAACTGCTTGGGCGCCGTCTGCACATTCGTCCGCGTGAAGATGCGCCGCGTGCGCAGCAGCTCCAGCGCCTGGATCTGCACGGCGCGCGGCGCCCGGTCGAGGTCCTTGGCGAGAATTACGTTGGCAATGTGCGGCTGCTGTTGCTGTTGCTGCTGCTGCGAAGTGGTGCCTCCGACCGCAGGCGGGGAAGAGGTCGTCGGCCCGTTTCCGCCACCACCTCCGAGGCCGGCGCCGTTGCCGCCCAGGCGTAGCCCCGGGAAGTAGGAACCGGACGAGCCAGGCGCGGGGTTGTAGGCGGTGGCATTCTCGGGTTTGTTGTTGCTGCTCCGGCGCTGCTGGTACGGCGAGACGGAGCGCGGTGATGGAGACGACGAGGGCAAGACGCGGGCTGGCGGAGGGGGAACCAGGAGGGCCGTAGCAAAGTCGTCGAGGGTGGTGTGGGCGTGGCAGCTGACAATGGCCGACGAGAGGTTGAAGGTGTGCGACGCGATCAGGCGCAGCTCCTCGGCGAGCTCGTCGACCGACTCCGGGACGGTGCTGACCAGACAGTGCTCGCGGGCGACGAGCGACAGCAGCGCGGCCAGTTCGAGGTCGCTCAGGCTGTGGACCTTCTGCAGGAGAAACTGCTGTTCATCCGCCATTGCCATTGCCATTTCCATTGCCATCCTATCCCATGGGGCCTCTCTCTGAACTTCCAAAACTACCTTCCCAGCCAAAGCGATGTGTGCGGTAAATTACCTATAGTAGGTATCCGCGTAGTTGGCCCCAGAGAACCTATAATCTGGGCTCGGATTGGGCTGACCCGAACTGCTCTGGGTCACAGGGTGTCCAGTGAGGGAGGCGCATTTGGCTTTCGACGAGACGACCAAACGTCGGGTTGAATGCTTGGCTGTGAATTCTGCGCAGTACAGTACAGCAAAATATACTTCATAGCACCCGACTCGGGCAAGTCAGCTTGGCAGGGCTTTCATCTGAAAGAACTCGTGAGACCCATGGGTATCTGAAGCTCTTGGAGTCTCGATAGCATTCGTAAGTACTAATGCTATGCAGTAACTAATTGAGACATGGATTAGGTATCCGTACCGAGGCTGGTTTGAAATAGACTAGACCTAAAACTACCCGGTTTTGTCAAAGGCTAGCCCGTCTACGACGATGTAACTGGTCCAGCACGCTAGCTTCTTTCCTAGTGCCTATCCAGGGTCGCGTCACTCACCCAGGCGGATAACGCAGCAAAGCTCGAGCCGCCCTGCACGGGGCCTAGGGTACCTACACTAAAAGGCGCCTAGCGCAGGCAGGTGTTCGACCTCCGTCGACCGTCACTCCTCCAACAAGGCGGGTTCCCCAACATCAATCCTAATCATTTATCAAAGGACGCCGCCGTAGCCTGTTTCTACCACCCGACTTACTCGCGCGACCTATCCGTCTACTTTTTGCTCCGATCCCCGCCACACTCACCGCAGCTCGATTGATTCCCCAACGGCTTCTTGATTAAGCGCGCTTCCTCCATCTAAGCGCTCTGGTCCTGCTCCTGCTCCTGCTGCCGGCCAACGCACTCCCCCGCACGCATCCCGACGCCTCATTCGGCAACGCCAGCCTGCCCCAAAATGGCGTCTAGAAAGAAGGTCCTCCTGAAGGTCCGTAGCCCTTTAGATGCGCCGGTGCTGCTACGAACGACGGGGCTGTATCGCTGACAAGTTGGGCCTCTAGGTTATCATCCTGGGCGACAGTGGTGTCGGGAAGACGAGCTTGATGAACCAATATGTACGTGATAGCTTGGGATTTTTTTATTGCCCTCCAATCTGCTTGGAATCAGAAGCACTTAGTCCCCGTCAATTACTCACCATTCGCGCTCGAATCCAGGTCAACAAGAAGTTCAGCGCCAGCTACAAGGCGACTATCGGAGCTGATTTCCTCACCCGGGAGGTGCTGGTGGACGACCGCCAGGTGACTATGCAGGTGCGGCTCCCCCACAGCACTCAATCTATCCACTCTCTCGAGACCCTTGCGCGCGCTAAACAGACGCCTTGCGGTCAAACAGCTTTGGGATACGGCAGGACAAGAACGGTTCCAGTCTCTGGGCGTGGCCTTTTACCGGGGAGCGGACTGCTGCGTGCTCGTGTTCGACGTCAACAACTCCAAGAGCTTTGACGCATTAGACAGCTGGAGAGACGAGTTCTTGATTCAGGCGTCGCCCCGAGACCCGGATAACTTCCCGTTCGTGGTGCTGGGGAACAAGATTGATGTGGAGGAGAGCAAGCGAGTGGTAGGCCAAGCCGGAGCTCCGAGGACAAACCATGGCCGCTGACATTGTCCCTGCAGATCTCAACCAAGCGGGCCATGACGTTTTGCCAGTCAAAAGGAGGCATCCCTTACTTTGAGACGAGCGCGAAGGAGGCCATCAACGTTGAGCAGGCCTTTGAAGGTAGGTGCAGGACCCCTCACCAGATATCTTGCTGTTTCCGCTAACGAGGGATGTAGTCATTGCGAGAAACGCACTGCTTCAGGAGGAGTCGGAGGAGTTCAGCGGCGACTTCCAGGACCCGATCAACATCCACATCGAGAACGACCGGGACGGGTGCGCATGCTGAGCCGGAGGGCCATCGTAGTTTGCACCTTTTCGTATTATTCCAGGGACGGGGTGTGGTGACTTTTTAATTGTATGATATCATGCTACGTGCGTCTGGCGTGTTCTTTTTATGCGAATCGGAGAGAAGGTGCTATCCTCCGATCTTGCAGGCTCCGATGTAAACAAGACTGGAGAATTATAGATTTGCATCAAGCGTAACAGTCCTCCAGTAGCACTTTCAGGATGTCGTAATCTCAATATATTACTGTTTGCTCGTTGTGGCGTTTCTTGGCCTGCGCAGACATCTCCAAACAAGAAGACGGAAGGCTCTGTGTTGATAGGGCTGAGGTGAGCATCCGTCTGTTGATGATTGCCGGTATGTCCCATACTTCAAATGCTTGATCGAATATATATACAGAAGCAATACGTACCAAACAAATAGTTGAAGTCTAGGAAGAAAGAAGGTTTCAAGTTGTTCAAAGGTTGGCCATTCAAGACGACGTCTATCACAACCCCAACCCTAACCCTTAGGTTAGGAAGCCTTTCAGTTTGGATTGGCTACGAGTGTTGGGTGACAAGATGGATGCCGCCCGGGATCCGCCTGCCGACAGGCTAGAGCAGAGGCGAGGCAGCCTCTGCAATGGTGTGCTTCAGGGGCACACACCCCGCTGAAAACCGCCAACCAACCGGCACCACGAGCTGAGAAGCCCCTCCCGCGCGTGGGCACCAGGCGCAGCAAGCACCTCAGCTGCCCGGAGAATTGGCGTCCATCCTGCCCATCCCGCCCATTCCATCTCGGGTCTGGATCGCTCGGGTAGCATTTCACCATAAGAACTTTACGGCTCGATTCGATTCGCGACCCGGTACATGCGGATACCCCTCGCCCTGTCCTGCCTGCCGGCAATGCAACAACTCTGTTGAGTGTCGACCGTGACCGTGATCGTTTGAATGTTTGAATCTATTCCGTACAGCTGCCACACCTAGCCTCCGCCAAGGGCTCTGCTACCAACACCAGCACTTCCGTTTTAAGTCTGCCCGTCGGGTCCCGTCCCACCCGTTGCGAGCGCTCACCGGCACGTCCGAACCTCACAAACCGAACCGTCAAGCCGTTGTCTCTCCGCGGTACTCTGCTGCCCTGAGCGCCGCCGGCGGTATTACGCTCTCTTGGCCGCGCTATGGCGCCAATAGAACCCCTGATGCCGGCCGAGCTGGCGTCCCCGGTCGACGATGCCCACCCCTTCTCCCCCAGCGCCCGGCGTCGGTCGCTGTCGGTCGGGAGCGTGCAGCTCCTGTCGCGCGGGATATCGCGGCCCCCGTCGAGGTCGGCATCCACTGGCTCGAGCATGAGGGCCCGGCTGGGCCTCCTCAGCGTCGCACGGCGCACACTGGGCATCACACTGCTCCTCATAACCGTCTTTCTATGGACGGCATCAAACTTCCTTGCCAGTGTAAGTGAGGGGATGTCCCAGCATGCGCCCCCCACGCACCACGCTACCAAGTTCCCTGCAATACGTCACTGACCTGATCTGCCGCAGTACATATTCTCCGACGACACTTATAGCAAGCCATTCTTCCTCGTCTACATCAACACGTCCATATTTGCCGTCTCGCTCATACCCATGCTGATCCGCTACGTGATAAAGAACGGGGTGGGGTCTCTCTGGGCCGAGGCCGTGCTGCTATGGCGCGGGCGGCTGCACGGCGCCTCGCCCCTCAAGCCGCAGGACGGCGAGGGCGAGGACGAGGAGGCGCAGGCCGCCGGGGAGCGGCTGCTGGTGGACGACGAGGCGAGCGCCGAGACACTCGACCTCCCCGGGGCGCGCGGCAAGGACGAGAAGCTGAGCCTGCGCGAGACGGCGTGGATCAGCCTCGAGTTCTGCATGCTGTGGTTCATCGCCAACTACTTCGCGTCGGCGTGCCTCGAGTACACGAGCGTGGGCAGCGTGACGATCCTGACGTCGACGAGCAGCATCTGGACGCTCATCTTCTGCGCCGTGACGCGCATCGAGGGCTTCACGGTGCGCAAGCTTGTGGGCGTGCTGGCGTCGCTGGCCGGAGTCGTGCTCATATCGTCGGTCGACCTGTCGGGGTCGAGCGACGAGAACCGCGGCAACTTCCCGCACAAGTCGACGGCCCAGATCGCCATCGGCGACTCCATGGCCTTCTTCAGCGCCATCGTCTACGGTGTCTACGTGACTGTCATGAAGCGCCGCGTCGGCAACGAGGACCGCGTCGACATGCCGCTGTTTTTCGGTCTCGTCGGCCTCTTCAACGTGCTGTTCCTGTGGCCCGGCTTCTTCATCCTGCACTTTACGGGCATCGAGACAGTGAGTCCCCGTGCAATTAGGCAGTCTTTTAGCATTTACTTGCCCTATTAGCATTTACTAACATGGCTGCTTTGTTCAGTTCGAGTTACCACCAAGTGGCAAAGTATGGACGATCATCCTGGTAAGACACGGCCCAACTTCAGTGGTGGTGAATTGCTTGCTCACGCGGCCCGTTCTAGGTCAACTCGATAGCGTCCTTCTTCAGCGACATGACGTGGGCCTATGCCATGTTGCTCACAACGCCGCTGGTGGTCACGGTCGGCCTGTCGCTGACAATCCCGCTGTCGCTGATCGGCGAGATGATCCAGTACGGCCAGTACTCGAGCTGGGTTTACTGGGTCGGCGCCGGAGTCGTCTTCATCTCCTTCCTCTTCATCAACCACGAAAGCAAGGCAGACGAAGACGACGACGACAAGGAGCAGCAGAGGACAACGACAGAGCTGGGCGACCGCGCCGCTGAAAATAGATCTCTGAGGTAGTTTCCGCTCAGGTGTGCGGCATCTTTCTTGTTTTGTTTTGTTGTGTGTGTTTTATCTTGCTGTATAAAAACTCGGGCGGGCGGCATTATCTGGGGCGTCAAATGTTTGAGTCTTCAGTTCAAAACTCATAAATAGTGTTGTTATCATTGGAAAGACTAAGGTAGGTCAGGTAATGCATACGAATATACGGGATATTATACAAGATAGAGGTGGGATGGATGGCTTGAGGCTGCGGATTCCCTTGTTGTTGTTGTTGTTGTTGTTGTTGTTGTTGTTGTTGTTGTTGTTGTTGTTGTTGTTAGACGAATCGGTATATAATTCGCTATGTGTATTACCATAGATTTACCATCTTGTGTCTGTTTAAGAGATGACGAGTCTTGTGGCTTGTTATGCACCGTATGAACGCCTGGGTTTGTTGGCAGTTTATTTAACTTCTTCCATAGCTAGGTCTATCACCACGCACACACTAAGTAAAACTTGGTAGTATAAAGACTGTCGGCCGCCGTTTACCTGCTTTAGGTTGAATTCTTCATAGACGTTTAGAGCACTAAGAAGTAATTAAACCCCGCGAAGAACAACATTCTCCTCGTCGTCATTCCCTGAAAAGTTGCGTTTACTTACCTATGCTTGCTTGGTATGAATGATCTCTCAGTATGCGAACTCGTGGTGTCAAATGTTTACAACGCTGTTCATGTGGCTCCTTGATCGGCTGCGCGGCTCGTCACGGGAATCCTTCATTCATGGCCGTAATGAGCCTCATAGCATACATAGTATGCACTGTACATCAGGGCCAAGGGCACTGTTGCCGTGTGAGCAGAAAACCACATGATGAGCCTGAAGTGGTGGTGGAACCGCCTGATCACGCCCCAACGGGCACAAGACGAAGTCGGCCTCGAAACCAGTGCAGACTCCCAGGTCCAATCAGGGGTGTTAGCCCTGTAAGATTTTTTCCCCCCATAAATGAGATGTTGCTTGTTGCAATTGTGTTGTGTGATAAGGCTGAGCAACGTTTCACAACATCAAGCTAACGAGAGCCTATACGCCGCCGCCGACCCGCTGGAACCGATCGGCGGCTATGCACCCGTCCGCCCGGATCGCAAATCGTGGATCGCCGCTCCCGGCTCTGAACCTATTATGAACTACTGCCTTGGTGCCAATTGGGTTGGATGAAATGGTAGGTGCTGAGGTGACCGCAAGTCAAGTCGGCTTTCCCACCAGGAGCGTGAGAGTCTTTAACGACGTTCTCGCTAGCAGGCAATGACGGCTGAATGGGGTTCTGGGGCTACGTCTAGCCGAACCTGCCCAAGTCTATGAGATGACCGTTTTAGAACTCAGGTAGGCGCTGTTTCAAGAGGCAGCCGTCAATCCAGGAAGCGCCTCAGCGAAGCGTGTTTGTAAGTGGAGAATTACTTTTATGGCAATAAGCGGCTGGGAGCGGAACAGTGACGGCACCTGCTGCAGGAACGTAATAAACTTGTTTGAATCCTACATTATTAGCCCCAAGTGAAGCAAGTCAATCTACAACAAACAGCCTGCCAACTACATGGATTGAAACCGGGCGATTGTCACAAGACAGGAACCCAGTTCGAGACGAAGTCGGCGGCTCCATGGAGGCAACAACATCGATGGATTGCAACCCCCACGGCAGCTTCAGACCCGTTCCACGATTGCGCCTTCCCTCGTAGGAGTCATTGGGCCTGTGCATTGGTTCTGATCATTTGGACTTTGCACACTGCCCGTCCCGGGATCGGCAGTCACGCTGCCAACTTCCTAAGGTAGCCATCCCACCTGCCGACCCACTCGCCACGACGAGTGCCTACCTCAAGTATCCTGCCCTAGGCTACACCGGCTTCGAGTCGAGGACGTGGATACTAATAGAATGGCCACCCCATCTTTCCTTATTTGAACCCCCGCCTCGCGAGCTAGGTGCTGTACGTTTCCACGTCGTGTATTGTCTTGGATAGCAAAAGGCAACCACAGCCTGCCTCGCAGACTTAACACATTCAGCCCAGTCTTTTGCAGCTGTTAGGCTGTTTCGCTCAGGCAACCACGACGACATCCATACACGGTCCCCTTACACCGAGCATTTATTGAGGCTACTACCTAAGGACTGATGTATTTTATCTTGCATACCTTCTACAGTGCTAAAAGTTCCTCTTGAACCTTCTCACCCACCACTCACTTACAAACCCCTACGGAGTCCCCTCTCAAGTGTTCACCTCGTCGGCACTGCACACCATCCACCCACGACAACGCACTTCTAAAACTGCTTGGATCTGCACACCACTCACCACCCCTACGATAGCATCTTACATCTTCATCGGTACATAATAAATTCATATTTATCGTGATCGACTTCTCCCTGAGCCTTCCGCTTACCTGCATCGCTCCAACGCAACTACACCTTTCTTGTGTATCATGCCCGGACCCCTATAAATTGCCTTTATCTCACCCTCTCTGTCCTGGTGTAGCAGTTTATTTCCTAGCTCGTTTCTGCTCGCTTGCTCACGCAAGTACCTTACTTGCTCGTCTGCAACGAATCGCTCTCTATACAAGTCCACGTGGTAGTCACCGGCTCAGAACGCCTTCCCTTGCAACTATGGCTTCCCCAGGAACGGAGGATACAGCCAGACTCGAACAGAGCCCGCACCTGGGCGACAGAATCAACATTGCCACAAGATCAGCCCATACAAAGCTTAACAAGCTCCTTCTCTTACGCCTGCCGTTGGCGGTGCCGCCTCAGGCTCAAAACCCCTCGGCCTACGTGTCGGGACTGATCCACGTCGCCCCCGTCTACCTTGCCTTCGAGTCTCTGTGGCAGGTCTTACTACTTTCGCATGACGCAAAGGCCGCAAGAGAGAAGGAAGGCAGGATATGCGGGCTCGAGGGCTACCAGTCAGACAAGTCTCCTGTCGAACCCCAGAGCATGCCGCCGCTCCACTTCATCGAGAGCGGCGAAAACGTTCTGGTCAACCGTCAAGCGGCATCCGGCCGTGTCCACTCTATCCTGGACCGTATCTTCCTGCCGGGGCTTGCCCGCTCATCCAGCCTGCTGCTCGACATCCGCTCCATCACTGGCTGGCCCAAGCACGTCTTGGATGAGCAGGTGAAGGCCGTGTCCTCCTCAGGCAGGCTCGGCGAGTTTATTGCCCACATCAAGCGCTCGGTTGGGAAGAACCCCCATGTCTTATTGGCATATGCCTGGGTCCTCTACATGGCGCTGTTCTCTGGCGGGCAATATATCAAGGCCACACTCGAGGCAGCGGGCCATGAGTTCTGGAGCAAGACGTCGGACCCCGTGCAGCCATCCAACAAGGCCTGCGAAGAGCCCATCCCCGTGCCGAACAGGGCTCTGCCCGACCACAAGACAACGAGCAGCTGTGTGTTCGGTTCGCTCGAGTTCTTCCGCTTCGCCACGCCGCAGGAAGGAGAAGACCTGAAGACGGAGTTCAAGAAACGCCTTCTCGAGTCAGAGGCACTCCTGACGTCCGGCGAGCGGGACGACATCGTGCAGGAGGCCATCTGCATTTTCGAGAACATGAACCTGCTGGTCGCGCAACTAGACCGAGTCGTCGAGAACAGACCGACGACACCCTCCACAAATTCCCTCGACGGCTGGGCGAGTTTCCTGACGGTACCCCTGCTGGGCGGACGGCTGCGGGACAGCGTCGCCCTCACAAAAGAGCGCAGCCTGAAGGCCTTGTCCATGGCGACGGGAATTGCATGGAGATCAAGCGCCGACCCGCCCCGGCTCACTCCAGAGCGGCCAGCAGACTCAAGCCAGCCGGACCTCGAAAGGAGGCAGAGCCTCAGCGGCCCCAGCACATCCAGCACCAGCCACCTAGAGGCTCACGGCACTATGACTTCGTCGGCCGAACTGGCCGAGAAGGCGTCAGTGCCGCAGAGCCCGGTGTCCTCGGGCGCCGCCGCCGCCAACACGAATCCGATCGTGAAGATTGTCCGGTTTGGCCGCGACAATGCCGCCACGGCAAGCAGCAGCGTCGGGGAACACCAGACATTGCTGGCATCGACCGATGGCGGCGAATCGGAATTTGGAGTGCGCAGAGAGAGGATACTCGACGTGCCCCTCAAGCGCAAGAGCATCCCGTTTGTCTCGACCGCGCTCCTGTGGAACATTGCGCTGATCTTGGGTGTCACGGCCGTGTTCTATAGCTATGGCCACGCTCGGAAATGAATGAGGTGATAGGTGTATAATCCGTGGCGGAGCGAGCGGTCGTGACCTTGAGAGAGAGAATGTGTGTGTTGGGCCATAGCGTGGGAGCAATTTGTGTGTCTCTTTTCCTCGGTACGTGGGATTCAACGGCGGGATTTGTTCATGGGTGCCGGCATCAAGGGGAAATTGCATGGCTAGGACGATGGTTATGGCCATGGCTATGGATGTAGCCAAGTCTAGAGATGTCTGCCATTGGCGTCAGATTGGCGGGGGTTTTTCCTTTTATACACGCTCGATTCCCTATTGCATTTGTTGGAACACTGTCCATTGTTGTGTTACTTGCCTAGATGATCCGCTGACGCCGGCAGGAATGTCAGAAAGTTGATATTACTACTGCTGCTGCTGCTTGCTGCTGCTTCTCTTGATAGAAACCCTCAAAGTACGGATACCTCCGTTTGGGATACTGCCGTCAGCGGCTGCCATCTATGAGATACTCCTGAATGGAATACGTATTGTCTGTCTGTCTGATGCGTACGTAGCCTCGCCGCCATGCCAAGTGCGACTTTCCTCTCCCTGTTCAGTCCCAGAGGGATATTCATTCATACCCTAACTTAAGCCTTGAGCAGTTCAGACAAGCTTACCTTACCTTCGTTCACAAACCACAAACAGACAGAGAGAGCGCAGATGTGAACCAGCATTACATTATAGACACAGAGAATTACGTTAATCTAGGTTGGCAAGGTAGGTGTGTATATTGATATACCGTGAATGTACTCGTATGTATGTATGTGTGTTGCATATCCGCAACCACGTAATGTAGTCTAAAAACAAGCAGTCCGCCCGTCCGCCCGTCCGCCCGTGAATCTCTTTGTCAAGGAGGCAAACCCTATACCATGCCATGCCATGCTATGCAATGCGGTGCGATGCGATTCCCTAGAACAGTAATAAGTAAAAATGGAAAGAAAAACAGCCCCCTATTCTTCATATCGTGACAGCGGAGAGAAAATCCAAAGTGAAAAATAGCCCGTCCGTTCCTAGGTTTGACCAAACAACCCCCGGAAAGATTGGACTTTTTTATTTTGGTTTCGCAAGCCCTGAGATCCGCCAGAGACAGTAGAGAAAAATAGAAGAAAAAAAAGTGTCGCAAAAAATAACGACAGGACCGCTCGCTCACTTCGTGTTCATGCGACAAAAAAGACAAATAGTGGAAAAAAAAAGGAAAATATCACTTCCAAACAACCCCAGAGCCTCACCAATCATCCTTGTCGCCGTCCCAGGCGTCGCCGACGTCGGCCCAGCCGCAGCCCCAGCGGCGGCCGCCCGTCTCGCCGCCGAGGCGCAGGTCGCTGGCTGCCTCGCGGTCCTCGCTCCAGCAGCGGATGAGGTAGTCATCGCCGACGGTGATGAGCTTGCCGGTGCTCGTCCAGGTCATGGCGCCGACCTCCTTGTCGTGGCCGCGGACGAGGGGAGTGCCGCGGCGGACCACGGGCATGGCGTCGGCCTGGCGCGCGGCGAAGATGTTGGTCATGCTGTTTGCGCGCACGAGGCTCCTGCCGCTACTGCCGAGGAGCCATGGTCGTCGGGATCTGCCGCTGCTTATTACAGGGAGGCCGGCTGTTGACTCGCCTACCAGGTACGATTTCTCGTCTTCTTCTGCTGCTGTTGTTCCCTCGTCGTCTCCCTCTTCTTGCTCGCCCTGGGCGCGCGGCTCCCACGCTTCTCGGACATAGCGCTCGTCCGTGGGGAACAGTACCGTGCAGCCGTCGCTGCTGCCAACAGCAAGCAGCTCCGAAAGGCCGTCGCGCGCTGGCCGCAGGCTCGACTTGACGTAGAAGCTTGTGGCGTGGAAAAGGGGGTGGCGGAAGCCGTACAGGGGGCCGAGCCCTTGGTGGGCCGTGCCGTGGTGATGGTGTCGTCTGCGCGGAGGGTCGGCGCCGGGCGGGGCCGCAGCAAGTTCTGCAGCGTGGCCAAGAACAAGGTGGGCAGTGCTGTAGGTGTAAACGGTGTTGTCCTTGCACAAGGCGTACAGGCGGGAGCCGTCGCCACCTAGCGTCATAGACGAGATGCCAAAGGGCCGCCACGCGATGTGGCTGGCCGGCGGCGCTGTGAACGACACAGGGGTGCTGTGCTTGTGGTTTCGGCTCGTGTGTACCGCGCGTATGTCCCATAGCTTGATGCTCGCGTCCGCTTCACAGGCTGTCAAGAGCAAGTGCTCGCGACCCGGCGGCAGGAACTGAAGTGCCGTGACGGACACTTCACCAAAGCGCCCTGGTACCTCGCCTATGCGCGCAACGTCACCCGAGGGCCCCGTGGCGGAGTTGCTGGACGACTGTGCCCGAGCGTCTTTCCTTGAGATCCTGGCGTGTGCATCGTAGATGCTGTTGACGACGCAGCCCGAATCCACGGTCTGGGAAGAACGGTGATGAAGCCCTGCCTCAGATCGAATGGGGGTGATCTCCTGAACTGGGCCACCCTGGCACCGCAGGTCCAAGATTTGCACACTGCCGTCACGGCCCGACGTTGCCAGGACGCAGTTGGAGCCACGCCCCGGCTGGAAGCGCACCTGCTTGAGGGATGCCGTGTGGTGGCCCAATATTGAAATGGGCGTTTGTGTCATCATGTCGATTACTCTACCGGTCTGGTCTCCCGATGCCGTGGCTAGGAGATAGTCGTCGTCGGAGAAGGCCAAGTCGATGATGGCATTGCCGTGGGCTGGAAATGACAGATGAATCTTGGAAAAGTCCTTGTCTGAATCTAGAAGCCGCACATAGCCTTCTTCGTCACCAACTGCAACCAGGCTGCTTTCTTTGGCAAGTTAGCAGAGCTATAAGGCCACATGTCTTGCACTCGAACTTACTATTACAGCTCGCTGTGCAGAATGGGATACTCCGCGGTGCGCCTTCATGGCTGGTGCAAGAGTGAGCGTCTTCTGGCTTTGTATAAAAGTTGGCTGTTTCTGATCTCCAGTCTGTATTGTGGGATTAGCAAACGTAGAGGCCAACAGATAGAGCAATGCAATGGCAGTGGCGGCAGTGGTAGTATTTACCTGCAACGGGATGCAACAAAGTTCGGCCATTAGCACGCGACAGACTGCCCGTCATGCGCTGCAAGAGTTGCCCTCCTAGTCCTCGACGGTGTAGTGGTACAGGTCTCTTGTACGATGTCTGGTCTGCAGGTACTTCTTCGTCCTCGTTGTCCTCGGACGCCGAGTCATACGTATCGATGTCATCTTGGGCAGAGCGGCGGGCTTGCAGAGACCGGATGGGGCTTTGTGGTCCCCGTCTCAGTTCAGGGGTCGGAAGTAGAGCGGGTGACGAATCCAAAGGAGAGGGCAAGTACGATGGCAAGCGGTCGGGGGTGTCATGCTGGACCTTGCGGCGTTTGGGCCGCTGCTGTGCATCGTGGAGACTTGGCAAGTCGTCGAAGGTGAGCTCCTCTGATATGGGCTTCAGGGGGCTCGAAGGAGTCTGGCAGCGGTTGAGAGCCGGGGCTGTGAGGTCACGGAGAGCTGTCCTGGCAGCGCTAGGGTTGGACGAGACGCGTGAGCGAGGCGTGAAGAACCTCCGGAACTTGCGAGGCGTGATCGAAGGGTTGCGGCGTTCCCTGCTGCCTTGGCTGGGCGGCGCCCTAGGAGGAGAAGACAAGAGGTTGCTGCTTAAGGTTGCAGAGGTTTTGGGAGCCCCCGAGGGCAGCTTGTCGTCGGCCATGGTGACTGGCGAGCGAGTGATCCCTCAGCACTGCCGTGTCGGGCTCCTCTCGCGCTGCATATACCGGTTGATACTTGACAGTTGGTACAGCGAATGCACTCGGGGCGACTCAATGGCGAGGCCACGAAGGCTTTTGCGTGGTTGGAGGATGCCCGTCGGGTCGGGGTGGACTTTGGATGTTCTGAGTTGTCCAAGGAAGAATGGGTGTGCAGGTGGCGGGAGATGTCGACGGGTAAGGGAGGTGCCGTATAGTACAGGACCAGGTCGACGATGAACAGACGGGATGGGACTGGATGTTGAACAGGAATTTGGAACTGAACAAGGAAACTGTACAGTCAGGCCAGAATTGGGAATTGAGACGAATGGGCGCGGACTATGCAGCAACAAGAAGTGACAGCGAGCATTAAGTTAAGTCTCATAGCAATCCGGTCCAGTGCAGACGTCTTCCGAATTCGTCTTCCGAATTCGAGAACTGGAGTCGAAATGGAAGCGTCGGCGGGACGACACATTGCGGAGATGCAACCGTGCCTCGCTAGGTTCCTTAGCCCAAGTCTCAGTGTTGCTGAGACGCGGTCCACGATCCACGATGCCAATGACGCGCTGCCCTGCCGGTGTAAGTGGACAGGCCTGGCTGGGGATTCAGCGGACGTGTCGGGCCAATCAGCGGGCCCAATCGCGCTCGAAAAGGTGCTTCTCGCTCAAGTGGAGCGCTTCCCACGGCCCAGCCTCCCCCAAACTGTAAAGCGAATGCAGCCCAGAACCCCACCACACCTCACCACGGACACCCAAGTCGGCTTTGCTTATCGCTTATCGGCGACAAAAAAAAAAAACCTTCGGTCTGCACCGACAGCTGCTGCAATCCCTGCGCCCAGGAGAGAGTCTGGCTAGTCGAGAAACGAGTTTAGGAGTCGGTTACATCGCAACGTCGATGCCCATCCGTCCACTCGCCCAACACACAATACCATGGGAATCCAAAAGAAGCACGGCAAAGGCCGTCTCGATAAGTGGTATAAGCTCGCCAAGGAGAAGGGATACCGCGCTCGTGCCGCCTTCAAGTTGATCCAGCTCAACAAGAAATATGGCTTCCTCGAAAAGAGCAAGGTCGTGCTCGATCTCTGCGCCGCACCCGGCTCGTGGTGTCAGGTCGCCGCCGAGACCATGCCGGCGAACAGCATCATCATCGGTGTCGATCTCAGCCCCATCAAGGCCATCCCCAAGGTCATCACCTTCCAGAGCGACATCACAACCGAGAAATGCCGAGCCACGATCCGCGGTCATCTGAAGACATGGAAGGCCGATACCGTTCTCCACGATGGTGCACCCAACGTCGGTACTGCCTGGGTGCAGGATTCGTTCAACCAGGCTGAGTTGGTGCTGCATTCGTTGAAGCTGGCAACCGAGTTTCTGATTGAAGGAGGCACGTTCGTGGTATGTTTGTTCTGCATGGCGGGGAAGAAATAGGGTCCAGTTGGGTCCTGTTGCGGCCTACCCGAGCCTGCTTAAAGCGTTAGACCAACTGCTGATTGGACTTGATGCATAGACCAAAGTCTTCAGATCCAAGGATTACAACCCGCTGTTGTGGGTCTTCAAGCAGCTCTTCACCAAGGTCGAGGCCACAAAGCCCCCGTCGTCGCGAAATGTATCCGCCGAGATTTTCGTTGTTTGCCGTGGGTTCAAAGCCCCTAAGCGCATCGACCCGCGGTTGCTCGACCCGCGCTCTGTCTTCGAGGACCTTGCAGACCCGACCCCCAACAACGAGGCCAAGGTGTACAACCCAGAAGTAAAAAAGAGAAAGAGAGAGGGTTACGAAGAGGGAGACTGTAAGTGCCTCCCTGGTTCTGAATTGCCTCTCAAGGCGGTTTTCAGACTCGCCAAGTTCTGATTCTGGCTTCCTTCTGGATCTGGAACCTATGCGCTGTATACTGACTACTTACTCGGACAGACCTACAATTCAAGGAAATTCCCGCCAGCGAGTTTATCCAGACCGTAGATCCAATCGCTATCCTCGGTCAATACAACAAACTTGCCTTTGAGCAGCCAAAGAATGGAGATGTCGCCCTTGCAGCTCTAGACAAGCTGCCAGAGACAACCGAGGAAATCCGCAACTGCTGCGCCGACCTAAAAGTTCTGGGAAGAAAGGAATTCAAGATGCTCCTGAAATGGCGCCTAAAGGTGCGGGAAATCTTTGGGTTCGCCACAAAGAAAACTGAAGCGGATGCAGAGGCCGAGGAAGTGGCAGAAGTCGAACCAATGGACGAGGAGCTTAAGATTCAAGAAGATCTCCAGAGGATGAAGGACAAGGAGGCATCCAAGAAAAAGAGGGAGCGGAGACGGGAGAACGAGAAGAAGCAGAAAGACATTGTGCGCATGCAGATGCACATGGAGGCGCCCATGGACATTGGCAAGGAGCAAGAAGGCCCCAGGGGCGAAGGCGCCATGTTCCGCCTCAAGACAATTGACCAAACAGCTGCCCTGAAGCGGATATCCAAGGGCAAGATGGCCGTCCTTACCGAGGCCGACGAGAGGAGAGACTGGGATTCTGGCATTGGCTCCTCGGGCGAAACGGACGACGAAAGTGACGAGGAAGAGGATCGATTGGAGCGGGAACTCGACAACTTGTACGACGGCTACCAGTCGCGGAAGATGGAATCCGATGCGAAGCTCCGGGCTAAGAAGTCCAGGAAAGAGCACAAGGACGAAGACTGGGAAGGCGTCTCGGCGAGTGAGCACGACAGCAACGACGAAGACGACGACGAAAAGTTCGAGGAAGAAAGTTCCGACGAATCAGATTCAGGGGAGCCTGCCGATTCTGGCAAGCCGCTTATCCGAGATCTGGACAATTCTACAGACGCAAGCGGACTATCCAAACGGGCAAGGGGATTCTTCGCTCAAGATATCTTCAAAGACATCGCTAGCCTAATGGACATCTCAGAAGACGAGGAAAAGAAGGAAGAAAGCGAAACGAAACCCGAGGCCAAGAAGGCCCCCCGTGAAGCACCTTCGTCAGCCAAGGATGAAGAGCTTGTGTCCCGCCCCAAGCGTAGACGTGATGTGCCTCCCAAGGCTGAGGAAGACGATTTTATGGATGTCAATCAGGCAGAAGAAGAGGACGATGAATCAGACTGGGAAGAGAAAGAGAAGCGCACAAAGGACGGCAGGCCTAGTATGTCCACAGACACCCTCCAGGAGACGCGAGCTAACATGTCCAGATATCGACATCATCACGGCAGAAGCCATGACGCTTGCCCACCAGTTAGCATCTGGCCAGAAAACGAGCTACGATCTGATGGACGAGGGCTTTAACAAGTATGCCTTCAAGGACCGCGACGGCCTTCCGGAGTGGTTCATAGACGATGAAGGGAAGCACGACCGGCCACACAAGCCCATCAGCAAGGCTGCGGCCGATGCGATCAAGGAAAAGATGCGAGCCTACAACGCCAGGCCCATCAAGAAGGTGGCAGAAGCGCGGGCACGGAAAAAGTTCAAGCAGGCGCAGAAGATCGAGAAGCTCAAGAAGAAGGCCGACATATTAGCAGGAGACGACGGCATGTCGGAGAAGGACAAGGCCTCCAGCATCGCCAAGCTCATCTCACAGGCGGCCCGGAAGAAGAAGCGGCAGCCGCTCAAGGTGGTCAAGGCACAAGGCACAAACCGCGGTATCTCGGGCAGACCCAAGGGAGGTGTGTATTCCTCAGCCCGGACCCATCCATTGTTGAATCGAGGCGATGCTAACGCGGCACCCCCTGCTAGTCAAGGGACGGTACAAGATGGTGGACCCGCGGATGAAGAAAGAGATGCGCGCGCTGAAGAGAGTCGCCAACAAGAAAAAGAGGTAGACGTCTACGAGCAGGCGGGCTTGGTGGCATATGTTTATCTAGGAGCCATACTTGATGTCATTTTCTGGCAGCCCTACCTATACCCGGTGATAGGAGTAGATATGAAAGACGGGGCGCTAGATTCCGTGTCCGGGATTCTGTCTACCACATCGCTTTTGGCTGTTGACTGACCGTATAAACATGCTGAGTGGGTAAAGCGGGCCCCTGAAGTCCATGTCGTACCTGGTTCGTGCGCGTCAGCAGAGTAGGTAAGGTACCTCTTAGATAGGGGCACAAAAAGGGGGCAGGGGTATGACAGGTGATGTTATGGTGATGTTGATGATGATATTTACCAGTAATTCACAGCCACACATATCCCCTCGGCGGAGCACGACTGAGACACTTTGTGGTACCTGAGGGTTGTTGTAGCGTTGTTGCGTCATGTCAGCTCGATTTCATGTTTCCCATCGGCGTCGTAAAAAGGAGGCGGCAATTTTAATCATTGCACCCCCTGCTCAAAAGAAAATCGCAAGAGGGAAGGAATGAGAAGGGGAAGAGGGGAAAAGGGGTGGGGGAGAAGAACTGACCACATGCATGGCAGGTAGAGCATGTCTCCGGGTTCTAATGTCACGCGGAGCGGCTCTGCCAACCCAGAATAAGCGGTCGAGTTTTGGTCTGGCAGGTCCGGGTCCCAGGTGGGGAACGGCACTGCCTCCTCTGCCTCCTCGGGTTTCACCAGCTCTAGGCCTAGCAGACTCGGGTACCGGTCTGCTGTTGTTGTTTGTGTCATGGAGGAAGACGAAGACGACCGCACGTAGTCGGCCGGCGGCAGCAGTTGCTCGTTGACGCACGGTTGGCAGTGTGGCGGTAAGAGTACGAAGCGCTTCCGCCCCGCCACCTGCACGTACAGGTTCTCGTAGTTGTCCCGGTGCAGCGCCGTCACGGACCGTGAGTTGCCGATCCACAGGTTGATGGCGTCGGGGCCGGACGCGGCGCCGAGCGCGATGCGCGCAAAGGGGACGTCGCGCTGCACGTCCTTGAAGAGCGTGGCGTATTCGTGGCGGAGGTTGTCGTTTTCTGGGCCTTGTCAGTGTGAGAGATGGCAGAGAAGGGGAATAGGAAGACGTTACGGGTCTGGGCATATCGCACTTCGCCCGCGGGCTTCGCAAGGGCTGCCCTCTCTTGCGCAATCACATAGTCGAGAAACTTGTCGATGGGCTGCTGCTCTTCCCACGGCTTGGCAAAGACCAAGGTCCCGTCGTTATGTCGGGTGGGAGAGTCGGCGTTGCTGTTTGTATGTTCTTCTGCGTGAGCAGGTTATATGATAATGAAAACAGCGATGATTTGATGGGCTGGTCGGCGCACCCTTGAGGAGTGACAGCAACGTTGACCGTCTCGCCACGCAGGCTGTCTTTTATAAAGCCGACGTTCCATTTCCGCGTCGCTTCCCAGTCGGCAGCTGCACCCCGGACGACGAAGGGCGTGTTCCGGGTGACAAATCTCATGAACTCGAGCGGGCTCGGCTCCTCGTAAAGCTCCTCGACAGCCGCTGGGTTGAGCTCATTGTAGTTGGTGATGAGCTCCGCGATAGGATCAACAACCTCGGGCTCGCCGTGCATGGTCTCTCACTGCAATGGTGAATGGACGACTAATCCGACCCCTATTGCAAGTATGTTTAGAGACACACTTCCATGTTCCGATCCCGAGGTGCCCGAGAATGCTTGGAATCTGCATCGATCGCTACCAGCCGCCAACCTGGTGGGGCTGCGGAGAACCTACCTAAAAAGCACTCGGTCCCTTTTATTGGTGACTGCAGAATGGCCTGATTTCTGTCTGGCCAGGCAGGCAGGCACGGCCGAGAACACGTCAAGATTCAATTGAGATACCCATCTCTCCATAGGGCTGAGAGAATCGCAGCCGGAGATGGGATTATAAGATGCCCATCCTTCCCGTCATTTCTAGCCAAGCGTTGTCTCGCTGGCGGTTTTCTCCCAGGTACCACCACCTGCCATGGAGTGGGCTCAAGTTATGAGCTGTTCAGCAGTTGAATGCCTCCCTCAGGCGGGCTACGACACTCGGATGGAATACTTCTTGATGTCTCTTGCCCATTTTCAATTTCAAGAATTTTAGTTCAATCGCTTCATCGCTTCATCGCGTCACCGACCCCAAAACATTCGTTCCCAAGGCGGTCAGACCACACGATAGAGAGCCAGAATTCGTGCATCGCTCGCCCCCCCCTTAGCCATTCATCCCGAGGTATATGATACCAATCGAATGGGACAATGCCATCATCGCCAGTCATGGCAATGTCAATCAGTAGCCATAACGGCGGCCGGATATGGGCTCACGGGCCTTCTCCCGAGGTTCTCTATTCCCTCGATCCGAACATTTTGTCCGATCCCTTTTCGTTCTCCCAGGCACGCCATCTTAGTGTTTTTGTTGGCGGCGGTCAGCCTCAGCTGAGCCTATCCCCAACGTTTCGGATATCCTATTTCGGGCTCCGAACAGACCCCCTCTTGGCATTGGGCTCGGCCGAGGAGCGTCAAATACTTGGTACCTTTGCTGTTTCAAGCTTCAACAATCAATCACGGAAAATGCACACAAACATTGGGGCAAACAACCTCCTACAAGTTCTGCGTGCCTTAAACACAAACCTCAAGGCGCCCTCTTAAAGGAAACGGGTTCTGCGGTGTTGCCGTAGGTACCTAAGGTATCTTGCCGTACTAGTAGTTCGCATCCCCGAAGTACCCTTTCCTTCCGAATTACGTATGATCGACCCTGTGTTCCATGGTTAGGCGCTATCCAGCCAGTGTAGGAGGGCAGCCACCTCAGTGCTAGCGACTAGCAAGAGAGCTAGAGGAAACCAGGCGCCAACACGTACCCCCAAGTGCCGCTAGCTGTTAGGCTCAGACAGCCATCCGGCACCCCGGTCTGCGCACTAGCAGCAGATTTTCGTGGGACGCCAGGGGTAGGCTGATTACCCTAGTGGGCTGCACGACATTCGTCAATCGGATTTGGAGCCTTTCCCATTGCCAACAAAAACGCATTCGCCGAATGCTGCCCGGACCCGCCCCACTACAAAAGAGTTCGCGCAACGACGACGTTTTGGCTCTTCTCGCTCGTCTTATCTGCCCTCCCCTGGGTACTAAAGAGCTCGTCAGCCCAAGAGCTCTTTGGTGGCTTGGATTGGTGTGGTATGGCATGTCTATCCGCATTTCACAAAACAAAACCAAAAAAAACGACTTTGCTCGTGTAACATTTGGCCTGGCCTGCCCGGTTCCAGTGGAGGTTGGTTGGTACATCCATGCCTCCCATACATTGTACTTACCTCAGTTGCCTTACACCCCCATCTTGTGTGCCATCTTTATCCCCCATCTGGGTCTCGTCTTCGATTGCAACTACGGAACCGGGTACCTAACCTACCTGCCTTAGGTACCTACCTAGCGATTCACAGCCAGTTGCTTCCATTGCCCACCTCCCATCAGGCGGGTCCTGAAGTGCGGAAGTGCTGAACACTTGCTGGCGCTTCCCGGACCCATCGCCGAACAGCAAATTCCGATTCCAATACTACGGTACCTACCTACCCACCTTAGGTTGAGTGTTAGGTACTGTATCGACATACCTACCTACCCGGCGGTATCAAGGTATGGATAACGGGCATCCTCATTTGCGCCCCGTTCACTCCCGAGTCCCCGCCCTCCCAGTCGAGGATTCAGGATCGACTCGGCTCGGCTGCTTTGGCAGATCTCTAACCTCTGACCTCTAGTCTGACATCTGATCTCTGACTTCTTATTAGCTCTACCTATTCACCCCCAGCGCCGTCGTGGAGTATCCAGACTCACGGCACAGCCACTCAGCGAGTGCACCCATCACTTAGTGCGCCAAGCTGGGAAATGCAGCCAGACACATTTCCATTCGCTGAGTCCTCCGATTCCACGGGGTCTTAACCGGCTCGCCGGCGACTATGTTGTGGTATCTGCTCTACCCCCTGAGAGGGTTTGTCCCCCCTACCTTGGCCACCACCACGCTGATTGACTCCGCTTGCTCGTCCAAGGTGTCCTTGCTTTGGATCTCACGTACATACATACAGTGCATGCATATGTACAGTACTGACGCTTCGTAGGACTACTAAAGCCCCTGTGCTAGCCCCAACCCACCCTCTGCGCGCTGCCTTCTCGCGCTACGGCACTTGGGCTGCCGGGCATGTCAAGACGGTATTGCCCATATCCACAGCAGTTGCCTTCGTCCTAATCTACCTCTTCTCCTTTCTCTACACCACCGACGCCACGAACATCACCAGTGGCGTCTCAAACCTCCCCCACCATGTCTGGACAGATGCCCAGCCTCTCAGTGACCGCGCCGTCGCGGAACCCGATGTCATTATGCGCTCCATCTGGATCCATGGCAGTTACATGAAGGCCCTCGAGCGCGATGTGCTTCTGGGGGCCCTCGAGCTGCAGGATGAGCTGCTAGGCCCGACGACTGACTTCAACCCACGCCACCCGGAAGAGGCCCCCGTCTTGCCCGGCCCTCTCGCTGACCTGACGCCCGAGCAGCGTGACAGCTTTCACATCATCAACGGCTTGACTCCCAAGTCCTGGTTCTTCCACTCGCCTCTCCAGTATTGGTCTGGCTCGGCCGACAATATCGCTGCCGACCAAGACATCATTTCTACCGTGAACGCGAAAAAGACGCAGTCGACTTCTGTCAACGTTACCTTGCGCCACTCCATCGTCTTCAGCGGTAAACGCTTCGAAGAGCGGCGCCTCGTCGCCGTCGACGCTCTTGTCATTACCTTGATCCATCTTCGCGACTCTCCTATCGGCAAGCAGTGGGTCAGAAAGGCAGAGGCGCTTGCTGCCACGGAAATGGGCGACAAGTGGACTATCATCCCCGGCGATGGTAGGAGCACCTCGAGCCAGCTTTACGAGTTCCAGTTCCGGCCCATGTCGTGGTCTGACTGGGCCGTCCTCACCGTGGCGTACTCGCTCACAATTTTCTACCTGATGCTGAGATTGTCCAAGCTTCGCGCTGTCAAATCCTGGCTCGGCATCATGGTGACGATACTGGCGCAGATCACGGCGTCCATCTTCTCTAGCTTTACCGTCTGTGCCATCTTCAAAATCGATCTATCCCGCATTCCCTACTTTGCATACCCCCTCGTCGTTCTTACCATCAGCGTGGAGAACTCAATCAGGCTCATAAATGCCGTCATCACCACTTCCTGGAGCATAGGCATTAGCGACAGGATAGGGGAGGCCTTTGGCGCGACGGCCCACGTGGCTGTTGCCAACCGTCTTCAGAATCTCCTCATTCTCCTGGGGCTCTCGAGGATAACGCTCCCAGGCGTCGCTGCCTTTTGTACATTTGCCGCAGTTGCCATCGTTTTCGACTTCTTCTACCTGGCCACCTTCTTTCTCTCGGTTCTCAGCGTAGATGTGCGGCAGAGAGAGCTCAGCGAGTTGGAGAAGGCTGCCGTCAGGCGGAGAAGCTCCTCGCAAAACACCAAATCGCAGCAGACCTGGGTCGAAACTTTCCGCCAGTTCCGCCTGGGTGAAGTCGGCGCGTCGACCCGTATTGCTGGCTCCACGGTCGTCCTCGGCTTTGTCCTCATCGCACAATCGCACTATGCTCCCGAAAGCGGTAGCCAGTGGGTGAATCGAATCTTTCAGCTGTCGCGGGGGAGCTCTGATGGTGGCACATCCAAGTCCTCTCTGCTCATCGACATTCATCAAGCACGGAGTCCGACTTCCTGGCTTCGTCTCCAGGACCACCAAACCGCGCGAGAAGTTATAAGCGTGATCAAGCCATGGGCACACAGCTATGTCGCATGCGTACACGACCCCCTTATCTTTGTCTTGAAAGGCTCAGACCGCATGCCCGGCACCAGGGAACCATTTTTCCTGCCAGCCGTGTACGACTTCCTTCACCACGAGATACCCCGCTTCGTCGTGCTTCTCTTGACTTTGGTTGCCATGGTCCTCTTGTTTACAAACTATCTCGTCCGTGATAAACAACAGCGTGGCGAACCTCGCCATCCCGACGATGAGCCCTTGCTATCAATCGAGACGATAAGCCATGGCCACACGCTAGACGTCGTCGTGATGGCAGGGTCTTCAGGTGGCCAGCTCGCGTCTGCCGGGCTTGACCGCCTGATTCAAGTTTGGGATGTGCCGGGCGGCTCTAGGATCCAGATTGCATCCAACTCTGACAGTCCCGCAGACGAACTATCAGAAGTGGCGGACAATATTTTTCCAGTCCTAGGCATGGCCGTGGATAGAGATTCCAGGTGGCTCGTCTTGCTTTCCCACCAGCGGGTGTTGTTGTGGAGTATCGAGGACCAGCAATGGGTCTCGATAATGGAGATAGATCTGGGCGGACACAGACACGAAGCTCTCTTCTTTAGCAAAACGCCTATTGACTCGATACCATCTGTCGTGGTAGTCGGGAGGAACGGCAATATGACGGAGCTCGACTTTGAAGCGGAGACGTCAAAAGAGTTTACCATCTGCAAAACGCCGCTGGCATGGGTGGTGCCATTTACGGAAGGTTGTAAGTTACAGCCCATTTGCTTTCTATTTGCTCGGTTGTGGACTAACGAGCCGCGCCCTATCCAGACTCGGCACGCAAGAATATCTCTCAGGTGTCTATATTAACCGCATCTCGGAAAAGCTGTATCCACCTCGTGCGACAGCACGGAAGTGGGTGGCTGTCAGAGGAGGTAAAGTTTGCGGATCGGGGATCTAAAGACATCCACTGCCTGGCCCCTATTCCCGCCCTATCCATGTATCTTGTCGGCAGATCGCAAACAGTTGATTTGGTGGATCTGCGTACGTCAGTAATTATACACGCCTTCCAGACCGAGATGATGCAGCCGCGCTCCTTGAAGCAGATTTCAATGTCACGACCTCGGCAGACAGGCCTCACTTCGTTGACTCTATCATACGTCAACTTGGACACAAAGGACTTGGTCATACAAACCTATCTCCCCGAGGGCGAGAGCGATACGATTTGCTCAGGTGATCCTCTCGAAGCATTAAAGGGGAAGCCCCGAGTGTGGGACGGGACTCGGGAGGTCATAAGGCGCGTCGCCAACCCGGGGACTTGGGAGGCGCTTTCCAATGGGAGCATCGTGGGCGTCCGACAGAAGCCGCAGGCTCAGGCGCAACAGTGGCAGTCCAAGGTGGCAGTCGGCGGGCTTCGGAAACGGGGCGGTAACCGGTCAGACACTGGTTCTGGCGGATCCGCGAGCGAGGCTTGGGAGGTCTGGGTGATTAGTAATCTCGAGACCAAGGGAGACCTCGAAACCCGGTTGCTTGACCTGCCCGACGGGGACAAACACGACCAGGGCCACCTGATGATCTCGGACCTGGGTCCCATGGTGCGGCTCGGTACTAAGAGCGTGGCCGTCGGCCTCGGGAACGTCATCAAGGTCATTAGCGTCGGCCACGAGTACTTTGACGAGCACCGCGACCACCTAGCTCCCAGCGATCTCAGGAACATGTCAGCGGCTAGACGGAGAAGGGCGTTGGGCGCATCCTCGCGGGCGAGAGCCGTGTGGTGAAAATGATTTAAAATGGATTTGGTCTTGGCGTAGGTTTCCTTTTTGGGAAGGGAAGGGAAATGAGACTGGGGGGGGGAGGGGGTTGGGCTTGTGATTATTAATGGCCATGAAAGAAGGCGTGTGTGCGTGTTTTTCTTTTTGTCCTTGTCCTTGCCCTTGTCCATTCCGGTGCTCGGTGGATGGGGGTTTAAAAGAAAGAAGAAAAGAGAAATAGAGGCCATGATTTTCATTATTTCCCCCGCTTTCTTGTCTTTCTCATTCAGCTACACTATTCTCCGAGCTCCCCTTTGGCTTTGAATTATACCCTCGTTGTGTTTTTAGTATGCTCGGCCCCGTTCGGTTGGGGGCTGGGCTCGTGAGCGAAGGATTTGGTATGTATCTGGTATTTCTGAAGGGGCCAGAAAGAGCTGATTACCTACCTACCTTGCCTTTTTAGCTGGGGAGTACTGGCAAATGGATAGATGGGTAGGCGGATTGATGGAACGAAAGCCTCAATAGCCTCTTCCTTGGGTGGTAATGCATTTAGAGTTTTCCCTCATCTACATGGCAGTCCAAAAGAAGATAACCCTGCACAGTGCTCTCCGTGTTATGGAACCGAAAGCAAATCCCGTATGGGTTGATTACATGGTAGACACTATACCTCTCTCCAGCTTAGACCCATGGCGTACAGTTTCGCCTCCTCATCACCCTCGCATCTTTCGATCATTTCGCCCAGGATTTCGGAAACCCTGTGAGAACCAACCCTGTGGTTTTCCTCTGGCTGGTTTCTGTAAGGATTATGTATGACAAGCATCTTCCCTTGAATCATGTCCAAGAACTTGATAAGAAATTTGGATGACTTCTCGCCGGAACGTACTTTATCGGAATCATTGAAGTCGTGATGCTCGTTATATATCTTTACTTTGAGTATCTCCCCGCTGGATCTGCGGCAGACCTTTTCCTGATAAGTGAAGGGTATAATTGCCTTGTTCCAAAATAGATAATGGTTGATATGGCGTCGCTCTCGAAGACGAAATTTGGGAACAGAATTTTCCACTGCGCGGCCTCGAGGCGGTCCAACTATAGGAGGGACCAGTGGCCGAGATATTCCCGCCCGGTAACTGTCTCCTTGTCGCCGCCGCCTATAGTAATATGGAGTACGAACTTGGTGAAATCCCCTTCCCCAGCAGAAACGACCTTGATAAAGGGAAGATCGTTGTCGCTGATCCCGTCTTTGATGAAGTCGCTAATAGCTTCTGGCCTGTCAATCAGGAGTAGCGAAGCCAAGATTTTGCGCAGATATTGACTCCCACGCGTAAGACCGTCTTCTAATTCAAGTAATAGGTTAGTATTAGCGGGTGCGGGAGACGGCCTATCGTAGATGAGGCGCACGTTACTGAGAAGTTGACTAGTAGTAGTCGCTAAAGAGAGGTTTTTTGCGCCGCGATATTTGTCTCTCCGCGACCGACGGAGCCATTTTAGGCGCTGTTCCGGTTTCGACCTATAGTTAGATGCCAACGCCGTCTTAAGAGCCTTGCTAGTTAATAGATTCTCTAATCGGCCAGTGGGTATGAAACTCTCGGCCGAAGGGCTATCTGGAGATACAGTGCTTTTTATGATGTTGTAAATCGAGTCTTTAAGCTTTCTGATGGAATCGTTTCCGCTAAGGGAACGGGAAAGATGATTTAGCCGTCTACGTTTATTGGGTCCGAGATTAGTAGATCCGCTCTCGGAGTCGTCGGGGCTGGAAAGGGCTTCTTGACGGTTATTGTGTCCAGGGATAGAAAACGAAGTTCGGCTTGGTCCCTCGTCTATTCTGAAGGCCACCGCTTTCAGACACGCGTCGGCAGGGGCGTAGACAACCCGGCGTTCTCTATATTCTCGCTGATAGCTGAGGAATAGAACCCGTTAGGAGAGACTCGGGCGTTCTTATCACCCGGTCGAGGCGAAAGAAGCCTGGTTCAGTGAGGCTCCCCCGAGTTCCGTTCCGCGTCAGCAGGGGAAACAAATGGGAAAGCGGGAAGAGGTTGAGGACTGCTGCCACCTCCAGGCTCCAGGCTGTTCGGGTTGAATACCTAGCTTAGATAGGGAAATGGAGATATATAGATGACGGGAGAATTTCTTCTCATCTCCAACCCCTCTGAATGTTTCTGGTCCGGGGATTGGTAGATAAACCTTAAACTTTGAAATGATCACCGCTTTGAGAAAGAATAACTTTCGAGCGTGGCGAGTAGCCCGCGGCAGGCGCCTCCGGAGGGCCGCCGGAGGCAAAGACCGGGGGGAAGGGCCGCTCAGCTAGTACCTTCCTAACTAGCCAGGTATGTACCTGTGTATTTTTATAGCCCATCCTGAGGTCCCCTTACAAGCTGCTTACTTCCCTAGTCAGAGAGTACTCCGTACCATTCCTTTCCTTCCAAGCCCCCCAATATACCGCGTCATCCTTATCTATTAGGCACTGAACTCCCACCCGGTGATTTCTTGGGGTGACGGCCTAAGAGCCGGCGGAGGGGATTTCACCTCTTCTTTTTCTGGCTCTTTTCTCTCTCAATATCTTGAGACTGTATAGAACTACTAGCAGCTGGTGGAGAGGCGATCCCGCTTGCGATAGCAGTCGACTGGCGGTAACTGAGCCGGTGGTGGTCCAGTAAGCTGGAAGTCCGGGTTGACTCCCGGCGCCCAAAAGTAAGAATTATTCTCGGCCTTGCTCACTATCTTGTCTAACTCGTGGTCAAGGGTCTCGGTATCGTACCGAGCGCCCTCCTTAATGTTGAGCAGCCCCTCCTCGATAATCTTAACGAGATCGTTCAGACGGGTCTTGTCGGGGTACTTCCGGTTAGAGCGAATGGCCGCCATCCGTGCCTTGACAGCTAGGTGAATCTCGTACGTCTCCCAATCCTCGCCCTGTTTTGCGATCCGGTAATATGGGGGAAAGTCGCGATGGACGTCCCCGTCGCGGGCCCGGCGATTCTTCCGATCCCTCCGGAACGACTTGAAGTCGGCGCTGCCGCCCAGCGTCCAGACGGCGAACTCGAGAAAGATGCAGCCTACCGACCACATGTCGTAGCTACGAGACCGCTTGACATCATCGCCCTCTTTGTGTGACTCGGGCGGCGCGTACTCAACCGAGCCGCCTGTCGTGGTCGTCCCCCGCACGCGCTTGCTGGTGATTTGCTGGTGGAACCGCGCCAGCCCGGCGTTGGCGATACGCAGGGTGCCGCGTGGGTACCTGGCCGGCTCGTCGAGAAACAGGAGGATATTCTCGGGCTGTAGATCGCCGTAGCGCCCGTTCTCGTCCTTGTTCTCGACCGACGGGCTGTGTAGTGTGTGTACGGCGCTCGTAATGCCCTTGATCTGTCCCAGCACCTAGCGTATCATGGTGGGCGTCCGCGTCTCCCGGTGCTTCTATTCGTCCTTCTAGACCTTACCAAGATGCCCTCCTTCTACGAATTGAAATAGAAAGTAGTAGTTCTCGGGGCGTTTCTCAAACGACCTTATGAACTCGATTAGATGAGGGTGACGGAGAAGCTGGATGCGGGAAAGTACTGGGCGCTCTTGCTCAAACTCGGCTCGAGAGTCAGACTTGAGCTGTTTAGCGTAAGGGTGGGATTTTCTTCCTGTCTTTGAGAGAAAGGTTAGTATATAGCACAATAAAATATGGAGAGAACGCTCCCTTCTCAATGACCGGGAGGACACATCTGTCGTCAAAGCGAGCATACTCCCGACCTCCGAGGTTAGGGGACAGGAATTGCCACTGCGTGGTAGCAAAGTGGTGGCAGTTGAGCTGGCTGAGCGTCGGTGATAGTGTGAAGACCTGATTGCGGACGCCAGTGAGTATAGCCGCCGAATCGGAAAACTCATGCTTGGCTGGGAGATACTGGTCCGAGAGTCCGGCCTTGTAGATTATGTTCAATGTATTACCGTTGAGCCGATCATGGGAAACGAGGATAGTAATAACCTTGACGAAATCGCGAAAGCGGATAGATACTGTCACTGGGGTCGAGTTTGATCAGCTTTCGAAGCCTTTCCTCAGTAATTATCTCATTCAGGCGGTTGGACGGTACGAAGGCCTTGTATTCTATTATGCCCGGCTTCTCGGCCCTAATCAGGTCAGTTCTCAGCCGTTCTATGGTCTTTCTTGATCGAGAAGAAACGACGTGTTAGCCAAGAACACAGGCTAGACTGTGCCTGAGCCGTAAGGAACATCAAGGTTAGATACCCGGTCCCTAAATATCTAGGTAACGTGAAGGAACTTTTAACGCCAAGGTCTTTGGAGTCGTCAACGTCCAACTCATAGCCGGCAGCCCCCGTGAAACCCCCTCGCACCTTTTAGCTAGGGCGGCAAGTTAGGGCACTCATAGCATCCCATCATTCCCATGGGTGCGTACGAGTACGGCGGTCACTTTCGGAAGCAGCAAAAGGAGGTGGGCAGCTGTCGTTGTGATTCGCCGTCGCTCAAGTCTGAGCTGGCGCCAGCATGCACTCGCTGATTTTGGCCGCGAGGCTTTTATTCAACCTGAACGATGGGGCAAGCCATAATCTGAAGGTAAAGTGATATTCGCCCGTTTGGGTCATTTTTTATCTGAGCGCTCGGGAGCTTCCTAACTATTCAGTCAGGCCGAAGCCTCTGGACATGAGGCTGGGGCTGAACAAACCTGCCGACGACACCCACATCCGGAACCGATGGTCATGCAACAATTCAATATTTAGCATGATAGCCTCGCTGGCTTCGACGAAAGATAGCGATCCCCCGACCGTACAATTTACCAATACGCAAGATCTTCGACGTCATTAATTTCACTACTAGGGATTACCTTACCGTCACAAGTATGCTATCACCCTCCTATTTCTACATAATATACTAATTATTTAGACGTCTCTCCTAATCAATTCACCAAAATCGAGCGTGAGAGAGACACTAGGCGAGAGGCTGGGCAAAAGAAACGATACCGAAAGTTCCGTTTTCGCCGCTACAATACCAATTCCCGGATCTTAACCATCAGAATCCCAACCGATCTACATAAGGCCCTTCACCTAGAACTTTATACGCGGTATTTTACTCAGCTTGTCCGGAATGGTATAGAGGAAAGTTGGAAAAATATAGGTACTGCAACATTTCGGAAACAAGATCATCCTGGAGGAGATGACGGAGAAGGCGATTCGACAGGCGGTCCATAGCCGGAACGTGCAGAAGCAGGTAATTGACCAATACTAATTAATCATTGAGTCTAGATATTCCGAAACATTACCCGAGCTTGGATATGCGGTAGTGGTTTCAGGCATCAAACCACGAGGTCAAGATTATCATTCTGGCGAAATTTGACGACCAGCAACACCACATTTTGCTAGAGAAATAGGAGGAAGAAATCTCGAGTCCACAAGGAGCGATCACGCGGAGTCGGGCTGCTGCTATATTATAGCAGAATAGTATTCTTAACCTAGTGAAACGGCAGTCAATCACCATCACCCGCAATAAGACAATAAATCCAGTATCGTACAATATTACTAGGGGGGCATTAGTACTAGGATTTTGGCTTCTTTTTCTTCGTGATCCAGGCCCGTAAGAAGGAGATTTTGTACTTAGCATTCAGAGCCTACAGCTATGTAAAGAGAAGGTCTGGGCTTAGCTGCCGAGATCAGACTAGCCAACCAGAAATCAGTAGAGGCCGGTAAAGTCAGACAGAGGGCGCTACTGTGACGGCGCCAGCCTGCAGCACTCACTACCACTGCGCTAGAACCCCCAAAAGGATGCCAGAATTGCAAGTTGACAACTTGCAACCTGTAGTAAGCTATATAGTACTGCTACGGCCATTGAGCGCCGTGACAGCTACAGTGGAATATCTTTACGCGCCTTCTACAAATTAGTAGGGATCTCGGCGATACTATTGGCGTATAAGAGTATGGCTTCCTCGGCGAGAGTGATATAGTCGTTAGGCTTTTTGGTCTCGATAATAGCCTCGAGGACGATGTAAGGAAAAGGACACCCCAAACACCAACTGCGCGCACAGGGTGCGCGCCCACCACTTGTCACCAACTGGCTAGAACACTGCCAGCTGGCATACGCTACGCCGTGGCGCCACGACCGCAGACTGATCCCCGGGCCGAACCCCTGAGCAGGTATATAAACAATGGCCCTCGCCCATCTTCCTTTGCGAGGGCCAGGTTGAAGTCTTACACCAATACAAGTCATTGCTCCCCTACCTTCTTGCCTGCATTGTGACCACCTTGATCAGGCGTACCTACCTTCTCTTACAATCCTGGTCCAAGACTGCAGGAGGCGCTGGAAGCCAATTGCCAATTGGGCCGCACAGGTGGGCGGGGTCGGGCCCCGCAAGTGTTCGACACAGCCAATCAGGAGGCGCTCGGTGCGACTGGTCTGCCAAGACTAGGCGAGCGCACCGAGCAGGGCGCTCGGTAGTCTCTGAGACGCTCGGGGTACCAAGCGTTAGGAGAAGCACTGAGCACGCAAAGGAAAAGTCCTGATTGGTTACCTGAATTAGATATATACGATGACCGTAGCCACGGTCTTAGACAGTTCTTGCTTGGTTCTTCAAGCAAGCAATACACATTCGCTGCACTCATACATTTTGAGTGGCATTCCGATTTGACTGTATTACCCGTGCGATAGGAGCTTGCCCTTTGTTCTATCTTCATAATTACCAACCCCAGCATTCTGTGGAGCCCGTGCTCCCTTACAGACAGATGACCCTAACAGTCGAGTGGTTTGTAATAATAGTACGTTGAACAACTTGGGCGAGGACGCCAGAATAATTTCACTTTTGGATCTTCTCAACCCCAATCAAATCTGGGAAGACCTCATTTTTTAAGACACGAGCGATATAGCAAACGCGCCTCCCTCCCTCAAGGCGACTAAAGACCCTGAGATCAATATGAGATTCGTTTTAAAGTCCGACTTATCTCCTATAACACGTGTGCCTATTCTGTAATTACTCAGGAAGATATGTTTGCTACAGCAGATAGCGGGCGGAATAATAAGCCACGACACCGTTGAACAGGTTATGACAAACTCGAGGGATGATAATTACTTCATGGGGTTTTATGCGTCTTCTGCCGATCCTTGGTCCGAGATTGGGTTGCCTGACGGCACTAATAACCTACTTCGACTCTCTACTATTGAACAGGTCGTATCGAGCGTATGGTCGAACAATAATCTCATGGGGTTTCCTACGACTGATGCTGGTTACTGGTCTGAATTTGCTGAAGACACGCTCTCTGTTACTGATCCCGTTGCGTCGGATGCGGATGTTTTAAATAGAGAGGGTCTACTCGGACTGCAGGCACAAAGACGCTTGGGCCGTGTTGGAATGAGGTGCTAGTCAGCCACGGAGGGTCATCTACGAAGGTGGCTGTGGTGGCACAGGGCCACAGATTCTATATAAGTGGCCGTAGGCCACTTCCACCCTATGCCTTCTAGATACAGACAGACATGAACAAATCCACCACTTGAACCACCAGTTTTCGGCGTGCAGTTACGCCCTGTTGCTTCCCGTACCGGTACCTGGTGATTCCAATAGGCCGCGCCCAGGAAAAATCCACTTTTTACACTAAAAAAACAGACCTTTACTAGGACGAAGCCAGCGCATCTAAACTTCAGATCAATTGGCCACATGCGCAGTCAGTCGCAATATAATTACACCACAACCACGTCGACGTCGTAAAATACGAAGCTGCCTTCGTTGTTGTTGCTTATATAACATGCCCAAAAATGCAATAAAAACTTGCCCTGCCTAGGCATCGTCAAGATCGCAGCTTTGTTGCGCTTCAAAGGCTGCAGCCAAAGCCCTCGTAGTACGACGGGTTGTTGCACCGCGCGTGGAAGTCTTTGTAATGCCTCCTCGCGCCCTGCGTGCTGTGGGCGTTGAAGCCTGCGTACCAGTTGAAGCCTGAGTACGTGATGCCCCTGACGATACCCATGGTGTTGATGTTGCCTTTGCAACACGGCCGCCCCTGCTGCCAGGGCCGCCCCGGCTGCCCGGGTGTAAGTGAAGGCAGGTACGCCTGATCAGGGTGGTCATAATGAAGGTACTGAAGAGAGTGAGCAATGACTGGTATTGGTAAGAGACTTCAACCTGGCCCTCGCAAAGGAAGGGGTGAGGGCCACTGCTTATACATGACAGAGTGCAGGGCAGGCCATGACAAAGGAGTGAGGTTTTGGCCCGCTCGGTACGCGTGTGAGTTGGTCGTGTGTGTGGGTTGGGGTTCTTTCCTTACATAAAGCGAGCGAGAGAGGGGGAGTTGAGTTATGAATATGACAGACAGACAGGCAGACAGCGTGAAAACCAGTACATATCATACCTAGGTATATAAACAGGAGGAAAGCAACTCTGCTCAAACTCACTGACTGCACTTTAAACCTACTGTGCCTAACCAAATCAACAAATCAACAACACAAGACGCCAAAACAAAAAAAGTCCAATATCCCATGCATTTAATTCTCTTCCCTTTTTTTCTTTCTTTCTTTCTTCCCTTCCTATGACACTAATACGTATGTAGGAACCAGAAACCAGGAACAGAAGCAGGATTCCTCGGCCTGCCTAGCTAGAATCAACCCAACATTGTTACATGGAGGCAGGTACCTCAGTAGATAAGGTAGGTAGTAGTAGTAGTAGTAGTAGTAGTAGTAGTAGTAGTAGTAATAATAACAGTACTGTAATTAGTACACAGCGAGACTGTCCTCAAAAAACGCCAGTTGACAAAATAAGAAGAAAAAAAGGGCAAAAATGTGTTGGTTTAGCAATGGTAGACAATATTACCACGGCCAAGCTGTCTCTACTTCTTTTTGTTTCTTGCAGCGTTATCTTCATAATTAGAAAAAGCACCACTCTCTCACTGTACTTCAGTGATCTTGCACTTCCACCCTGACCCTTGGGCGAGTAGCGGTAAGCTGTAGGGAGAAATAGGGTTAGCGGCTTGGAGAAGCAATTGCAGTATTCAAGGGATGGGGATAGGACTCACCTGGCTCCTAGACACCAGCCTAGCTCCATGTCCTTGATCTTCTTGGCGATTCTGACCTCGCGGTCGATGGGCATCTCGTAGCCGGTGTGGGTCAGGGCGAGCATGAAGTTGAGGTCGGCGCAGTACTCGGGGCGGCCGCTCAGCTCGTCGAGCGCCGTCGGCACGCTAGTGAAGACGCCCCAGGCGTCCGGGCCGCCGCAAACGGTGTGGGCGAGGTCGTGCAGCTCGCGGAGCGTGAACGACTCGGGCATGCCGAGCGGCTGGGTGCGGTCGGTGAAGAAGGACAGGAAGTAGATGTCTTCGCGGGCAAACGTCTTGCTGATGGATGGCTGGTGGACGCCGTTGAAGGAGCAGGGGGCGAGGGTGCACTCGGCGTCCTTCTTCAGGATGCGCTCGGCCACGGCGCGGCAGTGCGCCGTGGCCGGCTCGGTAGGGCCCGTCATGTTGAGCTTCAAGGATTCGCCGAGCGGGTGATTTTTGGGCAGCTCGACCTCGGCTGTCTTTTTCAGGCCGGCCGAGTAGCACGGGTTGACAACGGGCTTCTCCACCCACGACCGGTCGCCCTTGTTGATCTCGATCAAGTCGTCGACGAGCGTCACGAGCATCGCGTTCCGCGCCTCCATGAGGCCGTAGCCCATATGCGACTTCTGGTAGAGGGCAAACTTGCGGCCGCCAAAGTCGAGCTCGTACTTGTGCTCGCCGTCGGCAAACTTCTCGGGCATGCCGCCCGAAGAGAGACCCTCAAAGGTCGGCTCAAAAACAATCTGGGTCGAGCCGCCGCCCAGGTCGAACACGGCCGCCGTCGGGGAGTGGTCGGGGCCGCCGATCTTTCCGAGCAGGTAGTTGACCGTGATCCAAGCATACACACCCTCGTCGGAGCCGTCCATGACCTCGACGCCTTTCTCCTCCTTCGAGACGACGGGGAACGGGTAATTGATCTCGAGATGGTGGCGGACGGCGTCGAGAATCTTCTGGCTCTTCTCTTCGCCCACCTTGCGCAGTCCTGCCGTCGCCTTTAGGGCAAGGGGGGTGCAGCCTTTGAGCTTGTCCGGCACGTTCTTGAGCGCCGCCTCCATGAGAATATCCAGGCTCTTCGCTGCAGCCTCGGGGTCGTTGGCGTAGGCACTCAAGCCGCTGCTCTGGCCGTCAATCTTCTTGGTCTGCTCAAAGACCTCGTTCTCGAGCTCGGGCGCCGGGCCGCAGTTGTTGAACTTGTACACGTGGATACGCGAACCGGTGCTGCCGGCGTCGATTATGAGGACATATTGCACGATGGGCTTGTCCTTGGAGTAGGACCTCTTGCACCGGTCTGTGCCGTATGACGAGTCAGACGGCGTCTGGCCTTGGCCTTTTGAGTCGGACGTAATCACTAGAAGAGAAGTGGTGAGCGAGTGGTTCATTGCACGAACGAGAAGCCCCCTATCCCTTTTCCCACTGGGAGGGAGACGGCAGCGGGCAGGAAGGCCTTACCTCCATTGTAAAGCTCGACGCCAGACGGCGAGAAGAAGTAGAATAGCAGGAAGACGACGAAAATGATGGCGCCAGTCTTAATGTAGCGCATACGCTGTGTCTGCGTCTGCCAGGCGGACTGCATCCTGGAGAAGAAGCCGGGTTCCCGGTAGTTTATGTCGTAGCGATCTGGTTTCTCGTGAGGGTCGTGGGCAACGTGCTTGGTCGGCAACGAGACTGACGTGCGCCGCATTTAGGGACTCGGTTTCACGCACGCACACGTTTGACGCGTGCCCTGCGACACAAGCGTACGGCGAGGGTTCGGTCTGTCGTCGTTGTCGTCTTCGTCTTCGTCTTCGTCTTTGTCTTTGTCTTTGTCTTCGTCTTTGTCTTCGTCTTCGTCTTCGTCGTTGTCGTCGTGGTCGCGGTTTCGCGACGAGGGGTTGCGAGGACGAGAGAGTTGGGCCAGGACGGCAAAAGGGGAAGGAAACTACGGAGACACGCCCCTGCACATGCCAAGCCGATGGGCCAGGGGAAAATGGAGATACGAAGTAAACGACGGTTCTTCAACGAATGACAAGAAACAATGTACGAGTGTAGAGAGAAGAAGAAAAAACTCTATGAGGAATCAATGCGCTCCTCTAGCTAATCTCAAATACCTGTGAATTTATTTCTAGGTTCTGGGGATAAAATAGGGGCTTGTCGAAGATTTGCCAACTGGATGGGTTCTCCCAGTGACGCGCGAATAGCAGCCCAGGAGTGCCTTGCTGCACCCAAAAAGGTGGGCGGAGGCGGATGCCCCTCGACCCTGGCTCGTTCGGTTTCCCTAGTGCGATGGGTGGTGCGGGTTGGTGGCAACTGGCAAAGGATGGATGTGTGCCCCACATCCGGTACTTCAAGGTACGGATAGGGAAGACTCGATTGGGACATTCAAGGGGGCACCTTTCCACGACGCCTTTGGCCAACCATGGCTCCTGCTTGATATCACTACGGTTCAATTTCACTCATGTCGATTCATCATGTCTTTAGGGGTGCAGTTTGGAATATTAAAGCGAGGCACGTCGTTGAAAGTGGAGAGTTGTAGCACTTGTTTGTCCAGGGTTGAATGTACCGCCCTTGTACCGAAAGCCTCCCCTTCTCTAGCCTTCCAGAATCCAAGGACAGTCGGTCCAGCTGCCGCGTCAGGTCGTCGCCCTCGCCTCGTAACCCTTTTGCTGCCTCTTGAGATACCTGTCTCATAATATCCTGGAGATCCGCCGGCCGGCTTGGGGTTCGTTTTCAGTCTTTCAGTTCAGAGTAGCAGCAATTTGCCATTGCAGCTTTGCGTTGCACCGGGTTTTAAAACCACATTTACAGCCGTTCCTTGTTCTTAACCCAGGTATTGACCCAATCAGCAATTGAGCCCCGGAGTCTCAGTGAATCAATCTCAACCACACATTGAGGGAACCATCTCACCATGGACGTCCACCTTTTCGTATACGACCTCTCGCAGGGGCTGGCGCGGCAGATGTCGGCCAGTCTGTTGGGCTTCCAGCTGGACGCTGTCTACCACACGTCGATCAAGCTCCAGGGCCGCGAGTACGTCTACGACGGCAACATTGTCGCTATCCAGCCCGGCACCTCGCATCTCGGCCGCCCCATGCAGGAGATCTACCTTGGCCGCACAGAACGTATGCCCTTGCCAGCCCTCACTAGTCGGTGGTAGATGGTTATGAATATGCTGACGATAGGCGCCCAAGTGCCCATGGATGTCATTGAGGAGTATATGGACTCGCTCCGCGAGATTTACACAGTCGAGGTGAGCTGTGGCCCGAGAGTCGGCTGGGCTGAGCGTTGGCATTGACTGAGGTGTTGTCGGCAGGCATACGACCTCTGGAGACACAACTGCAACAACTTCTCCAACGACCTTTCGACCTTTTTGCTGGGCAAGGGAATCCCCGGCCACATCACCAACATGCCACAGGCAGTGCTGTACGTTCGCACGACAAAAGCACACAGACACACACTGACAGACCAACAGCGATTCCCCCTTTGGCCAGATGCTGCTGCCCATGCTCAACCAGCAGATATCGGCCAAGAAGCGCGCCGGCGGCATTCTCGGCATCCAGGACCAAACCCCGGGCAGCTCCGTGAAGCCGCAGTCCCAGCTGCACCGCCACGAGGGCAAAGTGCACAACGTCTCCAGCGCTGCAGGGCTCGACGCATTGCTGGGCAAGTTCCAGAGGACCTGCGCCGTCGTCTTCTTCACCTCGGCCACCTGCGCCCCCTGCAAGGCCGTCTACCCTCTCTACGACGAGCTAGCCGCCGAGATTGGCGACAAGGGCGCCCTGATCAAGGTCGACATATCCAAGGCGTTCGACGTCGGCAGCCGGTACTCGGTGTCGAGCACGCCCACTTTCATCACGTTCCTCAAGGGCCAGGAGGAGAACCGCTGGGTCGGGGCGGACCCGAGCAAGCTGCGCGGCAACGTGCAGCTGCTGGTGCAGATGGCGTGGCCGCGGCACCCGCACCAGTCCCTCCGCCTGCCGACACTCGCAAACCCCGGCGCCAAGCCCGTCATCTTCGAAAAGGCCCCGCCGCTGGCCAAGCTGCTGGCCAAGATGGGCCCCGCCGCCGCCGAGCACCCGGCAGTGCAGGGCGTCAAGCACTTCGTCGAGGCCCGGGCCAGGGACGGGCCCGCCGAGGCCACACTGCCGGACATGGCCGGGTTCACAAAATTCATCCGCGAGGCGGTCGGCACCAGCAGTAGCAACAGCCTGCCCACCGACGTCCTCTTCACCGCCGTCGACCTGCTGCGGTGCGGGCTGGTCGACGCGCGCTTCAGCGGCTACCTCGCCGAGGACGACGCGGACCACGCCACGGTGCTCGCGGTCCTCAGCCGCGTGAATGGGCTCCCCGACGGCGGCGGCTGCCCGTACGCGCTGCGGCTCGTGACGCTGCAGATGGCGTGCAACCTCTTCTCGAGCCCGCTGTACCCGGACCAGATCCTTGGCCACGACGGGCTGCGCGCCGCGGCCACGCAGCTGGTATCGACAAGCTTCCTCGACGACGGCCACAGCAGCGTGCGCGTGGCGGCGGCATCGCTCTTATTCAATATGGCGCTCGCCAACAGCCGCCAGCGCCGCGACGGCGGGCCCGGGAATGTGCTGCCAGAGAGCGACCAGGTCGAGCTCGCGGCGTCGGCGCTCGAGGCCGTCGCGCAGGAGTCCGCCTCGGCCGAGGCCCTCGAGGGCACGCTGCTCGCGCTAGGTCTGCTAGCGTACCGCCTGCCCCTCGACGGCGAGCTCGCCGCGCTGCTGCGCACCATGGACGCCCAGGACGTGGTGCTCGCCAAGAAGAAGGACTTTCCCGACATGGCCCTCGTGGCCGAGATTGGGAGTGAGCTGTTTGGCAAGGGCCTGGCGCGATCGGGATAGAGCGCTGGTGTGAATGTGGTGTGGTTAATAGGGCTGCGGGACTTGGCTTGGCGTTTGGGTGGCATGAAGAGGGTGGGACAGCGGGTTTTGGCTTTTTGGCAAGTATATACACCTGTAGATGGTCACGTCACGGGGACAGGACAGAGGGTTTGCCTTGGATACGTCTCCTTTCTTATATTTTATTTATTTCTCGTCTTTCTTGTTTTCCGCTCGTGTTCGACGAGGCGCATTTAGAGGGCGCGTTGTGTTTATCAAGTTACCTAGACACCTCACCTGCCTGTTTTGAGGCCTGCACTTGAAAGATACCGTAGTATTCCAGCGTCGGCTTTATTTATTTTTATTTTTGTTCTTTATTTTTATTCTTTATTTTTATTCTTTATTTTTTTTATTTATATTTTATATTTTACTCTTTTTTCCCCCCATGACTGTTCAACTCAGTTGCAGAGTTTAGCCGTTGTTGTTGCAGTGGCGTGAGGTGGTGTTGTGGCTGACAGCGAGTGCCTGCAGGGCGGGTGCACGTTGCACGCGGGACGAGCCTTAGCCAGGGTGTGAGGGGCTTGGCGTGGGTTTCTCCGTGGCAACTGCCCCCTGCCGTGTAAACACTAAACAGTCGCTTGCAAGGTTGCCACGGATCAAGCCAGCAAACCGATTGGCGCCAGCGTCCACCAAACAAGGAAACTAAGCTACACTAGGGTGAACAAGGGCAAGAGCCGTCGACGAGTCGGGTGGCTGACCGAGTAGAAAAACATACGGACTATTATTCGGGGGCATGTTCCGCAACCTCACGCAGCGCTTCCACGACCTCCTCGCCGACGTCCATGACTCTCTGACTGCAACTGCCCTCGAGCCGCGTCTGATGCCGATGCCGAAGACGATGCCGATGACGATGCCGATCCCGATGACGATGCCCAGCCTCCAGGGGCCAGCCGCCCAGCGCGGTGTCCGCTCCAGCGCCTCGACGCCCTCGCTGCGGTCCCGCGACGGCACCGTGCCGAACCACGCCCGCCTCGATGCCGGCGGCAATGTGCGCGTCGTCGTGAGGGTGCGCGCCTTTCTGCCTCGAGGTATGTGTTGACGTGGTTATTATCAGTTGTCTTTTTGTCGCGGCTGACTGACCCCCCCGCCTCCAACAGAAATCGCCCGCAGTGCCCAATGCCTCATCCGCATGGACCCCCTCTCGCAGCGCACCACGCTCGTGGCGCCCGGCGACGGCGATGCGGACCCGGCCAACGCCAGGGCGCGCGCGCGCAAGGCGACCGTCGAGGACAAGTCGTTCACGTTCGACAATAGCTTCTGGAGCCACGACACGGACGACGAGCACTACGCGACACAGGAGGACGTCTACGACAGCCTCGGCGAGGAGTTCCTCGACCACAACTTCGAGGGCTACCACACGTGCATCTTCGCGTACGGGCAGACGGGGTCGGGCAAGTCGTACAGCATGATGGGCACGGCGGACCAGCCGGGGCTGATCCCGCGCACCTGCCAGGACCTGTTTGAGCGCATCGCCGCCGCCCACGACGAGACGCCCAACATCAGCTACAACGTGCGCGTCAGCTACTTCGAGGTCTACAACGAGCACGTGCGCGACCTGCTCGCCGCCCCGCCGGCCCCCTCCCAGGCCCCCTACTACCTCAAGATCCGCGAGTCGCCGACCGAGGGCCCCTACGTCAAGGACCTGACCGACGTGCCCGTGCGCTCGCTCGACGAGATCCTGCGCCACATGCGGAAGGGCGACCAGAGCCGCACCACGGCGAGCACCAAGATGAACGACACGAGCAGCCGCAGCCATGCCGTTTTCACCATCATGCTCAAGCAGATCCACCACGACCTCGACACGGACGAGACCACGGAGCGCAGCAGCCGCATCCGCCTTGTCGACCTGGCCGGCAGCGAGCGCGCAAAGTCGACCGAGGCCACGGGCCAGCGCCTGCGCGAGGGCAGCAACATCAACCGCTCCCTGACAACGCTGGGCCGCGTCATCGCCGCCCTGGCCGACCCCAAGAAGACCCCGTCCAAGAAGGGGCCGGGCTCATCGTCGGTTGTGCCCTACCGCGACAGCATCCTCACGTGGCTGCTCAAGGACTCGCTGGGCGGCAACAGCAAGACGGCCATGATCGCGTGCATCGCGCCGAGTGACTACGACGAGACACTCTCGACGCTGCGGTACGCCGACCAGGCCAAGCGCATCCGCACGCGGGCGGTCGTCAACCAGGACAGCATCAGCACGGCGGAGCGCGACGCGCAGATCGCGGCCATGGCCGACGAGATCCGCGCGCTGCAGCTTGTTGTGGGTGACAGCCGCCGCCGCGAGAAGGACGCGCGCGAGGCCGAGGAGCGCCTCGAGGACTACCAGGCGCGCGTGCGCGGCCTGCAGCAGCTCATGGACGAGCGCTCGCTCGTCGCCGAGGGCAAGATCCGCTCGCTGCAGACCGAGAACGAGGCCCTGCGCCTGCACCTCAAGCTCGCCCTCGAGAGCCTCAAGAACCCCATCCCTGTCGTCACGGTGCGCGAGGTTGACGATGGCGTTGCGCCTAACGCTGGCGTTGAAGAAGAGGACGGCGATGACGACGTCACGGCTACCAAAAAACAGATCTACCGCGACAGGATGCTGCTCTCCCCGAAGCGCCAACACCATCAGACTCCAGACGAAGACAAGGAAAACCACACACCAAAGGGCCACCGCCACTCACTCCACCACCTCTCCCCTGACAAAGACCAAGACCAAGACGACGGCTACGCCTCTGGCGGCGACAACTCAGATTACACCGACACAGAAGAAGCACCGAACCACTACGAAGCCGGCGCTGATGACATGCACGAGCAGATGCAGGTGCTGCTGCGCGACCTCGACATGTTCCGCCGCAAGATTGGCGACGACAAGTCGCGTTTCTTTCTCGCTGCTGCTGCTGACCCAAAGAGCCTTAAACCTCACCACCAAAGTGGTAATACCGGTAGTGGTAACAAGGAGTCTCTTACTGCTGCGGCCGCTGTGGCCATCTCGGGCGGGGCGCTGGCGAGGAGGAGGAATCCGCTTGGCGAGAGGAGTAATATCATATGATGTCTCGGCGGGGGGGGGGGTGTGGGGGTGGTTTTCTTGTCTGTCTGTCTGTCTGTCTGTCTGGTTTGGTTTGGTTTGGTTTGGCGCCGTGTTTTATTTTCTGCACAGAACTGCTGGGTGTTTGTGGTTCTAGAGCCAACGGAAGAGCGGGCTTTTCTTTTCTTCTTTTTTTTTTCTTTTTTTCGGATCATGACGTGCCATGATATGACTATCACGCGCGCAACCAAGAGTCACATCTCTTTCTTGTTTGGCGGCTGGGCGGGCGTTCAGGGGCGATGCGGCGTGGGTTGATCGGGGTTGACGAACGGGCGGGCGGTGCGACTGTCACATATTTGCCATTACGGGGATGGAGGGAGCCACGAATCAGTTATTTTCTTGTCATGTTCATTTTTTACCGTGGCCGAAGACAAATCCATAGACGGGCCTAGGCGGCCCATACTTCGGGGAGGGAAATATCAACGGGTATGCGGGCAGGCAGGCAGTTTATTATTGTACTGTACATGTGCTGTCCCGCCTCCCAACTCCCGTTCAAGTCTAGAACCGATATCATGAATAGTTCCCTTCTCGTCCCCACAATTCCTTAACCCATTTTCCATCCATCCATGCGAATCCCAAGATTGCAAGTTCCAATGCCCTCTGAAAATGAAAATAGCAAACAGCTCAAGATCGCTCGGGGTATATCCACCCAAATGACAGATGCCGCGCAAATGCAATAGACCACCCAAGTCAAGCCACCCACCCAGCCACTCATGCAGACCGTACCGAACCAGAACCAGAACCAGAACCATTTGTCTAACCCCTTGGCCCGAGTAAACCCCCCATCCATTTTAACAAAGGAAAGCCTCATAGCAAAGGAAAGACGTTGTAGCAAAAGAGGCCGCAATGTATCTAGGTCGTCTCCATCCACCCCAAACGCCGTAATTTTATGCCGCCATGTGAGCCGAAACATACGAGCCGATGTATGTACCAAGTTTTAAAGACTAAGAAATCCCGATATGTATAGGAGGTGTTGCTCATTCGATTACCCTCCGCTGGCTTCCCGTGCTGCTGAGTCCTACTCAGAAACCTCTTCGATCAGCCTGCGCTTGTTCTCTGACTGCTCGTAGCCTGGCTCAGATCTCTTGATGACCTTGATCTTGACCCGTCGCGAGCTGGAGGACGTGTCAGACCCGGAGGTGTATGGGCGGGTTGGTATGGCACCATCGGCGCTGGTGCTGGTGCTGGTGCTAGAATCGGTGCCGCTGCCGATCGTGCCCCCCGAATGGACAGGCGCAGAGATGGACGACGTGGGGCGTTTTGGTACCTTCAATTTGATGATGGGGATGGTGCCAGATTGGGAGGACCTTGCCGATGAGGAGGCTGAGGACGAAGACGAAGAGGGCGATGACCGCGGATCACGGAGTCGAATGACTCTCGAGGGAGACGTAGACGATGGCCGGCACTGCTTCTGGTCAGGCGTCGGCGCGCGAGAGTTATCGGCGCCGCTGCTGCTACTGCTGCTACTGCTGCTGCTGCTGCTGCTGCTGCTCGGCACCTTGATCTTGATGATGCGTCTTTGGCCGCCCGAACTGCTGCTGCTCTGGCTGGACGTTGAGAGAGTTGGCGAACTTGGAACGGCAATTTGTCCGAGCGCATCGAACGGGTCTGGACCTGCTGTCGGGTTGACCTTCTTCACCATCTTGCGCTGGCGAATGTCAAATGACTGGAGAGTGGGGGGCGGATACGAATACTGAATCCGCAGCTTGTTGGGCGGGCTTCTGTCTTCAGGCCCCGACATTGCGCCTGCCTTCCGCTTCTTCGTCTTGGCTCGGAGGCTGTCGGTAGTCGAAGTAGACGCGTCGCTCTCGTTGCCGGAGTCGGACTCTTCGGACTCGCCATTGCTCTTGTCTGCGTCGCTTGCTCCACTGCTTCCGCTGGAGCTCCGATCGTCGTCGTCGTCGTCGTCGTCATCGCCCGACGGCTTGAACGGGCGGCCGCCCGGGAGAACGATGCGTCGAGCATGGCGACGCCGTTGGGTTTCGACCAGACCGGCATAAACATCCATCTCGATGTGGGGCTGCTGCTGGGCCGTCGTGTCGCCCAGCTCAAACCCGACACCGTTGGGGCTGTTGGCCAGCAGCGTCTCTGTCTCAAGGTTGGCGCGAGCAAGCTGGCCCAAGAATTCGGGCAAGTGGCGCAAGAGGCCAGAGTCTCGGAGGCCGAGAGCATCGACGCGCATGATGGGCTTGGTCTTGAGGTCGCTGCGCGGCTGGCGGGGCCTCAGATCGACGATTTCGTCCAGCTCGTCGGGCGAGGCTAGAGTTGGCTCGGTAAACTCGGGAAACGCCTCCGAGTTCATGACCTTGCGCTCAACGCGGCGGAGATGGCGGGGGCTGGCGTTTTCAGGCGCCGCTTGGTTGGATAGTTCCATGTCTCTCGGCATGGCCGCTAGAGTCAAACGCAAATATGCTAAAGTATAATGTAAGTCACAGCGTTGCGACCGGCGGGCGGGAGGAGGGGGAAGAGTTAGTTAGTCATACCTTTGACGTTGAGGTTGAAGAGATTTGGAAATGCCTTGATCAAGGCTATGGCTCGCCGGGAAGCGTATGGGTATCCCCGATAGTACTTTTCGGACCACTTTCTGGCCTTGGCTGTCAGTATTGGAAGCGTTTCTTCGTCCTCGTAGTTGAAGTATGCGAGGGCGATATCGACACCCTCGCGAAGGAGAACGAGTTCAGCGCGCCGAGACGAGGAGGTTTCGGCGTGAGGCCACTGGGGCTGGACTCTCGCCGCCACAGAGACTGCCATGGCAGTCGGGAGGCTGGTATAGGTAGAGAGGTAGAAAAAGAAGCCGAAAGCGCAACCACAATTGTATGTAGGCAGGATACAGCCAAAGAAATAAGAGGGTGTTGGTTCAGATGAACCCGATGCGAAGTTGATGGAAGAGGACGGTGCGAGGTTCGGGTGTGATGAGAAAGGAATGAAATAGAAAGAAGAAATGAGGAAGAGGGAAGCCAAGTTAAAGAAGTGGAAGAAGCACCAAAAAGTGAAAGTGAAAGTGAAATAATAGTCAAGGCATACCTTGGGCAGAAGTTGAGGGGGCAGGCGAGCTGTTCAAAGTCAGAAGACAGCTCAGACAGCTGATGGCCAGAGGTGAGCGGTGGCCGGCACGATTGGGTAGGCTGATAGGCTGGGTCACCAGAGCCAGAGACAACAAAAACAAGCTACGGCGGTGCCCAATGCCAGCTGTCAAGCGTTTCGGAGGCTTAACGTAGGTAGGCTAATTCTATCGTTCGGCGGGTGAGGTCCCACGTCCGGGGTAGCGACCTGAGGCTAGGTGGGGTGGGGAGATGCCCCCGGCGTTGTCCTTGTTGTGTAAGAGGTAGGGCGATCGATCCAGAAAGCACAGTTACGTGGTCGTGGTCGTCTGTGGCCGCCACGAAGAGGGCAGGCCTGGGTTGGCCAGTAAAAGAAGCAGAGCCGCTGTCCAGTCAGGTCAGGGGCCGAGAGTGGTGAGAGTGAGCGAGGGAGTGGTTGTGTTGGGTCGCGAGTGCGAGGATGGAAATTGAAGAATTGGAGAGCTAGGCGATTAGCGTTGGACAAGCTTCGGTTAGATTAAAGCTTAATGAAGAAAAGAGCACGTCGACAATGGAGACGGCGCACAACGGGCGCATGGAGAGAAATAAGGTAGAGAGTCTCTGGATAGGATGGAGGTTGAGAAGAGAAACACGGTGCTGTCTGTAGGTGATCCTAGGTCAGGTAAGGGTAGGTAGCCTGAAGATGCGGGCCGCTCCCAAACAGATGGGACTCAAGCAGAAGCAGACGTAGAAGCACAAGCACAAGCACAAGCAGAGTCAAAGCCGTCGGCGTGTAGTTGTGCCCTAGTTGCCGTTGTCGTTGTGGTTGTTAGGTTGGTGGTTGCGTTGCCCTGTGTGCGAAAGCGTTTCGTGTTGTTGTGCGTGCATCTGTTGCGTTTACCTTCCCACCTCTGCTGCATCGCCCAACGGTATGGATCCAAAGATTTGGAAGGTTATCTCCCATACCTTGGTTAGTCGTTACTGAACTTTTGACTTTCTCAGCAAAGGCGTCCCATGGAGCTGGTCGAGCATAAGGTTCGAACTGTCGGAACAGAAGCTTGGGGATCCAGTGCGTTTTGTCTCCACATGATCGCCCCAAGCGAGCCGACTCCATCCGGAAGTTAGCCACCGTACGGAAGTAGCTAACTCGTGCCTTCCCGGCTCTACCCCATGTCCCACCGACAATCATAAATGCCCGTTTTAGTAATAGTGGGAGCTTGCGTCGAGTACCCAGGTACCGAATATCGCAGAGTCAATACGTAAATTCAGCCATGATGTGCACAAACTTGATTTACAGACACAGAGGAACAGCCAGGGAAAATAAGAAACACACAAGAAACAGCAGAGAGGGCAGAGGGCGGGCGGGCAGGGCAGGGAAGGCGACCAAGGTCGTGGCCGTCCGTGAAATGCATGTTGACAATCGAAGAGGCGTCCAACCAACAAGGGAAATGATACAAGCCCCAGAACTTAATAGGCCATCCAGTGTAGCCAGCCAGCCATGCCATCCCTTCCAGCCCTGCTAGGTGTCGTGGGAGACAAAGCTTCAACTGCCCAACCTGCCCCGGTCGGCCTCCCGAATCCCAAACCCCCATGGAGAAAGATACGTAGGTACTTACCGTAGGCAAGGCGGTATTCCGTAGCTTCGTTGGGTTTCTCGACTGCGACCTTCACCCTTCGCAGTTCGCGCTGGCTAGCGGGAGCGGCGGCTACTTGCTACTTATCTTCGCGACTTGCCTGAGGTAGGAACTCAAAAATGGCAGGGCGAGCGCCTGAAAGCGCCAATAACCCGTGGAAGCTAACTGTTGGCTAACAATTCAAGGTTGCCAAGACTCAACCCGCAGCCAGTCTCGACAAGCGCAGCTGACGGGTAGCTGGGGAATAGGACCCCACTGTGCTGCCAGCATGGTGGATGGCTGCCCGCCTCGCCTCGCCTGCCCCTCCACAGGTCACAAGCCGCCCGCGAGGTGTCGACATCGTGGGCATCTCGCATGACGTGGACCGCCGACGCGCATATGGGATCGGGTGTGCTAGAAGTTGGGTGCTGCTGCCGCTGCCCACTGCCGCTGCCGAACTTGACGTGCATTTCTTTTTTCCTTTTTTCCTTTTTTTTGGGAAGTTGAAACAATCCACGCGAGGATTTGTTCAGAAATGTTCCTGGCCTCTAAACCTGGTCCCTCTTGTTTCAGCGTTTCACCCGATACACCCCAGTGCGGGGCAGAATACCCCCTTTTGTAGTCGGCGGGGGGGCCCTCAGCTCACTCACCTCGCCTACGCAGGACACCACACCGCACGCACCTCACCACACCGGACGCCATCAGTGGAGGTCTCGACTGTTAGGCCAGCCAGGGCAGTGATGCCTGGGCGCCTCGTCGCTTCCGTGACCGCCGAGCGCTGCCGGAGTCAAGGTGTGCACTGTGATAGGAGCCCGGCATGCTGGTAATGGAAGCGCTCGGTGTCCCTACCATTATTGCCCACCTCAGCTGGACTCTGGAGGTGTAGGCTCTGTCTCTGCCGTTAGTGGCTGCGACAGACACTGTGTGACAAGCACTCTGAAGCGCCAATTCTAGCCCCTCACTCCTCCTTTGTTGCACCTCATCTAATAATCCGCGGAGGCTACCTTACCTTGTCTTCCACTCGGATGGAAAAGTGACTGGTGACAACTTGGACCTGTCTTTCTTTTTCTCTCAAGCTCAATCCAGACTTTTGCTCGTCCGTCTTCCATCACCACTCTGCCCTGTGCTGTGCCGTCCATCCGATCCCGTCTCTTATTCAATCCCCAAGACCGCCACAACCACTAGCCCTCCGGGTCAGGCTCTTTGTGCCTCCACCGTCGTGCCATTCGCGCCGTTGAAACGCTTGGGAGACATCCTGACGTCCAGAAAAGGGGAGGGGGGACAAACAAAGACCTTTTGCCGACCGCCGCTCTTCTTTGCCACCAGCCTGCCTTGACCTTGACTTCACTTGACAGCGTCTCTCGACCCAGACCCAGACCCAGACCCAGACCCAGACCTAGACCTAGACACCGAAAACGACTCCCTCGCCTCATCCTGCCCAGCCCAGTTCCCAGTGCCGCCCGCCCTACGCTGTGCTCCGTACCTTGCGCTACGCCTCGCGGACCGGCTTACCACACCGCACCCCCTTGGCCGGCTCCTTATCTCCGTCCCTGGATCCTACGCGGAACGCGCACCCGCACCGCACCGCACCGCACGCGCATCAGCCGCCAGTCAGCCACGATGGCGATGCGACCGTCTCTCCCTCTCTTCACGCGCGGCTTGTCATCACTGTCGCAGAGCTCCGACCCCAACTCGCCCAGCGTCAGCTCGCCCGCCGAGCAGCGCGACGATGCGAAGCGCAACTTCCTCAAGGCCATGCGCCCGCTGCCCACCCAGCACTACTGGAACGTCTACTTTGACCGCCAGCAGAAGGACCCGGCCCAGAAGCCCGACGAAGGCGGCCAGTACCAGGTGAAGCTCGAGCAGCTCGGCACCCAGATCGAGAGCGTGCAGGACTTTTGGCGCTACAACAACAACACCCCCGTCGACCAGATCAGGATGCGCGAGTCCATCTATCTCTTCAAGTCGGGCTTCAAGCCCATCTGGGAGGACCGCCGCAACATCACCGGCGGCAGCTGGACTTTTCGCGTGCAAAAGTCAGCCGGGCCTGACATCTGGACCCGCGTGCAGCTGCTAGCCGTTGGCGAGAAGCTGCAAACGGCCTTGGAAGATGGTATATCACCCTCCCCCACTCTCTTCACTGCCTCTGAGAACAATCAAGCTGACTAGTTGCTATTGCAGGCGACCAGATCTGCGGCGTGGGCCTGTCGGTGCGGTTCAACTCGCATCTCATCTCCATCTGGCACCGCGACTCGTCCAAGCAAAAGTCGATTGACGGCATCCTCAAATGCGTGCTGGACGAGCTGCCGCAGGAGCTGCAGCCCAAGCCCGAGAACTACTTCTACAAGAAGCACGCCGACCACGCCGGCTTCAAGGCGCCCCCCGAGCTGCAGGCCGTGCTGGACTCACAGCGCGCCCGCGATGCTGCCGCCAAGGCCAAGGCCGACGCCGATGCCGCCGCCGCCGCCGAGCAGCTCCCCACTCCCCAGGAGCTGGTCGCACCCGCCATCATCGAAACGCCCCCGTCGGGAGGGCAATGAGATTAGAGATAAAATACCGCTCGAGAGGTGGTATGATGGGATATGTGAATGGAATTTAGGGAGGGGGTATATATATACATACCTATATAAGAAACGGGACGCCGAAGAAGCGGGCCCGAAAAAGACGCGCTAACAAAGCGCCACCCCAAGCTATGAGAATGGGGCAATCTAGTACTCAACATCACATCTAAAAAGGGGGTCAAAAGATCAGGTCACTGCAAAAAGGAGTATCTTCTTCGCATGTTTTCTCCCGTTTTGCATATCTCTTGGCGTTGGACACTGACAAGCTCAAATCTTGTATCGTAAGCTTCTGTAACCAGGTCCCGAGAAAGAAAGGCAGGCAGGCAGAGCCAGAGCGCCCTTGAGAGTGGTGAAGTACGTGTTTAGATTGGGGGGGAGCCCCCCCTATTCTCCGTTACTCACCTTCCGCTCAGGATTTGCGGATGGGAGCTTTTCTAGTTAGCCTTGAAAACACCGCAGGTAGTTCACAATAAGAAATAAATAAACGAACGGAAAATAAAAGAAGCAAGAAAAAGGAAGAAAAGGGCCCTGTCACATTTTTCTCACTACCCAACATTACTCATATTATTGTTCCCGGTAACAGGCTTATGTGAAAAAGTCATGATTCGGGCAGTCAATCAGTCAGTCAGTCAGTCAGTCAGTCAGTCAGCCTGGCATGATGACCATGGCATCTGGTAGTTAGTTTTCTCTACCAGGGATGCATGTGCAGATAGATAGGTAGAGAGCATGGCGCGCCAAGAGGTAGGTTGCATGATGTATTTATTGTACTGCAAGTAGTCTCGTCGCTCGCTCGCCTTCAACATACCGTAGGTCGGTACCTACCTAGGTAGTAGGGTAGTCTCAACCATGACGCGACCGAACAAACAGGGAGGGTGATAAACACAAGCAAAGCAAATGAAACGAAACAAACAAAACTAGCATGAGAACTTCATTTACCCCCCCCCTACACATCCTTTTTCCCGTCTTTTGACGGTAGAGTACGTATCGCACAAAACAAATTGAGACTACAAGACTGGAAACGACGAGCCACACACGACCTGGCTCTGCGTCATTGAAGAGGAATGGATTATGTCTCTCTCCCCCACTCTCTTTCTTTCCGGGGAATGGATTGCAGGTTGAATCTGAGATTCTACCCCATCACACACTGCGCCGCTTCCTGTTCGCTCGGCACTTCCCCCCTCACCCACACTCCAAATCATGCCGTTTCAATAAAATACATTTTCTGGGTGCCCCATCTCTTCTCTGACTTTACGCCTCAGTCTTGCCTGCGCACATCGAGGGGTAATACCCCCCCGCCGCCGCCCAGGAATTTGGTTTCTTAATGATGAGGCGGCGGGCCGTGCGTGCGGACGCGGACGCGGGTTTGGATTATGTGTAGTGTCTCGAATCGAAACTCGAGCCGTTAATGACAGCCTGGAAGGGGGAGGCCGATCCTACTGTAGGCTCTTGACTGTTGTCCCAGGTCTCGGGTCTGGCTATCCCATTATTGCGGCACGCCCCTTATCGGTGGCGGGTTCCAGGGCTGTTGAGAGGAACATCCATGGGCTGGCGACTTTGCAGACCCTTTGATCGTTGTATGGATTACCCGTGGGTCAAGCAGCACGGCCGCTAGATTGCTCCTAGTGGGGCTCATGGTGCTCGCCGTCCGGTTTTCATCCCGTCGCGCTGCCACGTGAGCACGTAATATAGTCTCCGCCGTTGGCAGCAAGACATGCATGATACATAGACGTATAAGATATATGCGAATGCGCGAACATGAATATTTTTTTCAGCAGGGCTGCCATCACCTCCAGACGCCGGCGCGGCGCATGACGTTGTCGAACTCGTCCTTCTTGACGCCGCGGCCGATGCCGGCGCCGCCGTTGGCCTCGAGGATCATGTCGCGCAGCAGGTCTTCGCTGATGTCGTCCTCACGCAGCACGACAGCCACGCGCTTGAGGTGGGCCATGGTGATAGCGGGGGCGTCGGCGGCGCCGCCGGCGAACAGGGCGAAGGCCTCGTCGACCTCGCGCGCGTGCTCCTCGCTCGTGTGCTCGCGCGCATGCAGCTTGAGAGCGCACACGGCCACGAACGACGCGTACGTCGCGAAGCCCTCGTCGTCGGGGTCCAGCACCGCTGTGAACTGGGACAGCTCGGCCCTGTCGCTGGGCGGGATGCCGAGGGCGCTGCGGGGAGGGGTGGTCAGAGGCATGCTGCGCGGAAATGGAGAGGTAGGGCAGATGCACATACATCATAGCGCGGCGCACGTCGCCAATGGGAATGACGCCCTCCTTCTCTCCGTCCATGGGCTCGGCGAAGAGGCCAAAGGCCTCCTTGATCTCAACCTCCTCTGCGGCGGTGATGTTGTTCTCTTTGGCAAGCTTGGACACGCGTGGTTTGGGGGCTGCCGATGACGCGCCGGCGTCGGCAGCCGTTGCGGGTTGGCGTCGTTTGGCAGGCTTCACGTACACAGGTGTCAGTAGTTGCGCGAGAATGGCCTTTGGAGAGGGAATCGGGCCTCACCATTTCTGCAGCTGTCTTTGTGGCTCCTCGCCTGCCGGCCTCAATCACGCACCGTCTACGGAGCAGTCCTTGGCCGCTTGGGCAGCAGCGCAAGAGATCCTGGCCAAGCTATAGAGCGCAGGCTGGTTGGATATTGTATCTTTGCGATGTGGGTCGCGAGCGAGAGACTGGAAGCTTGTTCGGGGGGCGGTGGGGTGGCCTCGTGTGGATGTGGACACTAGAAGCTAGACACTAGAAGCTAGTATGTACGGGCCCGCAGGGATATTAATTGGGTCCGCGATAAAGGCAGCGCCTGGTCACGTGGTCGCAAATTCTCAGCCTGGATCCAGAGCCTATAAAATCTGTGCCGAGAATTATTCCTCTTTCCTACTTAAAATTTTACCAGTTGGGAACTCACCAACCCAACAACAGCTAGCACCGGCGAGGAAGACCACCAAGTGGCCAATGGCTCAAGATTCAGCATCTGGCCATTCATCATAGGAGCAGTTGGATTTTCTGCCCACCCTCCCGCTTGTCCTTCCAGATCCCTTTCAGGGGGGTCGGAACATTGAGAAGCAACGGGAAGGGCTCGAAAGGGTACAACCAAACAGGCCTCGATAAGAGAGGAAGTCCTTAATCGGGCTGAACAACTCTTTGGGCCTGTGAGCCTCTCCTTTGTCTTTCTATATTATCCTCCCATCCCCCCAATTGCCCCTTGCCCCTCGCCTTCGGGCAGCTTCATCATTTATGCTAGAGCTCGCCACCTACCCAAAACATAACCCAGGGCGGCAGAGTGTGGACATTGAAGCGAGATTGAAAAAACAACCCTGCCGATGTTCTTCGCATTTGGCACGGTTCCGACTAGCTTACGCTTCGCCTGGACTTTTTTTTCTCAATAGTCCTGGCGGTATGGGGCTTGTGGAGACATTGAATTATCCCCCTTTTTTTCTTGTTTTGGTTGATGAATTGCTGCCATACCGGCAGTACTCTGCTCCTCTAGAAATAATGGAGTTCTTATTCCCTCCACTCTTGTTACTTGGTGTGTCCTGTATCTCTGCGTGCTTGATTCTGGTGTTTGCTTGCCAGTTGATTAGATGAGCTATAATAAGCGCTACGGCGATTGCTCCATGGTCGAGAGTGATGCTGCTGATGTTACCGCCGGCGAGGATTCTCACCATTGCCTTAGCTGCCACGTATGTACGATGGCTACACGACCAAGGACTGAACAAGACACGTCTTCCCGAAAGAGAACCAGGCCCGGGCACCTCGACGAGACAACACTCAAGCATTTAAGATATGTATGTGCATACAACCAACACGCCCCGGCAGCACCCCATCATCTACATACATAGCAAGCTATCGTCGTCGCCTGTATCAAGCTAGCAAGCAAACAGTGAAATGGCCATAGCTCCGCTGGGAGAGCGTCAGACTGAAGCCTCGACTTCACTCATCGTATCTGAAGGTCATGTTTTCGAGCCACATTGGCCACATTTACCTCGCAATGCAGCTTGGGATCGGGAATCCCGGTTTCTCTTTTTCTTTCTTTCTTGGTGCCGCCTGCTTGCCATGAACTTGCGTTGGTTGATTGAGACTGAGTGATAGACGGTTGCAGTGTTTTGCACGTTATCCCATTCCCTTTTCTTTCCCAGGTTGTCGAATCTCGAGTCACGGTAGGGTGTGCGATATGGTCAAGGACAGGGAGTTGATTGGTATTTGCATTTGTATTTGTACAGTTATCCAGCCAGCCAGCCAGCAACTGCCTCCGCCCGGCCGGAAGGAACAAGGCCTCAGACTACAGGTTGGACTTTCCAAGAGAACGAGCAGGCATTTCTTCTTCTCTGCAGCCACACCAAAGACATCAACCCTCGGGCTTTATACGCAAAGATGATTTGCAGCATTACGCGCCTCCTATGTCCGATGTGGGACGGGTCCTGATCACCTACTTGAAATTGTTTTTCAGCTCCCTGAGCTTGGTCATGATGGCCACCGGCTCCGTCTCGCCCGTCACCTTTTGGATTTTCGGGTCCTGCGGTCTCATGAAGACATTGTGTTCCTAAGGGGTGCGTGGTCAGCATGACCGATGACTTGAAAGCTTCAACTTCACGGTGGCAAGAGACAACAAACCTTCTCATCGCCAATGGTAAACTTCCCCTGCGTCTCCTCGTTTCCGTCGGCAAAGGCGCTCAGCGCCTTGACGGCCTCGCTCTGGAGAACCGACAGGGCAAACTTTACGTTGGACTTGGTGTACTCGTGGCCGGGCTGCGTGGATAAGCAGCATGAGTTAGTATACACATCCGAGCCTAGCATTGTCGGTTGTCAAGAGACGTTCAGACTAAAACTCACAAAGACTCGAGTGTCGTCGGGCAGAGAAGCGAGCGTCACGTTGAGCGCCTTGTGCATCTCCTCGCCGTTGCCCTCAAAGAACTTGCCACAGCCTGGGAGGAGCAACGCGGCCTCAGCAAAACAACACAGCGGCGGTAACAGGTAACATGTCCCACGGGACAGAGGAACAAGGGAGGGGGCAACATACCGCCGTGGAACAGCGTGTCCCCGGTAAAGACGACCTTGTCGTCGCTGTCCTGCATGAACCAGCAGATGCTGTCCTGGGTGTGGCAGGGCGTGTGCAGTGCCGTGACGGCGATGCTGCCGATGTTGAACGTGTCGCCGTGCTTGGGCGTCTTGGTCACCTGCTGGCAGTCCTTGCCGCCGATGATCTCGAGGGGTTTACCTGCCAGCTCGGCGAGCTGAGACACGAGAGCCCGGCGTGGTCAGCAGGAGTGATTACCTCCCTTCGGGGATTGGCGCCCCAACGGCAAGAAAGACAGAGGGGACCACAGAGTAATGTTGGTTGCGACTCACGAGGTCTTTGTTCCCGCCGGCATGGTCCCAGTGGCTAGGCAGAAAGAGGTCAGTCAGCCGTCAGCCAGCCTTGCTGCACAGAAGAGCAGACACGACGTACTGGTGCGTGTTGACAATGGCCGTCAGGTTGATTGTGCCGTCCTGTATGGCCTTTTTGAGAACGGGGGCAACTCTATCCGACACCGACCACGCGATGTTCAGCGAGTTGCGATTGCTCTGGTGGAACACACAGGGGCAACATACTCGGACGGGTGTGCCGGATCAATAATAACAGCATCCTTGGACTTGTCATCGACGACCAGGTAGGCGTAGTTGTCGCTAGAGCCCACCCCTAATTATTCCGGACACGGCAAGGCAGTGAGTATCAGCGCCGGCAAGGCTGGGCCCACCCAGGCCGAAGGTCGACAGAGAGAACTTATGAACAAACATACACATGGGGATCGACTGGATATGCATTGCGCGGATTACAGCAGGCTTTGGTCGGGGAACGAGATGTTAGCACCCTGCAGAGATTGAGAGTAGGCAACACTGTAAATTTATAGCACCTGACGATAGCGGACGAGAGGACACTGGGAATAGAGTGAGAATGAGAATAAAAATGGGGGTCCACTTACAATTCGTGCGGGGGCGGTGCTATGAGTTTGAGGCCGTCGTGTTGGAATAAAGAGACACCTTCGGGCAGCCAGGGCATTCATCTGGAACAGAATACCCAAGGTAAGGTAAGGTATGTGTGCGTCGAGAGCGGCGATGAGGGGAGACAGACACAAGTCGTATTAGTCAGGCCGGTCCGGATCGGATCGTGGATGGCGTCTGCACTGCGGAGTACTTATGCAAGTAAAGAGCGAGATCCCATGGTATGGTGCGGTTGCGTGGGTGACGTTATTGGTGCACAGTGCACCACATCCACCACCCCCTGTATGTCTGGCAGCCAGGCACGTGATAGCCCTGTTCATCAACAACACCGACACTATCAAAAAACAGGCGGCGTCATACATAGCTAGATATCTATATCCATGGCTGAGGTATACCGGCGGCGTATCAAGGGAGACAAAATATGCCAACAAGAGACAATGTAATATCTTCACTCAGACCACCCCGATGGGCTTGGGCACCCAGTCATCTTCCTCGTACAGTGACCAGCTCGGCAGCGGCGGCCCCTTGGGATGCGGCGACGAAGCTGATCGCTCCATGTGCTCTTCTTGCATCGGCCCAGAGTCCATCTCCTGCCGCTCTCCCACTTCTTTGATCTCCTGCCATGTCCTGCCCAGCTCAGCTCTCACGCGCTCAATGTCTCGCGAGAGGTCACGGCCGTGGTCGAGCTTCATGCCACTTGGCGGCGTCGTTTCCGTCGACCCCGTGGCAGCAGCAGCAGCAGCAGCAGCAGCAGCAGGCCTAGCTTCCAGCAGTTCCCGCGCAAGCAGAACCGACCTCCGCAGGACCCTACTGTCGGTCGTGCTATCCGTGATCGAGTCCAGCGTGGTCAGCACCTCGGCTTCGTTGAGCCTCTGGATGTCCGCCAGCAGGGCCGCCCTCGTAGAGTCCTGCTCCGGCGCCGTCTCGAGATACCGCATGAGCAAGCCGCGGCATTTGCTGTCAGAAGAAGTGACCGGTCGGCTGCTACTACTCCTGCTGCTATTATCATCTGACAACGACACAGCAGCGGCGGCGGCAGGCTCGGGCAGCAGCAGCAGCAGGTGTTTCCAGTAGTAGTCCCAGATCCAGTCGAGGGCCTGTCTCGCGGCGGCGCGCAGGCGCGTCAGTGACGGCAGCTGCTCGTGCGTCGCCTGGTGGCGCAGCTCGACAAACGTCGCCGGCAGCCCCACGCTCTTGGCCACCCCGTACATGGACATTTTGCGCTGCTTATCTTGGTGGCTGTCCAGGAGGCCCGTGACGAAGCTGGCGGGGATGGGTTAGTTGGAGCAGCAAACCAACACCAACATGAACAAGGTTGACATAGTGAAAACATACCGACTGAACGCGGCCGAGTACGCCGCCCGCACCGCGTAGCTGCTCGACGAAAGCGCCGACCCCGACCGAGAGCCCGACACCGACACGGGCCCCCCGCCAGCCAGCCAGTCGTCCGCCGCTGCCGCCGGCGATGCCACAAGCTGCTGGTCGCCGAGGATGGCGGCCGTCAGGAGCGCCGTCGACTCGACCATGTGCGGGCAGTTGCCGCGGTGCATCCACACCGACACGCGGGCCACGGCGCGCTGCTGGTTTTGCTGCTGTTCGGTATGGGCGTCGCCATTCTGTGGCGGTATTGTTTGTCGTTGTTGGCTATCGTCGTCGTCGTTGTTGCGGTTGGGGTAAAACTGTCGCCGGACCGCCAGCAGCTCCCCCCGCTCGCGCCACGGCGTGAATATGTATTGCACCATGTCTTTTCCCACTTGGGGTTGAAGTTTGAGCTTTGAGCCCCCCTCCAAAAAAAAAAAAAAAAAAAGCAACTATTTTCTTTTTTTTCACGGGCAGATTTCCCCAATGGACGTTGCTATTTTGGGCCGGCTTCTAACGTGCTTGGGTCGATTTAAGATTTGAAGCCACTGCAAACAAGATTTTGGGTTTGGGGAGTTTGATGAATCTGAGGGTTGCGCGGGCGGCAACTGAAAAATTTTGAAGCGAGTTTGGCAGGCGACATGGAAATGGTGTTTAGGCGTATTCATTCACAGATTCGCATTACCCACACCAGTAGACCAGGTGCTCTGTTTTTTTCGTTGAATCCACTTTCCTCTCGGGCTAGATGCAATCTCTCAAGTCACAAGTCTTTTATCTATATCAAGGTCTGACATGTAGAGGTACAGTCTCAAAAACAAACTCGATAGATCCGGCCGGACTTAACCCAAGTCCTTCACTGTTTGGGAAATCCGTTTCTTTCTACTGGTGCTTTAATTAGGCAAGTAGGTACGGTCCCTTAACTAAATGACTCTTGCAATTCAGGATGCGTCATTTCTTGTTGTTTCTTGTTTGTTGTTTCTTGTTTGTTGTTTCAGCACGCTTTAGTATATATAAAAAATACACTTCGAGCCTAAAACGGTGCAACCGCTTGGATCTTCGCCAACGCTAAGGATTTCAAGACGTATGCTTTTACCACACGTTTTGCAGACCCTGGCAAAATTTCAACCCACAACCACGTGTGCTGCCCCACAACTCCACAGTCCCCCACATCCGGAGCTTTTGAGCTAACGTGCTTACCTAAGCGGTAACACCAAGATAACATTGCCCCTATTTACAAAGTTCGCTTTGCAGGACAGACAGAAGATGTGATTCCACAACAATGGTTCTTCAAGATATAGAATCAAGAACAGCGTATTGAGTTTAGGTGTCTCTTTGGGTCTACCAACTACCAAATACTTTTTAAGAATTAATATCGACACTTTCCCTGGCAAGCAAACTGCCGAATAGGGCCACGTCTTGAGACGGAAACCTCTGGGGGTGTTGACTAAGGCGCCACCAGCCCAGTCGCTGTCCCGTAAAAGAAAACCCCGGGTATCTAGTTTTATTCCAGTTGCCTGTGCCACATATATCCCAAGCGCCAGTCCTTGTCCGTTGAAATCATTTTATGTCGTAATAATCGTACACCATCCCCCTTAAAGAAAGGCTCGAACGTGTCTGGTTTGGGCATCATGCCTTATTCGTCCTGTTCGTCGTCATCTGCATCGTCCTCACTCTCTACGTCCTCGTCGTCACTTGCGGGAGGCTCCCAGGCATCCTCAAGCTTAAGACCCTTCCCAGTCGGCTCTGGATACGAGCCAGCGCCCCCGAGTAGCGAGAAGATGGTCGACCTATGGAGGTCCAGAATCGGGTTCGTGGCTGTCTTGTCCGGAGCATCATAAAGTCCCATGCCGTACAGAATCTCGCCTTCCGATTCATCATCTTCGAGAGGTTGGTAAGGAATGGAGTCCTCCGTGGCCAATTTCGTCTCCACCTTCTGGGCTTGAACAAAATCCTCGGGCGTTGGCGGAGCAGTATCCCTGTCGAAGCCACCTCGAGCTGCAAAAGATTCCCAGTCCAAGGTGCCATCCACCACCCTCGGCCCAGGCCGGCACGCAGTCTCCGACATCGCGCCTTCGGATTCGCGACTCGAGACGTAGGCTGGCGGAAACGTCGGCGCTTGCTGGATAGGAAACGCCCGGTTGATGGGTGAGCATACCTGCTGCGAACCAAAGCTTGAATATGGTAGAGACAGCGGCGAGAAGTTCAACGACGGTGACGTGTAGCCGGAATAGGGCATGGGTGTTGGCGGCAGTTGCTGCACATTTGAAATCGTTTCCCCGTCGCCGTAGTGCTGGTATGGATAGTACATATTCGTCTGGATGGGGTAAAGCTGTTGATGTTGTTGCTGCTGCTGCTGCTGCTGTGGCGGCTGCCGCGGTGGGTATTGCGAGCTTGGATGCCAGCTGACGGGGCGGGCCTGTTTCCTTTCTTGCTCGAAAAGCGGCCCGTTCTGCGTCTCCGAAGTTGGAGTGGGTAGGTAGTGCATATCAAAGGCATGCTGTGGCGGGAGGCGACCCTGAAGACCCTCGCCGATAAATGTCTTCCTCCGTGACTGCAAGATGGCAGAGTGAGGACTGTTGTTTGCACTCCCGGGCTTGGTTATTCTCATCGGGTGGCCCGCCCGCTGGCTTCCAGACGCCGATCCTCTCGAGTGACGCCTCGAACTGACGGCGGCAAGTTGCCGGGAGAAATCGTCGAACATGGTGTTGACTGTGAAGCCTGCGTTTGTGGGAGGCGGACCGACCATGTTGGTGTGAAGGAAGGACGGCATCATCTTGATGGCGACGACAAGATATGCTGCGGTGGCGAAGACATGGGGAGTGTGAAGAGGAAGGATAGGATATATAAGGCAAAGGAGGCTGCTAGGTACCGAGCTCTGTGCGGTAGTCTAGGGAGGTAAGGTAGCTGGCTTGACTCGGGAGTTGAGAAGCGGGTGCGTCAGGGGGAGGGCGAGGATAACAATATGGGGACGGCACACAAGAGGGACGCCGTTGATGTGGAGTCCGAGGCAATGTATGTCTGACCAGGAGAGAAGATTCTGATGAAGGTAAATCCAACCCAGTTTGGGTAGCTGGAGGAGCCATGATGGCGGCGTGCGTGGAGAGAGAGATAGACAATAATAAGAAAGTATGGGCCGTTTTGGCATGCTTGTCTGGTCTGGTGTGGGCGAGAATGCAAGTCGACGGGCGGGAGCTTGTCCTTGGCCTCCTTGTCATTCCTTAGCTTAGCTTTGATGGCCTGCGTCATACGGACGCGCAGGGATTGTTTAGCCTGCCTGACCTCGGCGAGGGTCTGAGAGGGTTTCGGCCTCTCTGTGTCGTGTGCAATGTGCATACCATACCATACCTTACCTACATGGGAGCTGCAAGGCCGAAAGGTGGTATGGGATGGGATGAAATGGGATGGAGATGGGCGGATAAGGAAGCAGCGTTCAATGTTAGCTGAGGAAGGGTCCAGTCTGGGCAGGGTTACAGGGGTGTGGGGGGGGACCACCCGGGGGAGGGGGGAGAGCAAAAAAAAAATACCAAAGACAAACCAAACCACATTCCATCCTCGCCGCGGGCCGTGGGCTGCTTGAGGCAGGATGCCGGGGGGGGCGTTGGTGGTGGGCGGTCAAGCGGAGCATTGAGGCGGAAGGGAGCAGCATCGCTAGCGCACTGTAGTGTCTTCTCTTGGGAGGAGGTGCCGCCGACGGCTCACTGGAGACGGCGCTAGCGTAGTGTGGAGAATAAGGTGCCAAGTGAGTGCTGAGTGCTGAGTGCTTGGTGCATCAGTACGTACCTCTGCTCCGTAGTGGCCATACGTAGTATACATTAAAGTGGATACATGCAGGGCCGAGCAGGTACCTGCCCTCCACCATTCCACCTCTCGCCAAATGCTGGGTGGCACTCCGTACCTTGTTCTGTATTCCGCTCTCCGTCCTGCCCGGCCAGGAAGTGTTCGAACTTGGGTGGTGGAAGGGGAGGGTAGGCCGGTCGTGTCTCGGCGGGCAAAGAAAGGCAAGGTACCTTGCCGTCTTAGGTACGCAAATTGCCTGAGGTACTGTGTACGAACAGGTCGGAGACCGAGAGGACTGTCGCGGGCGGACAATCCCTGTGCCCTTTGTTCCATTTCTCAGGAAGCCAAACCAAGCACCGGCGACGCTGCGCCAAAGGAGCGCTGAGAAGGCAGATCCCCCGGCCCTCTGGTCGGGCGGGTGGGCGGCTGAGAGAAACAGGAACAGTGAGGTGGTGAGTGGAGGCACGGCGGAGCTTCGTATGGCACCTAAGGAAGGAAGGTACCTTACGAAGCAGGTGACACCACGCAGGAGACTAAACATTGAAGATGAGGTACGGAATACGTCTCGGGTGGCGCAAGAACACACCTGAGAAGGCAGTATGGTAAGTACCGAATACCTCCGCACAAGTACGGGCAGCAGGACTGGACTAAGCCCGGGCAGTGGCACGCCCAAGCAACAAAAAAGCAAACCAAGACCTGGCGTACGCTGGGCCAGCCCAGCCTAGGTCCGGTTCCGAAGGGAAGATTGGACGGAAAAAAGTTTAGACCTCCTGTCCGCCTGCAACGGGCCTAGTAGTGTAGGTACCTACCTAAGGTAGGTACCCTGGTAAGAACCTGGAAGGTAGTGCGTAAGGTAGTTTGAGTGTGCCAAGGCGCCCACCATTGGTATTCTTGTGTGCAGGTGGGTGGTCCAAGGGAGGGGGAGTTGAATGAATGGGGTCGCAGGCGCCGATGCGCCATGGCTGAGGTGTGGCGCGTCCTGTGCAAAAGTGCTTTGGCTCATTCTCATTGCCTTCCGGTGGATGGTCAGGGAAGGGAAGACAAATGGAAAGGGGGAGGCCAGGCCGCTCGGTTCCAGGCGACATGGGGCTACCGGCTTGGGATGGAATGGGAGAAGCCCTGCCTGTGTGTCCAAAGTGGTGTGTGTGCCGGGCTGTCGAGGTACCCACCTTGGGAATTTGGCGCAAAAAAGTACTTTTAGGTTGGGTGGGCTGCTGAGATTTCTCCCTCAAAAATCCCATAGATGGATCTGCTGTTTGCCGTGTGTTGCCCACCCGCGCGCCCTCCTGGCACTGCTTGCTTGCTTGCTGGCTGGCGGGCTAGGTGGGTCCCCTCTGCGCTTCGCCTGTGTGTGGGACGGCGGCTTGCGTCCCACGCAGATGCTCGCCATCGCTCGCACGCACGAGACGCCGGGGGGCGTGTGCGAGCTGGGGTGAGAGCTGGGGTGAGCTGGGGAGGCACCGAGAGGATTCCGAGACGGGACTGTGTGTTCCGTCAACCTCCAAGTCCAACCCGCAGGCAATTGAAATGTAGTGGCGCTACTCCAGTAGGCAGAAGGGAGGGGGGGGGGTGGCCCAAGAGAGGCCAGCTGTTTCGAGAGGTTCCAATTCTACACGCGGCGCGACTCACGGGTCGAAACAGCGAAATGGGCGCTCCCCTCAATCTGGGCTCCACCGATGTAGAAAGAAAAAAAAGGAAAAGCCGTCGCTGCATGCACACCCGCCCTGGTCGTTCGTTTGTTGCGCGGAGGTTTCGACTCTCGAAATATTGCCCTGCCCTGCCTGGCCACGCCGCCACGCCACACCTTCCAGCTTGCAGCAGCAACCCAGGCCACGGCCGCAATCGGGAACACTTGCCAGAATGCCATGCCACCACGGCTTTGGAGCCACACTCTCGCCCACGGACACGAAAACTGGCCGCCGGCAGCGTTGTTCTTGTCATGTCAACCTGCCCCCGATTCGGAAGCTTTGAACATGCACATGTTCGTGTTCGCGTCTGCAGTGCCCACCTCAGGCTCTTGTCCAGTTTCCCGTTCAAACGCGACATACCGGTACAGTACATGAACCAAAGTGGCCACTTGCTTGCTGTATTGGATCGGATTATGGATTTTCAGCCGGTAACCTGACTGCCCTGGTTAGGTTGGCTGGCCTACTAGTGAACCATGGTTCGCCATGTTTAGACTTGTTTGGTGTCAGGTGGCTGGGGCAGCGATCGTCCATTCCTGATCTCAGAGTCCCTTCCACAATAAAACCCCAACAGCCGTGCGCGGCCGGCTCTCAAGCTGCGGCGAAGATTTGCGGAACACCTTACTGACCTCCCAAAAGGAAAGATTCCTTTCCTGATCTCCTCGTCACAGCCCCCCACAAAGTACATATGCCGCTACCTAGCGGATGTTCTACATGCCGGAGCAGACTTCCAAGCACTTTTCGGGATGTCTCCCAATTCTATTGCTGGCCTGGTTCTAGGTGTACCTCGACACGGACTCTGCGCTCTTGTCTCTTTATCAAGCTCAGACAATTTAACAGCGGGGGGCGGGGTAGGACCAAAACAGCCAATAACTAATACAAGTGAGGTTGTTCCAAGGCGGATCTTCCGGGCAAGTTCACCCTAGCAAATCCATACCAAGAGGTAGCCCGCCATGTGAAAATGTTGCAAATTGATGAAAAGAGTACCTCACTCGCCTTGCCTGGACACGTCGAATCCAGGGAGGTCAAAGGCAAGGTAAAATGAAGGCATTGTATCTTCCTATTGACCAAGGTACCTAACCTACCTACCTACCCGACCTTGTGGTGAAGCAGAAGTGGTGAACTGTATAGGTAAGGTAATATGTACCACTGGTAGTCTGTGCCTCTGTGGGTTCGTGGAAGAAGCAAAGAAATATTTAAGTTAGGCGCGCATCTCCGCGCAGTTGGCCTATCGATGAAAAGTGTCGGGTACATGCGGACTTAGTAAGGCCGGGCAGCCTAGACTACAGCTGCTATAAAAGCTGCAAGTTAAATGCGTGGCAAGACTAAGCGGGTCGAATTGCAGGTATGTACCTAGGTAGTGTCAGCAGAGCCAAGGAGGCGTTGGGAGATGAGTTGCTGCTGGACTGGAGTGGTGCAGTTAAAGAGCAATGCATGAGTATGTACATGTACCTAGGTACTTCGCTTCTCCGTGCTTAGAGTACCGAATGTCAGCATTGCGCGGCGAGCTTTGTGCTCAAGGCGGGTGTGGCAACGTCGATAGTAAAGTACTGTGGTAAGGTGCGTGATGTACATACATCCAGGTTATTTAGAGTCATGGACATGGACACTGGCAAAGATCCATACCCAATCGCACCTTCCCCTCCCCCTGATGGAGAATTGTGATTGGATGGCCAGCATGACAGACCTTGCAAGTATCTCCTTCCATTCCACCCGCCTTCAATTCTAGATGGAGACTACGGATCCCTTCTTGTGCAACATGATGTTCGCAGCCGTCCACCGCCTTGGACATTCGACTTTATGAATGTGCATGGTGCGCAAATTGGACCGCGACAAAAGAATCCTACGCCTTTTACTCACACTCATCTGGACCGTTGCCATTTCGTCGCAATTGCTACCTGCCTTCTTGCCTGGCTGAGAACAGTCATCTACGTATCGTACATACCCTACATGTATTCGGTAGTCATATGCTCGTCCGAGAAAGCAATCGGAAAAGTCTCGGTCGACGGTCATCAATGGAGAGCCCGAGATCAAACAGGCAGGGGAGAAAACCACCAGTTCTGCCTTTAGTGGATCAACCGAGTGAAGCTCAAGCGTCACGGATTTCCGGTTCACCCAGGCAGGCCTCATTAAGGTGATCTCCACGAGTCCACATCGAGCAACCACAAGGGTCGTGCATCCGGTGCATCGCAACTCGCCTGGACGTCGAGTCGAGAACTGAAAAAGGCTGAAACTTGATTCGCCGCATCAGCAACCAAACGGCCAGAGAGCTACTGCAGCAGGGACACCACAGCACCACCCACACCTCCCACCACTCCAGACTCCGCCAAGTCCAGCGGCCCACCCACTGGAACTACCTAAGGAAGTACCTACGGTGCGGATTCGACATCACAATTCCACACTAAAAGGCCTTGCCGGGCTAAGGCTATTTTCAGCATCCCGGCTCGTCGTGTGTCATTGGACCTAGCACGAAAGAAAACAACCGCGTTCTGCGAGCTTCTTCAGCCTCTAGTTCAATTAGTCCGGCTTGTGGAGACTAGTCTTTTTTCCCCTTTCTTTCCTTTCCTTTCCTTTCCTCCTCTTTCCCTTTGTGGGAAATTTCGTCGAGTCACGAATCACGACAGGCCACAATGCAAGCGCTGGATACGCCCCATCAACAAACAGGCAAAGATCTCCAAAATCCGATGGAGCGAGCTTGCCTAGCCGCACAATGCGTGCGCGTCATGTCCTGTCTCCTGAGGCCGTGAGACTGAGACCGTGACTCAACTACCGCCGACATGCGCCGCCGGAAACAGGTTGGAGAACGGAAGACACTAACGAGCGCCATTTCAGACCCGGCCGGTGGCCTTCTGGGAAATGGAAAGCCATGTTGCATCGGCCCCAGACACGCTTCGCAGCCCTTGGACGGATTGCTGTCATCAATTCATGATCGGCAATCCTGAACGACGGCGAAATATCCAAGAGTCTGGGGCCTCCCCAATTTTTTTGGGCCATGGGTCATGTACATACGACACGGATACACGTACACTATATCTTAACGGACCCGTGATTCCATGCAAACACCAATAGAAGGCTCCTTCTTTACACACCCCCTGTGCGGTTGACACGACTCTATCAGCCGCCTCAAACACACACCTGCAGTCTGACGCTTCCGGTGGCTCGTTTTTGACACAAGTCATACGGGGTCGCCCACTGGACTATACCCCGTACTACGTTCGTGTACTGTGTAGCGTCTAGCCATGTCTGATAAACCTACCCCCCCTCCCCCCGCGCGCGGTGCTCGCGGCGACCTGTTTCTCCATCAGCCGCCCGGCCCGGATATTACGACATTATGAATTCTCGAAAGCAACAAAAGATAGTACAGATGCGTTTTGAACCCGGGGCTTACCGAGACCGACATCGCCACAAGCAGCAATATTAGCGCAGAAGAGACGTCCCTCGTTCGATATATATTTTCTACAACGATGTGGATGCGGATCCCGAACTTACCGTCAGTGTCAACAGCAAGTTGGCAATATCTCCCAGCTGCGGCCTCCTGACATATGATAGGCCAAGAACACTATTCTGGCAATGCCGGCGCATGCGCGCTGTTCGGAAGGCGTCCAGAAAGGCGACTTCAAGAAGGCATTTTGGCCCACAACACAACGACAAGGGTCGTCTTTAATATTTGATGCCAGCACCTGATATAAATTCCAACTGCCCACCCAGATCGGTGACTACGTAGTATGGTAGGTACATACATACCTCCTGGGGGAAGGGGCGCGGCCAGGGTCCAAGCCAAGTCACCGAGCCTGTCGGCAGGTCATCTCGATGATCTAAAAAGAGGCAACACAAAAAGGAGGATCCCGACCTCCACCCGCAAAATCCATTGCCATGGGTCTTAGGGCGGCAGGGTTCCCATCAGATGGAGCACGGGCCGCTCGATGCGTCTGCGCTTCGAGCACTCCGTCGAGCCAGCCAGGCCCGCAAGACGTTTGAATGGCGTCTGTGAATTTTCCTAATCCCTGTGCCGGAGCGCCCAGCGAAGGCAGCCATGATTGGGCGGGCCCGACATTGTGAGCCAATTTGCTTGCATCCTGTCATCACACTTCAAATCCCACCAACAAGACCCCGGTGAAGCCCCCAGCTTTCAAATGCAGCTCCAGGAAACTGTTTCAAGGCCGCCATGCTCTTTCGGGCTGTCACTGCGTTTCCCAACCCTTGCCTCGAAGTGGTATGCCGTGCAGCCTGCGACCTTGAGAAGTGGGAACTCTCTGATGCCTTTGACCTTGGGTTGTCAAGACTTCAACGTGGAACAAACATGGCGTCAAAAAAACCTAGACTGATTTGTGCCAATTTGTGTGGAACCAAAGTTGGCTAACTACGATAGTTGGTGGGTATTCCGTGAGCCCAAGAACTGCAAAGACGGCGGCCCAACCAACGTGGCTGTCGCAGCGCATCAGAACTCTCATCATCACTACGAACGGTACGGAGCAGTATCACTCGAGCCGGACGACCATTTCATCAGTTTCTTGTACACAAGGGGCAAATGCCATCAGGTTGGCAACCACAAGTTTCAAGACTGCAGGGCGCGCGGCCCACATGCTGCGTCGCCAAAGTGTCGTACATCCACAAGAAGAGTCGGCTCACAATCCTGAGGCCAAAGCATACAGTACCAAACGGCTCATCAAAAATCGGCGTAAACCCCGGCAATGGAATCGGTCGAATCTTCCACGGCGAGGTCGATCCATCCTCGGATAATAATTGGCCGCTACAAGCTGCAAATAAGGCATCAAGTCTAGTGGAGGCTGAACGTGAAGGTCTCCTTAGCCGCCATGACGCATTTGCGTCTGTACGTACATATGTACATACGCGTGCACAGCAAGGAGTGCACCACAATGTGCACCCGTATTATACTGCATACATCGAACCGTCTGTCGTTTGCTGTGGAAGTTCCGACTGGACAGTTCCGCTCACACGTCGGTCACTATGCCACACGTCCGCGCACCGGCTCGCCTCGCACCAAAACGCGGTGGTGGGTGACGTTAGCTCCAGTGCAACACCTGATTCTGTGCAGTCGGTGGAACATCGTTCACTAAGACTTTGGAGTCTCACTCGAAGATCTATTACGGCACCCAACCACTTGTGCACGAGCCCGTTTGCTCGGCGTCGGGCGTCGAGTCCGGAGACGATGAACCAACTGGAAAATCAAAACCGCGGGCGTACACTACGGCGTGGCAAGGCCGTCCGTCAGCAGCCATAATATCTCACACCAAGGAAGCGCCTCTGCCGTCTTATCAACTCGACTAGCCGAAAGCTTCTAGCCGTGATCCTTTCTCTCGAACAGCAAAGACGCGTCAATTCGCGGACGACATGAGAGTAGGTGGCGCCCCGTGGAGTCGCAAACTGGGTTTGATAGGAATCGGAGATCCTCTAAGCTGGCCTGATTTGGGATTTTTCTCTTTCTCTTCGGCATCGATGCTGGCAAAAAAAAAAGAAACCGACTCGATGCAGGGTGCAGGGTGGAACTGGAAACGACAAGTCACCAGCCCGGTTCCTAGAAAAGGGGGTCTAGGCTCAAGCGGGATTCATGGACTGACGCAGCAGACCGCCGTACTCGCATGGGCGGTTGACCCCGATTCTCCACGAACTGATTCTCAACGAGAAAGGGCTCATCACCTGCTAAATGACCTGGTCCCTTACTATGAGGTATTGTATACGAGCGGACCGGAGAACGGAGGAAGATCTCGCTGGAGGAAGGTCAGATTGCGACGCCCTTGCTGAGCCGTGCTTGGCTGATGAGCGGGAGAGTGGGTGAAGGGATGGTGTCTTTCTTTTCGGCAACTCACCGCACAATGTTGCTCTGCTTCGGCGCCGCACAAGGACGGCCTCTGGGTGTGTGTGTGGTGTGTCCTCGGCCGGGTTTGCCTCAGACTGCCACTGAAGGGCCGTATGCTACTAGTAGGCGCTGCTGGTCCGCACCCTGATGCTGCAAAGCACCTGCTAGGTAGGCCGCTACGGCGGTGCAATGCACCCCCGTGTTAAGCTGAGGGGTTTGCGTCACATCCTCGGCCCCGCTGCAGCTCTCACTCCCAGTTCTTTGCCCCAGTTGCTGGTCGGCGCAGTAATCGGCTGGGTGGATCGTGGATCAAGTGCACTGCACTGCACTGCACTGCACTTGCAACGACTAGACGGTTAGGACAAACAGCCTCGAAAGGACGAAGACGGACGGCCTGGCCTGGCCCACATCTTTGCAGTTGAATGCTCGACGCTCCAGCTCACCCTGACCAACCCTGGAACATTTGCTGCCGTTTGCCAACCCATCTGTGTGCCCATTGATCCAAATGGGCCTTGCTAAGAACGGCATCTGGCCGGCGCACACCTTCTCAACAACAGGGGTCCTGTGGCTTCTTGTGCGCTGGGCTGTGTCTTTGGTTGCTTGCTCGGCGCTCGCAAAGCGCCGCAGATGAAACCCCTTTCTAGTCCGGCTTTTTCCTCTCGGCTCGAGAAATAACTGCATTGGACATGTTGCCCGCCTCGTCACCTCTCCACCCCTCCAACCCCCCGGCTCCTTGCTCCCGACATTCCCTCGCTCGGGTTGGAAAAGGCCTCAGCAGTGGGCCATCGGCCGCGACCCTTTCAACATCAGTTATACACTCAGTCACTACCTGCCCGCCTACAGTACATCCACACACGAGACTGAGGGTGTGTGCAGTTGGGTATGGATGTACCTCGGTACGAAGTACCAATAGGTAAAATACGTCACCCCTCCCCTCACCAACTTCAGCGTCTTAAGCTCGACGCGCCGCCCGCCCACAACGGCGTATGCCGAAGCGAACGAAAGACGTGGAGAGAAGCGACCTAAACCATCGCCGCGCCCGCACACCACATGGGGAATACAGACAGACCACAGGGACAGGCAGGCAACACACATATAGGATGTGCATTTGTCATTGGCCCTTATTGCTTATTGCCGAGGCGCAAAGCAAAGCTTTGCACACTATTCATGCCGCGACGCCAGCCTGCAGCTGGGCTTGTTTGCGTTCTCCGCGTTCTCCCTCTCGCCATCATCAGGCTGGGCTGACTGGCGCTGCTGGGCTGGCCCTGGCCCTGGCGTTCCCGTTCCGACATGCCGGCCTGCCGTTTACCATTCGCTCTCAGGCCGCGCCTGGATGGTTTTCATTTTTCGCCTGCCTTGCCAGATTCGCACACGCCTACGATACATACAGTAGTTAAAGCATAGCGGTAACACTATAGAAGTGCTCCTATCAGCCTCGTCCTCTTCACGTTCGTCCCCCATCCCCCCCTTGGCTAAAGCGACGCGGGGCACCGCCGGATAGGTTTTCTGCTGACGCCCCACCATCTGGGTCTACCGTCCCTCGCATGTACACGCACGCTCACTCGCACTGGACTTCAAGCAGGTTGTTTTGTTTTGCATTGTCTCAATATGGCTGCTCGGAGTCACTTGATTCAGCTGCTGTTTGACTCCACAGGCTAAAGCTTGCGCTCGCACACGCCTCTACCTCTGTGATCAACTTTGTCGAGGCGAGGTCCGATCGTCATGTCCATCTCTTCTTTTCAATCACAGGCAGGCAGAGGCGGGACACATCACCGGGGAACAGCGCGCGAGTCTCATCTCGCTGGCACAATCATCTGGCCATATGCAACCGCTCCCTCCAGGTGGGTGCTGTGGCCCAGTGGGCTAACGCATCTTGGGTTCATCTAGGTAACAAGGTTGTCCTGATGCAAGGCCAGTGAGCGAGCTTGCGCCGGACCGCCTCGAAGGGGCTTACCCATCACGTCCCCCCCTCCCACCACCACCACCACCTCTTCCTCCTCATCCTCCACAATTCACCGCCCCTTCCCGCTGCGCCGTACCTAGACCTGACTCTAGTCACTCTCGACACGGTTTTCTTCTTGCATTTACAACCCTGCGGGCGGGTTACTCTCGGCTCATATCCATTTGGCTTGGTGCATTTGCCCAATACTTCCCTCTCGCGCCCGCCAACCAAACCCCGCCGCGGGGAAACCTTCCGTCCAACTCACCCACATAGCTTCTAGTCACGGGGCACCCGTCGTTCTCGCCCGCTACAAGCAGCTACATTCTCCGTCTGGGGGTGCAGGCCGGTCCCGGGGCCCCTGAGCAGCCCGCTGGGGGAAGTTCGTTGTTTCGTGTCCAGAGACCCCAACCCCACGTCATCATCCGGGCCACCAGGGCGAGGGACCCGAACTCGAAAATGCTGCAATATTATTAGGTATTGGTGTTGCCCAGGCCGGCAAATCCGTCTCGCTGAACCTTCCTGGTGGCCAATTCTACGCCAAAGGCCAGCTTGGCCTCGGCACTCCAGTCATCAGGATGGCAGATCAGCCCAAACAGCACCCCCGCGATAAACGTATCACCCGCACCGAGAGAACTAGGGGCAACGCATGCCGAAATATTGATTAGCATGGTATGTAGATCTCGGCCTCTTGCGTCTGTGCATAGCGAGACAGATACTGTCGACAGGACTGCCGCGTGATGCCAGCCGGACAGGGGAGGCAAATTGTTGGCCGGTCTCGCCTTTCACGTTCGTTTCTCTTGGCAGCAGCGCGCACAAGACAACCGAAAATTTTCTGGCCGGCGAGGATCTCTTCCGTTGCAGCAATACGCCTGGGATAATCGGTGACACTTACTCGACCACTAATAGATCTTTGCCGGACGGGTTTGCAGCACAATGCATATACTCTCCTCCCGGTATTGATAGGGCAGAGGCGCCCTGCGAGCCCCATGTACAAAGCGTGAGAAAACTACACGGCACAACATGTCAGGCTTTCTGGCTGCTGCAACACACACACTCACTACACAAGCACACGGCATGAGAAAGGAGTGACTTACGCCCTCGTCGAGGATGCCTCGCCTCTCAGACAAGCTTCTGGGCTGGTGTACCCCCGACCCTGGAAGGTAAAGAGGCTCAGCGAGTTGGGACTGGTTCGTGGACGGGTGGTCGGTTCCGATGCGTCAGCAGTGTGGGAATTGCACTTACATTGGCCCAACTTTGTGAATAGAAGACAACGTCGGACTCGGCGGCTAGCGCAGCAAGCCCTTCCCGGTTTGGTTTCTCGGCCTCGATGCTGATGGTACTTCCTGGCAAGACACGCCGGAGGTAACGGATGCACTGCAATGTCGTCTCGGGAATCCGGCCCTTGAAAACAGAACATCTCGGTCAACAACCACAACGGCCGGCACATTTGCGAGGGGCCTTCTGCGCGCGCACAGTCGAAGTATCATCATGCATGACGCACCTCGAAATGCCACCAGCAGTCGGCCGCGTGTTCTGTAAACTTGTCGGCAATGTTTTCAAATTCGCCGACGGTCATTTCGGGGAGATCCTGGAAGTTGACAATGGTCCGGCTCCCCGTCTCGGCGCTACGGATGATGTAACTGCTCGCTGCCTCATCGTGGTCGTCTCGGTAGATGCAGTGACCGAAGTCGATGGGCGAGCCAGGTCCGAACGATGACAAGATCTTGCCAGTGGCGGCGGCTCGGGCGTTGGGCAAACAGGCCACAAGATGCGGCACAACCCGGGGGTGCTGCTGACGTGAGTCGGGTTCGGAGTCGTTGGCGGAGCCGGACAAGAGCAGCTGCTGGAGAACCTCGAGCGTATTCGGACAGTTGCCTCCGCGTCTCACCTGCACCGCCGTTGCTCGTAGCTTCGAGTCCTCTTCCGGGAAGTGAGGGACCCTACGTGACAGAAGATGTCTTGTGTGTGAGAAGACGGTCTATGCATCCGGACGTCCGCCGTGGCGTGGCATGTCCTCGAGATGGTCATCACCATGGCACATTGGTAAAGCACACTCACGTCAGGATTGTGTCGAGGTAACACGCGCCCACAAGTATCAGATGCTTCATGTTGGCCGCTTGCTTTCCCTATTTTCGTCCGCTTTGTCCTTCTCGGCTGCTTTCTATCTCGGGTCTCGTTTCTGTAAAGATGCGGGTGCGTGCAAGAGGAGACGCGCGCCCTAGCCCGCCCGGGGCCGCGTTTCGGTCGAAGGTTTTTCTGACACGCGAGAGCTTGGACACAATGTAGACACGACGCCAAGAGAGGTTGGCTGCTCGAGGCGGTCGGCTTCGGGTTGTGCAAGGGAAGGGAGGTTTGGTAATTAATAACCTAGGAAGGAGTGTAGGCCGGCGAGGGACGGGAAATTTCACCAGGCGAGAGTGCACCGTGCCCGTGCCCGTGCCTGTGCCTGTTCCTGTGCCTGTGCCTGTGCTCCGTGCCTTGCTCTCCGCTCTCGCCAAAATGAGGCGGCCCTAGGCGTGCAGAGCGGCGGGCGGTACCGGGCCAACTTACACATTTGGTGACCCACCTCACGGTTGGGAGTCCAAACTCTCAACGGCGCTGGCTCTGCTGGGGGTAGGTTGGCCGGTTGGCTAGGTGTTCTTGTAGCAAAGCGAGCAAAAAGCGGCCAACTCCGGAGACTGGCTGGCTGCAGCTAGCTTCCGCCGGATCTCCGGGACCCAAAGCAGCAAGCAATACGCGGCAGAAGAGCACCATAAACTGAATATAGATACAGGCACCGTATTATGCGGGCTAGGCAGCCCAGCTTGTCGAGCTTTTGGCCTTCAGTTGTAGGCAGCTAAAACATGTGAGAGACTATCTCTCCACTGACTCTATCTCCACCCGTCTAGTTGATGCGCAGTTGTCTTGGGATGAAAAGAACTGCAGGAAAGTCAAACACTTCTTTCTGCCTCTGAGTACCTGAACGGGGAAAGGTGAAAACTAAAAGCCTCAGTCCTGAGCTCGAAGCTTGGTTCGAGACTCGCTAGACTCTGGGAGCGGGGGCGGGGTTGTCGGAAGTTTTGAACCAATATACAGACAGACTTCCCCGCACCCCTTGTGACTAAGAGCTCTTATCGAAGTCCGATAACAGATTACCCCACCAATGACGCAGTTGAGATCACTCAGCAGCAAGCAAGCAGCCGCTGGCCGCAAAGCGTTTAGTATAGCCCCGCAAACGAGAGGTACCTTTTCCTTTGGGCTCAGCGCCTCAGAGCACGTAGAGAGAGTTCAATGAGGACAAGGGAACCTTGAAGTTGCTCGTCTCAGGAACATGCCCTGATTACCTTACGTAGCGCACATTGTGAACACAGCTCGCACGGCAAGCCACATCGCCAGCTGGAGAACCCGCACATCAACGGAGAAGAAAGAGCGAAGAGTCTATACCCTAAAGTGACGCTACACCGGAACCCACAGCCGACTAACAAACGGCCCTGAGGTCCACTGACCGGAACGTCATCAACTGCGTCACAGCTGCTGACCGAAAAAGGGAAAGAAAGAAAGAAGAAAGAAAAAGAGAGAGAGAAAGAGAGATGGAGATGGCGACTACAAACGCCCGCAGGCCTAGCTCCCGCACCAACGATGGCCATTCAAGCGGGAGCGACGATGATAGGGACGCCGTTGAGGTACTGTATAGACACTTTGCATACTTTCCAGCTTCTCACTGCCAAGCCTACCTCACCTTACGTATTAGCCCGGAGACGGGAGTTCGCAAGACTGCCTAGAACTAACTAGGTAGACTCAAAACAAGCCCGATTTGCCCATGTATCCAGAACCAACTGAACTGTTTTGCTAAGCGATGGAGCCCGTGAGCAGGTCCTCTTTGACACTTCCAATCCCTACCGCCGCAAGAGCTCCATGCCATCCTCCAGCGTCGTTCCGTTGCATCTGCGCCAGCGCTCGTCGAGCAAGACCGAGTGCATAGTCCACCAGCTCCTCGAGGGCCAAAGATGGGCAAGGCACCCCTCGGTCGCCAGCGCAGCAACCGCTGGCGGTGCTCAGCATGAAAGCCACAATCGTCACGCCGACGATGACTCGAGCAATGCTGTGCACCGACAACGCAGCCGCCCCCGGTCGCCAAGCCCAGCAGGAGACATACCCAGCGAAAGGGGGCTAGACGACGTGCCAGATCTCAAGGGCGCCGGAGCCGCCGCTGCCGTCTCCCCCGCTGCCGCCGCCGGCGGCAACAGCGGCGGCCAGAAGAGCCTCCGGTGCGACATCCTCGACGGCGATTCGAGCGAGACGAGCAACGGCGGGCCCGGCGGCGGCATCGGCCAGCTCGACGAGCGCGAGTGGAAGGCACAGATAGTCAAGACGACGTCGGAGATCGACCTAAGCGCCTCGACTGCTGCTGCTGCGGCGGCGGCGGCGGCGGCGGCAGCAGGCGGCGGCGGTGCGCCGGCCCCAGAGGTGCAGAGCCGGCTGCTCACCAAGAAGCAGCTGAGCGACATGGCGTGGGGGGTGCGCGAGCTGAGCCGGCGGCTAGGCAGCGTGCGCCTGCGCTTCCGCGTCAAGTCCATCTTCATCCTCACCAAGATCCACGACCGGGACCTCGTCCACAAGGCGCGTCAGCTGACGCGCTGGCTGCTGGACCGCGACCGCGACGTGCGCTACACCGTCTACGTCGAGCGCGACCTCAGGGACAACAAGCTGTTTGACGCCGCCGGGCTCGTCGACGAGGTGCGCCGCGACTTCGCCGCCGCGCACGACGATGGCGAGGCAAGCGACGGGGCGAGCGCCGCGGACGTGGCTAGGCGCCTCCGCTACTGGGACGAAGGCATGTGTCGCGCGCGGCCGCACACGTTTGACTTTGTCATCACGCTCGGGGGCGACGGCACCGTCCTGTACGCGAGCTGGCTGTTCCAGCGCATCGTGCCGCCCGTCCTGAGCTTCGCACTGGGGAGCCTCGGGTTCCTGACCAAGTTCGACTTTGAGGACCACCAGCACATCTTGACGGGCGCCTTCACCGAAGGCGTCAGCGTCAGCCTGAGACTGCGCTTCGAGGGAACCGTGATGAGGAGCCAGCGCAGGAGGAAGAAGCGGCAGCAGCACCCGAACCTGCTTACCGACGGCGGGGAAAAGGAGGAAACCGACGATGGCGAAGCTAAGCTGGAGCGGCAGCGGGATCTAGTGGAGGAGCTCATTGGCGAGGAAAAGGAGGACGAGCACACACACCGGCCAGACGGGACGTTCGAGGTCTTGAACGAGATCGTGGTAGACCGAGGGCCAAACCCGAGTACGTGCCCCTCTGACTCTATTTTCCCGTCCGTATACTGTACTAACCGGCGCTCCGCAGCCATGTCGTCGATAGAAATCTTTGGCGACGACGAGCACTTCACGTCGGTGTCGGCCGACGGGGTGTGCGTGTCGACGCCGACGGGGTCGACGGCGTACAACCTGGCGGCGGGCGGGTCGCTGTGCCACCCCGAGAACCCCGTCATGCTGGTCACGTCCATCTGCGCGCACACGCTGTCGTTCCGCCCCATCATCCTACCCGACACCATCGTGCTGCGGCTCGGCGTGCCCTACAACGCGCGCACCAGCTCGTGGGCCAGCTTCGACGGCCGCGAGCGCGTCGAGCTCGCCCCCGGCGACTACGTGACTATCAGCGCCAGCCGCTACCCCTTCGCCTGCGTCCAGGCCCACGGCCGCAGGAGCGAGGACTGGATCAACAGTATCAGTGCCAAGCTCGGCTGGAACACGCGCACGAAGCAGAAGGCGTTCAAGGAATGGGGCAAGTGAAGCCCTCCGGAAGAGGATTTTTGCTTTGCCAGCTGCGTCCGAGTCGAGATTGGCGTGCACGGAGAGATCTGTTTATATTATATATCCCCTTGCGAATCCAAAACAGGTGTTGGCCGAGTGAGCGGGTGAATGGCAAGCCTGGTCACTTGCGTCACTCGCCGTAACTGCTGCACTCGGGCTAGTCTATACCGTCGTAGCATCTAAAAGAGCTCCCTTTAATGGGGTAGATATTTTGACACGCCTGTCACCAGACTACAAGTGACGGCATGTCTCTGTCTGTGCCATATCCCGTTAAGTGAGTGAATTAACGGAACGTGTTGACCACGAGATTCATCGACATGTAGTTCTGGTAACTAGGTAACAAAAGGGGGACAGGTTGGCGGTAGACATAACGGGGAAGTAAATGCCATTTTGCACTCTGGAAGCAAGGCAATACGTATTTTCCCCATGTTATTTACAATAAACCAAGGATACGTAGGTGTGTACTTTGTAGAATGTATTTGTGTATAATTTATACCCTGTCTAGTGAGACTTCCACGGCGCTACGAGATTCACCGCTACAGAGATTAGTTCGTACTTGTTATCGTATTCGTAATACAGGAACACGTGATGGGATATAAGTTTCGTACATTAGATAGCGTTGTTAATTGATAACCCATTCTCTATAGATTCTAGTGTGTGCGTATAAGCCGTTTATCTCACTCTGGGAACATATCTAAACTGTGGAAGTCGCTCCTGGAGCAGACGAAAGAAAATAAAACTAAACATTGCTCTAAGAGGATACGAGAAAAAGAGAAGGTGCTGTGAGGATGAAATGGATATACCATGCTATTTATGCCATGATATTCTACGTCACGCTGATATCAGGCGTCTTTATTGCTTGCTGCCTTGTCTTTACTGCATAATGTCGAGTTTTCAGGGAGGGATATATCGGCGTTGGCAACTATGTGGTTCTGCGCAAGGTAGGTAGGTAGGTACTTGTCTTTTGGTGGCGTGATCGTTATTATTCTATTCCATCCCTGAAAGAGAGCGACAATGGAGACGGGAGATGCCTTTTTATAGCATGTCTGTCTGTATGTAATCGCCGTCCCTATCGGTGAATGGCATGCATTCCTGAACCACACAAGATGACAGAGTATATAGCCCACCGAGGCCGTATTCGCGGACAGACGGCTTGCTGGGGCAGATAGCCAGACAAGCATACGAGCATATGAGCGCACGAGCATACCAGCAGAGAGGCAGAGGGTGTCCGTGAACTATACTAAAAGAAACGAGAATGGGGTGACATTTTACTGATGCTTCCTTGGAACAAATTTTCGAACTATTTTCTGCTGCCGGCAAATCGGTCCAAAAGCAAAATGATACTCTGCATATTTAGCTGTAGATTGAAGAACTCTAAGACCGCGCACGACCTGCAGCTGAGATGGGCAACAGACCTTTGGAAGGATGGATGAAGATATGGAGCCATCATTGATATACTAGCCGTGTGGAGCTCGCTTCCACCTCCCCAAGCAGCTGCTATTATTTGCCTGGTATGTTATGAATGTATACTTACGACTAGGTACGGTTATGTCGGCGTGAATAACGTACCAAATGCACATTATACCCTGGGAATCGAATGTCCAAGAAGAAAACCAACCACGCACTAGTGGAGAACAGAGGAGAAAAAGCAAAAGTTGGATATAACCGACTGCCCGTGGGCGGGTGTTCCGTCTATGTATTTCAACTGATTTATTTACTCCGTGATTTCCAGCCAGCCAACCCATCCAACCGACGGCGAGAACAGAAAATAGTGACAAAATATAAACATAAGACCAAAGCGGACCGCTCATTCGTCGTCCTCTTCAACCTCCTCTATAAACGTCATGGTGAGCCCTGCATCGCCGTCGACGTTGAGGTTGACGGCGTCGATGGCGTCGCGCCTTGATACAGATGCCGGCGCCTCAACGCCGCGTGCTTGCTGCTTCTGTGTGGTTGGGGCAGGGGCTGTGATCTCGCGGGCGACGACTTCATTCGAGCTGCTCTGGAGTGCTAAGTTGCGAAGAATAATGTTAGTCCATGGTACTCCACAGACATGCAAGGCGGTATGGGGAAGCGGAGAGGAACGGTGTGGTACTACTGTGCCAAAAAAAAGTGACTGGGCATGTTTCTTGACACTCACAAGCTGGAACACCCCGGCGAACGTACATGGTGGTCACCTTAGCCCGACGCCTTGGGGCAGTGGCCTCATTAAAATCACGCTTCTCAGCCTTCTCAGCCTTGACAGCTGTTCTTGGTGTCAGTACTTGGAGCCAAAAGAACTAATCAGGGTGGGACATACCAGTGGGTTGGTTATCGATAATGATGCCGACGCCCGAGCCCTCGGCGCCAGTTCCAAGCTGGATATCGGGTCCCTTGGTCAGGGCAGCTTCGGCAAAGGTGAGCGCCCGGTCGAATCCGGAGAGATCTCGCTTCGCTACGTGGGCGTCAGCGTTGTCGGTGTCTTCACGGGGGGCAATCTCTTTGCCCATGCCCAGAAGAGCGGCGGCCTTTTTATATCGTTAGTATCAACGGGTTATGTGTAGGGCCGAGGGCGGGGCTAGATAGCACTCACTTGCTGCGAGAGAGCCGGGTCGACGGGAGCGGCCTCAACGGCGGCGGGGGTCTCGGCTGGCGCAGGCACCGTAGCAGGCACCGCGGGAGCAGCGACAGTCGCGGGAGCAGCAGCCGCACCTGCCGCGGCGTTAACGGCAGCCCCTTCAAGGGCGTTCATTAAAGCGGAAACATCTTGTTTGCCTCCGAAGCTGATTTCACCATCACCTGTTGACCTAGTAAGCAACCATGACCATGGCCCCTCAAGAGAAGATGGGAGGAGCGACATACCGACTACCAGGGCCGGCGAGTAGGCGCCGAGGTTGATGTTGAGCGGTAGAGCCGCGGCTAGACCGGCAAAGGCAAAGAAGCGATAGTGGACCATGTTGACTGTTGTGGGAACTTGAACAAACAAATGATGCCTGTATGTCGAGAGAGTGTATTAAAGAGTGCGCTCTGAGGTGAGGCGGGGAAGACGGCGACCAGCGAGCACGACCAACAAACACGAAGAGGGGAGAAAAACAATATAGATTGAAACAAATAATAATAGAACAAAAAACACAAACAACAATAACAACGGACTGATGATAGGGAATAGAAATGCCGGATTACTGAGCGCAGCTCATGGTCGAAAGGCAAGAAGACGAGAAGAGAGGGAGGCTGTCATGTTCACGATATATACCAAATGTATGTACTTCGTACCTAGTCTGGGATCCCAAGATCCATCCGGAAAGTAAGGTAGTCAGTCTAGTCTACCGGTACCGTACCGTGACTGTTTGAACGAGTCGTTGAGGTCTCGCCCGCGCGGTCCAGGCGCACACAGGGGTAGCCAAGACCAACGACTGTGCCTAGCCGCCCCCGTCCTCCATCGATTCAATCAAGGGAAGCTGTCGTCGGTGCCGCCGTCAAGGCAAGCACCGCAAAACTCTGTGAGGGGTTTCCATGGCTGGGCATGGCTGGCTCGCCGCAGAGAGAACAGAGTCCGCCAAGATACGAGAGCACAATGCTTGCAGGTGGTTGAAACGCAAATGACACTGGCCAGTCAGAATCCCATGTCCGGAATAGACAGCAACAGCACAAAGAGCAAGAAGAGCCGGATGGGCACTCTGGGCAGCTTGGCCGCAGCAGATTGGCTTGGCTTCTGGCAGACAGAGTGGAGTATATGTGGAGCGTCCATTCTGCTGTACAGTCGCAGCAGGCACGATCGATCCTTGGCCGAGGTGGTGGAGAAGGAGCCCAGGGACTGACTCTCTGGGGCGGGTTTGCGTGGAAAGAAGGCACAGAGCCAGAGCCAAGGCAGAGCCAAGCAAGAGCCAAGAGAAGCCAAGCCAGAGGGCATCGGGGGATGAGACAGCTTTGCCAGGAACAGTCTTGATATAAATGCTTGTCCGACTCTCTTTTTGCGCCTTTGGCACAGAGTCGCAAAAGCGCTTGTTCTGTCGCTCTGTGGCACTTGAGTGGGGCCCAGTCACAGCGGCGAGCACTCGAGACTCTGCCAAGCGTTACAGACTGCCAAGTTCACCAAGCAATGCCCAGAAGCGGCCCCAGCTGCCGAGCGCTCAGATCCCGGGGCAGGCTCGGATGGATCTCCACCGGGGCTTTTCTGGCCAACGGCAGGTGCAGGTGCAGCCTCGTTGACGGAAGCTGCGAAGCTGTGAAGCTGCTAGGGACCCGAGAGCTTGGCGCCTCCCACAAAGCTTCAGCCAGGCCCCACAGCGGCACACGGATCTTCCGACCTGACCGTGGCCTTTTTCCATTTTCCCATGCCTTCTTTTCTCCTGCGTCTGAGACGTAGCTATGTAATCGATCACATTTCAAGTTGATATCGATCTTGGCTGGGTTCGAAGATTCAGAGGTTGGCCGTATCAGATGCATGCGCTTCATTCCTCTCGGGCAGATCAGACCGAGCTTGAGGGAGACATACAACCGAATCGATGCAGCCGAGTCATTCCCCGCCGCCGCCACCCACTACCAAGCCAAAGTAAGAGCCGCTTTGGGGTCACTAGCCAAACATTTCTGGCATGGAGCTAACCCTCACATACTACTACCTACCGTGCCTACATGCCTGGGTGTATACGGGGCAAGTTCTGTATTGTTCCATACTACTGAGTGCGACGGAGACAGACACAACGGGGACCGAGAACGGCCTGGAAGTGACCGAGAGGCTAGGCGAAAGAGAGGAAACGCGTCGTACCCAACGCAACACGTCTGGTTGCGGAGTCCTGCCGTGTGCTCAACTCCGTAGCAGGCAAGCCGGTATCTCCTAAATCCCGCGCTGCGTTGTTTGAGGCAACAAAAGGGACAGGGGCTCGCTGGCATCAAACACCGCGCCTTGTTTCTGCATTACCCACAGGCCAGCAACAAGCTTTCTCTCTCTCTCTCTCAAGTGCTCCTCTGATGGGATTCCATTGCCACCATACAGTACTGTACCACGTATTTTTCTGTTTGCCACCCTCTCCCTCCCCCGCTCTGCTTCCTTTCCCCACCGTCTCAAATGGATGGACCATGATGCACTGAGTTGATGTGGCGGCTCGGACTAAAAAGACTTGCTCTGGTAGGTTGGAGGTTTGGGACTAGGATTCAGAAAGACGGCACGGTATATCGGATCAGCCCGTTGTATACCATACGTAGTCGCCATGCAGGTTGCTTTATTTCTGCTACTAAGCATCGTCTTTTGCAGGAACCGGACAAGGAACTCCTGTAGTGTATTTGCTGTTTGCCGTGCACAATAACCATCCGGCAGACCCGCCCCCTTCACTCATCAACGCCTCGCAGGAATCGAGATAGCCCATTTTACGACCGTATTGGAGACAGCGAGGATTCCTGCCGAGGCTTAGAACATTCTGCTATCTCTACCTCTTAGGTGGCGAGAGCGTCTTGTGCTTGTCGTATACGATACGTTTATACCTTGGTGAAACAGTCCCCCTTTTCTGCCAGCAAGCTGCTTGTTTGGGGCTTCCTAATTATAAACATACGTATCGGGAATCGATCGACTGGATGCTGCCGCGAGAGAGCATGCTCGGCATACCAGACACGGCTCATCAAGTCGGCCGCCCCCCCACTCCCCAAATAACCAGCGACCTGGAAGGTATTCGCGGGGCTTGTCCCGTCTTCTGTCTCGGCTTGCATATCACTTCCATTGTAGACGGACTACGGGATCATTCTCTCGGAAGGTTTCCGATATCCTTCAACACTCTGGTGCCCCTCCAGAACACTGGCTCACGTCTACGTATGCATGTACCTAGCCCGAAGTCGGCTCTGCGGCGCCTCGAATGAGATTGTCAAACAGAGCCATGTCCACGCCTTGCAGTGCCCAGTCTTCTGCGTCAGCCGTGAGGCCCGGCACGAACAGCAAGCTTGTCTCTGCCATATCGACGCCGTAGGCAGGCTCCCAGTCGGCAAAGAAACCCTGGCTATCCAGAGCTGCCGACGCAGAGTCGGGCTCTCCCGCTGCTGACAAGAGGTGGTCAAGGTGAGACGGTAGCGGCACCGACTGCCACTCGCTGTTGGTAGACTGGCGGCTAATCTGATAGCCCGCGAGCTCGGCCTGTGACGATGACGATGGCTCTCGCGGCCCTTCTTCCTGCTTGCGTCGCTTGACACTGTGATTCCGTGCTTCAGTAACAGGCCGAGAGGAAGAGAGTCCCTGCTGGTCGATTTCGATCATTGATCTCAAGGCGCCATCGCCGCCGCCGCCGCCGCCGCGGTTCTCAATGGTGATGGTCCCAAAGTAAGGAATACGGATACGCAGCGCACTGTCTGCCTCTGCTGCCTCGCCCCCGCCGCCGTACTCGGACTCGGGCTCACCCGGTTCCCCCGTGCCCTCGGAGGAAACGCTCGCGCTATATGAAACGCCGCTAGCCGCCGCCGCCTCGATGGCTAGCAAGTGCTGTAGTATGTTGGCGATGTTCACGGCCATGACATCCTTGCCGCCCCGGGCCATCTTCTCCATGCCCTGCAGCGTCCGCTCCAGCAGCCCGCGGTCGCTCAGCCGCTGGTGGGCGAGGAAGTGAGGGACCGAAGCCGTGCAGCCAATAATTGAGCCTCCGCTAACCCACTGCCGCTGCTGGCGGCGAGCGTCGATGTGTGCTAGGCCCAGTATAGTGCTCGCGATAAAGGCAAGAAAGTCGATGCCCCGGCAGTATGCGGTGACGGCGTTGGAGCCGCGAAACGCCACAAAGCGCGACAGGATCTCGCGGCTGGCCATGACGGCCGTCATCTTGCTGTAGTCGTACTTCTGGTCGCCTGGCGCGGTCTGCAGCAAGAGGTACGGCAGGTGCAGCTGGGCTAGCAAGTGATAGTGGGTGAACTGGTTCATGATGCGGAGCGTCTCGCCAAAGTTCTCCTCGTTCCCCTTGCCTATGATGTCGGACACGTTGGGCGTCAGCCACCACTGCGCCGGCATCTGCGCTGCAGCCTCCTGGAGCAGCCTGTCGATCTCTCGCGTCGCCGCGAGGTCGTGGATATTAGGTCCGCTATTCCGCTGCAGAATCAGCCCGCCGGCGATGGACTCCATCCGCTCCAGCCGCTCCATGGGGATGCAGCCCTCGAGCGCCTTGAGCGAGCCGTACGGGCTGTCGAGAGAGGCCTGCGGCAGGCCCAGCATCAGCGAGAGGTAGCGGTCCGAAATGACCAGGCGGTACCACATGTGCTCCGGGTCGATGCGGTCCAGCGTCTCGGAATCGTGCACCACCAGCCTGCCGGCCATAAGCGTGTTGTTGGAGCTGCCGGCGGCGTTGGCGGCGGCGGCGGCCCGGTGCAGCCCCATCAGCTGCGCTATCACCATGGCGCGGCGGTGCGTGACCCACGCCCGGCGGAGGTTGCCGGCGTTGTTGTGGTACATGCTCTCGAACATGATGGTCTCGACGCCCTCGAGCGAGCCGACCAGGTCGTCGTTGCTCGTCACTAGCCTGTTGGCCGTCTCGGCCAGCCGGGAGATGGTCTTTCCGTAGCCGGCGCTGCCCAGAGCAGTGTCTCCCAGCCCAGCGCCGAGGTCCTCTCGCGCGAACCGCGGGATGCCCTGCATGAAGATCGCCAGCAACAGGAGCGCGCGCGCGACCAGCACCGGATGCGAGCCCGACCGCGGCAGCCGCAGCATGTCTCGCGGCGTCGGCATGTCCTTGCTGAGGAAGTTGGCATACGGCGTGCAGATGACGCCGTGGAAGAGCACCGACGTGCTGACGGGGAATCCGAGAACCACCTCGAGCTCGTCCGGCTTCGGCCACGCGGCGACAAGAGTCCGACACAGCTCGTCGTGTCTGTCTTTGGCCTGACCGCCGCCGACTCTGAAGAGGACACCTCGTACCCCTGATGGGGTGGGGGGGTTCTCCCGTGTAATGTTAGTTTCTTCGTCATCCCATTTCTCTCTTCATTTCGTTCATCCCACCTCTTGTGAGGAGATAGGGGAAGGTAGGTAAGGTAGCCAGCCAGCCACGGAAGACAGAACAACTCACTGCTGCATCTATATTCCCACCGCCGCGGGGCTCTTCCTCTGCACCAAGTCGGCTCGGAAGAACGGCATCAGTCCGTTTGGCTATGTCATGGACAGCGGTCTCTATACGGCCCAGGCGGGTGCCTATGTCTTTGCCAAACGCAGTACGGGTAGTAGTAGTCCCGCCACCCGCTGCTGCTGCTTCAGCCGCGGCGGTCGTCGTGGCCTCATCATCAAACGCCTGGCTGACGCACTTGAGGCGGCGGCTCTTGCAGCCGTCGCAGACGGACTCGGCCGGCGCCGCGACAAAGGTGCATCGGATCTTGCGTCTCTTGCACTCCCAGCAGCTCTGCGTGCCCTTGCGGATCTTGCGCCTCTTGCGCGCGGGCGCCTGCATTTCTCCGTCTCCCCCGCTGGCGCCGGGATTGCCATTGCTACTTGAGGGTGTGATTGGTTCTACCATTTCGATGTCATGTCTCTTTTGTCTTCTTTCTCTCTTCTTTGGCACGGATAGTGAACAGACTGAATAAGCGGTGCCACTGCTAGGAAAACTGCCGGGGCTAGGGGCGGACGGCTGCGGGAAAGGGAAGAGCAAGAAAGAAAAGGGCCTTGGACCGCGGCGGAAGGGAAGAGGGGAGGGGGGACTAGACGGTTTATTATCGTAGATTACCTTTGTTATGGCGAAGGCATCGCTCCCCAAGGTACTCAGTCGAGATAACTCAACTCAGCTCAACTCCGCCGCGGTGGACGAATTCCCTTGCGGAACCACCAATCACGGCTCCGCGGCCGGAGTTGCATACGAACGGTAGCCTGATGGGGAGACACCGTGCAGCTCAGCAGCCGATTGGTCAATGGGTCAACTAAGACGAGAGCCACCGAGCAACACTAGCTCGCGCTACAGTTCGCACTGCGCAAAGAGAGATGTCCGCGGCGGTGCGATGTTCAGGGAAAGGGGAAGAGTAGGCATGGAGAAAATAAATATAAAATAACAATTGCTGTTGTGCTCCCTAGTGTCTGTGATCTAGAGACTCAAGTACAGACTCTTCTCAGTTCATACAGACCACATAACTGGCTCTCGAGTTCACGATCTCGAAATATCCTACCCCTGATCAATTTCCAAGTCGCCTTGAATACCGACTCATAATGGTCAAAGTCGCTGTTGCCGGCGGCTCTGGGCGTGCGTCGGACTCCCGAAAAACACAAGAGACAAAACATAGGCAAGCTAACAAACCTCTGTTCTACCTAGAGGTCGCTAGGGAAGTCATCGACGCCCTAGTTGCTGCTGGGAAGCACAAAATAACCGTCTTGAGCCGGAGTGTGAGTGGCTTCCTTCCCTCCCCTCCCCATGGGCGTTCCCCGCGGCACCATGTCAGTCAGGCTCAGGGGGGTTGAGCTGATAGCATGATGTGAAGAAGGCTTCTCCCGACGGCACGGTCGCGCTGGGAGTTGGGTGGCGCGTGGTCGACTACAGCGACACGGGCGCCCTGGTCGAAGCCTTGCGCGGAACGCACACGCTCCTGTCGTTTGTGCAGCTCCTCTCGGACCCGGGATGTCAGTCCCAGAAGAACCTGATTGACGCCTGCGTCACCGCCGGAGTCAAGCGCTTTGCTCCTAGCGAGTACGGATATGGAAGGTAGGCCGCGACATGTTCAAGGGCGATTTCGAACAGTTCCGTGTCATCGGGTGTTAACAACACTCACTTCACAGTGTCGGGTCGGTCAATCTCCCCTTCTGGAAAGGGAAAGAAGCGGTTCGGGAATACCTGAAGGAGGTCAACGAGAAGGAAAAGGTAAGTGCAGCGCAGCCACTGCTCTGCAATTGATCCTCTTCGTCGGGGAGTTTTCCTGACGGCCTTCTGCCAGGTTCTGGAGTACACCCTCTTCATGCCGGGCCTGTTCTTGGACTACTTGGCGACGCCGTACCAGACGGCCAAACACATTGCGCCGCTGGACCTCATCTTCGACTACCAGAACTGCCGGCAGTTCATGGTGGAGGGCCACGAGGATGCCATCGTGACGCTGACGACAGCCGCGGACACGGCCGCTATAGTTGCTCGCGCCGTCGACCACGACGGCGAGTGGCCCGTGAACGGCGGCATCCGGGGCAATCGCGTCACGTTCTCGCAGATTGTCAAGCTCGGGGAGAAGGTTCGAGGTAATGAATCCGATGGCCTGATGCTTCCCCTACACCCCAAAGAAAAGAAGAAAAGAACTTGAGCTAGAAAAAATGACTGACTGACAGGGCGCACAGGCCGTCCTTTCACTATTAACAAGGTGAAGCTCGAAGACCTCCAAGCTGGCGTCCTCAAGACGCCGTGGATCCTGGCCAGGAAGCACAGCGCCGTCAGCGACGAACAGGCTCCCGAATTTTCCACGGCGGTGCCCATCGGCATGATGCTCACCAGCGTCAGCGGCGCCTGGGACGTGGGCGACGAGTTCAACCGGCTGTTCCCGGATTATCAGTTTACTCAAATGGAGCCTTTCCTCGCCAACGTCTGGGAGGGGAAACCGTGATTGCAGGTCATCTAGATCAATTGAGTTTGTGCGATGCAGTTTTGTTGAAGAGGTTGGGCGTGTGGGTGAGGTAGTTCATCAATGGACGAACTGAACTTGCAATTGCAAGCTCAAATTGAGATGCACACTGTGTGCTGTGTTCACTGTTGAAATGTAATGGTCCCGTCACGTAAATTATACTCGTACGTATCCATACTCCATACGCTCCGCGAAAACACGTGACTTAACCTGGCCCAATCCCATCGCATGACCAGTGCGTTAGGGGGCGCTAGTGTGATCCGTGCGTCGCTCAAGACGAACCAGCGAAATTTTTGGAGCGTCAAATTTTCCCGATTGACCAGTATTCGCTCTGTTGATTGAAGCCCAAGCCACGGTGGACGAGTCAATTCCAGCTCTCTCCGCTCCTTCCATTCTTTATAGTCTTTCCGTGCCTGTGCCAGGTGCCCGATTTCATAATGTCTGCGTCGCTGCGGGCGGTTGTTCCGTTTCTGCGGACTGCGCGGTGCACTTTCAGACAGTCAACAAATCCCTTGGTCTCGCTGCAGCGCCAGACCTCATCGCCCGCCCTTAACATCTCCCGCACATACGCCGCTGTCTTCCAGCGCTCTAAGCCTCACGTCAATATTGGCACCATTGGCCACGTTGATCACGGAAAGGTCCATTCTGCCCCTTTCCATCTTTGCACTGACCCGCACGTCACATCCCGCGGGGGACCTCTGCTAACCTAGCCCAACCCTCCAGACCACACTCTCGGCTGCCATCACCAAAAGACAAGCCGAGAAGGGCCTGGCAAACTTCCTCGACTATGGCTCCATCGACAAGGCGCCCGAGGAGCGGAAGCGCGGAATCACAATCTCTACTGCCCATATCGAGTACCAGACCGACGCACGGCATTACTCCCACGTCGACTGCCCCGGTCACGCTGATTACATCAAGAATATGATTACCGGCGCCGCCAGCATGGATGGCGCCATCATTGTCGTTGCCGCCTCGGACGGACAGATGCCCCAGACCCGCGAGCACTTGCTGCTTGCCCGCCAGGTTGGTGTCCAGAGGATTGTCGTCTTTGTCAACAAGGTCGATGCCCTCGAGGACCCCGAGATGTTGGAACTGGTCGAGATGGAGATGCGCGAGCTGCTCACCACGTACGGCTTCGATGGCGACAACACCCCCGTGGTCCTGGGCTCTGCCCTCTGCGCCCTCGAAGGCAAGCGTCCCGAAATCGGCGTTGAGAAGGTCGACGAGCTCATGAAGGCCGTCGACGAGTGGATCCCCACACCCCAGCGCGATACCGACAAGCCCTTCCTCATGTCCATCGAGGACGTCTTCTCCATCTCTGGCCGTGGCACCGTGGCGTCGGGCCGTGTCGAGCGCGGAACCCTCAAGAGGGATACCGAGGTTGAGCTGATCGGAAAGAGCAACGAGATCATCAAGACCAAGGTCACCGATATCGAGACGTTCAAGAAGTCGTGCGAGGAGGCCATGGCTGGCGACAACACCGGTCTCCTGCTCCGCAGTGTCCGCCGCGAGGACGTCAAGCGCGGAATGGTGATTGCCAAGCCTGGCACCGTCCAGGCTCACCAGAAGTTCCTCCTCTCCCTCTACGTCCTTTCCAAGGAGGAGGGCGGTCGCCACAAGGGCTTCATGCAAAACTACCGCCCCCAGATGTACATCCGGTCCGCCGACGAGTCGTGCACGCTCACCTTCCCCGAAGGAACCGAGGATGCCGATTCCAAGATGGTCATGCCCGGCGACAACATCGAGATGCAGGCCGAGCTCTACCAGCCCATTGCCATTGAGGCCGGGCAGCGCGTCACCATCCGCGAGGGCGGCCGAACCGTCGCCACTGGCCTCGTCACCCGCATCATCAAATAAACGCCATAAATATGAACATGTTGCGATGAGGCTATAGTACTGGCCGTGTCCGGGGCTTGCCCCGAGTCGCGACAGTTTGGAGCCCGGATCGGTTTTTTCTGGGGGTGGTCTTGGATCTATTTAGAGGGTTGGCGGGTTGCGCGGAGTTGCTGAGACATTGTATTATATAAAATTCCTCACGGCATGACGGTTTGCCTTCCCCCTACCCGCCGTCTAGGCACCAGAATGTTTGTATGTGTGTATACAGAGACGCTGTTCTATATGGGAGCCGCGCCTGTGACACAGTCGTCGGCTCGAGACCCGCCGGATCTTCTCCTCTCCCTTTTCTACTGTTGTCCTTCCACCTGTAGTATATAGACGCGAGATATCTTTTCAAGGCGATAATTGGCGCTTGATGAAAAAAAGGAAACATGGCCTGGGTTTGGATCATGAGCGCTGTACTCTGTATGCCGAACTGAGTCAGCCGGTGTTGACATCAAAGGTGTCCATTCAGCATGTTGCCAGTGATTGCACTGTATTTTATGGTTTCGGGTCCCTGGCACACTCTTAAAAGGCACGTGGAATTCTTTTGAAGCTTGTATGTAAGCCATGGGAACGTGGACGGGAGGACGCGGGTATCCTGGCCCGCCGCTTAGGGACGAACACAGGAGCTTAGACCCATATCGCGCCCGCCATTGAGCCTACTGCCGCCCAATATGGTCTTCCCTTGGTTGAATGTGCCGATTTCTAATTACTCGAAATTCATCACGTGCAATAGTAGTGCCGAGGCTATGACATTACATTAATCCACAACGCCAATCAACCACGCTTGCACCCCGCCGAGAATTCTTTACCTCACATCCTCGGAATCAGCGCGTTCCAAGATGACCACAACAGCCCCGTCCCTCCAGGCCCAGCGCCGGCCCCCTAGGCCGGTTCTCGAATTGCCCTCTCGAGACGATATCCGCCTTCACCATCCCGGTTATAGCCAGAGCAGCCTACTCATAGCTCTCCCTCGCGTCGATATTACAACATCGATTTCTACCTACAGCGTACATCATAGAACAGCCCTGCTAGTATGCCAGATTATCGCTGGGAATGCCTTCGCCAACAGCTATTTGTCTCTCGATAAGGCGGGTCAACAGTAAGTCCAGGTGTTACTTGATGGCATCTTGATAGACGAGGAGTACTACTTTATCGTTCAAGGCTCAGGTAAAAACTCCCTCCTCCCTTTAAGCAGGTTTCGCTAACCTTTTAGTGCTTTATCCTATCGTCCCTATCTTTCAAGATTGGGAGTTTCCCTACGGCCGTATCCCCGATTGGTGGCCTTCTACTAACGCCGACACTATTACCACCTTGGCCTGCGGTATTACTAACTCTGGGTATGCTGTAAGAGAGGGCAGGTACGCCTGATCAAGGTGGTCACAATGAAGACAACAGAAGGTGAGCAATGACTGGTATTAGCGTAAGTGTCACGGTCGCCACAGGGCTCATGTGACAGGATTGATTCTATTGGCTGCATTGTGCTTAGGGTGTGGCCTGTGCGCACTGAGCACCACTACCTATTTCTCCGCGCCCTGCGCGGACCCGGCGATAGATTCCTTTCTCTTCCTTAGCTTTAAATCCACATTCGTTGCTGCCTTCAACCATTAACATCCCTACTGCGTAAGGCGGGCCGTCACAGTAAGACTTCAACCTGGCCCTCGCAAAGGGGAGGTCGAGGGCCATTGTTTATATACATGCTCAGGGGCTCGGTCCCGAATGTGCATGTGACACAAGGCGCCCGGTATAGGCTTAGTAGCTCATGCCAGCCGGCAGTGATCTGGCCCGTTGGTGCCAGACGGTCAACGCGTGTAAGGGAATGCGCGTTGATAGGTGGTTGGCGAGGTGAGTGTCCTTTTTCTTACAAGTGCCTATCTTCCGCGTAGGATAGCGAAAGAATAACAAGAGAGCTTATAGTAAGCGAAAGAGAGGGACGCCGACAATAACCACACCAACATAGGGGGTGAATTATACTGTCATTATTGCCCATTGATATCTATATAGGAGCTGTCTTTTGATTCACTCGGTAAAACGCTCCTATCCATGTTTGATATAGCGAAAAGTTACAAGGACCAAATTTCCGTTTCCGAAAGCCTCAAACCCAAGAACTCCTCTAAAGCCACAAGCAACATAGAGAGACAAGAGCAAGAGGGACGTAAAGGGGGTCGTTAATCTCAGGCGCCCCTAGAGAAGAAAAAAATAGCTTGGATTCTGAATGTCCTTTTTATTCCCACCTCTGGACTTTCATCTCTTTCTCTTCCAACCCAATCTCCTCCCACGCTTCCACTCTCGCTCCTTCTCCCCCACCTTTCCTAGACCACCATCTTCGCTCTCGCACAGATCGATCGTGGGCGAGTGCAGCGGCTAGGTAAGGTAAACTGGCGAATAATTTACCGGTACTGCAAAGTAAAATATGTCAGTCTCTTCAATCCAAGCGAGCAGCAAGATCTCTTCTCGTGTCGCGTCCCTCTTCCCGCTCTCCACGATCCGTTTTGCCTCTAGGGTCAGAGGAAGGAGAGGAGAAGTACATAGGACATCCTCCCCTCGGCCCGCGCGCCTCGTCCTTTCCCCATATCCTCTCCCCTCCCCCAACTCCCATAAATCCCTGTCATTCGCGTTGCTTACCTTGACGAAACCGATGTCGGCCGACTTCTCACGGAAGCACTGACGGCAGATGTTGAGGCCGTACTTGCGGATGAGACCAGCCTTGTGGGTGCAAACGCGGCTTAACGCAGATGAAGAAAAAGATAGAAGCTAGTTAAATTGTGTCCCTTCGTTTTCGTTGCATGATGTGTGTGCATGTCTTGTCTTCTTTTTCGCGTTGTCGCGCCGCTTTCGGGGGGTAGGAAAGGTTGGAAAAGAAAGGTCCTTGCCAGCCACGGGCGCCCTTGCCGTAGCTACGGGGCCGGGAGTTCAGACGGATTCGTGAGACGTCTTGGTGAACTTTTTGGAAAATTGCCGGTAGGCGGGTGTCGTCGTCGGGTTCACGTTTCGGAAGGTGGCCGGTTGGTGAGGTGCTAGATGGTCAAGTTCGTTGCCAATTATGGAGGGAATTCATGTGGCTGTTTCACTTGTGGCGCAATCGGGTGTGGCTTGATACTTGGGCGAAGGATGTTGTAAGTTTGGTACTTGGAATTTTAACCTTGATTAGCGGGGCGGGTAGGAACAGGGGGTTTAATGGGCCATAACCCTAACCCGTGTCCGTACAAACCCTAGCCAACGACAGGCTTATCTTATCACCTGGCTAAAATGTCCGTGCAGTGCAGCTTGCCATCCGCACCACAGCAAGGCGGGGCCCAGGGGCGAGCCGCAAACCTTGGAGCTTATGACAGGGGTTAACGAACGTCGCCCTTCGGCAACCAACGCTACTTGCAAAGTGGCATCTTCTGTAAATAAGGATTGCGATTTCAAAGCCACCCTCTTGCATCATCCGTCTTTAAGTCGGAAGCTTTTCTTTTCTTAACCTCCTGGCAAAACCTTCTTTTCCCTTCTCCTCTAGATTAAGAAATCTAGGCCGAGGGAATTCCCAATTGACTATTTCAATTCCCAGCTTTTGTCCTACAACAGAGGTCACACATCATGGTTCTGCTCAAGAGCTTTGTGCTAGCGGGTCTGGCGGCCGTCGCCGCAGCCAAGTCTGCCGTTCTGGACCTCATTCCCTCCAACTTTGACGAAGTTGTCCTCAAGTCCGGCAAGCCGACGCTCGTGGAATTCTTCGCCCCCTGGTGCGGTCACTGCAAGAACCTCGCGCCCGTCTACGAGGAGCTCGCTCTGGCCTTCCAGTCGGCCGGCGGCAAGGTTCAGATCGCCAAGGTCGATGCCGATGCCGAGAAGAGCCTGGGCAAGCGCTTCGGCGTGCAGGGATTCCCGACGCTGAAGTTCTTCGACGGCAAGAGCGACACGCCAACCGACTACAATGGCGGGCGGGACCTTGAGAGCTTGACGGCCTTCATTACCGAGAAGACGGGCGTCAGGTCTAAGAAGAAGCTAGCTGCACCGAGCCTTGTCTCCATGCTCACCGATTCGTCGTTCAAGGAGGAGATTGGCGGTGACAAGAACGTCCTAGTAGCTTTCACTGCCCCCTGGTGCGGCCGTAAGTGCCATTTTCTCTCCCAGGACCTGCCGTCTCTAAATTGCTAGCCCATTTGCTTACGACTTGGATGCAGATTGCAAGAGCCTCGCACCTACATGGGAGACATTGGCCCAGGACTTTGCTAGCGAATCCAACGTCTTGATTGCCAAGGTCGATGCCGAGGCTGAGAACAGCAAGGCTACCGCTGCCGAGTACGGCGTTACATCGTACCCGACCATCAAGTTCTTTCCCAAGGGCAGCAAAGAGGCCGAGGACTACGACGGTGGCCGTTCCGAGGATGACCTGGTCGACTTCATCAACTCCAAGGCTGGCACACACCGCGCTGTTGGGGGCGGCCTCGACGCCGTGGCTGGTACCCTCGAGTCACTAGATGCGATTGTTGCCAAGTTCACCGGGGGCACTTCTCTGAGCGAGGCCGCTGCCGAGGCAAAGAAGGCTGCCGCGGGCCTTAAGGAGGACGCTCAGCTGAAATATGCCGAGTACTATCTCCGTGTCTTTGACAAGCTCACCAAGAACGATGGTTTTGCCGCCAAGGAGTTTACCCGCCTCGACGGGATCATCAAGAAGGGTGGTCTGGCGCCGGAGAAGTTGGATCAGCTCACCACCAAGGCTAACGTCCTCCGCAGATTCGTTGACAAGGTGACTGGCAGCAAGGATGAGCTTTAAACGCTGGACCATCAAATCAGTCGGGATCGATATACAGGAAATAGGGGCCTGGAACGTGGATGTACAAGAGTTTCCTTACATCATCGAATGTCCATGTGTCTCTGCGCTTGATTTGCTTTAGCCATTTTTATTCCCAGTGAAAATATGAGGAGCGTTGAATAGTCGGAAAATCTTCATGGACCGTCGTGTCATGACATTAGTATTCGTGTTCATGTCTCTCTGGCCATCCCCGCGTCCGACTATACTGCGTAACTCCCCTTTTCACCAAATCATGACGTAAAACTCAATGCTAATTTGGCGGAGGCTGCGTAGGCCAGTGCCGCGTGGGCCACGGTAAAATTGGGAAGGCACTACCTATCATGCGTACGGTGAAACTGTTTTCACCTTCCTTTATTCTTCACGAAAAAAGCTTACCTAAGCCCCACCCACAAAGAAATTCATTTAAGTACATACCTAAGCAGTGATTCTTCAGCTTTTGTCTCACCATTTTCGCCACAGTACCTAACAATAGACGTCCCTTTGGCGTATGCGACAAGATGTTGAGTGCTACAGCAAGCGTGCCCGCGGGCCCGTCCGGTATTCCGGCTGTCAAAAGGCGCCGCGTGACGGAGACAACGGCTTCACCCATATATGGCCCAATAGCAGACGACCGACCACGACGCAACTTGGGACAAGTGCTGCTCACCTCACAGAACTGTCGTGAGTTTTCCCCACGAATCAATGTAAGTGTCACTGCCTAGTGTTCAGAGACGATTGGGACTAACACAGCCCAGAGTTCCGTCAGAAGTGGAAGACAATGTTTGAGATTGCAATCACCAAGAAGTCGAGCATGCCAATCCATCAGGCGAAGTATTTGGCCTCGCATGAAGATGTCAGCGGCCAGGGCCAGACCATCGCGCGAATGAACAAGATCACACACCTACGAAACACAGTCCCGGAGTTCGTCGCCTACGACCAAGTGTACTTTGATTACACGAGCAGCTACTGGATGGTCGAGATGTCCTCTTTGCGATCCAAACTTGGTCGCCCGGTCGACATCCCGCTCTTCGTTGGCCAGTGTCCAGTCCACGTCAGGGAGGCACCAGGAATCTTTCCCCATTACGACCCCTATACGCGCGTCTACGACCTCGACGTTCACCTCGATAGCCGAGCTGTTGCAGGCGATCTGGCCTGTCAGACCATTGCACAGGCGTTCCCTTCTTCGATTGGAATGCGAGTCCTTGTCTTCGGCGCCGTCGAAATCCTGTACCCCAACGACAAGGCAAGGCGGAAGGATTTGCGCAACATCAAGGCGTGGCCCCGCGACATTGGGAACGACCACGCCTATACCCTCAAGGTCGCTGATGTTGAGTTGACGGCATCCGGACAGCCTTTGCCTTCTCACATCACGGCTTTGGCCACCCAGGACTCCGAGGCGCAGTTCAGCCCGGCGTGCCTGTCGCTTCGGAAATGTCAAATCTGGATCCGAAGAGTTGCGTCGGGCTCCGCATCCGTCGCGAGGGCGACATGCATGACAGCTGGACCACAGTCACGCACCCGTGGCTGCAAGGGACGCCAATCAGCCTGGGCAGGCCGGAACGCAGCGTCCGGATGTTTGGCGCCAACATAGCCACGGCGGCGAAACGGACCAAGGGCTGGCTCAACAAGGACAGAGAAAGAGGCGCGCCGGCCAAGAGTCGCAACCAGCAGCAAGGTGTGCTAGGTACCAACATATACGTCGCGGGCGAGAAAACGAAGGTACGTGACCGCTACTTTCATTGTTAACCCTGGTACTAACAGCGAGCAACTAGATCGGAACCATTAGCGCATGTTATGACAATCCCCTCGGCTTGGAGGTCAAGCTTCTCTTTCCCCTCGGCATGGATCACGACCTGAGCCTCATCACCGCCTCCGAGGGCGCGCTTCTGCCACCCATGACACAGATCCCCAACCACGCCCGCATCGCCAAGACGTTTATAACGCCGAATGAGATTTTAAATGCAGAGTCGCCACAAGCGTTCCAGGCGTTCTGGCGGTTCAGCAACAACAACCGCGATTGGCGAGGAGGCCATTTTGTGACAGATCCCGCCCGCAACGCCGTGATCGCCGAGACGGAGTACTGGTGGGAGCAGCGCCACCTGAAGATCAAGCGCGCTATCATTTGGCGGACCTTGATCGACGACTGGCCCCTGCGAGGCGGCTCTGGCGGCGTCGTGTGTCTAGGAAATCCGGCTGCGGAAACCTACCGAGCGGCCGTGTTTCAGAATTACCAGAGCATGACCATGACAACTAACACGTTTCGGAAACAAGACGTCTGTCGGAAGCTGAAGGGCTTTCCCCAGACGTGCAGCTTTAAGGCCGGCTTCCTTCTGCCGGAGGATGTCCAGAACGCAACCATTGTGTTCGGCGAGGACGAGGTGCCGCAGGAGCGGCGTTCGGTGTCGGGCCCTAGTGGTCCGGTGCATCCTGACGGGCTAGTCAAGCCAGTGGTGACTCGGAGGAAGGAAAACCGTACAGATAATTGATGTTGGGAACATCCGGGAGGATATGGTTGGTGGCTTCATTGCGGAGGGTGCGAAAGGAGTCGAGTTGACTGGCGGTATTGCGCAGTTGCCGACGCGGCCCTTCCCTGCATGGCCATCTTGCCTCGGAGCCTGTCAGAAGTGGGAAGGAGGTCCAAAGGGAAGGAGAGCGAGAAGAAGAGAGTACCCAGTTGATATGTTTGGAGAGGGGGTCCTGGTGCCCTTTCCCTTTGCTTCCATACTGAAATCATGGATCAATAGCACGTGACGTGCGTCGGCGATGTGCCGCAAGGAGACTCTTGTGGTACTAGGCCTGTGTGTTAATGGGTAAACAAGTATTATATTATGTAGGACGTGGGCCAATATTGAGTCGGCTATTACTACGTCGGCCGGTACTGCTCCGCGCGGGCCAGTACTACGCGGGCCAGTACTGCGTAGGCCAGTATTACGTTGGCCGAGCCCCTTTGTCCTTGTTTGCCACTAATTGCGCCTCGAGATTGTCCAGACGCCTGGACATCTCATCCACTATTCCGTAATGGTAATGGCAAGGCCCAAGCCGTCAGCCGGGAATTTTCACATTGAGCCATTTGGCCCTGCAAGCCGCCTTGATTGATGATGAGGGAGGTGCCAGACAGTTGACTTACTCTTGGCAAAGATCTCGCTTGAAACGCCGGCGAACTTGTTGGACAGCGTATTCAGCAAGTCCTCGACCTGGGCCGTGAGATCAGATCGCGCGTCATCCGAAGTCTGTACGTAGTTGAAATGCAAAACAAGCATTTGTGAGCATGGGTGACTTTTTGCCTTTGCCGCGGAAGATGGGCGGGGGAAGGGGGTGGAATTTATCTCAGAATCCGCAAGAATTGAAATAAAAACTGCTAATGATGAGAATTGAGGTGCTGCGAGGCGTCCGCCGTCTTGGGGCCGGGGCCTGGCACAGGCGGGAAAAGGAGGTCCACGAGAGGGGACTTGCGACTTCAAACGGGGGTGAAGCAAAGGAAAAGAAACAAGCTGGGACATATAACCACTATTTGCCGCCAGACACACTCACGTTTGTGGTTTGGCTGGTGGTGCTCGAGTCGGCGTTTGAAGCCATGGTGCCGGTGCCGGTGCGGTGCTAGTGGTGGTGGTGGTTGGCTGTTTGTTGTTGGCCCTGAAAAAGACTCGAGGAGAACCGCCGTCGGAGAAGCTTATTTGTTTATTCCCAGACCACTTGTGTCGAGCGTCCGCATGTATTGTACCCACGGTATTCCGTATCGTCGTGAATGTAGGCTGCCAGGTAGCTGTGGTTGTGTTCAGGTATTTATTCAGGCGAGATGAGAATGACAGCCTTGCTACTTTGGCTTTGGCAGCACCAAATTTTGATATATGGCCCGTCCCAGACTCTCCCCTGCGACTTGTGAGTTTGTGTGGTTTGGTTGCACGACCAGTGACCGTTGGTTCGAGAAGGATAAGATGGGGGTTGGGTCCCGGCTGGGGCACACGCTGCAGCGTATCCGTATTTCACCTAGTCTAGTCTTTTCCGTAATGTTTAGAGTTTGCGGCGGTGTTTGCTGTCGGGTTTCAATTGGCACTGCGACTGGGGAGCGCGCACTGTGCCCCGTTTGGCCGATGACTACGGTGGGGAGCCCAGTCGTCAGTGAGCCAATGCGCTTTGGGAACTCGAATGCGGCCATCTCCCATTGCGGCTTCCTTGGAAGCACCATCTCCTACAACACATCCTTTGCCTTTTCACATACATACCTATTCGCTTCTACGAGGACAGCTTTCCGTGCCCCGCCCGCCTCGTCAAGACGTCTTGTGAACATCAGCCCGGCCATTGCAAACTCCAACTGTCAAGTCCCCAGTCCAAAGCTCGCAAGCCGACCAAACAACCACCAAACCCGACAAACTTGGACTTTGGTCTTCGCAGTCATCTTGCGCTCGAGACGACCTTTCCAGACGCGAAGTCGGCCGCGTGCCTTGAGCGCTTAGAAGATGCGCTCCTCGTCGAGCTCATAACTCCGCCCCTCGCCTTTCCGCGAGCGACATCTTAACCAGACGAGAAGGAGTAGACCGGAGGAAGATGCAACGTGCTGCAGCTCAACGTCATGCCTCAATCACCCGACCGAGGTAGGACGCTGTTAGTCCTCTTCATTCTCATATGGGTCTTCCTGGCCCCAGATAACGGGCCGGCCCTGATATCCGCACCGTCGCTCGCCACTGCTCGGCTCGCCCGCCAGCGGCAGGCTTTGGCCGTCCTTAACAGCACGAGCTGGGGAGATTTTGCGCCTCGACCCGTCGAGAACCCGGAGCACGCGCCCCGGTTTCTGAATCTGACGGGCTTTCGGAAAACGGACGGGTACGCTTGGCAGGACCTGGACCGGTTCAAGGACCGTTGTCGAGAGTGGAGCCGCAACGTCTTTCCGTCGCCAGCCGGTGACGACCAGTGGGAGCACAGTCCTATCCAGACCACATGGCAGAACGCGACGGGCACTGTGTACGGAGAGTGGGCGCGCCGCCCAGGAGCTGCTGTAAAACAGGCAGTGGGCTTCAACCTGAGCGACATCGCCCCCGCAGTTAGCTGGCCAGAAAAACACGTCGAATGGGCGAGGAACACGACCGGCGACCATGGCACCATCATGCTGCGCCTCATCGAAGAAGACGTGGGCGTCGAGTATGAAGAAAAGAAGCCCGGCATTGCACTGCATTCGGCAAGTGTGGCGAGGGAGGTCTCGGCCCTCGTCACCATCCAGGACAAGGCGAACCAGGCGAGCAGCTGGAATATGCGACTGTTTGGCGTGCACTGGCCGAGCCAGGGCTCCATTCTCCTGACGACGACAAGCGAGAAGTTTGCCGGCATCTTTGGGTTACCACATCTGGCCCCCGACCGAGAGTTCTTCGAGTCGAGCCAGAGACTGCTCAACCAAACGCTGGACAAGGCGCTGCGCAAGAAGGAGAGGACGCGCTTCACCGATACCAGCAACCCCTGGTCGTCGGTGGTCGAGGGATCCGACGAGCCTTGGGCCCTGGCGCCGCATTGCGAGTACGTCATGTATCTGCAGCTGCAGCCTCTTGACCTTCGCCAGACGGGACTAGACAGCTTGGATGACGGGCTTGCCAAGCGGCCTACCGCAGTTGTTGACAGCTTGGAGAACGAGCTTCGCCATCCAACGGGCGCGCCTATCAAGGTCATCCCAGAGCTTCGCATGTCACTCGTAGCGTGGTCTCCCGACTGTGGATTCTACCTCGAGTCCAAAGGGCCACCCCACTACCACCCGGCCGATGGACAGCATCTCGTCGGCATGAAGGAGGAGGTTTTCATTTATCGCGCCAAGGTGTGGATGCTCGCGTTTGCTGCTCTTCTCATGGCCCAGATCTGGCTCCTGAAGGCACAGTTGAAAGAAACAAACACGCCATCCACCATAGGGCGTGTCAGCTTTTACACTGCGGGCATGATGCTGTTGGCCGACGGCTTGGTATTTGCAGGCGCGTCGGCGTGGAGCCTCTCGGCGACGAGCACGTTTCTCCCTTGCCTCGCCGTGACGTTCGCTGCCTTCATGTCGATGGTGATAGAAGGTTCATTCCTTTCAGAGGTCTACAAGATCCTAGAGCAAGAACGGAGGAACCAAGAGCGGGGACGTGAGCGACAGCACAACGCCAACGCTTCTAATGCCCCAAGGGTACCGCCGCCTCCGCCTCCGCCTCCTGTAGAGCCGCGAGATGGCACGCTGCCTCGCCCTGTGACGGCGGGCCCTCCCCGTGCGGCTTCTCCTCCCATCATCATCCCATCCGATCAAGATATTGATGCCGAGATTGCCGAGAACCTGGCTGCTGGCGCCGCAGCCATTCCAACTGCAGGCGCCCTTCCGGCAGCCCCAGCCGGGACTCCGGCCAGGCCGCAAGCTCGAGTGACCACCTTCGCATCAATTTCCGCACGATTCGTTCTGCTCGGCGTGATGATTCTTTTCCTCACTGCTGCCGCGGCGTCCTGGCCGGCGACGATCCGCTCAGCCTACATCAACATGCTGGCCTTTCTCTACCTGTCGCTGTGGCTGCCTCAGATATGGCGCAACGTCCAGCGTAATAGTCGTCGCGCCTTTGCTTGGCGCTTCATGATTGGCCAGTCAGTCCTCCGGCTGATGCCGTTCGCATATTTCTACCTCCGCGAGGACAACATCCTTTTTGCCGAGCCCGACTGGCGCGCCTTCGCCGTGCTCGCAAGTTGGCTCTGGATCCAGCTCTGGGTCCTCGCCCTGCAGGACATCCTGGGACCCCGCTTCGGCATACCGCGCTCCTGGGCCCCCGAGGCCTGGGAATACCACCCCGTCCTGCGCGAGGACAACGTCGAGGCCGGCGGCCTGCCGATAGGCCTTGTGGGCACCTCGAGCAACCCCACATCACCGGTAGCGGGGCGGATGAGGTCGTGGTCCATGGGCAGCGGCGGGGGCGAGGCCAGGGAGCGTGAGAAGGTTCGTGAGAAGCGCGGTACCTACTTGCGCTCCATGGACTGCGCCATCTGCAAGGAGATCCTCGAAGTGCCAGTCGTGCGCGCCGGCGCCGAGGACCCTTCGGGCGGCGGAGTCGCTGGTGTCCTGGCCCGTCGCGCCTACATGGTCACGCCCTGCCGCCACATCTACCACACGAAATGCCTCGAGGGCTGGCTACGCCACCGATTGGTATGTCCCATATGCAGAGAAGAGCTGCCGCCCCTGTGAGGCTAGAGCCGGGACGGCACTTGAATCACGGGCGATTAATAATGGCATTTGATTGAGCGTGTACAACAGCAGAGTATATATATCAGTTGGATCTGCATCATTGCTGGCGCCCATCTTTCCTAGCGTTCGTCTATGAATAGGTAGGCAAATATTTTAATAGTTAAGCATGTAGCGAGGTACAACGGAGTGCATTGGAGCGGGACATAAATGACGGGTGTATTTTCGAATTACATTGTAATCAGTTGAGGGGCGTTTTAGTCCAGCAACCAAAGAAACAAGGGACTGAAAATGCAGACTATCCGCAGGTTTTGAGTGAATTGTTATAATTGCCTTTTGTTTACTTTGTTCTCTTGCACGCTTTCGATGGCAGCCATGATCCTTGCACACGCGGTCTGAGGTTATAGTTACAAGATATTCAGTCATCCGTACAGACGTATCACCAGTGAACACTACTGGGTTTATTATAGACAGACAGGCAGCGAAGACCTCTTGAATGGTTCCCAGCAGCAACCTACTTAGAGGTCTGCTATCGCCTCTACGTTTTAACCCGGTAACTAACTTGTCAGAGATCAATCCCAAGGAAAGATAAATAAAAGGAGTGCCAAGGCAATTTTAAACACGCTTGGTATTTATTAATATGTGAGAATAAAATATCCAGTGGGATATGGTAGGTGGGCGCGTTTGTGAAAACGAGGGAACCATCAACCAACCAACTGACTAACCAGCTAACCAAGACCAGGCCAGGCCATCCCAGACCAGTCCCCAGAAGATGAAAACATAGTAAATATGATAAATAAATGAATCCCGTGGTTCTACATGCGAAAAAGGAAACAAAAAGAAGAGCAGAGAAGAAATATGAATAAGCCTTGAGCTTGAAAGACAAATAATAAAATCCTGTCAGGCCAGCAGAGAGAGATTCAAAATTTTGTCCATGAAAGAGAAGTGGTTTTGTCGGTATCCTTTTTTCCCCTCCCAATAGTATTTTCCACTCATGCCGCGATGGCTGTTATTCTTGAGGTGGAAACTAGTTTGTCATGTGTATGACGTGATTTTCATCTCATTCGTCCGAGTGAATATTGACCCATAAAACCAATAAGAAAAGACGAATAAAAACCTTGTGCGGCGGCAAAGTCTGGGGTATATCCGAAGAGAAAGATTAACCAAAAAAGCAAAAATAAAAACAAACAGAAGAAGTGAAAATACAGCAGAAAACTAAAATCACCACCATATTTTGGTCACCCGTGTCTTTGTGTCGAGCGTCCCCGTGGGCAGCTCGCGAGACCCGAGCTGGACGAATGCATAGCGCTCGCGGAGGTCAAACTCGACGGCGCGCACCATGACGCGCTTCTCTTCGGGTATGCGTTTCTCCTCGGGTACGGCGACGCGCGGCGGTCGCGAGAAGATGCTGCCGGCGTTGGCAGAATTAGAGGCCGGGCTCCCTCGTCGCCCAGATTCCCATTTTGCATTCCCGCCAGGGCCAAGGGCCATGTCCCCAAAGTCTATAGTGCTGCCTAGCCGGGTGCTCGAGCCGCTCGTGGACGGGCGTGAAGGACTTTGCTTCACGAAGTTGTCTACTGGAGATGGGGCATCCTCGGTTTCTTCGACCTCGGCAATCCACGTGCCGATGCGGGCTGTGAGTTCGCTGTCCCACATGCCTTCTCTCCTGGAACTGCTGCGCAACAGCTGGATAGCCTGCCTCCTTATCAATCCGTTACGGCATTTTGTGGCAACAACAAAGAGAGGCGGCACGATACCCAGGTCGGCGCTGAAGCTCGGCTTGATGTGGCATGCAGCATACTCGTGCCCGCCAAAGATGTCGGCGTCCTGGCGGCGCCGGTGGCGGCAGTATCTCGGGTCTGGGCACCGCTTGGCGGCCGCTCTCCGTTCCTCGTCGCCCACAACCTCGATGGCCAGGTCAACAATGGCCTTGAACTGGCTCGTGAAACTGTCAAACTGCATCTCGGTATCGCTGAAAGTCATGAGGAACAGTATTTGCCCCATAACCTGCGTCATCTTTAGTACCGCCACGCCGGCCTTCTCCTGACTACTCACGCCTGGCGCCGTCCTCGAGGCGAGGATTGGCTCAAAGGCGTCTGACCAGGAGTCAATGTCCTTTTTAAACTGCCCGCCATACTGCCGCAACGACTGCGGAAGAACTCCCATAATCTGGTTTTGCGTGTGCATGAACATTGTTTCGGTGAACCTCAGGATGCGCTCGGCAAGAGTATCCCAGGCTAGGCGAGCTTCCAGAACGGATGTGAACCGGCCCGGAATCGGATCTTGGTGGAGTGATACAGGCGAGGCTCCCTCGGACGACGGGGAGCTCGGGTCCTGCGCCTGGGCCGCCGTGGTTAGGCACACGACATATGGGTGAGGGAAGTGGAAAGCCATGTCATAGGACTTGGCCTGTATCGCTAGCCGAGTGAATATCTGGATGAGCTCTTCCTCGACCGGCTCTTCAGGCTTGGGAACAAAGGCACGCCTCCTCTCGGCTCGCAGTATCTCCAGCAACGCCAATCCGTTCTGGACCTGGACGATTGCTTGCTTGTGGTCGCCAATAAACGAGTCGAAGCACGCCAACAGCACGCTCGCCATGAGTCTGGTCCGGTGCGACGTCGACTCTGCGGACTTGGCCAAAACAAGCGAGTTGCAGGCGTTAGAATACTGCCGGACGGCCATCTCCCAGTGCCTCAGAGCACGGTCGACAAAATTGCCGTCCCCGGCAGGCGACCCGGGCGGCGACTCGGTTGACTGCTCGAGCGTCTTATACAGGGCGCCCAGCGCAACGACAGCATGGCGGATGGCGGCCTGGGAGTGGCACTCCTGCAAGACGGTGCGTTCCCAAAATGCCGAGTCAAAGAATCCCGAGAGCTCATTCGCTGTGTGCTCACGGAACAGCCGATAATAGAGACCCTCGGTCTCGTCAAAAGGTAGTGTAGTCGAGGGCGTGTGCAAAATGGCGACGGCAGAGGACGGGGTGCTAGGCGTTAGCGGAGGAAGAGTGGTTCGGCGCTGGTACTTTGCTACACGCCGTGGGGGCAGCTGGATGGGTTCGCGACCAGGCGGAGGGGCACTCGCTGCCGCCAGTGGCTTCGGCGCGATTCGGATCTCCTCAAATGGGCGGGCGCTGCGGCTCGGGGGCGGGTAGCCGGTGCAGGACTTTTTTGAGCGGAGGCAGTTGGCACACGACGGGCGCTTCTCGTCGCACTTGATTCTCCTCTGCCTACAGAGCCAACCTGGTTAGCGCAAAGGCGCAGCGAGCAAAGGAGACTGGCTGGTGGGATAGTGAGGAGAGACTGGAAGTGGTTGCTTACTTGCAGTTATTGCATCCTGTCTTGACTTTGGGTTTGCTCGTCCTCGCGCGCTTTGGCTTGGAGGCGTCGGTGGGCGTGCCCGAGACGGTCGAGGCTGGGGACAAGGGCGCCCCAGCCGAGGGACGGCGTCCCGGAGACAGCGACAACGACGACGACGATGACGACGACATGAGAAAGGGTGGCGATAGCTTCTACCGGTCAGCCGGCACCATCGCAATCAAGACCAATTAGGCCGCTAGCGCAGTTAGTAGCTTGATACTAGTAATTGGTAAGTACTTCTAAGCCAGGGGTTGTTGGCGACGCGAGCTGGAGTGTGGGGGTTATCGAGATTCCAGGATGCGGAGAATGGACACGATCAATGGATGGTGGAATGGAGCTGTTCTTGTCTCGTTGATGGCTGGACGTCGACCGACGGTGGTGGTACGGCGCGGGCAGGCAGTTTGGAACTTTGGATTGGTGTTTTGGACCCTTGGTCTAATAAGGTAGGAGGTTTGCGCCGGCTTAAGGGTTGGGGGTGCTGCTTACTCCGGACGGACTAGTTGTAGGGAATACCGCGGGGCGATTAGTCTCAGTCGGTTGTTTCGTTGGTTGGCTAGCCTGCTTTGACGTTGCGGGCAGGAACGTAAAGACGGACTCCTAGGTCGGATACGTGATTACTCGAGAGTCGAGACTTCTGGGAGTGAGACAAGCGAAGGGATGCCGCTGGGGATAGGACGTGTCCAAGTCAAGTCAATGGCCAACCTACAGCAAGGAAGGCGACGGCGAGTCTCGGCGTGAAGGTAGGTTGCTTTCCGTCCGATTACACGCAAAAAAGCGCAAATGGGGCGAGGGCCGTATCAAAAGGGTCCGTCCCATGGAACACCTATAGCGGCTAGAACGTGGATGGAGGGGGGTTCCTGAGACCAGGTTGGCGAGGCTGGCGAGCTGCACTTAAGTCTTATTAAAGGCCAATTTTCTGTCTCATTGTTCCACGCACTGCACAGCAGCCCTCAGGTACCGGCTGCGAGCCTACGAGTGAGTGCCAGACGGCCGTCGTCGAACACGGCCGTTCAGGGCGTCGCACTCCACCTCACTTGCAGCCGGGGCCGCCTTTGGTACGTCCCTAGCCCCAAGGGATGCGCCAAGATTTGGTGCAAACTCCACTAGGGAGGGTCCTCCACTGTGGTGGCCCCCATGCGGCAGGATGGGACCGGGGCTATCTTCCAGGTATCCACAGCCTCCAATAGGTGAATCCAGGCTGGCCTCCCACGCTCATCACACCTTGCGACCTACCTGAGATTTTCATCCACGCCGACCGGGCTTAACTTAGGCTTCCTTCCAAGTTTGGATTTTGCCGTCTTCAGTCTCACCATCACATAACGCCGGCTTTGGCAGCCATCTACTAGCTACTTGAGCAATCAAGGGCACGGCCGTGTATTTCGCTCAAAAGCCGAGATAGAGTGCATGCATACTTACCCTTAAGTTCAAGGCCCAAGCAGCTCAAGAGGCGGAAGGCAGTACTTAGCCCGCCGCCTGCTCTGTGCTCCAAATCGTGCGAAACAAGCCAACCTAACTAACGCAGGCGTCAAGCTCCCGTGCATCGTGCATCGCGAACTTTCCATTGTTGTGCAGGCTCGCTGTGCGGAGCGGGCCAAGAAGACAGTCGCTGTTGCTGTCGTAGTTGCTGTTTGTGATGGGTGCCACACGCGGCTACTGCATGCCTAGCCTGGTTGCCTCTCATGTCACCGGGCTGGCTGAGACTCGTTCTCTCGGAGGTTGTCGGCTCATAGAGAAGCCGTGTCTATTTCCAAGAAGAGCATCTAGCAGCGAATTCGTGTCTCGATTGCCCGACTCCGTTCGCAACATGTCGATACGCATATAATGTGATGATCGAAAATGGAGCGAGCGGCTATGGGTGATGCGCCATACAATGAATGCAGTCAGGCCGAGCGACAACAAGTCAAAGCGAAGACAATGTCTCGGGCGTGTTGAGGACTCACCGCGGCGTGGAAACGCACCCCACTCGTCGGCGATGAGCTTCTTTGCGGCACTGGCTGGCAGATCAAGAAACGACGGGCCACGGGACCGTTCGCACGAGAGGGTCTTGTGATATCGAGACGCACAAACGACATGGCCTGACCAGCAGAGAGCTAATGGCATGGCGCTTCCCGAAGGACAGCATCGGAGCCTTGAGATTACCGATAGGTAAGAGGCTACCATGACGCATGGTGGACGCATGGTGGACGCAAGGTGGACATATCGTGCAACATACACTTGTTCCGGACGTCCACTGTCTCTCCCCAACCTATTCGCACCAGCATCCCAACGTCCGTTGGTTCGCATCATTTGTCAGCCGCGTGTGGTGCTCGCGCCCTCGCGTATCGCGACAGCTGGGAAATACGTACATGCAGTTTGAATTGGGCGACGGAAGACGACAGATCGACCCTGTATTCTTTCCTATCTACGGAAGGGGGTGTGCAGGTCTGTAGAATACAGGCCCCGGATCTCCCAATCTTCCATCCCTTCTCTGATCTCAAGTCAGCCCTTCTTGGCTCTTGGCTGGCGGCGCCACGAGCAGCATGGCAACTCGTCATGGTTCAATTACACTAGCCCATCAACATCAACCTCAACAACACGGCAACGCGAGGTCTCTTTGAGTCTTTGAAAACTGGCCCAGGAATAGGATAGCCGGCTCGCTTGGCATGGAGACCTTCCAGAATGCCCCTCTCCCTTCCCCTCGTTCAGCCCTACGGCTACACGGGTCCTGGCTCGGCTCTTTCGAGCCATCATTGGTTGCAAGCGTGCTGCGATTCTCGACCCGATCGACCCAGTGCTGCGCATCCCGCTATGGCGCAGACCAGAACTGGATGATCGGGAATGGGGTGTCTCGCAGAAACGCCACATGCCGTCCCAACAAACTTGCGGGGCGTCTTTTAGACCGACGGCGCGATTGAATCTTGCAACCAAATCCGGCCTAGCGAGTTCTGTCAAGCCCCTGATGGCGGGATTTCGAGGCTCCTCCACAGTACGGATACTGAACCCAGTATCAACCGTTTGTATGTAGCTGGCAAACCACCGATAATAAAGACAGAGAACATCTGCGACGGCTAGACGGTCCCGCCCGTCGCTTGTTGAGCCCAGGTGTTGTGGGTGTCTTGCCCCTTGTTGAAGTCGCTCTCTATTGTTCCCCATCCAAAGCGTTCCAGAGAAGCGGTGAGTTGTCGGGCCGCCAAAAAATGAGGGGTCCTGCAAGACACTGGACTTTGTTGAAGTGCGGATATCATCATTATCGGTATCGCCTTTCTCTCATCACCCAATTGTGCAATTTCTGCCTGAAGATCACCTTGCCGGACAGGCAGGACACCGCCACACGCATCGCATGTGAGCTGCAGCTTCGTCACTGTGACTCTGGAGAGATTGGTGATGCAGTTGTTTGCAGCCCTTTGGTCGGCCCTCCAAGCATGCCATGCGGGGAGACGACAAGAGGGCGAGGCTGCGTGGCTGTGTAGAGTGGTGCTGACAGCTATCTGCTCACATTTGCATTTGCCCCACAATCCAAGGGAGTGGCTCGGGGCCGCCGTAAGGGGCCGACCCACGGCGCTGGTCACCCTTGCGGGGAGAAAAGGAGGGAGGGGGGTGGGGGGAGCCGCCAAGAAGCCGGCCTCCGTCATGGCTGAGACCCTTTGCATGCAAGCCCGTGAGGCATTCCCCTAGGCGCACCCGGCAAAGGGTCGACAGTTGCCCCGAAAAGGCGAGGGGCTCGAAATCGGTCCCTCTCTCAACTCTGAACTGAAACTTGTCCGATCAGAAGAGCGGCCGGACGAGCGACCTGAGTCTGGACGAACATCGAACCGAGAATTGCCCAGATACTACTCCGTTTCTTCCCCCTTCTTTTGCATTCAGTAAGACGGCCCGCCTCCTTCCCAGCCACCCCCCATCATTTCTTCCCTTCCTTCCAGAGATGGCTGAATCCTTCGCTGCCCATTGGCTGCGGGCTGCCCTGCTTGCCGATCCCTCTCGGCACTTGAAAGCGTTGTGACACCAGGACACCACGGACTTCTACATGCACATACAGCACATGTAAGAACCCATCCTCTCAAACTGATCAGTTTTGACGAAACAAGGCCACCCATTGGGCCTGCCTGCCCCTGCCCCTGCTCAGCGGCTATCATGCTCCCCTCTGGCCGGTTGTTTACAAATACACACCTACATATCTTGATGCTTTGAAAGTGCCGAACTTAGGGGGAGCACCGTGCAGCCGCCGACTGTGTGTTGTGTTATTGAACCCATACATATGCTCCGCAACTCACCTGCTCGATTTGTGACGGGCAGTGACTCTGCAAAATAATAAATGCGACATTGTTCTAGTTGTTGTTGTCTGCAGCCGATCAACTAATATGGAAGACGTGTCTGGTTTATTTCATTCGGACCTGGCGATTATGTTCCGATGACGACGGCCGAAGGCTCACCAAGATGCAAATCGTCTGCACAATATTTCAGATTGTGGGAACCCATCCTACAGCCTGGATTTGACTCACTGTGTGCCCTGGTTTTTGGAATTGAAATGGGCTGGCCGGTAACGGATTACTCGTCCTTGCTGGTTACAGCTCGGAGGCCCGTGTTGCGCTCCAAGTTGGAGTTGTGTGGGTTTGGGGTCCAAGAACAGACCGGGGGGGTGGGAATGTGCAATTAGCACCTCAACTCTCACCAGGTATGGAATTTCCCATGGAGCCTCTTCCTTGCTTCACTTCAGCCCTACAAAGACGTTGAACCATGTCAGTGGGTAAAGTGAAGAAGCTAGAGTGCGGATAGAGGGCCGTTGTTTACACATGCTCCGGGAGCCCCCTACTACAGCTTTGTTAGCCATTGGATATTGTGGGGTACTACTCCGTACCTCCGCCAGCACAAAACCTCAGATTCCAAGATAAGTTGTCAGCAGTTTTGCTGAGTTTAAAACCCAAAATGAAACCACCCAACCACCACATCAGATAGCTTCGACAATGGGACGATGCGGTGAGAACTAGAAGCAGACCAATAATTACCGCTCAATGATATTTCAAGATCTAAGCGAAAAAGGGAACAGATAGGAAAATACAGGATAAAGGGAGAAAGGGAGAAAGGGAGAAAGGGAGAAAGGGAGAAAGAGAGGGATATCTTGAACACAATGGCGACATCACCATCACCACCTCCGCCACCCCGTTCCCTCCCCTCGCTAGCCGACGTCATCTTCTCGTCAGAGCAGGCCAACCACAATTTCTCGCGGATCCTGGGCGACCTCAAGCGGGCGAATCTGTCCATCACAAACCGGCTGCGGTCGATCCGGCACGACGCGGCGTTTGTGGCGCGCGTGGCGGCGGCCCGGCCCCGGCTCCCGCTCGTCGCCAACGAGCGCTGCGGCAGCTGGTACATCGACCCGGCCCTCAAGGCCGCCTCGGCCTACTTCAAGAGCACCGACGGCCACACGGGCCAGTGGAAGTTCAGCACCCGCCGCGTCAACCTCCACCTGCTCGACCTGATCGCGCAGCACAATGGGTTTGTCCTCCCACCCCTTTTAGTCCTCCTTTGCAGCTTATTTCGTTGTTTATATATTTGTATTGTTCTTTCGGCTTGCTAACGCGTGAGTGCGGCCTGCGCGAGCGGGTCTTGGTGTTGCCACGGGTAGCTGCATCATAGTCGACTCTACCCGGCGAGGAAAGCGTTCGTCTCCTCCCCCCCCACCCCTTTTTTTTCTACCACCCCCTTCTTCACAAATAAAACCCAAAAACTAACAACCCCACCGCAGGCATCCCAGACGCGCTGAGCAAGACAGTGCCCATCTGGTGCGCCGTGCTAAACCGCGCGCTGTTCCCGTCCGCGCCGACCGCCTGGCACGCGCTGCACGTGCCGCCCAACGTGGTGTCGCTCTCAGAGCAGAGCCAGATCGAGGCACGCCTCCCAAGGTTTGTGGCCGACTTCCTAGCGCTCGAGGTCGACCTCGCGCCGCTACAGCAGCGGCTGCGAAACAAGCCGCTGCGGCCGCTGTGGGCGACGCAGGACGATTTCAACGATGACGATGATTTCGAGGGTAGCGGCAGTGAGTTGGAGTTCTACCCCGTCGTGTGCTGCACCAGCTCGCGGTGCGTGGCCGGCGGCACGGAAGTCGGCGAGGGCGCCGGCTACATCCAGGGCGCCGGTGACGACACGGAGAACTGGGCGCTGGGGCTGACGGCGCCGCTGTTCTGGGCGCACGCCGACGCGCTCCTAACAACACCCGAGCACGAGCTGCCGGCGCTAATCCAGTCTCTTGTTGCCGTACACACAAACACCGGCGTCCCGACAGAGCTGCGGCAGGTCGCGCCGCGCCTCGCGATCGGCGTCCTCCCGCCGGAGCCCGCCGCCCGGGCCGCTCTGACAGTGGCCTCGGCCTCTGGGGCGACGACGTGCGTGGTTGCGCTCGTGCCCGCGGTGACAGACGCGGCGAGCTGGGAGAAGTCGCCGTCGCATCTCGAGGTCGGGCTCGGCGGCAAGAGCAAGGCGGCGAGCCGTGCGCTGCGCGCCGCGCTGCCGCAGATCTGCGACTTTGTGTCGCGGTTCCTCTTGAGACCTGACGACGATGATGACGACGATGATGACGACGGCGGCGGTTCTTCTTTAGGGGGCGTGGCCGAGAAGAGGGCGGTGGCGATAGTGTGCGAGTCCGGCAAGGACCTATCGGTGGGCGTGGCGCTAGCGCTGTACTGCTGGTGCTTTGACTCCTCTGGACAGAATCTGCTGTTAGGTGGTGATAGAGAGCCCTTCACCAAGACCAAGATCAGAGTGAGGCTGGGGCACATCCTGAGCAGACTCCCCGACGCCAACCCCAGCCGGGCGACACTGCAGAGCGTCAACAGTTTCCTGATAGACTAGCGGGAGTGAACACCCACCTACGCAGCGAAGAGAAATAATCATCAGGATAGGAAAAAGTTTATTAGTTTCTAATGCCATCTGTCTAGATGTGGCATTTCTAGTTCAGGTGACTTGTCTGGCGATGATCTAGCAGCTGGCTGTCTAGTATATGGGTTCCCCCCCCGGCAACCCGAGAAATAGCCCGCCCCCTTTAAGTATCGCCCTGCCCGTCTACCCGAGCATGAGACCGCGAGAAAAGCATAGAGACATGGGATACGAGAGGAAAGAAGTCTAGACGCTGCCGCTCTCGATCTTGGCTAGGCACGAGTCGAACTCGCTCCAGTGGCGCATGACAACGACGGCGCCAGCCTCGGTGAGGACCTTGACCATCTCGTCCTGCTCGTCGACCTTGTAGGGGCCGACATAGCCGATGACCTTGATGCCGGCGCGGGTGCCGCTAAGAGTGCCGCTCTTGCTGTCCTCTACGGCGACGCACTCGGCGGGCTGCTTGTCGAGCGTCTTCATGGCGTGCAGGTAGATGGCCGGGTCGGGCTTGCTGGTGGGCGTGGGCAGGCTGGTGGCGGCGCTGAAGACGTCGGTGCCAAAGTACTTTGCCTGGCCGACGCGGTCGATACTAGCCTGCACGCGGCGCAGCGCCGAGCTACTAACGACGGCCATGTGATACTTTCCGGACGCCGCCAGCTTGGCTAGCTCGGCGTCGACACCCTCGCACGCCCGGCCCTTGGCCTTGATCTTGTCGATCACCACGTCCTCCTCGCGCCGCACGTACCCGTCCAGCTCGTCCGCCGACAGGCTGAACTGGTACCGCTCTTGCAGGCTCTTCATCATGCCCCGGAAGTTCTGCCCCACGAACTCGGTCAGCAGCGTCTCGCCCGTGAACGGCTGCTCCAGCGGCACGCCCTTGGCTGCCGAGATCTCGTTGATGAGGTCCGCGCAGCCCTCGAACGCGAGCTCCTCTGAAAGCACCAGCGTGTTGTCGCAGTCGAACAGGATGGTATTGATCTGCGCGTCGCGGGGCAGCTGTTAGCTTTTTTTTGTTTCGTTTCTTTTTCACTGTGTATCTACATGTCTCTGCCTTGCGTTTATCTCCCCTGTCGCGGATCGCAACACCTGTCCAGCCGCCCGGGAGAGCCAAGCTTACCTTACCCATCTTGACTGATTTCAAGAGATAGATGAAATAATGGAGTAGAGCGAAAGCAAGAAGACCAAAGTCGCGTATGTGCCTCCTCACGGATCTAATTTGCACTCTGGAATATCTGTTGATTTGGGTTGGGGTCAAGGAGAGGCAGGCTACGAAATGAAGGGACTAGAGAGAGTCTCGCCGCGGACGGGAAGCAAGTGGATTAGAGGGGGAAGGAGCTTTACAAAAGCAAGACGGAGCTTGAAAAATATAACAAAAAAATGAGCCGTTATTTCACGCCCCTTCTTTCACATGTTGTAGTGGCTTTCCCGCCCCTGTGCGCAACATGGCATGCATGCATTTTATTGTTCCCTCCTGAGGCAAGAGGGGGGCCCGTTCCATATTGGGCGGTTGGTTGGCAGTATTTGCGGCGGCCGCGATCGGCAGCGAGCGACGGCGAGCGGGCGATGACCGACCGACCGACCGACTGACCCGCTTCCCCATTTTTCTCTCTCTTTGCTCCCAGTTTTTATTTTATTTTTATTTCCTGTTGGCGTTTCGCAACACAGAAACCTTGGAAAACTCGACATCCCGGTGCCACGCGTTTCGGATCCTTTCCATCAAATCCAATGGCAGGCCGCAGGCGGGAACGATCTCTGGAAACGAAACAAACCGAGGCAGCAGTGTCGATCCTAAGGGACCCATCCATCCCCTCCTCCTACGTCATCGCACAGCAAACCAAGCAAGCGGGGTCCTCCTACGAATTAGGGGTGCGCGGGGCAGCTCAGCGGGCTGCAAGGTGAGCTGTCGTTACAGCACTCCTCTGCAGAGGAGATGCGCCTATCGTACCTGGAGAGAGAATGCAACAAGATTTATTATTTCTTACCAGTTATCAATAGGCCCAGCTTTTGGCTTGCATCGCTTGGTGGTGACCTTAGCTTCTAGGGTGTCGCACGCACCCTGGTTAGCTCCGGCTACCCCGCCGCCGCCTCCAGGAACCCCTAGCGGGGTTTCAGTTTGGAGGGGGGGCCCGGAGATAAAGCCACGCTTCGGGATCCACGAATCCAGAGAGCTTGCCTTGGATGGTCAATAGGTTTCCATCTTGGGCATCGCAAGCGACAGCCCCGTCCATCATTCCCCTACAAGTCCAAGTAAGGTAAGCAAGGCCGGCTGGGCGTGCACGACAAGGTGCTTAAAGGTAATCCCGGCGCGGCTGGTACCTTTCGTTGGGCGGTTGGCGGCTACGAATTTGAATATTCCCTCAACGAGGCCCATCTCATGGGCCTCCAAACACGGTCTCAAGGAAGACAGACCTCCTCCACGAGGGACCAGGGGGCAGAGGAAAACGTGGTGCCAGCCCGCTTGGCCAACAGGGCCACCGCAGCCACGCGGACAGCGCCGCGGTGTATCCATAGGTTGTCGGGTTTCCGAGATAACTAATCCCGCGTGCTAATACGCAAATCAATCTGAGGGAGGCGGAAATATTGCATGTTTTGTTTCCATTTGTTAGTTGTTGGCGATCCATGACAATGGATACGCTCTCCCCCACCCAACAGCTCAGCCAACGATGTGAGTGACGCCCGCAGATAACAAGCACTAATTCTACTATATAAGACATGTCTGGCCGCTGCAACTGCTGCTCCTACAATTTTTTAGTACTATTATCTTTCTCTCGTTGTGTTTGGCCTATTGCATGCCCAACGGGGGATGGATCATGGGGCAACGCCGCCTTGTTACTTCTAACCTCTATCATGCCCCTCCCTTTTTTTTTTTTTTGAGATTCAGGGCTGTAGTTGCTCGTAGGATCCATGAAGCCACCCGATGTAGAAATAATGTTTCGTGAATGTTGTAGAATCAACTGAAACCTTCAAACAGGCCAGTAGCATAGCCCACAATGGATGTTACTCGTCCTCGTATAAACACGGTAAAGATTCGTTCCTTAACAAGGTTCAAATAAATAAATAAACAATCCTGCAATTATCGGGTCGGCAATTAGGACAGCCTCATCATGTAGATTCATAGCACGGGCAGTTCAGCAGGACAGGCGAGCAAGGTGTAATTATTTCTTGTCTAGTCTGACCTATGAATAGTTGATCATCAATCTCATAAAAACGTAAAATGGGGGGGGGGGCTCGTATGCTAAAAATCGACTCCCGTCTCGGGGACTGCCTACCTCCCTCGCCACCACCCGTCCGCCCAACAAAGTAAAAGTAAAACTCCAAATGCGCCTCACCTCAGTGACTAATGTGCCGAGTATGGGATGATTCCACCACGGCTTCCGATCAATGTCTCGTGGATACTTATCCTGCTGGCCTCAGAAAGAGCCGCCAGAATGGGTGCTCAAAAAACCAGCCATGTATGGACTGGAGGCCCCTCACTCCCAAACTACCACACCAGGACGCCAATTCCGGCATGTTTCTCCTTTGTGCGCCAATTCAGGTCCAAATGCCAGTGCCCCAAGCATCTACAGGATTTCCCGCAGCTTCTGTTTCTGGGCGTGCGTTAACGTCGTCGGGAACTTGACGTTGTATTTAACAACAAAGTTCCCGTGTTTGCCGGGCGACTTGGAGACGGGCATCCCGAGCGACGGGTACGAGTCGGAACTGCCCGGTTGTGTCGGCCCCGCCTTTTCGATGCTGAGGGTCTTGCCACCGAGCGTAGTGACGGTCCGCTTCCACCCCGTCAACGCTTCCTTGAGATCTAGATCTATACTGAAGACCACATCGTCGCCCTGGCGGACATAGAGAGGATGTGCTTTCTGCGTGCAAGATTAGCTCGTGTTCGGTCGCATGATCTGGGGCGGAGCTTGGGACTTACCTCCTCAACTATAAAGACGAGATCTTGCTGGCCACCCTCTTCTTGATCGCCGACGCCCGTGAACTTGATTCTGCTACCCTTCTTGAGGCCGGGCTTGATGGGCACTTCCAGCACCAGGTCTGTCGTAGTCCTCTTTCCTGTCTCGTCAAACATCTTGCGCTTAATCTTCATCTTCTTGGTCGCGCCTGTATACATGTCTTCAAGCGAGACGGGCAGTGGGCGCTCGACAGTCGTGACTTCTGGCGTAGCCTGGCGCGCGCTCCGCGTGCTCTCGCCGAAAGAGCCACGCATGCGACGCCCGCCCGCGGCCGAGCCTGCCGGGGAACCCCGGGGCATGCCGCCGCGTAGCAGCTCCTCGAGAGGGTCTCCGCCCAGCCCCCCATCACGGAATGTGTTTCGGAACAGATTTTCTGGGTCGCTAAAACTAAAGCCGAACGACGAGAATCGGGGGCCGCCGCCCATGTTGGGGGTGCCACCTCCCCCGAAGAAGGAGGCAAAGGCGTCGGGCATGCCCGCTCCGCCAGCCCCGCCCGCAGATGCAAATGGATTCGGACCGCCGGTATCGGGCGTAGGCACCGGACCGCCTCTCAGGATGAACTCGAGTCCGAACTGGTCGTATGTTTTGCGTTTCTCGGGATCTGAAAGAATCTCGTACGCTTGAGAGCACTCCTTGAACTTTTCAACTGCCTCTGGGTTGTCCTTGTTCTTGTCTGGGTGCCATTTGAGGGCGGCTTTCCTAGGAGAGGGTTAGCGGCGGGCTTGGTTTTGCTGTCCTGTGCAAGACGACGAGTTCCAAGAACTCCCCAGCAACAGGCGTTGCCGTATGGGAACATCGTGGATTTAATTTTAAGGACGAGCAAATCGCGAGCTTACCTGTAGGCCTTCTTGATCTCATCTTGCGTCGCTGTTGGGCTAACGCTCAGTACATCGTACAGCTTTGTTTCTTTCACCGCCATGATCAAGGGATTTTGCTGTTAGACGAGCCGTTGGACGATGGGTTTTGCCAGTGCGGATTCCGCAAGGTGAAGTTGCAAGACGTTGCAGAGGACGTTGGTTCCTAATCGCAGAGGACGAGCGACTAGGGTGATTAGGGCGCTGGGCTGGCTGCAGGTGGTTGGTGAAGAGTACACGGCTCCTGGGATTCGCTGAGGTTGCACGTGGAAATGCGGGATGTGCAGTTGCTGATTCAGGCCGCAATTGATATAGACAATCCTGCCCGTTGTGTACTGCAGTGCAAACAAACAGGTTTGAGCGAAGTTGTATCCTATGCGAGAGAGAGAACAAAGAGCATCGGGGGCCTCGGAGGGGGTCGTATGTTCTAGACCTGTCTCGAGGTGAGTAGAACATTCGAGAGCCCATTGGTCTGCCGAACAAAGTGACGCAGGCACTGCGTAGCTTGCCTGCTCAAGCGCCAGGCTGGGGGTAGATTAGTTGTAAACCCAACAATGGAGCTTTCCTGAACTCGGGAGTTTCTAGAAGCACAGAATAGACAATATATTGTATCCGTTTCTCAATCATTCAAGCCGTAAACAGCCAGGCGCCTTTTCTAGCAGCTCCCACCAGCCCTTTCGGTTTTCTGCCTCCTAACCCTGGCCGCCTTTCGGCTGGTGTGCCAGCTGGGAAGGGCGGTGAGCAGATGACGAGATACCCCAGGTCAACAAAAAGAGGCGGGGAAGCTGCTTGGCGGTCGTGCACGAGCCATAAAACGCCCAGTGCGTTCAGCTTCTGGCCAGGGTCTGAGCGCCGGAATATCCTTCCCGGGCAATGACTTGCTTCTCGGTTCCAGCACGCACGCAAGATGGTACCGCCCAGAGCGATGTTGAGCCTCAACCAATCCCGTAGACATATCTTGCTTTTGTTTCGATTTTAATGCAATAGACATAGTCACAATACAAAACTTCGTCTCAGCGTCCGGCATCGTTTGCTCACTAATCAATAGACCAAGGTGGTAATTCGAGACCCATCACTAGCATGTAAGGTGTTGACTAAGAAAATACCAACAAATACAGCCCAGTCCCTACAGATGCCAAACGTGTGTCTTTGTACATACTTCAGAGAATCACTCAAGCCAAATCGGTTGATTTACCTGGTGCTGCGGGGATTGATCTTCAGGAACTCGCGCCGATCGGGGGACGCCGCCTATCCCCGGGAGAGTGGGCTTACCTGTGATTACCTACCTTAGGTAGAACATGGAGCCAATTTCAATGTCTCTCATACTGTTACCGACAAACTATTCAGACTCTGTTTCAATGTCAAACATTTTCTGCGCACCCTTTAACTGTTATGGCAGACTGCAGAGGTTAATCAACGGTCAGATGAGAAATGCAACATACCTGAAATGGGTCTAAACTGTCTCATCGTTACCTGAAATTCGGGATGCCGTCTCCTCATCTGAACCTACCTGCCCTAAGGTACCTAATTGGTGGACTGCCGGATGCTCGTGTCGTTTTTGTGACCCGACGCAGCGGACGACGCACCAAATGCACAAGTGTTCCGTTTGTGCCAACCGTGCCTTCCCTTTCCTGCGCTCATCTCGACTACACAGCCACGCCTTCCCAGCTGCTTGCGTCTTCGACAAGAAAAACGCAATCAGCTGTGAAGTCACCCCGCGAACGGCAGTCTTGTAGGGAAAAGCCTCTCAAGTCACCTTATGCCTTCCTCCAACATCCAACTGGAAGACCTTCATGACCGTTCGCTTGTCTTCCCCATAGCCCCTGCCACTTATAGAGACCACGACCAACTCGGCGCCATGGGAAAGCGCACAACCAACAAGCCTGACCTCTGATACAATGTCCAAAGGCGATGAGAGTACCCTGCTGACAATTTGGGAGAGGTCGGCATAGCCGGTAAATACGGCGTAGGGTTCGAGACGTTCTCCTTCCCGTTCGCGCGTATCAGACGCATCTCTCCCTTCTTAAAAGTCGACAAAAAGGCGACATTGCTGAAACTTGTTCAGATATGGATCCTCAAGAAAGTAGGCACAAGCGCGCAGAGACCCCACAACACGAATGCTACGTCTGGTGCGAGCTCCCATGTTTTGTCCAGGCATGTTCACGCGTTCTTTCTCTCTTCTGAAAGTAAGGGTTCTGGAAATGTCAACATCCTCTGCTAATGGCGCATTTGCAGTCCATTCTGCGGAAAGAAGGCCATAAAGCGAGTCGCGGTCGGTGTCTGGCAGTGTCGCCGCTGCTAGACCGACGATCCGTCGTCTGTGAGAGACTGTGGATATTTGAGGCTTCGGGAGTCAGTGATACACCATCATGACTGGCGTTCTTTGGAATGGTTGCCGGGTTGCATTGCGGCTGATGATTGGGATATATCTGACAGTGAGTAAAGTTAATTCTAGTCGGAAGCCGTTAAAACACATCTTGGAACCATGGAAATGGACCTTGACTAAACTGCATCTGCTTGGCCAATTTGCGAGTATTTCCGATCAGAGCCCGGTTGTCTGATATTCGCCTTTGGGGGAGCTGAGATTGGGACTCCAGTCCTAGTGAAGTAGTAGCCGGCCGGAGTCTCTTTAAAAGATGTATCGACGTTCGGACCAAAACTGGGCAGGTTGGGTGTTCGGATCGCAGAACATATCATCATCTGGATTCCCGCGATGATCCGGAAAAGTAGCACGGAGCGATGGAATGAGATAGGGGAGGCGTGTATGTTGAAGAAGGTCCCGTGCAATGTAGTGTCGGTCCACTGAAGAGTCCACCTGGACACTTGTTTACTTCTCCTTAGACAAGAGGCTAATTGACTCGAAGAGGACATTGAATCCCTGGTCTAGGATCCGGAAAAGCGGGTAGCCACCTCATTGATGAGCATTGCTACCAGATACCTCACACGTGTGCCCGACCTACCAGGTTGGATCCGTGCAACGAAGCTAGAAGGACTCATGGCAAAGGCACGAAGCCGTGATCGCGAGGGCCGGCCGGCCAATTGAGACGAAGCCGGTGACTGCAGACTTTTCTCTCACGTTTTGCGCTAAGCTAGCTGGCCTTGAACAAGACGGCTCGGCAGTTGGGGGCACCATCCTGGGGACCATTGCTTCTCCTTACCAACAGCAGCAGGCAGCCGAATGCTGCCTCGTATGCCGTGTTGCGTGGCTGCCTTTGCTTAGATTTTACAGTAGAATGGGCCGAGTGTTGCGTTCCATAGGTTCAAGTAGTGAAGGCGCAAAGGGGGGACCGGGAAAAAACCTCCGGTGAGGCTTTGTTTGCTAAATCCCTGTTGGTTGGAAAGATGCAGCCGCAGTAGGCAGGGCGCCCAGACAGGGGTAGGAAGCAGCGGAACGAACGTTGGAGACAATGCGTGCCTGCACCACGCCACTCACGTTTAGGTACTCCAGTTCGTCCGAATCGATCACATGTTGGTAAAGTGGTGACCCCGCGAGATGGCAAAGGAAAGGACAAGCCACACAACCCACTACCATGACGTAGGTTCCAGAAGGAATCTAGCGCCACACTTCCAGCCCATCATTTGACAAGATCTTCCACGTACACTGTCGTCAGACCGTAGCTCAGCACGTGTAATTCGCATGGAATAAATGTCGCAATAATCCACCTTTCTGTCGGTTGGAGCCGGCGTTAAATGGACTTGACTTGCCCCTGACTTACACGGCCGTCCGGGATGATTAAGCATTTCGCAAAAACGCAGCTACCAGCGCCTCGGCGCCCAGACCCCTGTTAGTGACGCAAAGCGGGTACTTTCTTCCGGACAATAAATGATTTGATTGGTTAGGACTTTCCAGTGCATGCAGAATGACGCAACCACTCTGTGGGGTAACCCCCCTGGCCCCCACCTCTGTCTCTGGCTTCGTTAAGACAACGACATCGATTTTTAGGGAAGGAGAAGCCTAGAGCAGCACCGTCAACTACAGAACCCAATCTGCGTTGCAGGGCGAGAGTGAAATCTGCGCATGGTGTATTTGAAGCGTAGGTTTATTTTGTTATCCCAACACAACTCAAGGATGAGTAGCTGGTACACGAATCGCTGTTTGGATAATCGTCTTCGCTCAGACGGCGCATCTCTTAAGCTTTTGCGGACCACCAGGCCTAGTCAGTTACGCGCGGTCTTCCGCCGCCGGGCCCGGGGACTTTTCACAAGGCCCGCCGCCTAGGTGGCCTGCTCCACTACTATGGTGCACTATACACGTGTAGACGTTAGATGCAATGTGTAGGCGTTAAAGGAGATGCTGCAAGCCGCGGCTGACGTCATGACTTTGCTTTGGGACAGCTGCGAACGGTGGGGTAGCAAGGGGCCAAGCACGGGTAGCTTCTAATTGAGGCTATGTACTTTGCATGCGTAGACCATTCCGTGCAGCGCGTTCCCATTTCGTTGAGCTGGGACGGAGGATAGTGGGACCCAAGGGGCGACGACGTGGGGAAGCGACGGCAGCTTCAGTCAGATGGAAGGCAAAAAAGGACCCATGACGTAGGAACATACCCTTCACATGACGACGCCCTAGGCTGTTCTTGCTCGTTCAGGGAGGCACGAGAGTCCAGCCCTTTGCCTATATAATCTACAATCTTCCCGCCCTCCAAATCTTTTCTTTTCCTCATCATCAAACAACCAATAACTTCCACCTCCACATCAAGATCAACAATCACTGCAAAACCAAACCCAATTACCACTCAATCACAATGGATACCGTCAAGCAAGCTGCCAACTACGTCTCGGACAAGGTCCAGGGTACGCATCTGCCACTTCCACCCCCCGGTCGCATCCACGCCAGCTTCTGACATATTTCTCACAGGCACCGCCTCTGAGGCTTCCAAGGAGACCAACAAGAGCGTCGCCAAGGATTCTGATGCCGGCATTGGCACTCGGTAAGCAATCTCGTCCTTTGATCACCCCTCAATCTGATGCTAACATCTCTCCCTTCTACAGCATCTCTGCCGCCACCGACGCTCTCGGCGACAAGGCTGATGAGTCCAAGTACGACGCCAAGGCTGAGGCCAACAAGCAGCAACTGAAGCACTAAGCGACTTCGCACTTCTTTTCCAACCAACCTTCATGATTCACCATTTCGTCTGCACCTTTGGCACGGATGGGTACGACAACCTTTAATGACTACGGATTGGGGGAATGAGTTGCCAATTGGCCAATTTTCTTTTGTCACTTGGGGGAATTGGGAAAGGAATTTCATTACCATACCCTGGATCAGCAGCACCCTTGGGTAGCTAGCTAGAGAATCCGAATTTCGACTTCATTGTTGAACAATTTGTTCTTCGCTCGTGATATGTGACATGTCTGACATCTGAATTGCACTTGGTGTACTTTGGACTGCGTTGTCGATGTTTTGCCGGCCAGACATATATGTGGCTGGTCTGCAATACAATTGTTTACACGGGGGCTGCCAGCAACCACCACAGCCTGAAGGATACACGAATGTCTCCAAGGAAACTATTGTGACGACTGACGGGGCAATGCCCCGCCAATTCTCGGACCATTTAAGGATTGCCGCTTGACAACGCTTGGTCGATTACAAACCGATGCCCCGTTTCGCCGAAGTAGTTAGACAGCAGTTCGCAATTCCCGATAACAAGTCACTCATTGGCACTTTGAAGTCGGCCACGAATCGCACAGGAAAATGCTGGTTTATGTTCAATTCACTACTGCTAGTGCCCCCAGACCGTCAGCTCAGCGCGCACGTACCACTTTGATGTCTCTAAGACGCGTCCGCGAAGGAATGCTGGGTTTGCCTCTTTTGGAGAACGGCGTCATCAATTGGGTCGCCAACTTCGATAAACATCCATACATCTTCACAGGATACGCGCTAACCACCCAACCGTTCACCGTTTTTAGGGCAGCTCAGGACATGGAATTGCGTGGCCGTTGGACACGCACAACCTGTTGGTTCCGCAAGAAGCAATGATGGCGAACCAATTTCGGTTCGGGTTAGGGTTGACGCAGAGATCTCAATTATTTCGAGAGAATCCGTGATGTGACCTTGCGGTAATGTCCAGGATACGGATTGGGGTCCCCGTCACCGTCCTGCCGAGTATAAAAGAGGACGACGACGACGACGACGAAATATCGCATTGAATCTTCGTTCATCAAAAAGGGGCGCGTTCTATCCAAACAAGGTACGGCAGTTACTCAATCCCCACAGCGCAAAGATGGCGACCTCGTCCTCGTCCCTCCCGCCCGACCTCTTCGACCAGACGACCCTCATCTCGCTCTTCTCGACGCTCGCCATCCTCGGCCTCGCCCTAGCCATCTCGCGACGCGCCCTTGACACCGCCACCACCACCGGCCCCTACCGCGTGCTCTTCATCTGGCACGCCTTCGACGCGCTGATCCACTTCGTCCTCGAGGGCAGTTTCCTCTACCACTGCTTCTTCTCGTCGGTGCTCGCCACTGCCGCCGGTTCCAAGAGCTTTTATCCCGACCCGCACAACTTCCTCGGCACCACGGCCCGCGTCCACGGCGCCCAGGCCGGTGGCGATAATCCCTTTGCCCAGCTGTGGATGGTGTATGCGCGCGCGGACAGAAGATGGGCTGGTGTTGATCTGGTCAGTGTTTCTCCTTCTCCACTTTTTTTTTTGGCGGTTCGACGGTTTGGTCTGTTGTTTTAGTTAGCAACATCAAGGGAACGGAGAGTGGGTTGATCCTTCAATCTGATCTCGGGATGAAGTTTGCAATTTGCGGGGTGGGGGGTTGTCGTGTTCACGACGTCATTGGAGTTATTAATTGAGCCTTCTTGGGGACTTGCTAATATTTGTGCCTTTCGTTATCCAGGGCGTCGTCAGCCTCGAGCTCTTGACCGTCCTCATCGTCGGACCCTTGGCCGTCCTCACCTGCTACGACATTGCGAAGAAGAATGTGGCGCGCGCCAATATCATCATGATCGTGATTGCCACGGCTGAGATCTACGGCGGTATGTTGTTGTGTTGTCTCCCCGTTGTCCCCCCACTGTCTATTTTTATCTCTGCTCGTAAGGCCGCATACGCGTATCGGCGACGGATTGCGTAGGGCGATGGAGAGATGATGTAAATTTACTGACGCGATTCCCAGGCTTCATGACCTTCTGCCCCGAGTGGCTCGTTGGCAATCTCAACCTTGACACGAGCAACTTTATGTACTTGTGGGTCTACCTAGTCTTCTTCAACACGCTCTGGGTCTGGATCCCGCTGTATGCCATCTATGTTGCGTCGTCCGACATCGTCGATGCCTTCAGGGTGAGGGACGCGGCGCGCACGGTGAAGAAGACGAGGTAAAGTAGAGCTTCGCGGTTCAGGTCAAAGGGGTTGTCCTGTCCGTGTTGGATGTCTTGAGTTCAAAAATGAAAAATGCCGGCTTTAATTTCCTTGTACCATTCCTCTCGGTAATCTTTATTCTATCTGTATAATTGTTTATTTCCCCGTGGCAGTGAACCTGTCTGTTTCTTGGGACATAGAAACATACAAATCTATTCTTTGTTCACTCAGCTCGAGGGCAGGAACCGTTCCCAGCGGAATTGGAGTCAACCCCTTGAAAGTCAGATGTATCTCGAGGCTAGACCAACGACAAACGGGAAATTGGAAGCATCCTCAAGCTGATGCGTTACAGCGAGAGTTGTACAGTTCGATATCAGCTACTACTTCCCCCTAGTGCTAGGTAACTAACACCCCCTAAGGGAAGTAAGTCGAGAGACTAAAGAAAACGACTGCTAATAATAAATTGCTGGAATCAGATCTGCCTTGAACCGTCACACCCGGGGGCATAGTGCCGACCGGAGTTTCAGCCACAGGCGTGCAAAAGCCAATGGCAAGGCCAGACCTGAAAGGAAGGACTTGAAAGGAGCCGGGAAGCTCACATCCAGTTGGTGGGCTACCTCAGGTTTACGCGGCCAGCAAGGCAGAGGAGTTCCCCCCAAGCCTGCCTTGCTGAGTAAGGCATACGTAGATACGTGGATGAGGGGGCCACCCTAGCAATCTACCTGGTCTCGTCCTCTCAACGAGAGCTAGTCACCAAGCTTCCGTGTCATTTCGGAACTGCTAACTTCCAGAATCCCTTATCACGCTTGTCTACGGGAGGCGCGGGGAAGTGGGGGGGAGACTAGATCTCTCTCTAGGTGTGTGATCGAGTTAGTCCAAGGGAGCAGACAGAGCCTTGCAATACCCTAGTCAAGAATCCCGGGGTCCGGGCAGCACAGCATGGGCGCCCCTGGATCATATTGGCTACCTACTGAGTAAACCCTGAACGGATTCTTCTGCTGTCAGGGGGCTTTCTTTTCCCCTTCCCCCTCATGGACAATTGGCTTGGGTCTTGTTGACTCCTCCGGCTAGGAGTGGAGTCGACATAATAAGCCCGAGTTTACAAACAACCGCAATATGCATACAGCCCAGACTTTTCACATGAGATGCTGCTAAGGTGCTGCCGAGTAGCCACCAGACTTCAAGAAGGATAGCCTGTAACAGCTGGCTGCTCCATTGCGAATGTGTATCTTTGGTCTGCGATAAGACATCGTCCTATATTTCTCATCCTGTGGTGATCTATCCACCATGATTTCTCTCATCCCCCACAGCGATGGGCAAAGAACCTGGCGCCGCCACAGTCGAGAAGCCGGCACCAATGATAACGAAGGAGGGAGAAGTATTCAAAGAGCCAACTCTCTTGGCAAAAGCGAGCCAGGCACCCCACACCACCCTAGAGCGCCGAGTCATGGGAAAGAAGATTTCCGGAACTTGATACACGCCCTGCGTCAAGAAGGGCGTGGGCTGGCAGGGCATCTGCAACGGATGAACCCCACTCACCACGGACAGAAAAAAAAGAGAGGTTGAGGGCTCCTGCACCTGTACCAACCAATCATGGGGCCGAATTGGATCGCACAAGCACTTGGGCTGCGCAGACTCCAAAAAAGGGCAGCGTGTTTCAATGTTTCTTGGGCCAGAGTCTTTGCGGATGTCGGGGGGATTGCAACGCTAAACAAAGCCCCGGAGGATTGGTGTAGCAAGGAGCTCTCTTCAAGTTGTTCAGCTTGGTTCGACTGGCCAGAACCTGCAAACTATTCGCCAGCGAAATATTGATGAAGAAAATGTGTGTAGTTCAGACGCAAGAGCATGATCCGTCTGTATTCCTTCCTCCATGTGGCGTTGTCCGGTATGGGCTGCTCCTGCTCCTGCTTTGGGATGAACGGCTGCCGCAGAGATCTTGGGGTGGCGATTACCAACTCTCACTTGCAGTTACGCTGGAAGCAGCTATTCCAGGCTGCGCATGGACAGTTTGTGCTGGCGATACCGTACCTACAAAGCTCGGCTGCGATTCTGAGGCAGTTGATGCCGTTGGCGTGGTCTGAGGGCGGTGGCAATCGGCTGGTATTCATGGACTGGGACGGCGGCTATTATGGTCAAAGGCGCCATTCCAGCAGAACAGGCTGATGGATCGCGAAGATCACCAAGCGCCCAGAGGCTAGACGAGACATTGAGGAGAAAAACCTACAGTTCTGCCGCCGTCTAGCAAGCCTGGGCCTCTCTGCACCTACCTCAGGCTGGGTGGAGAGGAGAGGGTGGACGTTGACTCGGGGTGCAGGGACTGCGAAGTGTTCCCATCGTTCGGGTTTGATCTGCGACTGGGGAGCCCCTACCACTTTAGGGTACCCTGCCCAAGCAGCGTCCAATTAGAGAGAGGCGCCGCTCAGGAACACCCCACATGGGGCTCAAGCCAAGCAGTGGCAGCTGCAAGCTCCCCTGTGCGACCAGCCAGGGACTCGACTGGACTGCGGAGGGGCGAAACCTGGGGCTGTTACAAGATTGCCTCAACCCCACGCCGCGACAATGCCTTCGCAGCACCTGCAGAAATCGCCGCCACGCCAGACTCTGAGAGTTCTGCAGCGCTCGCGGCTGTCTCCGTCACGTCTTCACCTACTGTGCTGCCCGTGTAAGTGGTATGTTCTGCTTGGACCCAATGCCGGATCAATGCCTTTCCACCGCATCCCAGCAATCGATCTTGGCCTTCATCGTCATGAGGCGCCAGGGCAGCCAGGCACAGCAGCACGGACGCTCGTCCAAGAACTGAGGCAATTGCCCGTAAGATAACATCGCCGCCCTATCTCTGGCAGCGATTTTGGTAGCGCGCCCGGCTTCGTGTCACCGCCGTGGGCCCCGTCTCTGGCGACGATACGATGGCCAAGATGCATCCATCCAATGCTCGGGCCATTCTTGGCATACACCCCCTAGTGTAACTGCCCCATCCCATCCTCGCCTACCACCACACCGCGGAGAGAAAGGCTGAGGCGGGCTGGCGTCTTGACGACACACCTCTTACTTGCAGCCCGTGGGCGCCGACAGACATGGATGGCGGCACACGAGCTGCAGGGGAACGCGAACCTCCACCCACCCTCCAGCCCTGGTCCCTGGCCGGCTCTGTTCTGCCCGTGCGGGAGCCATCCCATCCCAATGTCTCTCGGCAGGGTGACCGGGACCTCGACGGCGTGCTAGCCCTCTAGCCTTCATGCATCTTGCCTGTGCCCGCACTAGACAGGCAGGCCCATGGCTGTCGAGCTTCTTCTGGAAGGGCCTCCGCATGCTGGCGTGTGCGTCGTTGCCGTCCGCAACCCTGCCGCCCTGCCGCCCTCCACATTGCCGTCGTGCTGTTCTCCCGCCCTGGTCCCTGTTTCTATTCCCAGTCGTCGACTCTCACCAGGTGCTGGATCGGTCAGGGACTGTTTCGTCTGGTCCGTGGTCAAGCTCGAGGTTGCTGGCGTGTGTGTGTGGCACCCTCCCCCCCTCCCCATCCGCAAGCCCGCACCCACGCTTCACGCTTTGGCGAACCTATCCTTACCAACCATATCCCGCCTTGCCATCCATCCCATTACACTTTTGTCGTTTCCCTCCACTCGCCACCTTCTCTCCCCTCCTTTCATCCAACATCGGCCGACGACGTATCAACGATTCGACTGCGGATTAGATGACTTAACCACGGACGGGTCCGAAGGGCACTGCTACGGCCCATCGCCATCGCACAGGCTTGCGCTTGTCCACTGACGGCAAGCCCAATGTCGCCATTTCACTCGCTACTCGATGGAGGCGTCAGCTGGTTGGAGTCGCGGGGCGCCACGGGCGTGGTGTTGAATGGCAATGTCACCGGGACGGGCAACGGCTTCTTCCAGGCCGCCAACAACGTGACTACAACCCAGCAGATGTTCTTCAACGAGCTCAAATTCGCCGCCGCAAAGTCCATCAGAACCTCGACCATCATCCTAGCCGGCTTCAACACTGTGGCCGCCTTCGCCACGGCCATGGGCATTCTGCTAGATGCATATTACAGAGAGAGGCGGAACAATCGACAGTTCAATATTAGGTATGGGCCTTAAAAACGGGCACACATGTATTATTTGCTCGGCGCGGCTGCTGATGATATTTTCCAGGCGTAATGGCTTGAGGTTCGTACCGGAAGGCGACGTCTTCCCGCTGGTGCTATCGTTCGGCATCGTGATTCAGAGCATCACATTTGCCGTGGCCCAGTCAACTGGGCTGGACACTCTTGTTGGCCTGGGATGCACAATGATGGCCCAGTTGATGTTACCTGGTACGTTGCTATCACACCCCGTGTTGGGACAACGGGGTTTGCATGCTGACAGTCCCGCAGCTGTGTTCGTGGCGCCGTACACTCAGCTGGTATTCGGCATTGAAACGGCGGTACGAGCCCTACGAAAGGATCCATTTGCGCCGAGAGGAAAGTGGACTGTGTCGATTTGCCTGGCTATCATCGGAATACTGGTTCTCGCAAACTTCCTCGTGGCCGACTTTGACCAGTCGCCAAACTTTTGTCTGACGTCTCTGTTTTGGTTTGTCGCACACTATTCGGTCGGATGCTTCGCTCTGCTCACCGGCATCGTCTCGTCCCTCATTATTTGCCTCGTTGTCATCTTCGTGAGACTGCACCGCAGCATCAAGGTCGAGGTGACTGCGAGGGTAGCCGCGTCGAGAATGGTCTATTACCTCGCCCTTGCGATCATCTCCAGCGTATGTCGGCTTGAGCACTCACAGGTCTTGGACTTGCAGCTAACATTTTTGCAGGGCTTCATGATCCCTTACTTTTATGCCATGGCATTTATTAGCCAGCGCGGCGGCAATGGCACTCACCTCACGCTGTCTATGGTTGCATCCGTTGTTGCGAACGTGTCGGGACTGATGACTGGCGGACTTTACCTCTTCTTGAAATCCAACACACTGTCGACCATCGGTCCCAGGGACAAGGTCGGAGAGTATGAAAAACGGAAGTTGAAGTACAAGATCAGGCTGGCGGATTCCAACGACGTGGATCGCGACAATGGATCCGATAGTCATATGATGCACAGGGTGACGGGGCTCGGAAGCCTCCGCCGCACCGACAGCGATGCAAGCTTGGTCAGCGCCGAAAAGGTCGAAGACATCCAAGACGATAACCAAAGCCTGGCTTCCACCACATTCAGCGGACGAAACCCGAACCCTCTCCGCTCTAATGCCATATATCCAACCCCAGGCATGCCCAAGGCGCCAGAACCCGCACAGTTCTCGTCCATGGCATCAGCAATGGGCCATGTGCGCAAGCGCTCTTACTCCCTATTCCCCAATAACTCACCTGCAGCAAAATCGTCACTAACCCTACTCCCTGCCACGACCTATTCACCCAACACCAAGGAATCGGCCGCTGATTCCCTCAAGCCTCCGCCATCGATGCGGAATCTTGTGTTTGGCCGACATCGACGAGACTCATCTCTCGTGTCATCGGCAACCGTCCAGATCGGACTCCGTTTCTCCTCCGTCGAAGACATACCACCAGTCGTAACAAGCACAGCCGCCGCGGCTGATTCCCACGTATACGACTTGGAATGTCCCCTCGTCCAGAAAGAGAAGGAAGCAGCCGCTCAGAAGCGCCCAGCCGCCCTAGATATTAGCCCTGCTAGCACTCCCACGCTAGAAGAGTATGATGATGATACTCCGAAGCGAGATCCTGTGAAGGACGCAAGGATGAAGACACTGCCGCCCGTCCCGCGACGAAACACTGCGCCGCCAGTAGACGAAGGCCAGACATTGAGTCCGAGCATCTACAGCCCCTCCAGCCCGACCAAACTCAAGCTGCCGAGCCCCAGAGGTGTCGGTTTCAGTATGCCGGTTGCCAAGCCCAACAATGGCGGTAGCCCCAGTAGCCCGCCTTTGCCGACGCCGGTGCGTCGGGCAACGGACGACAGCGGGCCGAAGCCAGCCAAATCAAAAGGCGACTGGATCTAGATTGACTCTAGCAGCCGGGATTACTATGGCGTATTTGCTCGCTCTGATTTGAAGCATTTTCCGGTGTTGGCGTGTCGGGGGCTGAACACAAACATACCTAGAGGGCTGTGACGGCTCACGACACTTTAGATGGAGCCTTATATCAATTTGGATAACGGGGCATTGGGGGTGGGGGGGCATTAATTCAGTCTATCAAGGCAAGGCGTTGACGAGGAGATGTGGTATACCTGTTGGATAAGAGTATCTCCCTGCCCTTTCCTTCATTTCCTTTTTTCTTTCTTTCTCGGTGTCCCAGGTAAGACAACGGGGCGTCTCCTTCTTCATTCTTCCCTGTTTTTTTCTATTTACGAAGTACATGCATCACGGCGGCGTCCAGAGGCAAGCCCCTTGTGCAGCGACCGACCTACGTTACTACCCGCTTTGCCTTTGAGCATTTACCGAGGGAGTTTTGTCATGTCACCAACATTTTTCTTTTCCTTTTCTTTTCATCTCGGGGGCTAGAGCGGCTGTATCTGTACTTACTACTACTTACTCTCTCTTTCTGTCTCCTCGCGAAAGCGGGACTTGGGGGTAGATGATGACGATGGATGACGACGGACGACGACCAAGGGGCGAGGCAGGACCCGAGAGCCGTGCGCCGGATGCCACAGCTTTTTTTATAAAAAACCCCCAACCAATGTGTAAACGATTCTTTTATTAGTCTGTTTGCTGGCGGGGACCAAGCAAGTATTCCTGAAAGCAAGGAAGGAATGAAGGAAGGAGGAGATGGAAAAGAATACAGATTACCTTTTTATTTAACCTATCCAGTGAACCCACTGACCCCCTCCAATGAAAAGGAAGAGAGTCGTGAAGCTGTCCAGTATCCCTTGGGGCGTAGCAAGGGAGGAAGAAAAGGAAGAAGGTTGGATAACAAACCCCAGTCAAAATATAAATATCAAAATGGGGTTCTTGTTCAATATTTTTCTCACAAATAAAGGCATCTCTCAGTTCACGCAATGGCTACACTACGCTGTGCGTTTAATGATATTGTGCGATGTTAACGTAATTCATTATGACAATCACTCGTCTCGTTTAGCACGAGTGAGGCTATACACTCCAGATGTCAGTCGCCCACCCCAGATGTAGGGTTATGGGCCCCCCACAAGCTGATGGCTCAGCAGGAGTGGGAGCGGGTTTCTGTCTTCTCTCTTTTTTTCTATTCCTATTTCTGCGCCCCCTTCTTTTCCCCTGTGGTTATAACTTCTTCCCGCTCATGTGGTTTTCTTCTTGGCCTGCTGCTGCTGCTGCTGCTGCTCTTGGGCAAGCCTTCGCTGCCTCCGGCGCTCCCAGCTCTCCCAGCCGGCTTGGCACAGGTCCTGCTCGACTACCAGGTCGCGCAGGCGGAACCAGCGCGCCACGGGCAGCTCGAGCGCCCACGACAGCAGGCCCATCTGGCGCGCCAGCGACGTGATGAGGAACCAGCCGACGGCGCTCAGGCTGCCGGCCGCGCACCCCACCAGCACCTGCTTCTCCGTGTGGTAGCCCAGGTAGATGCGGCTCCACGCCACCAGCCCGGCCAGCGCCAGCGCCACGGCGCTGACGAGCGCCCGCTGCACAAAAGACCACGGCTCGTGCGCGTACCGCTCAATGTCGGCGTTGAGCGCCGCCAGCCTGCTCGCAGCGCTAGACTGTTGCTGCTGTTGCTGCTGGCCAGGGAGCAGAGACGCACAGCCATTCTCCTTCACCCCGCCCCCCTGCACACTCGTCGTCGTCGTCGCCGCAGCCGCGACAGCAAGACTCCTATTATGGCGCTGGCCGAGGCGCGGCCGGTGGCGCGCCACCAGGAACAGCGCGACCGCGACGGCCCAGAAGAAGGCGAACTGGGCGTGTGAGCTCGGCATGCCGTAGCCCTTGCCGCCGGTGCGGTGGATGCGCCGCGGGCGCTCCTCCTTGATCAGCCGCTTGAGCGCAAAGTTGACGCCCTCGCACGCCAGCTGGCCCGCGAACATGAGCGCCACCTCGGCCTCGCGCGTGCTCCAGATCAGCGTCGCGTACACGACGCATAGTGCTTGTGGTACGAGCGCAAGCCATGCGCAGATGTAGGATATCGAGTCGTCGGGGTTCTTTTTTGGGGGGGGCGGGAGGTGTTAACTTTTGTTTACGTGGAAGATGTCGTGTGACTTGCGGAATGGGATTGGGATTTGGATTGGAATTGAGGAGGAAGGGGAGGGGGGTTGCATACATAGTACACGTGGGTCAAGGAGAGCGAAGCCAGAGGCGTGATGTCGTCCGCCATGGTGTCCGGCTGATGACTGATGAATATGTATGTAATTGGCCGGGTATCCGTGGTCCCTCCTCTCTATTCCTCTGTCTCCAGCCGCCGCCGCCGCCGCTGCTGTCCGGTGTGCCTCCTGTTTATCCCCTCTGCTGCAATGTCGGGGAATTGGAATGTCGCGTCGGCCGGGTATCGTGTTAAGCTCGGAGAGAAAAGGGTTGAACTGTGACGGAATGAAAACGCCCGTACTGTGGTTTCTTCGTTTTTGGGGGTGAAGACGGCGTCGGCAGCGGAAGAGGACGGCCTTTCTATAATTATAGCCCTTGATCGGTATTTGCCGCCCGTGGGTCTGTATGGTCTCTTGACCAAGCTGGGCCTGTGGGAAAATGGTCTCGTAAAGTAATCCCGTCGGTTTCACCACAGGGTAAGCTGTTTCTCAACTGCGGTCCAGAAGGTGAGGCTGCTAACGAGTTAGCCAGGCCGGCCGAGTGAATGGCCCTGTGGATGTGAAACCGGGCGGCGGCCCTGGGAGTCGTCGGGTGGGGCTTCCTCACTGGAGGGGCGGCCAATCGGTTCAGCCCGCTGCTGAACCTTGAGGCGAGGGAGGGGTAGAGTAAAGTTCCCAGCCCGCCGGGAAGCTTTGTCAGGCCTTTGCATTGCACGAGTACAACGTCCATCACCGAAAGAGTCATACTTCGACAGCCTTTTAAGTTGCGGGCTGTTGTAGTTGAACAGCAACAAAAGACAGTTTGGAAAACTAACTTCTTGACCGGATCCTTTCTCTCAACTTTACTCATTTAAACCATGGGGCTCGCGGGAGCATGCCCAACGTTGCCATTGATCCCGCACAAGGAGGTAGCCAGACGTTCAGTTGGCGGCTTACATCAGGTCTAAGCAAACCTGCAGTCAACAAACGCCACCCAGCAAAGCCAGCAACATCAAGGCAACTTTCTTTCAAGTGCGGACTACAAACCTTCACCACCTTCTTCCAGTACTAGCACAGTATTGTCAACTTACCCTACGGGTCATTCCCGCAAGGAACTAAGGGTGAAGTGACTGAACACGGTCTTTGCACTTTCCCCGATCTGCTATCATCTACCAACACTACCTTATCAGACGCTTCTGCAGGCGCAAAGTACTGAGTTGCCTACTGCGAGGAAGGCGCAAGCCACGGCAGCACCACTGCAAGGACACCTAGAGACTTTTACTAGGGGAGACAACTTGAAGAAGCTGCTCTAGAGTCAAGGAACCCAAAGGCCTGGACCGACGCCCAAATGGACTTGTTCGACTCGGACAGCCCGCGGGATGTCGAGCTGGGCACCCTCACTGCCATCTACCCCGAGATCAGACAGGTGCGCCCCGACGACGCCTACACAATTGCTCTGGACGTGCCCGTCACCCCCTCGAATGGGGTTGTCGTCGTCTTCTCTGTCACCCCGCCCGAGCACTCGCACTCGGCCTCGGCCTCAGCAGACACGGCCCCGCTAGCCCAACCAAGCCGTGGCCATGACATAAACGACGTCAACGACCCTAACGGCGGACCGGCCGACGCGGTAGATTCGCACCACCTGGCCCATCTGCCCCCGGTCCATCTTGAGATGACTTTTGGCCCCGGGTATCCGTCCGAGGAGCCTCCCAGGATATCAATATCGACTACACCTCCATGGCTTCCCCCGGCGACGGCCAAGATGCTCGAGGACGACGGTGCTCGGCTGTGGGAGGAGATAGGACGCGATATGGTCGGCTTCACCTACATCGACACGATCCAGCAGTCGGCTGAACACGTCTTTGGCCTTGTTGATGCCGTTAGAGCTGGCCTCAAAGTCGACTCTCGCCAGAAGATTGCCTTGCTGGACTACGACATCAAGGCCAAGCGTGCCACCTTTGAGTTGGAGACGTTTGACTGCGGCGTGTGTCTAGACCCAAAGAAGGGCTCTGCCTGCCATCGCATGATGGACTGCGGCCACGTCTTCTGCGTCGAATGCCTGCAAGACTTCTACAATGCTGCTATCAAGGAGGGCGACCTTACTTCGGTCCGCTGCCCGGCCCCCGGCTGCGCCAAAGACCGGGCTAAAGCCGCAGAAGCAGCGTCCGGGAAGAAAAACAGGAAACCAAGGACCTTCGTCAGCCCCAGCGAGCTTTTGCAGATCCCTCTGGACCAGGACGTGGTGAGGCGCTACGTGACTCTCAAGTACAAGACGGAGCTCGAGTCTGACAAGAACACCATCTACTGCCCTCGGGACTGGTGCAATGGCGCCGCTCGCTCCAAGAAACACAAAAAGCCCCAGGGACTTGAGCTTGCCGAAGGAGCCTCTGATGACGACGACGAGAACGACAGTGACGGAGGCCACAACGCGAAAGCCAACGGCGCAACGGGTAAATCCAAACCTAAAAAGACATATAAGCCAGCCGAGGAGTTGCTCGCCATCTGCGAGGAATGCACCTTCGCCTTCTGCAGCCGCTGCTTCCAATCTTGGCACGGAGAGTTTGTCAGCTGCCAGCCACGGCGTAACAAGGAGGAGCTCACCGCCGAGGAGCAAGCGTCCCTCGAGTATCTCAAGTTCAACACGACGCCTTGCCCGACATGCTCAGCCCTGGCACAGAAAACCAAGGGATGCAACCACATGATTTGCTTCAAGTGCCAAACCCACTTCTGCTATCTCTGTTCCGCTTGGCTTGATCCTAGCAACCCCTATCAGCACTTCAACGAAATGCCTGGGGGCCGTGTCACATCTTGCTATATGCGCCTGTGGGAACTCGAGGAAGGTGATGGCGACGACGTTGGTCGTGGGTTTGCTGGGGGCGGGGCAGGCGTCGACCGGGGGGCTCCTGTTCTCGGTAGGGGCATCATCTTCGGTGGCCATGACGAACCCCCGGACAGCGAGGACGACGAGGAAGAGCAGCAAGTTCCCCGACCTGCTGCGGTACAGGCACCACATCGGCGAGTGCGTAGAGAACGAGCACGAGCACCTGAACCTGCACCTGCACCTGCACCTGCACCTGCACCTGTACCTGCGTTGCCCGAGGCCCGAGACGGTGGAGGACAGCAGCAGCAGCAGCAACAACAGCGGCAGCAATTGAACATTGCACGCGAAGGTCCGCTGGTCCTTCGGATAGCTGCTCATCAACAGCCGCCGGCGGTTGCACCTCCGGCTGTCCCTGCAGCAGCGCTAGCTGGGGGAGGTCGAGGGGCAGGTCGAGGTGGTGCTGCTCGCCCAAGAGGCGGCGTCGCCGGCCAGCGAGGACGTGGACGAGGCGCCAACCGGCAAAATAATCAAGCTAATCACTTACGTGGTGGTGTGCTGCGTCGTAACAACAACCCTAATAACCACGACGACCATGGACCCGAGCCCGAACTGGCTCGCGGGCATGGGCCAGACGAGATGGCCGACTTGGATGAGATGCAGAGACTTGCGGGCAATATCCAAGGCGACGACGTGGACGCTGCTCAAGCGGCCTGGATACGGCAGTTTGTCCTTCTTGCTATGAACGACGAGGAAGACATGCTTCTCTGGGACGATCAATAGCAGAGGTTCTTGCTACACGCCCTCCTCATGCTACGCATGCTCTCACATACACAACGACTTTGTATATCTGCCTTCATCATTCATGAGTTTGTGTCATCCAGGCTGTCATCGCCATGCCAGTGACACTCACTCGCCCCTATTATGACATCCACATCTGCAGTAGTTCAGGCTGAACTATAATCTTCCCGTCGTTTGGTTTTGGATTGCGCTAGCAGCGCAGCAGCAGTGTATATGGTTTATTTAGGGGCGACCTTTCTGTACTGTTTCCTTGGTCTGCCATAGCGAAGCATTGCATTGCGCCATCATACTCTACATTTACACAGAACCACATATACCCATACCTATGCGAGAATACATAGAGAGAGCCGGAGAAACTGATGCAGAAAATAGAATAAGACAAGCTTCCCCGCCGAAAGGGGTTCGGAGATAATCGCATGCAATGGCTAGGTGACATTTTTGTTTTTGCCCACTACAGGACACAGTTACAACGGCTCTAGCAAGACTAAAACTCTGCAGCCAACCGGCCTCTAGTGTATTTAGACGAACCAACATTTTTGTGTTTTTGGAGGAGTGGGCAGGAAGAAGAGGAAGAAAGGAAGAAGGCCGGGCAAGCCAGTCTTGCTTGGTGAGATGGCTGCGATGGATCTGGATTTTCCTGATGATTGCCGGCACACCACCCATCGCACAACATCGCCACCGCCGTCGATGGACCGGCGGCAGCTAGCTACATGCAGACACATACACACATACATACATACCGACTTACATGCGTGACACACTACTAGTACCATCCTCTCCCGGTCACCCCTACCTACCGTGGAGCATCTGCGTGCCGAGAATGGCGTGACTGTGCCGGCCCCTACATGAGAGAATGAATCCATGTATCATCGTACATAGGTGGCTTCTTTTCTGTTGCCCGCCCTCATCGCGACGTCCAGGTCCGGGTCCAGGTCCAGGTCTAGGCAGATCCGGGTCTAGTTAGCTTGTGATGAGGTTCACGTTCAGGTACAGAATACGACTGCCTGTGCGCTCGAGCCGAGCCACGGACCGCCGTTCTCCTCTTTCTTCTAACGTCTCCTTCGGTCCCCGTTTCTTCTCTGTCTGGTCGTGGGTCTGTCTGTCTGAGTCTGAGTCTGTTAGCCTGTGAGTCTATGAGTCTAGTGCCGAGAGAGAGGGGGGGGAAAGGGGAGGGGGTGATCTTGCCACCGGCCGTTCGGCTTGTTACCCTACTGCCCTGCTGCCCGCATGTCTGCATTGGTACGTACGTATATGGCAATTGTGTTTGACAAGAGAGAAAAAGAGAGAAAATGAGAAAGAGAAGAACAAGAAAACAAAAAAGAAGAGAAAGAAGAAAAAGAAAGAGTCATCGACTCTGCGTGTGTGCTATCCTCTAAACCTCGACTTATCTAGACCTAGACCTAGACCTACATAGTCTCGAAACCTAAACCAAGACGCAGAACAAACCGAAACCGAAACCGAGGCCTACCTACTGTTGTTTGATGTGATAGTTTGTCTGTCTCGCCGCAGAAAAGCTAAAGTTAATAATAATAAGGCAGGCATTCAGTAGCAATGACATAACTGGCTCGAGAAATCAAAACACCAAACCAACAAACAAAACCCCGCCCCCGGTTCATGGTCCCAGAAGAAATCCCGACGGGAGGATTCCAAACACCACAACAAGTTTGTCATTTGTCATTTGTTATTTGTTAAACAACACTCTCCGCAGCACTCTCCGCAGGGAAGGAAGGCAAAGAACAGAAAACCTACCTTGCCATACCTTCCCTTCGGTATCTACCACCTACTACCCAGGGATTCGGGTAACCGACGGGATGGACTGTTGAGATGACATGACATGGCATGGCACGGATGGGATGGGATGGCATGGTATGAGACGGCTGCTGGCTGGCTGGCTGGCTGGCTGACCGGATGATCAAGGATGATCTAGAAATCTTGTTTTGTTGTTTGTGGTTATTTTGCGGGCAACAAGCACTGCACAGCCCCATCTCGCGAGTCTTCGCCGTGGAGCGGCACACGGCGCGGCGGGCGGCATCTACCCATCTAGCCTGCGGCGTCAGCGTCGGCGGCGGCGGCGAGGGAGGAGAACAGACAGACAGGGGCGTGGGGGGCAAGTGGAAACGAGATGTCATCCGGTCGGATGAGTGGTGATATCGGTGCAAATGTATGTGTGCGTGCTTGTGTATGTGTGATGGTCACCGCATCAAATCATCTCGTTTCTATTATCTACCAAGGTACGCTTACAAGGACATATGGGAGTAGGCAGTAGCAGTAGTAGTAGTAGTAGTAGTGGCATCTTTTGTACACGCTGCCAGGAACAGACACATGTGCCGCCTCCGCACGCAAAATAGACTCCGGATATAAGGGAATAGAGAAATACAGAGAGAAACAGAAGCAGGGCGAGAGCAAGAGCGTCAAGATGCGTGAAACCTCGCCGACACGTCTGGCCACCTGCTTACTACCTTAGTTCCCTAACGACCTACCTGTGCGGCTGTTTTTGTGTTTCCATACACTGCTCGTGCAGATCACTGACTTGGCTGGTCGCTTATCGACGCCATCCAACCGATGGTCTCTGCCCTTCCCCCTCCCACTCCCCAGCACAGAGCCAGTATCTACACTCCCCGGGCTATTGCGCAAGAAAAGAAACGAGACAAAAGCCGGCCGCCCACGTCCCGACCTGGGTCTGGTGACTTGACCTGGCTTGTCCGATCATAGGTACGGATATTTCTCCTCGGCTCCCGGGCTCGCGCTCGTCCCCAGAAGACAATTCTCTGTTGCGCCCCCCGCACGCTGTGTCGAGCTTTGGTGCTATCATCAAGCCAGAAAGAACAGAGACAAAAGCCAAAAGCGGATTAGGGATTTAGAGAATGGAGTGAGCGTGAGGACCAGGGGATGCCATTTCGGTACTTCGTTTCCGCAAGCGCAGCCAGGGGGCAGGGGGGCTACCTGCTCAATGAGGAACGGGGGGTGTGTGTGGTAGTGTAAGGTGATAGTGGCGGGGGGGATGGGAAAGAGAGAGGGGGGAAGGAGGTCAAGCCTCAACCGCCGTAGTAGCAGTAAAAGAAAGAAATGAAATTGAACTGACGCCGTGAACGAGAGAAGAAAAGAAGCATGAATGACATTGTGAAATGGCACTAGCAGCAGAAAGAAACCGTCCCGAGACCTTGTCCTTGCCTATATCACGAACATGAACATACTCGAGTTGTAGAGCACGGTGCCAAACCGAACTCCCCTAGCCAGGGGGAGGCTCACATTGATAGACATGGTCTGATGAAATATGGGAACGGAAAAAAAAAACCTGAAGTCTTGTTCTTTTCCACGCCCCGTTGCTGGCAGAGTCGCGTCGCAACGGGAGGCAGGGGACCCTGTGATACGAGCCATTCTCGACGCCCCTTGGCGTGGGTTATATTTCCCGATTGACTCTCTTAAGTACGAGCCAGAGGGCCCCTTGTTTGTTTCCCCCTCGAGTTTCCAACCTTGGTTGATTCCACAAACGCTCCTTGGCCGCCACTAAGCCAAACAGAAGTGCGACTGGCGGTTGCAAGTTTCTCTTCAGAACCGCCATTCATCTGGCTGGCGCTGGTCTCCTGGATGCTGCCGAAACGACTCAGCCCAAAGAAGATTGATGGACCGCACTGGGCTGCTGTCTTTGGAGGGGTCTTGTCCCAAAAAGAGAACGGCTGCTGCACCTTGGCAGGCAAGTCAGAGCACAAAGCGTCTCGACAGATACACCGCACTACTTTCCGACACTTGGAGTTACTTTGACACTTTTGCTCGGTTGGTTTGCATGTCGGTAACCTGGTTCGCTTGGGTATTAGCCCTCGGGATGCCGATGTACAGTAGGTACAGTACTTGCCGGTGTTGAGAGTGACACTGAGTCTTTAGTTAGGATACAACACGAGATAACACGTGTTTTTCGAACAGAGCCAAAATAGCAACCTGAACGTAAAGAAGCAGTTTTCTTCTTGAACAGTCATCAGGCCCGTATCCGCCGCCAGCGTCGCTTTGCAAGATGTTTCGTAAAGTCTCTAGGAACTAGTTACCGTTTGGGACAAATGGCCACGCGCTTTTCGGGCGAGCACAGACCGTGCTTTGAACATAGCAATGTGGCTTGCTTGCTGCAGGTTTTGGCTGTCACTGTTCCTCTGAACCCCTTTGTGCTGTCCGTGTCAAGCTCTTGCCATGTGGTTGAGGTCCTGTGTCTCTGCAGTAGTTAACAACCGAGGGGGTCTGAGTGATGCAGGTGCCAAGCTGGGCCTTGTCCTCATTGTACTTAGTACAGATTACACAAGAACAAGGCCACTCGGAATTTTGATTTCAGCTTGGCGCCTCGAGTGGAGTCGTCCACCCTCCGAGAGGCCCTACTGCGTAATAAGGTCTCTGCAACGGGCTGGTCGACCGAGACAATCGAGGAAACAAGGGTCGATGCGGAGTTTGGGCGAGGGTTGTCGGAATCAACGGCAAACGGGAGTCAAAGTGGGCTGACACTTGTCTGACAAACTTAGTAGTGCAGTGCATTGCCCTTAGTGCGAAGGCCAGTCCCTATGCACGTACTGGACGGATTATGGAGTGGATGCTGGGGGAGTAAACGGAGCATCAGTAGCCACGGGGAAAGCATCAGTAGCCACGGGGAAAGCATCAATAGCCACGGGGAAAGCATCAGCGTCAAACATCAGCATCGGCATCAGCATCAGCATCAGCTTTCAGCATTGCCCTCAGAGGTCTCGAGCAAAGAAACGCCAGTAGAGAACGCCATTGGCGAGCCCTCTGGTGGGCTGCCTACTGCTGTGTCCACTACACTGCACTGGCACCCTACGAATACGGTCAGAGGCCCCAATTAGAGAGAGGGCGGTGTGCGGCACGAAAAGGGGGTCGAGGCCGCTCAGTGGCAGAGAAACGGAAACTTGCGCCACGATCCGCGCAGCCCGCGCAGCCGCACCTTGTTTTCAGAGCCGGTCAATTGGGGGCCGTTATTGGTTGGGAAA